TCTTTTTTTTTGCTTCCGCTAACCATGTCATCTTGTCTTCCTTGCATATGCCTTGTATATATCCACCACCTTTTGAGCTTTTTTCCCTTTGTCGTCAAAAATCTTTCCAAATTTGCCCTATACTGTTGGCTGCGAAAATGAGATTGAGATTGAGATTGAGATTGAGATTGAGATTTTGTTTTGTCAAAGACAAACTTTATGAACCGGACACGACCTTCCGTACTATTCAAAATTTCGCAGCCAGACGGGGTTGTCTCTCGCACCACGCGTTTTGGAAGAAAACAAATTAGTCGTACACGAACGGCAATAGTAGGTGGTAGTTTTGAGCTAATATTAATGGTGTTACAGGATAAGTATAATTAATTTTTGAGTACTTGAGTGTGTGGCCTTAGCTGAAGTTTCTGGTATTTTTTCAAGAATTTTCAGCCACTAGTGTAACTTAGAGTAAACCCTTGGCTGTAATTAATTTTGTGAAAAAGGCGAATTTTAAAGATCTTTAGCAAACATTTTCAGAAAATAATCACACACATAAAGGACAAAAGAAACGAGGGATAAACGCAGACTCCAGTGTTTCATCATTCCAAGCTTTCGAGATGTGCTACATGACCTTACCGTGGATCAAGGGTCTGTACAGCAAACACACAAACAAAGAAGCCAAGATTCACTCCACGTAACATTAGCATTCACTAATGATAGTGTATTGCTAAAATAAAAATAGCTTCCTCTCTTTTGATCTCATGGAAAACTAGAAGGGAAGTACCAAATTTCTAATTGCACCTATTTAAAGAGATTATATAGAACAATATCCACCGTCAACCCGTATATCACTACCAGTGGTGAAGCTGGATGCATCAGAGGCCAAGTAGATAAAGGCACCAACCAACTCATCAGGTTCGCACTCTCTACCTTTAGGAGTTAATGCCCACCATTTGGATCTTTCTTCAACCAGAACGGGATCTGACAAAGGTGTGTTTGTGTAACCAGGGGAAACAGTATTTACTCTTGCAAAGTCAACAAATTCTATAGCCAAAGATCTCCCCATGTGCAATACAGCAGCTTTTGCAGCGTTATAACATGTTTGGTAATTGGGTACATTGACAATATGAGCTGACATAGAAGCTGTCATGATAATCGAACCTTTTCCTTTCTTCTTGAAGATCTCACCAACATATTTGCAACAGTAGAATATACTGTTGACATCTACATCAAAAACTCTTTTCCATGCTTCAGGAGTGCTGTCTTCATTCAATATAGAACCAAAATTCCAAGCAATTCCAGCATTGGCCACAAAAATATCGATGGTTCCAAAGTCTATCTCAATTGTTTGAATTACCTTCTTCACTTCTTGGGGGTCAGAAAGATTAACTCTGTAGAACTTTGCCTTGATATTGTAAGTGGTGGATAAGCGTACACAGAGTTCGAGGTTTTCTCTGATATCCATTATAGCGATATTACTTCCAGCTTGAGCATATCCTTCTACAATAGCAGCTCCTATACTTCCAGAACCTCCCGTTATAACTGAGACTTTTCCTGTCAAAAAGAATCTTTCCATGATATTATGGGACAACTTTTCGGGTTTAGAGGGGACCTCCTTGGGGTCAGAAGGATATCTAATGAAAGATTCAAAGCTCCGCTTTGTCATAGTTCCTGTTTGTGTATAAAGCGTAATTACCGCTACTTATATTATAAACAGGATCAATTATCGGCGAGATGGTATCTCTGTGTGTTCAGAAAAGCCAACCTGCACTTTAGCAGCCATTTAGCGGAAGAACTGGTTCCGCGAATGTTAATACAATCAGCGAAGTGGGGGTTATCTATTCTGCTCTCCAATGCATATAAATAGAGGCAGAAGTCCAATGGCTATTTCAGACTATAATTCAACAAAAGTATGGGTAGCGGTGTAAAGAGCATTATTAGAGAAGAAATTGGTTCGCTTCCAAGACCAAACCCTGAATTAGCTGAAAACGTTCTTGATCTTTTCTCTTTGAAAGGTAAGGTAGCTACCATTACGGGCTCTTCACAAGGTATTGGTTTTGCAGTTGCAGAAGCTTACGCCCAGGCTGGAGCTGATGTGGCAATTTGGTACAATAGTACTCCAGCTGGAAAGCTTGCCGAAGACTTATCATCCAAGTATGGGGTAAAGGTTAAGGCTTATAAAGCTAATGTTGATGTTTTTGAAGAAGTTAAAAGCACCATTTTGAAAATTGAAAAAGAGTTTGGGACCATTGACATTTTTGTGGCTAATGCAGGTATTGGATCAAAGCCAGTTTCGGTTATTGATTCTTCTCTTGAAGATTACCACAAAATCCTTAGAATTAATGTTGATCACGTTTACTACGCAGCCAAGGTGGTAGGAAGGATCTTCAAAAAGAACGGTAAAGGTTCGTTTATCATTACAGCATCCCAAGCTGGACATATAGTCACGGTTCCTCTCGACCAAGCAGCTTATAATGCTTCCAAGGCGGCCCTTATTCAAATAGCCAAGTCTTTAGCAATTGAGTGGGTTGGATTTGCCAGAGTCAATGCCATTTCACCTGGTTACATTGCAACGGAAATTGCCAAGCATATTCCACTCGAGCTCAAAGAAAAATGGTGGTCCTTGATCCCTATGGGTAGAGAAGGTTTACCAAAGGAACTTGTCGGAGGTTTCTTGTATTTTGCATCGGATGCCTCCACCTTTACTACTGGTTCTGATTTAATAATTGACGGTGGATACACTGTTCCATAGATATTATTGATTATATGACAGCACTTTTCAAATTGTAGCAAGATATATCTTTCTGTTCATTAGTTTAGTAGTCAGGGGCTTTTCAAATGGGAGCTCGTATAGCAGTTGACGACCCCAGATTTTCCCCAATCTTGCTCTGCATAAAGGGTCAGGGGGTCCGTAACTACGCGGAAAATGAGACTCCATGAATTACCATTTACGGACCTTCTCCTTCCGCATAATCTCAATATACTCTAACGGAAGATGTTACTCCCGCTAGCTCTTTGACGTGCAAACTCGGAAGAAGGATTCCCACAATTTTACCCCAGGTTATGCAGGTGTATACGTGGGGAAAGAAGAACTATATAACTTTACCCTAATGTGTTCACAATGATGATAAGTCTATCAGAATTGCAAAACAGCATGTCGTTCATAGCAAAAGTCAACAAGCACTTAGATTCTTATCCTAAGTATCACAACGAATGGTTCATTGCAAGCATTGCAACCTTGTCCGGGGCAATGTTTGGCTTTGATGTTTCGTCAATGTCGGCCTTTATCTCTCAAGATGCTTACAGAGAATTTTTTAATTTCCCCAGTTCTACCAAACAAGGTGCAATTACTGCTGCGGTATCTGGAGGTTGTCTTATAGGGTCTCTCTTATCAGACACATTTGCTGAACCTATTGGAAGAAGAACAACTTTAATCGTTTCTTGCTTCTTCTGGATTATTGGTGCTATTGTTCAAAGCACTTGTCGGAATATTGCCCAATTGGTTATGGGCAGAATACTTTCCGGGGTTGCTATTGGTATTGGTTCTGTGGTGACCCCTACATATATTTCTGAGATTTCAAGAGCTAGAATGAGAGGGGTACTTGGAGGGACTTTCCAGCTTGCCATTACCTTTGGAATTTTGGTAATGTTCTACATTGGCTATGGTTGTACTTTTATACCAGGCGAGAACTCTTTCAGAGCAGCTTGGGCCATTCAAATGATTCCAGCTTTGCTTCTCTTGGCAGGTATACCATTTTTACCCGAATCTCCTAGATGGCTAGCAAACCACGACCAATGGGACAAAGCAGAAGCTGTGTTGAAGAAGGTCTATGAAAAGGACAATACTGACCAATTTTTTATTGAACTAGAAGAGTTAAAGGAGTCTATTGTATTCTTCAAGTCTTCTAAAGAAATTACTTATTTCAGTTTATTCTCCAAACAGAATTGGAGAAGTACGACAGTCGCCATTTCCGCTCAGGCTTGGAATCAGTTGACGGGTATGAATTGTATGATGTACTATATCGTGTACATCTTTGAAATGATTGGTTCCCTGGGGAACAGTAACCTAGTAAGCTCCAGTATCCAATACGTTGTCAATTTTGGGGTCACAATTATCTCTTTACCCTTACCTGAATACGTTGGTAGAAGACCTTTGATGATAATTGGAGGGTTTGCCATGATGATATGTTTATTCATCGAAGGTGCACTTTTTGCTGTTTACTCGGAAAAGATCCCAAATGTTTCAGCTGATGCCACAGTCGTTATCAGAATCCCAGACGACCATAAAGAAGTGGGTAAGGCTATTGCCGCCTTTAGTTACTTATTCGTTGCCTGCTTTGCTTCTACTTGGGCAGTTGTATCTTGGGCTTACTTTCCTGAAGTATTACCTAACAGAACGAGGACAAAAGCAGGATCCATTGCAGTTTCTTGTGATTGGGCACTTAACTTTGCAATTGCTATGTTTACTCCCTCAGCCTTTAGGAATATAACCTGGAGAACCTATTTTGTTTTTGGATCCTTTTGTGGAGCCATGAGTATTCACTGTTTCCTTCAATTTCCGGAGACCAAAGGTAAGACCCTCGAAGAAATAGATATGGCTTTCCAAGAAAACATTCCCGCTTGGCGAACTAGTAGTTTCCAAGCTCATTTAACATCAGAGAATCTTGGAGTTGAAGATACGGAAAAGGATCAGAAAACAGAGTATATCGAAGACAGAAGTGAGTAATTTGTTTGTAGTGAATTAACGTATGCGATTTTGTTAGAAGAAAAGTATGCTTAGGGTAGGGACACAGAGACATCCAGAAAGTACATTTTTAGGGTGTCTCCGCTCGAATTCCCTTTCGTATCATAAAATTCAGTGCTTTTGGAGCTCCTCCAGATTTTCCTAGATCGCATTTTGTGGAGAAACTAAATCCGCCAGATCGTATTTTGTGGAGTAACTGAATTCTTCCTTATGAGTGAACAGCCTCATTCCTGTGACTTCTGCCGATTTCGAAAACTAAAGTGTTCACGGGAAACTCCCGTTTGTTCTCTGTGTATTCGCCTAGGGAGAAAATGTGTTTATACTCCCCGAGCAAAGAGAGTTCCTTTAACAAAAACGTATGTTCAGCAGTTGAGAGACCGCATTCATCAATTGGAGTCTTTGGTATATAACAAAAATTCAGATACTTCAAGGTCCCTAATAGCTTGTAGAGCTTCGGAAGTGACTTCCAATGCCCGTGAGATTGTCAAATTAGACGAGCTATTACCTTTTGAAGATTTTCATGATGTTGACGATTTGGACTGGGCTGAAGGAGACCCTGCTTCAAACGAAGATACAAGTCCATTTGCTAATTCTACTGATGCTGGGACAGAATCAAATGAGAACAATCTAATTGATGGCATGGGGGCTCTTACGGTTGGTGATAACTTGTCCCATTCGTACTACGGGATAACATCAACTCACGGAATTTTAAAATTCTTAGAAAACTCTGGGACCAGTGAACTGTCTTCTAAAATACCCCACTTTGCATCATATTTGAATGAGAATAACAAGCTACTTCTCAAGAGCGAGAAAATCCATATTCTTCTAGACAACAAACAGCATCAAGATGAATTCTTCAATTCGTTTTTCAGTACATACCATAGATGTTTTCCTGTGGTGAATGAATCAATTATCAGAAGTCATTACATCAAAAGTACATCGGTAACTGTCACAGATAGCTTGAATTTCAAGGACACCGTCTTTCAAGTCTTGCTCAACACTATATTTGCTATTGGTTCTCTCATGAAATTGGGAGAGTCGACGATAATTGATTTACTCTATTACAAGAGAGTCAAACAGTGGTTACAAAAGAAAAATATATTAGAGTGTTGTAATTATCAATTGCTTGAATCATTTGTGTTATTAGGTAACTACGTTCAAAAACGGAATAAGCCTAACACGGCTTGGAATTATCACGGAATAGCACTCAGAATGGCTATAACTTTTGGATTGCACCGGGAAATCCACCCAAATTCGGTAGACTCACAATATAGAGCCACTGTTTTGGAGAAGCTTGAACGAAGAAGGAGGCTCTGGTGGTGTTTATATTATTTTGACATTGGTCATTGCGTGACATTTGGAAGACCTCTTCACACGGTATCCTTGGAGTCAATAGACGTTCTTCTTCCTTCCAACATTGAAGACTCAGATTTGGGTGGGGACTCAATGATTAGAATGGATAAGATTTCCAAGCCGTATCCCACCATCTATGACAGTTTGATACAAGAAGCAAAATTGTCAAGGGTTTCTTATGCAATTTACAGCGTAATCACCAAACTGGACACCAACTCCATACCCCAGATTGGACAAAAAATTGAGAGGTATCTAAAACTAAATGATTTGATTGTTGACTTTGCCAATTCTATGCCTGAATATTTCAAAGAATCTGATGAGATCGCAGTAAGGGCAATCAAAACTTTATGTCCAATTTCTTGGTACGAGATCACCTTAAATGGTGAAATCAAAGTCCCTAAATGGTTCCCCATAAGTAGACACAAGACCATATGGAGATACAGAAATATTCAGATTCTTATGTTCAGGAGTTTCATTTGGGAAAGTAATTTGGACGAGCTCACAGACTCTCAAAGAACAGATCTTGAAAGATGCTTGGATATATGTTATGAAGCTGCTACATACACCATCAGTTCGGTATCATCATTTGTTACCAACGAAGAACTTGATACACATTCTGCTTGGTATAGTACCTATTTCCTTTTTCAAGCCGTCTTGGTCCCTATTTTATTCTGTGTCAGGGAAATAAACACCCAAAGACATGATGTGAAGCAATTTCTTGATGTCATAGAATTGGCAAATTCAAGCTTGAAGAATCTACGAAAATACAATATGCTTGCTACAAGGCTAGTAGAGACTATCGATACCTTGGTAATACCCATTACTCACATTGGAGGTCATGGTCAAAATTCGACTTCCAACGATAGAGCACAGCCTCAGATGTACCACAGTGATCTTAGACACTTATCATCCACCGCAATCAATCTCTTCTCAAATATAGAGGTGGATTTCAAGAAAAATGAGAGCCAATTGCCTACGGACGAATATTTTGACAATTTTTTGACTAATGAAGCCAGCAACATGCAAGAGGACTTAGTGATACCTGATTTCTTGAATGACGAGTTGTTCCCTGAAGATTCCACTCGACATGGAGATATGTTTCCTTATGTAGGATAGTAATAGCTGCAAATACTACATGTAATGCCACCTTAGGCGACATTCAACTAAGCCAGGAAGATATAGAAAGCTCCGTACAGTGGAACGTCGTTCTAAACAGTGATGCCACAAACAGATTGTCAGACAGATTCAGCATTAAAGATCTGCCGAGAGAGATGCAAAAAAGTCAAAGACTAAGCCTCATTAACCTGGCACTCTTTGCATTATTATGCTAGTTTCCAGAGAGGTTACAAGAGTTCACTAAGTTGAATAATGAAAAGCTTGTCTTTACCCACCACAAAGACGAATTGTTCAAGGATCTACAATAGAACTGCTCTAGGCTTGAAGATCTACCCAATAACTCGCATCCACCCGGTCACGGCCGCCCGAGCCGCGTGCAGTTTCCAAAACCTCTTGCCGGAGAAAATTTCAACTTGTGCGATCTGCAGCGAGGGATGGAACGAAGGCAAATAGGCCCCAGGCTAACCGACAGCTACAATTAGCCTTGGGCCTAACCAGAACATATACACGCGTTTGCGTGTTTCGCAAGTAGTAGAACCACACCCATCTGCACAAATAAGGTTGTTTCAAGATACCACTGCAATTCAACAATGCCGTACTTCTCTAAGGCTTCGATGCGGGTAACGGTTCTACGCCTCAAACCTAATAGTTTAGGAAAGAACCGTTCCTAAAATGGAAAAGTAATTGCTTATCGGAGCGGCTTTTCAACAACCGGAGATTTTGATAAGGAGGAAACTCATCTATAAAAACCTCGAGAATTTTTCAGTCAATTTTCCCCCCAACAGATATCCCATGGTTTTTTTTCCCAAAGACCCTTTTGGTCCTTGCTACTGCTTTGTCAGCCACTGCTAAAAAAGTGTTCATTGACAACGATGAAGCTAATACCCCCACCATTTTGATACCCTTGTTTGCCGGATGGGAAATTCTCGGGGTGTCCGGAAGTTTTGGTAGTAGTTCTTATGTTGACTCAGTGGGAAGCCATGCTACCATCTTGGAAAACTACTCCTTGGACTCATGTGTTCCACTTTACGGTGGCGCCTCAAAGCCATTCCTTAGGACTAACGAAACCTTCCATGTGTGGGAACAATTGTACGGAACTCTTGTATGGGAAGGTGCCTGGTCTCCATATTACACTGACTCGTACACCTGGAAAGACTTCTCCTACAACGAGACTTTGCCTGGTGCAATTGCCATGATTGAGGCCGTTAAAGCTTATAAGGATTCAGACCCTGTGACTATTTTTGCAGCAGGAACTATGACCACCGTTGCCCAAGCCATCTCTATATACCCAAACTTGGTCAAAGAAGCTGCTGGTCTTTACATTATGGGAGGATACATCGATGTTCAGTACGCCCATGCTGCTGGAAGCAGTTTCCAAGATGATCTTGTCAGTGACATCAATATTATTCAAGATCCTGAAGCTGCTCAAATGGTTTTAACAGCTGACTGGAAGAAGATCATAATTGGTGGTAATGTCACCAACGCCGAAACTCCATCGCAAGACCTTTACGATGAGATGATCGAAAGGGCTGGAGGCTTAGAAGAAATTCAAGAAAGTCCTTATTTGGTGGGTGTTAACGAGACGGTTTTGAGTGGAAACTACACTTTGAACAGTGTAAGCACCGAAAACATTTTGCCATTCTGGGATTCTGTTGTTTCTGCCTTCATGGTTTCCCCTGAAATCATCACCCACAAGACCAGCGTTGCTCTCGCTGTTGATACGAGTTTCAACTCTCCATTCTACGGGACCGTCAGAATCTGGAGTCACGATAGAGCTCCAACTGCTTACAAGACTGGAAATGTCACCATCGTGGACTCAATTGACCAGGACAAGTTCTATGACATTTTGGTGGATGCATACTTTCAAAACTACACCAACTACTGTACGGGAGGCAACTTAACTGAATTGGACTATTAGGTAATATTTTTGTATAAAAGTATATATGATTTTTCGCAAAACTCCGAAAAATAAAAGATAAGAATCATATTTTACTGATGGTAATTAAGACATTTGACGTTAGTAATACCAAAACCATAGAGGCTGTGCCTCTCACACCTGAAGGATTTAGTCCATACGGGGGAGTGATCAGTGCCGATCATCAAATCCTCAATGTCGAGAGTAGTGCCGCTAACTATGGTACTGCCCAAAAAATTCATAAAGTTGCACCTGTAGTGAATAACTATGAAAAGTGTTCTAGCGGCAAGCCTGCCACCGCCAACTGGAACATCTTCCGGTGTAAGGCTCCCAAACACTTGATTTCATCCTCAGGGATTGGCAAAACTTATCTTTCAAAAGTGTTGGAAAGACATCCATTCACCACTCAGACATTCATTCCAATGGGCCAAGACTTGCACAAAAAGTCTTTTCTTGTGATTGTGGCCAAAACTGATGAAACTAGTCCCGATATGCTTCCAGATCCTTCACAATTGAGGGCTTTTGTGTGCAAGGGGAACCAGTCAATTACATATGGAGCTGGAACTTGGCATGCTCCAATGGTAGTCATCGATGAGGAGGTTGCACATATTGATTTTGCAGTGTTTATACATGAAAATGGAGTCGCAGACGAAGATACTCAAGAGTGTTATTTCGAGCCTGGATATAGTGTCAACTATTCGGTGGCCAGAGACAAAAAATTGTAGAATAGCATTATTTATTAGATATAGTCAATCAAGTCATCAATGACCTTTTGTACGTAAAGTTCCTTTTCCTCATGGCTCATGGTGCTTGCCTCAGCTTTTGCAAGCTTAAGCTTTTCTAGCACGCCTGTGAGTTCCACCTCTTCAAGGTTTTCGTAGTTGTCGGTCTCGTTATCTTCGTTATTATCATTACCTAGTAAACTCTCCATCAAACTCCCATTCACTTTACGCATTTTGTTCTCCGTATACTTCTCTGAACTGCTGGTATCTACACTCCTCCACTTATGAGTCTCAAGAACCTCCATAATCCGGTCTTTGCCAATTCTATCTTTATATTCGTTGGTTCCAGCCTCATTGAAATATACAAACTCTAGCCCATTGTTTATGCACGAGTCTTCCACTTCCAAGTAGTCTATTATTTCTTCAGAAACTCCAACTATCAAACAGAAGAAATCGTCTTCGGACTCGTCAGTCAATAGTTCTTTCAACATGCTGATAACTTCGAGCAGCTTGGTCACTAGTTGTAATGGTTCTGTATCCAAATTTATGGTGAAAATGAACCCATCGAGAACATCCCGAAGTTCCTTACATTCCTCTTTCTTGAACTCGTCGTACCATTCAAGTAATTGCTTGTGGTCGTGCGCTTTTTTGTTTGAGTCTGTTCTGATGGATGGGTACTCGTCAATGAGAATATTGACATGGGAAGAGTAATACTTGGTTTTCAACTCTCCTTTGACAATTAAGCCACTGTGCGATTCATTAGGCACATCACAAGAGCCCCCCCCCAGCATTAGGTCGGCGACTCTTAGCTTTCCCGAATTTGGAGGTCCAAGAACCAATATGTGGTTGGGAATCATAGCGGAAAGAAAATAGTCGCACTGTTCTGCTCCTGTTTATTTCCCAAATCAACTTGAGCTGTTTTGGAATTACATGCCATGGCCCCATCAATTGCTAATGGTAACGGAGTCATCACCAGCTCAAATGGTGATCGTTATAGTAACGTAAATGGTCGATTGGGCACGGAAAAATCACCTTTGGAGAACCTTCTTATCAGAGATGAAGATATATTTCAGACCTCGTTGAACTCGGATGATTACCTTGAAAGTATTGCTCCCATAGTCAAGGATGCGTTGAAGTCCAACGGATTGTCGGACCTCATTGTCAAGCTCAACGATATTGTGAAGAGCAAGGATGAGGCGTTGGCGGAGTTGTCGTTGAGTTCTGCTCAAGATATGAACTCGTGTATTGACTCTATCGACAGAATTCACGATGATTCCACCGAATTGAACAGAAGTTTGCAGCAGGTAAGTCTGTTTCTCAACAAGTCTGTCTATGAGTTAGTGTCGAGAAAGAAGTCTTTGTTGAAGAGCAAGGAATTGACATCTAAAATCAATGAAACAACGGTGGTGTTGAATCTCTGCGTCCAAGTATTGGAAATCACCAACAGAATCCATGAGTTGATCAAACAAAACAAATATTTCAGTGCCTTGAAGTTGTTAGATGAGTTAGCCAATATCCATTTACCTAAAGTCGAGAATTTCAGCTTTGCTAAAAAGATATATGACTCGCTTCCTTTGATGAGGAGAACCATCAAAGATGAATCTTTTGATAATTTGTGCAAGTGGTTGACTGTCAACGTCGAGAAGAAGCTATATGATATTGGATTAGGATTATTTGTGAATATGGCAGACATACATGAAAGATGGCAGCAGATAGTTAAGAAGAATGGTTCAACATTCTTCTCACACCGAGTAAATTCTCCCGTTGAAATATCCATGAGAGACCCGTCACTAAATTACAACATCTTGAGTGATCCCGAACTAAAAATCAATCTTTCCACCGTTTATTATGCTATTTTGGCCTTTCAAACCCTTAATGAAGATGATACTTTATCCAAGCTCTACAATAGAGAATGGTTGAAGAAGTACAATAGAGTCATATATCCCATAACTTCGTCCGTCAGGACGCTGATGGTTGCAAGTGCCAAATTTAATGACCAGGTCGCTGAATTTCAAGATTTGGCAAGTTTAGATGAGTACTTGAAGAAGATAAGTGGCTTTTTTGTTATCGACAAGCAAATAAATTTGTCTACGAAGTTCGAAATTAGGACTTCCAAGCAATCGGATGACCTTTGGGAATCATATGTTACCAAATTAAAGCCTGTATTATTGCATTTTCTCAAAACCCATCCTTTCAATATTGACGAATTGGAACAGTTTAAGGACCTCATAGGAAATTTCATGCAAATCATGGAAAACAGTGAGTACAAAATTATAGAGTTGTACGATGTGTTGATTATTCTCGTCAAAGATTACCTTGCTGATGAATTAATACAGCAGTTCAGATACGATTTCCTTACTTCTATTCAGTCAGATCATTATATGCCTTTGGTAGTCCAAGAGAAAAAGGACTATGAAAGTGTCACGCAAATATGTTGGTACAAAGAGGATGCTCCATTTGCTCCCAGGCATGTCAAGAAATTACCAATCAGCTTTCCATTTAGTGAAGATTATGTCCACTTCTGTTTGGGTATACGGTCCTTAATGGAAGACATCATTCAGTTTGTCAAAGATTTCTATGGATACGAACTCAACGAATTGAACAATATTATAGTCGAGCAAATATTCGAACGTGTATTGGGAGATGAGAAAGGTGTTGGTATAGTATACGACTTGAGAGATTTCATTACCAAAAACTCAAGTAACAAAGAGATATTATCGCAGAGTTATACCAATTTTGAGTATTACTTGTTCAGCCTTTATGAATTGGGCAAGTTGATCAACAGACGGTTGAAGCTCTATAATGGAATTGGTTTGAACAATGTAGATATCAATGGGACTTTGAGCTTGAGATCAAAGGACTTATTTACCCAGTTGAGAAAGTACGCTGAAGAATCCATTTTCAAAATGGTTGATGATAAAGTTAATGAGTTATTGGATATGGTGGAATATGATGACTGGTACCCCAGAATTGCAAACAGAGAGCCTCATTTCTCCATCAAGGATTTTGCACTCTTCTTGGAGAACTTGTTCACCTCAATCTTCACCAATCTTCCTCTGACATTTAGAACCCTCGGGTTATTCAGAAGTTATGATTTCATTGCCCAACACTTTTTGAATATCTTAAAGGAAGCTGAGGGCTATAACCATATAGCCATCGACAACTTTGACTTAGATGTTCGTCATTTGGAGTCGTCTATCCAAGCTTTATCACAACACGATGATTCGGACCCCAATGAAGGAGAAGGATTGGTTTCTTTGCAATCCACATTTACTGAGTTACGTCAATCCATCGATTTATTGAAGTTGGATAACTACGAAGACTTCAAGAAGAATCCTTCCTTCAGAACCAGAAAGTTTGACCGGGTCAAATACGAAGACGGGGTCAAGTTAATCAATAAAATGCTAGTGACAGAAGAAGACAATATTTCAACTTTATCAGCCAATGAAGAAAGTTTCAACTCTTCTGCCCAGAGCCTTGACCAACAATCAACATTGTCCAACTCTACCACTGCCAAGTTCGCCAAGTTCAGTAATAGGTTCAGAAATAACGTGTAATGTGCTATGTCCAAATATAAGTATATAAATATCACCTTGACTTCCACAAGAAGCTATACCAGCTCTTCTCATTGCGTATCTTAGTTTCATCAATTATAGACTGGATCTTTTCCTCCAAAACCTTTTCTTCTCGCAGAAGAATCTTCTCTTCTTCATCGTACTGGTCGATCAAAGCAATGATATGAAGCACCATATACGTGGAAGATGCTATAAGAAATGTGTGAAGTAATGGGTTCTTGAATTGGCTCAAATTAGGCTTTTCATGGACAATCTCGTTTGCAGCTTGGGGAAATTTAATGCTTGAATAATTCCTTACACCAACACTTCTCGATATCGCCTGACGGTTTAGTAAGGGTATTACCGGTTTGGTCCACATCATTAAGGTGTTTCGACGTAAGGGTTGATCAAGTCACAAACTTTAGTTCCTGTACGAATATTCGCGCGAAAATCGTGAGCGAAGGTGGCGATTTAAACTCATTCCCACTTGTACAACTACAACTCACTCAGATGTTTAGAAACAATTACGACAACGACTCGGTCACCTACTCGCCAACAGGACGGTTGTTCCAAGTGGAATATGCGTTGGAGGCCATCAAGCAGGGAAGTGCCGCTGTGGGAGTAGCTTCCAAAACCCATGTTGTGTTGGTGGGATTGAAGAGAAACGCGGAAGAATTGGGATCTTACCAAAAGAAGTTGATCAAAATCGACAACCATATGGGTGTGGCGTTGGCTGGATTGGCCCCAGATGCCAGGGTGTTGACCAATTTCTTGAGGAAACAAGCAATGAATTCCAAGTTAGTTTTCAACAGACCTTTACTGACATCTTCTGCGGTTTTGTCCATTGCTGATAAAGCTCAAGAGAACACCCAATCGTATGGATCCAGACCTTATGGTGTTGGATTATTGGTTTCTGGATACGATGAAACTGGTTCCCATTTATACGAATTCCAACCTTCTGGATCGGTATTGGAATATTATGGCGCTTCTATCGGTGCAAGATCTCAAGCCGCTAGAACTTATTTGGAGAAAAACTTGGAAAAGATTCGTGAGTCGGCATCAATGGAAGAGTTGATAGTGCACGGTTTGAATGCCTTGAGAGACACCTTATCCCAAGACGTGGAGTTAACTTTCAAGAATACTTCTGTCAGTGTGGTTGGAAAAGACACAAACTTCACTGTGTACGAAGACGAAGACGTTCAACAGTGGCTAGACAAGTTAGATTCCGTGACCAATTCCTCCAACAGAAATGATGAAGATGAAGAAGAGGATGCAGGTGCTGCTGCCGAAGCTGAAGGTAATGATGCTGGAAATCAAGATACTACCGAAGATAGAATGGAAACCGACGAATAAACCGGCTCAAAAACATGTCTTTAGAATTATCTTGTATAGTAGTGACCACACAACATATCATAATTTAATGAATAAAAATCAGTTCACACAAAGTCAATCTGGTATTCGAGTTATATACATATATACAAGTTCACGAAGAAAGCCTATTCCTTCTTAGTTTTCTTTTGAAGTTGTTGCTGCTTAATTGCAACCTTTTGGATTGCTGCCAAGCAAACCTTTTGCAATTCGTTAACATCGTTTCTGATTTCTTGGGGATCGTGGATGATATTCCGTTCTCTAATATCGTCGATTTTGACTCTCAAGTCTTTCACCATCTGAACTATAACCAGTTTCTCCTCTTGCTCCATGAAATCATCAAATTGGATCAATGCATTGTCGGTATCAGAGCAGATAACCTCGGCTCTTGTAGCGTTTTCGATATGTTGTTTCAATTCCATATCTCTTTTAGCATTTTTTGCACTTTCTTCCAACAATCTTTGAACTTCTTGTTCGGTCAATTCATTTTCCCCTGCAACAGTTATAGAAACAGTATTACTTTTACCGTAGTGTGGCAGGTCTTCAGAATACTTTGTATTGTCAGATGCACTAACATTTATAATACCGTCAGCATCTATTTCGAAAGTAACACCAATCTGAGGAACACCTTTTGGGCTTACTGGAATATTAGACAATTTGAAGTGTCCGATCAACTTGTTGTCTTTAACCAATGTTCTTTCACCCTGATACACTTTGATTTCCACCCCAGTTTGACCATCTACAGCGGTGGAAAACACTTGCTCCTTCTTGATGGGAATAGCAGCATTCCTAGGAATCAAAGGACTAAAAATTCCTCCGTATGTCTCAATGCCCAATGATAAGGGAGTTACATCCAAAAGGACAACATTTTTGATTTGGCCTGATAATATGGCCCCTTGAATAGCAGCACCTAAGGCCACAGCTTCATCCGGATTCACTGAAGTGTTCGGTTTCTTTCCAAACAACTCCTCAACAGTCTTTCGTACCTTAGGCATTCTAGTCATACCACCCACCAAGATCACTTCATCCACATCCTTGATCTTCAAGTCAGCATCTCTGATACACCTTTTCACAGGGTCTATTGTTTTGTTGATTAAGTGCAAAGACATTGCATCAAGCTCATCTTCAGTCAATTTGAGTTTAATATGCTTATCGTCTTTGATGAAAGGAATATTAATCTCGGTTTCCTTAACATGACTCAACTCAATCTTACACTTTTCAGCAGCTTCCCTGATTCTTTGTACGGCCAACTTATCGGTCAGTAAGTCAATACCATTTTGCGTCTTGAAATGATCAATGATGAAATTCAACAACAACATATCAAAGTCTTCTCCTCCCAAATGGGTATTACCGTTTGTAGCTCTCACCTCAAAAACCCCATCTTCGATGTCTAAGATCGATATATCGAACGTTCCTCCTCCCAAATCAAACACGGCCACCACTCCGTCCTTTTGTCTTTTATCAATACCATACGCTAGGGCCGCAGCCGTTGGTTCATTGACAACCCTTAATACTTCGAGCCCAGCAAGTTTTCCAGCAGCTTTTGTGGCTTGTCTCTGAGCATCATTGAAGTAGGCTGGAACCGTTACCACCGCATGGTTTACAGGTTCAGATAAATGGATATCAGCAACTTGTTTCATGTTCTGTAAGATGTAACTGCTGATGTGGGATGGTGACAACTTTAGCCCGTTAACTGTTGACAACCAGGCTTCACCATTTTCGCTAGGAATGATGGTGTACGAAGTATTGGTCAAGTCCTCTTGAACTTCTTCATCTTCAAATTGTCTTCCAATTAATCTCTTGGTAGCGAAGAATGTGTTTTGCGAATTGATAACTGCTTGTCTCTTCGCCGGCAAGCCCACCAACGTCTTGGTGTTGGCCGGATCTCTTTCATCGAATGCCACGATCGATGGCGTTGTTCTACCTCCTTCTTCGTTTTCAAGAATCTTTGCATCTTGTCCCTGGACAATTGCAACTGCAGAGTTGGTGGTTCCCAAATCTATTCCTATAACCCTTTGATGAGTGGATTGGAACCTGCTGAACAAAGCCATAGAGAGCCTTTCTGGTTGGCGAGCACGAGCCAATTGCTTAAGGGATAACATATCGAAGAGAATTCGAATATCAGTCACTAACTTGCTGCTCGAAAGATGTGCTGCTTCCGAGAAGTGAATGAGTGCGAAAAAGATGAGATGCAAAAAATGATACTTATGCTGTATATTCGTTAAAACATGAGAAGTAGAGGATGGGACTCCGATAACACTAGGCAATTGCCGAAAAGCGAGGCAATAACATCTTCACCGCAAGACTTGAGAATGAAGTTAAGGAGTTTATCCAAGTCTTTTGTATTATGATCCACAACCGAAATCGAATTGAGGTTGTAGCATTCAGTGGTTTTCTTAGTGGTGTAGACCCTATAATAATGGGTATTCTCGTTGGTTGTCATCACCTCGCCCAAAACAATTCCGTAGGTTTCAAACTTCTCATGCTTGATAATAGTCCCGGATTGTAACGGTTTTGTTGGATCTCTTACCTTGACAAAGAAGTAGTTCTTCAAAATCTTCTTAATGGAGATCTTAGAGTTGTCTTCAAATAAAGCAAAGTTTTCAGAAAAAAGCCAATCTTCAGATGGATGATCTAAGAAGTGAGCCTTGACTTTATTTTGCTTCAGAGGGTTGTTTTGCAACGTGTGGAAGATAGCGTTAAAATAGATGTGGTTGTTCAAATAGTTCATGCTCCGTTCAAGTTCCCTACAGAACATCGAATCGAGAAAATCATTTTCTGAGTCAATATCTTGGATGTAGCGGCACAAGAGCTTGAGAAACGAATATGCTTGGGCTGAGATAGTGTTAAACTCGTGATGGACAAATGAATTTAAATTCACAATAGGGTTGGTGAAGTAGTAATCAGGGCGCATGATTGTATCAAGAGACTTTGCTTCCATAAATGTGTCTAAATGAAGGAAACACTCCACCACATATTTGAACTCCAATGGCTCAATGAACTTGGAGATCTCGAAATAGCTTCTGTTCCTCAAGTTCATCACCACTTCACTGATGGTATAGACGTCGAAACTTGTGAAGAGAGTTAAGGTCTTTCTATCGAACGAAAACAAGTGGTTTCTGACCCGAAGATAAGTTGAAGTCATGTTGATTTGGAGATTCTCAATGTTCTCAGAGTCTTCGAACCTAATTCTGTAGTTCGAAATCAAAAACTCGTCAATGACTTTGATAAGAATCGCCATTATCAAGAACGGGTGACCCTTGACTTGTCCTCCATAAAGCCGAAGAAGACTAAAATCCTCTAGGAAATACGATGAACAATACTTGCCAAACACCACCTCATCGTCAATTGAAACCAATGGGTTCTGAAACTCTAAACACGACATCGACAACCGGAATATATGAACAATCAACTGCATCAAAGCCTGCTCATCCTTAAAAACAAGTATGTCCTTATCGTTCTCCACCAGAATTAGCAGCACATTCAGATGTATGCTTTCATTAAAGAAGATTTTGATTCGTATGTCACGGTGAAGCAACTTGAATATTCTCTTGAGGACCTGCTGTCTGGTATACACCAAGCTATGAGACGCCCGGTCAAGGAGACTGATATTGAACCAGAATTCTTCAAGGGCCAGGGCCGACGTTGTATCAATCTCTCCGTTAAACATCTTGCTCAAGTAGTCTATACCAACTTTAAAAGACTGTGCTTGTAATAAATTGAGGCAATCAGCTCTTTCCAGCAAGTGAATCCGATAATTCTTCTTTCTAATCATCTCTGTATAGTCTTGAGGAAGTTGGTGGTAATGGTTATATATTATTGGCAAGTAGTCATCATCAATAGAAAACCTATCCAAAAACATGCCTATATCTGCATTTGTGTCTGGGATACTGTTGTGATATTCAAGGTCCTTTTTGTAGAACCACATACAAGTCTGAAAGTAGTTCTGTGAGGTCGAACCGTCATTTCTAGCACGCACCAACTGTTTGGCGGACTTTATATCGAATTGAAGTTGGAGTTTAAGGTATTTGTTATACATGATTCTATACCAGATAGAATTGTGCTTGAGAAGCACGTTAAGCTGTTTGTTCACTCTTAGGAGATTTAGCACATCGGGAATGTCCAAACGGCCTCTCTCAATGATCAAACCCCACACATCTAGTGGAAACTCCAAGATCATCCTTGCGGTGAAGATAAAGAATCTCACAGTGCGACAAGTGAGATTGGATTTGTGGGGCAGAGTTGAAGGTGAACATAAAAATATGTTATATGGTCTTTAGTTGGCTACATGTATTTGTGGATGATTATACAATCACAAATATTCGGAAATACTTGTGCCTTTCGCTTCCTAAACGATGTTATAGGATATCCATCCCATCCATCTGTCCATGTGCACGACCCATCATAAATATGAAGATGCGAGTGAAAAGTGTCCATTGCAGGTATGGGTAAGAGAAAAGCAGATAACGGAGGGAAAAGAAATCACAAGAAGTTCAAGGCCTCTGCCATTATAGAACCCAACACCACAGGAATATATGCCACTTGTACGAGGGGCAAAGAGAAAGGTTGTGTGAAGGAACTTATGAATTTGTTCACCGAAAAGGCTGAAGAGTATTATGACCTATCAGCTGTAGAAGATGACGAGGAAACTGATGGAGAAGAACCAAAGGAACTTTCGATAGAGGATCAGATCAAGAAGGAAGTGGAGGACTTAAAGGACACCAAGTCGAAAAAATCGTTGTTTTCTGCGTTGAACTTAGAATGCGAGTGTTTGGTGTTCATCAAGACCAAAAAACCCATTGAACCCGAGTTGTTTTGTAAAAAAGTATGTCAGGACAGTTTCCGCAGCAAGATTAAGACCACCAGATTTACCCAGAAGTTAACTCCAGTTACTTTTACGGTGTCAGCAAGTATTGAAGAACTTAAGAAACTTTGTACTAGAGTGCTTGCACCTCACTTTCATCAAGAAAATGACCAAGTTCCTGTAAAGTTTGCCATCAACGTGACGAGAAGAAACTTCAATGCCATCGAAAAAGATGTAATTATCAAGACAGTTGCAGAAATGGTGGGAAGAGATCATGGGCATTCGGTGGACTTGAAAAACTACCATAAATTAATATTGATTGAATGCTATAAAACAAGCATAGGTATGAGTGTTGTTGACGACTATGAGAAACTCTGTAAATACAACTTGCAACAGATATATGAAAAGTCTACCTGATTCAACTTAATAAACGAATAGTCTCGGCAAACGTCGTAGGCTTCTTAAACGATAACCAGTCAGCATCACTTTTAGGAATAAGGCCCATCAGGTTCAACTTCCATATACCTATCGACATACACGCCAACTGACATACCACAAACACGAGTTTTGCTTGTAGAATGACAGCCGAATTTTTCTCTGTTTCTAGGTGCTTGAACATCTTGTTGGTATCGTTGAAAATAGCTTTCAATGGATTTAGAAACAACATCAACGTCATCATGATTGGGATCATCTGCAACGAGTTTCCGGTCATATAACTCATTACCAAGTTCATGGGAATGGATTTGGCTGGGCCTACTGCCATTTCCCACGCTTTTCTGTTCTTCAATTCATCAAGATTGGGAGGTTGTTTGACCTCCACAGTATTCTTCTTGACTGAAACCTTCTCAGAGAACCCTGGGGGTAACTTTATCAGCTCCTTTGATTTCGAAGGTTGCAACACCACCGGCTTGAGGAGCTCTGGGTAGTCGTCGGCTAACATTCAGTTTGTGATTTAGTGGCTTTGATACCGTTCACCACCAAAAAAATGCGACTCGAACCCAATTCGCACCAGGAGTATCATTCAACGTAGCTCAACATCACATCCATTTCCTAATCTACAATTGGCTGCAAATTCTAACCCTTACCTACTTGTCCGTCTAACCACAAAAACATACGACTGTTCTCCAGACAATGAACTCCACTGAAAGCTTCCGTGGAAACCCACTCAACAAGATCATTGGCTTATCAATAGTATTATCTATGGGGTTTTTACTTGTGGTTCTAGCGGGAATATATGGCAATTGGTATCCCATAATCAACGGGATAATATGTGCTATTGCACACTTGCCGGTGGCCATCACAAAGGCGTTGACCAGTTCCAACGACTATGACTTTAATTTCGATCCCGTCACTTCATCACAGGGTAACTTTCTTAAGGAAGCTGGCCAGTTTGTTTCGGCATTTTTGGTGGTTTCAGGGGTGTTTTTGCCGGTGTTGTTACACCACTCCATGATATTAACCAAAACTGCCATGGTGTTGACGATTGTTGGAGGTGGTCTTATCTACGGAACCGTCTACACGTTCAGTACGTACTTTGATGAGCCTGAAGAGGACCAATTGGGTGAGGATGTCATCTGAGGATGTTCCTCTTCTAGGCATCATCGGGAAATAATTACATATTAGTATATAGGTTCTATACATGTATGCTCACTCGCAGCCTGCCTCACGTTTTTTTCGCGTTGTGCAAAAGTTGATAAAACTTGCAAGCCGAGATACCACTGCTCATTACTATGACTCTCAACAGCGCATCAGAAATTGCTCAGGCCGAACGAGAAGTCGTCCAGGAACAACAGTTGAAGGAGAAGATTGTCAACGAGGAATTCAAGATTTGGAAAAAGACCGTCCCGTTATTGTACGATACCATTCACACTCATGCGTTGGATTTCCCGTCATTATCAGTTAAATGGCTTCCAAAGTACGAATGGTCTGATGACAAGAGTAAAATTATCGTCAAGTTCTTATACGGTTCCAACTCGTCTCAACACTCGCAGGATTACTTAAAGTTGGGTTCAGTGGAGTTGCCCAGCACTTTATCGGAGGATTTCTCCAAACAGAATCCAACGTCCTCAAAGTTGGCCATTCCATCCAGAGGTGTAAGCACCACCAACTTTAAGGTCGAGTCAACATGGAAACACAATGGGGAAGTCAACAAGTTGGAGGTTTCTCCCAACTCGGAGAACGTTATCACCTTTGATAGCGAAGGAATTGTTCATTTGTACAACTTGGTCAATGGGTCAAAGGACTCCATTGACTTCAAATATCACAAATTGGAGGGCTATGCGTTACAATGGCTCAATGATATTGAGTTTTTGTCGGGATCCAACGACTCCCAGATTGCCTTGTGGGATGTTTCCAAACCTTCTACTCCCATGCAATCATATAAAAGCCATAATGCTGTTATCAACGACTTGACTTTGAACTCGTCCCATAAGTCTATCTTTGGATCGTGCTCTGATGATTACACGGTACAGATCCATGATTTGAGATCTCCGGCCGCAGATAGTGTTGCCATCAACTTGGAAACTAAACACATTCAAAATGCCATGAAATTTCATCAGGATATCCCAACTTTATTGGCTACTGGTGGAAGAGATAATGTGATCAACTTGTACGACCTAAGAAACCCAACTACGCCGTTTCGTAAGTTATTCGGCCATGACGACAGTATTGCTGGCTTGAAATGGGATTCTGTTTGTAATCCTAATAAGCTTACTTCCTGGTCTTTAGACAAGCGAGTATTAATCTGGGACTTGGACAGCTTGGATGAAGAGTTCATCTACCCAACCGACGTTCCTGAAAATGGAAAGAAGAACAAGAACTCTAGAACCACAGATCCTTGTCTCAAGTTCATCAGCGGAGGGCACACCAACAGAATAAACGAAGTCGACATTCATCCTACTTTAGATGGGCTCCACATTACCTGTGGTGATGATAGCTTGTTGGAGATCTGGAAACCAAAGACCATAATACCCGAGGAAGAAGAGGAAGAGGAAGAGGAAGAGGAAGAGGAAGAGGAAGAAGAGGTAGAAGAAGAAGAGGAAGAAGAAGATGAAAAGAAAAACGATATGGAGGTTGATCAGGAGAAGTGATTTTTTTAGTTTTTGTACCTTTGTAATATATTCCGCTAATAACCACTCCGCAACAAGTCTACGTCAATAGGCTTGTCGTTGTATACATGCCATCGGAGATAAATCCTCACCTTCTGGTCGTAAAAGGTTTGAATATGTGAGTTTTGGTCTTTAAACACTAACAACGACTCAGGTTCGAGCTGTATCCTAGTATCTGTAAGTGCAAGGAGAACAGACTCTACAGTATTAGACTGGATGTTCAACACCTGGGCAGAATACATGAATTTTCCAACCTTTATGGCCAGTTTTAGAAGATGTGTAGGACTCAACGAATAGGTGTCAGGCCTGAACTCGGGCCTCACATATCTTGTACTTGTCAATCTTGCCACCATACCGCCTGTGGATGTGACTTCCGCCGATGAGTTTGTAACCTCTAAGTTGCCCTCTATATACAGTTGTTTGAGATGGTTATTCTTGTCGTGGAGCACATAGTTGAACTTGTTAATTTTGAACCAGTGGATAAAAGACAACACAGACCGAAATACAGTAGCCTTTGCAGCTTGCTGACGAGTCAAGAAGTCACAGCTCAACAGGTTAAACTCTTCTAGCACAGCTTGAAAACGGCTATTCACACCGGTGAATTTCCTGGTTCTAACACCAGCTCTAGACGTCAACCTCGTCATCTCAACCACCTTGCTGATGGGCATAGAGGAAGATGTTCTCTCTTTTGTATCTTTGTTGAGTCTTTTAAGCTCTGATCTTATCTGAGGCACTCCCGGTTTATGTTGTGTATTTGAGGAGCAAATATTGGTTTTATCTACCAATGGTCGCCGCAGAAACTGTGTACGTAGGTCTCTTTGCTGCTTTAGATGCCTTCGCCTGGCCTCAGCGGCCAACCTGTGCCTTTCAAATGAATCCATCAATTGTTATTATTTTGAAGTGGTGGAATTTCGCGTTAGCGGTTTCGCATTTGTGGAGCTGCAAAATCAGCTCCGCTCATAAACTGAGATAGAATAATCTCTCAACACAAGCGTTTGTTGTTCTTGAAACTGCTTCAAGTCGCCTTCAAGAGCACCAATCTTCACAATGAACTCATCATTGATCAAATTCATGCTCCCATTGTGCCTGGGGCACTTTCTCTTTTCTTGGATACAAGTGTCTTTAAAGGTGGTTTCGCCTGCTTTATAACTATCTGCAATGTCATTGATACTGGCCTGGAAATCCTCCACCCAAGGCTGTGAGATTTTTCGAAGGTTTCTGTTGTACAAGCATAACTCGACCTTCTTTTTGGTGCTGAATTTGGTGACTTTTTCATTCAACGTTTTCATCAACTCCTTATACCTCGTCAACAATTCAATCTTCTTCTTGTACTCTTCGATCTCCTTTTTAGTGATGGACAACTGTTTCTCAGACTTGGCCAACTCGATCCTCAAGTCTTCAGGAAATTTGTCGAGATTCTGTTCAAACTGCTTCACCTGATCCAACTCTGGGAATTCAAGTCCCAACTCCTTAAACTGGTCGAGTCCAAACTGGTCTACGATCAACTTGATCTTGTCGGCCGCAACATTCTCCTTAAGCTGCTTCATGTATTCAATTCCACATTCTTTACTACAGTACTTGGAGTTGGTATCAACCAGTTTCCAGCACGTATCCACCCTACACTTTCTTTTCCACTTGGTATTTCCCTTGCCTTTCCACTGACAAAACTTGCAGAAGAAGGTGGCAATCAACTCTTTATACAAGGTGTTGATACCCACACACTTGAAATGAAACCACTCGTCACATCCATCACACCCTACCATAAGCTGGCCTTCCACATCAGGCTTTCGACAAATGCAGTAGAGCTCATCGCTGTTGAAGTCAAATTTGGGGGCACTTTTGAACTTCTTGTATTGCTTTGTAAGCTCCTCCGAGCTTTCTATTTCCACCGGATGGTGGTTTATTGAAGAATATGTTATGGGACCGTGTGCCAGCATATTTTGAGAAGGTATAACTAAAAAATCCTTAAAACGCGAGTCAATGCGACAACTTCTAAGCAAGAAAACTCAACCTGACATATACTTATTTCCAAAATTTCCAGCAGCCCTAATTGAATATGTCAGCTAAAGTTGTTTTAATATCGTCGGACGACGAAAAGTTTCCTGTTGAATTGAAGGTGGCTGAGAAATCCATTTTGATCAAGAACATGGTGTTGGATTTAAATCCCGACGGTCTCGAAGAAGATTTTGAAATCCCAACCCCTAATGTGAGAGCCACTGTATTGGAAAAAGTCATCGAGTGGTGTGAGCACCACAAGAACACAGTTTTCCCTGATGAAGACGATGAAGATGCTAAGAAATCGGCTCCAATTGACGAATGGGATAAGAACTTCTTGAAGGTGGACCAGGAAATGTTGTATGAAATCATTTCTGCCGCCAACTACTTGAACATAAGACCCTTGTTGGATGCCGGGTGTAAGACCGTTGCCGAGATGATCAGAAACAAGTCTCCTGAAGAGTTGAGAAAGATCTTCAACATTGTCAACGACTTTACTCCTGAAGAGGAGGCTGCTATCAGAAGAGAAAACGAGTGGGCTGAAGATCGTTAGTATTTAGGCCACTTGTGCCCTAGAGCTATGTTTGTATGTTAAGTGACTGCAGTTTTCACTTGAATTTATAATGGTTTTACGGTATTGTAGTATGCTTGTAATAAGGTGTCATGCGCCACACGACCCGATATTTGTGTTTTGGCGAGGTGAGGAAAAACGATGATTCGTTTACAGTGGGATGACAAGATGAGTGATTGGAAAAATATCATTGGCAACGGGTCTTCATCGAACACATCCAATGGGACCTCCAACAATAATGGAACCTCGTCAAACGGGTCGGCTTTTGACATGGACTCCTCCACTGTTGTGGCAGATTATTCTGATGGAGCAAACAACAATACCGAATCACTGTCAGTAGGAACTGCAAATTACCTTGCTAATGAAGGCCGCTTTTCCGACCTGATGACATTTAATGAGTACGATGTCCATGGGCTGACGCCGGAGTTGCGCAAATACGGTTTAAATGCCTCGATGAAGCAGCTTCACTATAACGAAAATAAGCTAGCATTGGACAACTTAATCAATAAGTCCATCGACTTGATCTACGAGTTGGCCAATGAGAACAAGGCTAGACCCATTTTCTACCCGATGTCAAATACAGTAGTCAGAGCCGACAAGTCGTTGAAAGCGTTTGAAAAAGAGAAACCAAAGGTGTCTGATGCTGACGATGGAGTGGACTTCAAGATATTGAAGTTGAACTTACAAATGAGTCCTCACGACTTGACCAATGGCTTGAACAACTTGGACAAGTCGTCCATATCGATTCTCTTGGAGCAAAAGTTGAATCAGCAGGTGAAGTTTTTGTTGAGCTTAAAGGATAGAATCGATGATACTTCCTCTAAAGTGTTTGTCACCGGTGACTTAAATGCTGGAAAGTCAACGTTTTGTAATGCATTGTTGAGGAGAAAGGTGTTGCCGGAAGACCAACAGCCATGTACTTCTGTGTTTTGTGAAATCATCGATGCTTCCAAAGACAATAATTCGGTGGAAGAAGTGCATGCGGTTCCTCACCTTTCAACTTACAATATCAAGGATGAAACTACCTACCAAATCTTCACCTTGGATGACTTGGAACACTTGGTGTATGAACAGGAGAAGTTCTCTTTCTTGAAAGTTTATCTTAATGATGTGAGACCAAAGGAACAGAGTTTGTTACGCAACGGAGTCATTGATATCCGGTTGATCGATGCTCCAGGCTTGAATATGGATCTGTATCAAACCACCCAGGTATTTAGCAGACAAGAAGAAATTGATCTTATTGTTTTTGTGGTTAACTCAGAAAATCACTTTACCTTGAGTGGTAAAGAATTCATCAGTTCGGCTGCTGGTGAGAAGCAATACTTGTTCATCGTTGCAAATAAGTTTGATAATATCAGAGACAAAGAAAGGTGTAAGCAAAAGATCTTGGAACAGGTCAAGAATCTTAGTCCTGACTCTTACAAAGATGCTCAAAGTTTTGTTCATTTTGTTAGTGCATCTGATGCTTTTAATGCCCCAGAAGGTGGTGGAGATGGAGATGGAGATGGGCCTGACAATGACGACGGATTTTCTAATCCAGATTTCGATCAGCTTGAAGCATCTTTAAGGAACTTTGTCCTTGAAAAGAGAGCAATTTCCAAGTTATTGCCAGCAAAGAACTTTCTCATTAACATACTCAAAGATATTAGAATCTTGTCAGAGGTTAACCAAGCCCAGTACATAAAAGAAAAGGAACAAAAGTTGCACGATTTGAAAGACATTATTGAGCCCAAATATGATGGTATTTTGAATCAAAGTATCGTTATCAATGATACCATATTAAAATTGATGGAGAAATCGAGTTCTTCCATCTACCAGTTCACTAAAGATGAGTTAAATGACAGTATTGATAATCTTGGTGATTCACAGATAGTACCATATCAGGGAATCCAGTTTGCTTATGCGTATGCTCAGGAAACCCAGAGAAGAATGATTGACAGTATTATATCTGCTGTCAATAAATGTGAAGAACATTCCAAGATGCAGACTAGTGCGAGAGTAGAGGAAATCATCAAATATGGTCAGGAAACACTAGGTGATGAGTTTTTAAACGACAAAAAGTTTCAGCCTGAGTTGATGTTCACAAGACGTAGGGATTTGATCAAAAAGAACTTGATTCAGCCTATAGAACTTGGTGACTTCTTTGACCCTCTGATTGAAAGCTGCCTTAGTTGGATTGGATTGCCCAATGATTTGGTATCAAGAGGTGTTGGTTTTCTCAGTGATTACAATCCAACCTCTATAATCACCAAGCTACCCTTGACGGCTATCACTTTAAGAGAACAATTGCCCGCGCAGTTGACATTGCATACATTATACTCGTCCTCCAAGATCTTGACTGTTGGTACAATCTTAAGAAAGTTATACTCCTTTTCCCATGTTTTAACTCCACAAATGATGAAGAGAGTCGCAGGTCCAGTTTTGTTAGGATTTCTCGGATTCTCTGTCTACTATTTGATCAATGATATTCCTAATGCTTTCCCCAGAAAACAGGCTAGAAAGATGAAGGGACAAATCCAAGATTTGGAGTATGTTCATAACAATGCCGATAGGATCTCTAAAGAGTGTCGTAAAGTGTTGAATTATCCTTTGAGACAAGTGATGAACAATTTTCAAACCAGTATCGATAAAAGGGGCCAAGAGAAGATCACTCTCGAAGAGCAGATCAAGAATTCAGAGTTGAGTTTGAACTACTTCAACGACTTGATCGAGAAGATTGATTATGAATTCAAATTAATTGCAAATGTGAACTTGGAAAATGTCAATACTGTCGATTAACCTCCAATATTTACTGTAAATAATATCCTTATTGACGTTTTCTATGTATATAGATCAATAATATGTTGATGACTACAATGATAAAGCATAATGAAAAACATGCTTCAATTGCACCTTTATAACATCCGTTTCCCTTGTAACAGATTCCGGTATCTGGGTCGGTGTTGGCATCATAAATAATACCGAAAAACTTGTTTAAGATGTACAATACCAACAATGGTCCCATACAGATCAACCCCCAAGTTGTAGAAAATGTTCTCGTTCCAAAGAAATCTGCTATAATTGCAGGATACGTGCCGAAGGTTAAACCAAAACTACCACCAATGAGAGCAGAAGTTAAGGAAATCAAATGAATGTTCCCATTGTTAACTGAGGTGATAAATAAACCAACTGCCAAAATGGCAGTGTTCACAATAATAATCCAAAGTCTTTGGATATGCAACTTTTTATAAAGAAAATCGGACAAGATCCCAGAAGTTAATCTGCCCGAAAAAGAGGCAATCGAGAGAATTGCAACTTGTAGTGCTTGGACTTGAGGGGCATTAAGATCACTATATTCACTATAGGTGACTTGTGCTGCAACAATGAATCCAATCGAAAAAATGTATGTTTGAGCCAGACCAGTGAACAATGCCACCAACAGAAAGTGGGCTAAGAATTGCCTATTGGTCAATAAATCCCATACGATGATCCAAGCGGACTTTTTGGGATGGGGCTTTTTGAGCTTAATGTGAGGGAGACTCTCAATTGAATTCTTGTTGGATACGGCAGGTGAAGAAACCGCAAATGAATTGTTTCTGTTAGAGAAAGCTGGTCTCTTAGGAGTAGCAGAGGCGTTCTCTTCTCTAAGGCCGTTCACGGTCGGAACAAGGTCTGGAGAAAGTGAACTACTTGAACTTCTAGGAGTTCTATCACCAATTCCCCAGAAGGAAATGGAACCTGCAATAGAGGCGTTATCAGAATAACTGAGCTTCATATCGGCAGCTGTCTCCGCATCTTCAGTATTAGCTTCAGAAGAACTCGACAATAATGGTTGAGTTTCAGCTTCTTCATCAACCGGGTGATCATCCACAAAAATCTTGACAAACCAAGACCCAATAAAAACCGTGGTTCCGCAGCACAAACTTAAGAATCTCAATAATCCACCAGTGTCTGATTCAAAAAACTTAGCAGTAACAAGAGAAAACAAACTGGCTGCCAATCCATAAGAACTAACGGGAAACACCCCAGCACTCCCTCTATGAGCGGGAAAGTTTGTCTGTGAAGCCTTCAAAGTAGCGAAATATGAGGCAATTGACCCAAACCCCATCACCATGGCACAGAAGCAAATAACAAACAAACTAGAATAAGCATGGCGATATACCTGATAAAGCCCCATATACCCCAAAAAGATGAAAATTGACCCGAGAAAAATGCAGAACTGAGGTCCCTTGTGGTCTATGAGTATGCCTCCCAAAAATCCTCCCACACCAGTCCCGATATTAATTGCTAACGATATGGTAGCAGAATCGGAGGCTGTGAGTTGGACCCTTTTTACTAACTGGGGACTATAGATTCCATAGAGGTATGGCGTTCCAGACGCCAAGCCCACGAATATCGACATGAACAATGCCAAACACCTCCGAAAGACGTGGCTGTTATGGTGCTGATGGGATGTACCAACCAGTCCACTGTTCATCTTTTCCTTCTGGTTATATTCGATAAGAAACTGTGGTATTCGCGATTTGTTGGACCTGAAAATTTTTAGATTTCGACACTAACACTCCAAAGACTCACACAATGGGAAGGTTGAACAACGGAGAGTTTTTGACCCAGGTGGGAGACATTTTAACCCAAAATGATGGCAAGTCATCGATTTACTTGACCCAAAAAAGGTTGTCACCAGCCTTGGATTTAGATGAGCCAGACGTCAATGAAGGTGTGGAGTCCATAAACGATTTATCAAGTAACGTAGTGGAGCATAAATTCAAATCTAATACCCAAGAGTATCCGATATTGATAAGAATAGCCTTGGGAAGTAATGGCAGCAAACAAAAGGTCAAGTTGAGCACAGTAGTGGAAATAAATAACTTGGACCAGTTCTGGTCGGACTATTCGCTGGTAATCAAAGCAGGATTTGTTGGTTTGAAGAAGAAAGAAAAGAAGAAAAGTAAGAAGAACAAGATTTCCAAGTAGTTAGTGCCCTACTAAGCTAATGAGATGAGTACATAGGATGTCATTCATAAGTATCATACATAATAATTTACGACATTAATTTATTCAAGTTCCTCCACAATTAACAACCCATTAGGATAGATGCAATTCAAGTGTTTTATCAAGATATTATTATTCAATTGCTCGTTCAACGTGATTTTGGGAGGTAGTGGAGACATCAACTTGAACTTGTAAGTTGGCCTGAAATCAACGAGTTTCAGTGGATCCACGTTTTTATCAAATGATTTGTTAAAGTAGTCCTTACGGGTTAACTCCACATAGTCAAAGATTTCCGAAATGTCACTATCAGCGGGGAACAACCTTGTGACTCTCTCTCCGTTGGGAATCTTGATAGCGATCTTGGCTTTGTCAGTTATTTCTTCCAAGTTCAAGTTGTTGAAATAGTCAAGCTTCCATTTAAAATACTCTTCTTCAAGTTGTTCTTGCATCTTTTGCTCTTTCTTCAATCTGTCTTTAGCAAGTGATCTTTGGTAGTTCAAATCTTGCTGCTGAGTAAACACTTGGTTTATGAACTTATCCAAAAGCTCTTTTCTTATCAATCTTAATTCTGGCTCATACTTTTCAATTTTCTTTACAAACTTGTTTTGGATCAAAGCGTTGACGTTTGTGCTACTACCTATCTCACCTTGAATCTTCACCAATAACGATATCTTAGGAGTGCTCTTAACAGGCCCATTGGGGGACATGGTGGTGGTTCTGGTTAGAGCTAACAAGCCCAAAAACGGGAATTTGGTGACGTTCAAGCTATTTGCCAACTGGTAAGACTCAGGGTTAGTCAAATCACCTCCCCATATTATGAAGTCAGGGTCATTAAACAAAGCCTTGAACTTATCATTTATCACTACCTTGTTGAAGATGGAAGAATTATTTTCGTTTTCAGGGTTCGTCAAGTACACAAATAAGAACTTGGCCTTATGAGTAGCCATGTACAACGCCTGTGTGTAGCTGCCTTGGTAGAAGGGAGGTAACATATCATGATTTTGACCAGGCTGTAGGTTATCTTCGATATCCCTTATGAATTTATTCGACTTGTTCAAGGGATCATAAAGTGTTCCCGAGTTGAGTCTGTGCCTTTTAAATTGATCTCTGAAATATATCGTGTTGATGAGTTTGGCAAACACCGTGAACACAACGAACAATATAAATATGATTGGCTTTATAACCACCATTTGGATGTATTCAAGTGCTTTGCTCAAGTAGAGCTCTATGTTACGAGAGTTGAACCTATTTCTGGCACTAGGCTCTACTGACTCTCCACTCTCCTGAGGGTACGCCCCGGGTATATTCAGACTCGAGTTGTTATTGGAACCATTGGGAAGTGGTTGGTGGTTCAGGAAAAGTCGCTGAAACCAAGCAGATGACATTTGTGAATTAGTGATAGTGGAGTGAGGTTTACTTCGATATAATGTAAATTCGCGAGCAGCTGCAGGTGTGATCTTTAAAAATTTGATTTGCTTTTGTGAACTTTGATATTTATGACTTGGAGCAAGAAGATACCGAGAAGTGTGAAGAATATTCATAGATTAGGGCTGTTGAAGTTTCTGGCGATTTCTAATGGTTTTTGAGAGAATAGGTTTATTGAATTCCTTGAAGGAAATGAGATATTGATGCCTTTCTTCTGCGCGAATTGAACCAAACTGGATGAAAGTATGCCCAGTAGAACTTAAAACCTTGAATTAAATGTCAGGTTATGTCTCGTAGCTTTATAAAATCGATTTTTGCCTGTATACCTTCAATATATGTAAGTCTAGGCATTTTCTAAGTTAAGAAAATTGCCTGCGTGGCGTAATGGTTAGCGCATTTGACTTCTAATCAAAAGATTCCGGGTTCGAGTCCCGGCGTGGGTTCTTTCTTGCGGATTTAGCTCAGTTGGGAGAGCGTCAGACTGAAGTTACACTCCAGTCCCAGTTAATCTGAAGGTCCTGTGTTCGATCCACAGAATTCGCATGTTTTTTTTAGTTCTTGTAAGGGATATATATGTGTCTACGAGGGCTCGAGGGCTCGATGGTTTTTTCATGTATTTTATGGTATTTATTTGTCACACTCCAAAAAATAATTTTTGCAAGCTTTAGACAAAACTTCGGGGAGACCAAACACGCAATTGATTTCTGTGGTGTTTATGTCATCATTAACCTCAGCGTACGTGAAGTTATATCCGAAGAAATCTGGTGTTTTGTTGATATTTTTGTCTTCAGCGATTGCAACAGAATGCTCGCATATGCTCAAACCCATTAAAGAGTAATTTGTATGATAGAAATCAATGCTTTTACCGGGCTTATCCTTAAACCCTCCATCTTTGTTCTGTGCACAATTCATTATATAGATTTTCAACGCTTGCTTGTCGAAAATGTCGACTGCTAATACAGACTCAAGAAGTCCATAGCATCCTCCTACCCAGAAACTGTAACAAGCATCAACCAACTTATTCGATCTTCCACTCAAGCCTCCCTCTAAATTCAATTGTCGTGAGACAACCCATTTGATGAACTTCTCGAGATCTATACTGGTTTGTAAAGCATTTTTCAAATCCACTCTATTGTTACAATTTTGTCCCAAAAGCAAGAATAAGCTGGAAAATGCACAAAAGGTGTAACCTCCATGTGCCTCTGTATTGGGGACCCCCGCAAACCCACCTTCATAGGTTTGGGTCTGTTTGATCCAGCCTAAAGCCCCTTCACGGATCTCATCAGTCAACACATTTAACAACGAACACACCACTAAGACACAGTACATGGATCTGGCATCTGCTTCACCGTTATAATGCATTACGAATGACCCGTCGGGTTGTTTCAACCTCAAAAACCATGAGTGCAAGTTGTACCTGATGCTGTCTAAAAGCTCATACTCTCTGAGACACACCAACAACAATATACCAGCATATGTAGAAGCCACATGACCCAATTGGTTCTTGCCTCCTGCAATACCCCCTTTTCCATTATCAACAATCAACGTCTTCATTTTTTCGGTGGCAAGTTGGGTGATTTCTTGTGGGAATTCGTGGTTTAACACAAGACCAGAATTGATGAGCCAATATAACATCCATGAATGGTTCGGATCCAAACTGCTATAATGATGAGGAAGTGAGATTTGTAAGCTGTTTGAGATATATTTGAGGTGATTTTGGGTTTCAAAGAAGTTGTTGAAGTGTTTGTGGCTCAGAATTATGTCTTTGTAGATGGATCTGATGGACTTTTCGGTCTTGGTTTGAGCCAAGGTGGTTTCTGACTCGTAGGTATCTTCGACCAACGGAAGAGTGGTAATCATCTTTGCAAGGTTGTTGTAGATATTGGGAGGATGTACATCCAGAAAATCAAGCCGATTTATATCATCTCCCAATAGGTTTAGGAGATAAGCTACTTTATCCATTTAATGAAAATTCCCCTTTCAGGACGTCTCAATAGACTGCGAATATGGCTTACAAAAGATGGCTCACAAAATACAGGTGCAACTCCCGGTTATCAGGGGTCTTTTATTGGTTGTTCCACGTAGGTATCAGAAATCACTCTATCCTATATAGCTAGGTATGATTTTTAAAGAATTTTTGGAGTACCTTATGGTTATTGTGACCAGATCATCTGGTGCACAAATTTTCCGGACACGACCGCATAATGTTATACCACAAAACGAAAGCAATCCACCGATTATGCATACGTCCTAATTATCTTGCATATTCCTCAACAGAGTCGGAGTATAATTGATCTAAAAAAAGAAAAGAAAGCAACGTAATTATAGGAATTGCGATTTTTGCGATTTTAATAAGATCATTATTCATTACATCATTATAATACAAAATCTAAAAGATACTTCAACACCGATTCGTAGCATACAATGAACTGGTCAAAGTTCTGGCACATGGAAATTCGCTGGGTTCTTTGGAACTGAATTGATTTATAGACAAGATCGACGTCGCCAAAAGGATCAAACTTGATGCTGTCATTCTCCTTATTGCTGTAATTCGTTGCCAGTGGATATTGAGAAGAATCACCATCATAGTTTTTAAGTAAGTGGATGATCAGATCAATAGCAATAAAACAACCGGTTCGGCCACATCCGGCGGAGCAGTGAACCAAACACCCGTTACCCAAGTTCTGAGTTTCGATCAACTTGTTCTTGAAGTTGATAAATCCGATCAACGTATCGATGTCAGGAACACCAAAATCTGGCCAGTTGATAAATTCCAAGTGGTGTACGGTGAGCATTTCCGCCGAGTGATCAGCAAGTGTTTTAGTAACCTCAATTACCTTCATGATGAAAGTACCATATTCCTTCACCTCAACTTCTTTAACGGAGAAATTATCCAATATTTGGGTGTTGAAGTAACTTGGTTGCAAACTGCTCTGGGTATTAAGACAGATGATAAGCTTTGTTTTTTTGCTCCAGATGAGTTTCCAAAAGTCTTTGAACGTAGACGGCAATGGGTTCTGGGTGGCGATGTACAGATTATCAGAAATCTTGGAGTAGTTAATGTAGTTCCCATTGAAGTAATCATCAAAAGAGACACCTTCAAAGAAACTGGCCTCATTGCCTTCTGTTGCTTCTGTAGCTCCCGGATGGGGAGAATGGTCCAATCTAACTCTTGAGTGCTCGTAGGGCCATACATTGTTGTACCTGTTTTTGAACCCGTACTCAACGCCTTTGGGGATCTTATAGTTGATATCATCACACTGAGGACATGGAGTAGAAGCTGAACAGAAACTCGTATGGTTTTCAAGGTCGGCCTTATTGGAGGTGGTATCAGTAATGGCCAAGTTCAATCTGATTTGCTCTACCTTTTCGATTTTGTTGAACTTGGCATTAAGGTGTTTCAAGATTTTGGAGTTCAGATTGACTTCGCCCCTGTCATCGAGAAGAATTGTTTTGAACCACAACGGCAAGTTTTTCAAGTTCTTGGACGAAGATGGAACCTTGAAAGTATAGTTGTAGCCCTTGAGGTCTTCGGACTCGATGATCGATTTGATATCCAATTTGGGCACATTCTTCTTCAAAGACGACAAGAACTTCTGGTTGGAAGGGGTGGAGGAAGGTAATTGGAAGCCGGAAAGCAGGGTGGGAGGACCCGCCGCACAACACGTCGCGAAGGAACCACTGTCTTCCCCTTTGTAATCGTTGGGACTAGCTACGGGTGATTCCACCTCCACCATGGATGAATTCTTATTGATACTTTCAATACCCCCAAAAAGGTACCAAAGGTGCAAGTCCTTGTTGTGGGCCACAAACTTCTGGATTGTCTGATACAAAGGGTAGCTCAACATGTCATTCGAGTTTGTGTCGATGAACAAGACGTTTGTGGATCCCAGTAAAAGCTTTTCCTGAGTCTCTTGACTTAACTTGAAGGAAGAGAGGATGTTGGGCAACTTGTATGACAGACGCTTCAACAAGGTTGAGGGAATACACACGTTGACAGATCCACTTATCTTGAAGTTCATATAGTGGTTGAAGGAGCGGATATCGATAATCACCGGTTTGTGGCTTGTTACAAACTGCTCAAGTTCACCAGCATGCGCTTTCTGAATGGGCAAATCGTGAGGACTATGCAAATGGGTAGGTGACTTCATCGATATGGGAGATTTCATCAGCGGTGACTTGGGCATGGATGTCAGAATATTCAATGATACACTGGGCGAGATATATCCCGGGGCTTGGTCTGTGGTGGTGGAAAATGGGTTGGATATGGTCGATGAGGCCGTGGTGGAAGTCGACGAAGCTGGGGACACCAGGCCAAACGTGAAGGTAGGAATGTTAAGGTTGTCCATGTTCATGTTGATGGGACGAGGCCCACGGGAGCTGGCAGTATGGGGTGGGGACATTTGTTGTGGCTATGGATCTGGGTTTTAGATGGTATTCCTTAATGCCAGATATATGGAAACGTCAGTGTGGGGATAGTGCACACGAGCCGACAGATGTTGCAACAAACCAGTAGAGGGTGTGCTTATATATTATGGGAAATGAAAATGAGCACACAAGTGGATGATGATGACTATATATATCTATTTTTGCGAATTTGAAAAGGGTATTGTTGCCTAAAAATGAATATAGTTACTTGGAATGACGTCAGTTTGGTAATGTTTTGCCGGCTGCGCGCGGATTCTAGAAGGGTCGGGAGACGCTTGCTTTTAAGGTTTACACACATATTCAGGGGTTATATTGCCGGGCAATTCGATATAATACCCCATTATGGCTGGAGGATTCTCACGTGCACTGAGAGACGTTGTCGGGTGGCGGGATTGCTGCCATGAGAATATGGTGTTTCTATTAATATCTCCGGTGCACGCGCACTCGCCATAGCTTTTCTTGGAACAATGGCTGCAACCGGTGGCAGCTGCAAAACAATTGAGTCTCAACCAGGTAGAGATGTTTTTTGATACAGTTTCCTTCAGTCTGAAAGCCGTTTATTAAGGTTGTTCGAGGGTATCGTTTATTGGACTGTGCTAAGAAAATCAAGGTTTTGGCGAAAAAATATCTGCAACTGGCGTCCTTGGCCTGAAACTCGCATGTAATTGGCAGTTAAAGTTTTTGTACATTTATGTATATATAATTATGGACAACCCGTAGTTTGCTGCCACATGCTTTTCGCTCTTGCTACAGAGGGTTCGGCGTTCAAGCCGGCGATGAACAGACCTAAAAACACCCATCGACTCACCAAATTCAAAGAAATCTACCTCGACAAGTGTTTTAGAGCCTCGAACCAACTGTCTCCTTCAAGTTCGGTGGTCTACCGGTGAACCAATTGATAAATATATTATTAATATATAGAAACGGTCCGTACTTTTTGCTGACGGTTCTAATTGGAGAACGAGTCGTTTAATAAATTAGTGTTTGATGGGTTCCAAGTAGCTGAAGGCATGGTCAATCCTTCGTTTTTGCGGTCTCTTTCGAATTCCCTCCACCGTTTCATGACAATGTGAGACGAGTCAAATACCCCTTCAAGGTCTCCATGCGATCCCTTGTCTTCACTGCCAACTTGTCTGGTTTCTCCCCAACTGAAATCGTCAAACTTCCAGAACGAGTAGGTAGGCAAAACAAAATTCCAGATTGGCAATGCGAATAAGTAGATGACGAAGTATACGAGGTACTGAAAGGATGACACCGTGATGACAATCAATAATCCTGGCAACCCGAAAATCAACGCCAATAACACCAACGATAAGACTGGAGTAGGAGTCGTGGTGGCGGCATACACAATGACGTAGATGGTGAAACAAATGGCTGCAGGCAAAACCACAGTACCCACCAATTCAATGAAAATCGAAAAGTTCATCGAAAAACAAAAGGTACCACACAAATCCCGGACCAAGACCAATTCCATCAAATTGTGCACGGTGGAATTGATCCAACGTCTTCTTTGGGATAATAAAACACTGAACTTATTAGGAACAACGGTTCTACAAACAGCTTTTGGAACAAAAATCTGTTTTCTTTTGGGGAAGGTTCTCAACATTAACGAAGATAAATACCGATCTTCTCCTAATAGCAACAAGTTCTTTCTGTGCAATGATTTGGTGATGTTATCAGAATATCTTTCAACAATATCAGGATTTGACAAAATCGGCACCCAGAATCCATCTGATCCCTTAGGAGATTTGATTCTGTACATACAGAAACAACCTGGTAAACATGTTACCCCACCAAAAACACTTTCAAATGCTTTGGATTGGTGATGGGAAATATAGTACTCAAACACCTGAATCAATGTCACCCAACTTTGATTCTTATTTGCAATCTTTGTTTCACCACACAATCCCATGATTGCAGGATCTTTTACCATTTCTGCCACCATATGAGTTAAGGAATCTGGATGCACTTTAGTATCTGCATCTACCATTAGGGTAATCTCGTACATCTCAGGCATCAATCCAGTTATTTGCCAGATAGTTTGAAGCATTTGAAACTCCAAACCAGTCATTCTTTCATCGAACATGACTTTTTGCAAAAACGACATTAACACAACTTGGGTATCTCTCTTACCTCTATTACCTGGCTTCGGTAAGTTTGCTTCTTCTGGGGTTCCACACTTCACAATCGTGATGATGGGAACTCTTTGTTGATTTTCAGGGGGAACAGTGGAATCATCATACTTATAGAATCCACCGTATACTTTGGCCATGTTGTGACGCTTGGAACCTTGCGCAACTGCCACATATGAGTATGGTTGCACCTCCTCAGGTTGTACCACAAAGTCAGTCATCATGCCCAACACAATATCCGGGGTGGTTTCCTCGTTACCTGAACCTTTGACTAAACCATCACAAATTACCACAATCAACTTATGGGAGTTTGGATAATTGGTAACGGCCACCGAATCAAGAGTAATTCTTATTTCGTGGTCATCTTCAGAATAACAGGTAACTAAACACATGGTATGAGCCAAAGGGAATCCATAAGGCTGATATTCCACTGGTGGCTGAGGTACAACATCTGGATGAATGATATCAGGGGATAAACCTTGCATCGTGCTGAAGTCGTCAATATCAAATGGATTTACAGTTGATTGTCTGTTCAATAAGTCAGTCGAAGAGTTGAAAGTTTCATTCAAGAACATGGTCGATTGTCTCTTGGATGCATTTGTCTTCTGAGGGTTCTTGTTTGCCATCAAATAGTTTTGAGTGCCCATGGTGGTATACTTGAAGTTCTTAGACAAATTTTCACTGTTGATATAGTATTGTGACATTTCATTTGGTGTCAAAGACATTCTCTTGAACACAGATTGTCTGTTGGTTTTATAGTCAGCTCTCATTTTCAGGGGAATAACCACCAAATTTCTTTGGAGGGCACCATCATCATCTACCCAATTTTCCATGCTTTTGTTGGATGATTCCATGGATTTACTATTTAAGTCAGTAGCCCCTTGATGTAAGGAAATGAACCATTTGAAGTAACAGGCCATTAAGAACTTGGCAACCACCACCGATAAAATGAAAACTAAGGATACAATCAAAACCACCTGGGAAGCAATGCAACCTATAGTATCGGAGTCAATGGTACCGACCTTAATGATTTCAGTTAAACATCTGGCTGCATGCCTTTCGTCACTGTTAGACAAGACCAATGAAATATCATGCCCTTTATAAGCTTCTTCATCTCTCAATCTGTCAAATAATGTTGGATACTCTAAATCATCTGATTGAATCCAGTTGATCAAATCCAAATCCAAGACGTTACCGGAATATACCACCAAATTTCTCGAACTATTGTTGATATCACCCCACGTAAAGTAAACATCTCCAGTTACCTTTAAATTATAATAAGCATTTCTAGCATCAGAACTAGTATGACATGCCCAACCATCATAATATTCAGTAGTAAAATTGGGTTGAGATGATCCGTCTTGTTCCAACAACTTACAAGGCATATACCATGCGACTTCATCCGTATCTTTAGTAGGAATCGTACAGTTATCCCTTGGTTTAATCAAACCCTTACAGTTTCCATTGACATTTTGAAACAAAAGAGATGCATCTTTTCCACCAGCATTGGTAGGAGGATATAATATGTTGGAACCAGCATCAATACCAGCAACACCTGGATGTTGAGACTTGGTCAAGTCGAAAGATCTACCATTGATGATCAAGTATCCGCTATTCACTTCGTTAATTCTGGTTCTTATGGCTGTCTTGGAACACACAGTCTTGGTGAATCCAAACGTCAAGTAGGCCACAAAGGTTCCAATGTACAAGATCACCGAGATTAAAGCAATTTTTTCCCTCCAAGCAAATTGTCTCTCCTTGCTCTTTAAGCCAAACAAGTATAATAGTGGAGAAGGGGCCCAGAAGGTGATGATATAACAGTATATCCTCCACATGGAAGTACCGTCGCTCTCACGGTTGTCATGGTTAGTCATCAGCCTTCTTTTGAGAGAGTTCTTCTTAATGACATCCTTTTTGTGAGGAGAATACTCGACCTCATCATTCAACCCAAATACTTCGGTTCCGCCTTTGTGGGGAGAAGCAGTATTGGATTTGTTTTCATCACCATAGTCCATCAACGGGATCCCCTCTTGTTCTTCGGGATATTTAGAATTCAAGGTTCTATAACTGTGGAAACTGTTTCTTGGATTATAGGTGCTGTCATGATTAGATACCTGCGGATCCAATCCGGTAGATGAAGGTTGTACTTTCAAGTGGTCCGACTGTTGGTTGGTGACTTGAGTATAGTGGTATCTTGGATGACTTTGGTCGATTCTCAGTCTTTCAGGTCTGACCAAAGACCTTTTTCTTCCTAGTTCTCCAGCTTCGGGATCAAATTCCTGGTAGTTTTTGGAATTGGTACTATTTCTGAAGGACATAGCGGACAAAGGTGTGATTTTGAGTTAAGACTAAAGGAAAAGGGTTCACAAATAAGTGAAACAATATCTGACGGGGTTTGTGTTCTTTACACGTCGATCTGGTTACAAAGCAAACACTAGGCAAAAATGGGACACGGGGTATGTGGATATGATACAGGTGAATATTCACACGGTAGAAGACGAAGACCAACACGAGAGTTTCCACCAGCTAAAATGAAAGAAAATGCACAGTGGTATTTGTGGGAAATTCAGAACGGTAAATTTAGAAGGATGTTTTGAAATCAAAATAGAAAATTCTTCTGGGTCGCGCACGTCGTTTCTCTGCCTAGATGCAGCTAACGCGTTTAGGAGTAAGGGTGCGAAATTTGATGCGGATTAGGAACTACACACTGAGACTATTGAACTTGAGGAGAATGTCTTCGGACAAGCGTCCGAGGTCGTGAAGATTCCGAATGAAGGGATTGAACCTAATTAACAAACCAACGAGACTTTGGATCATTGAATACTGTTGTGGGTGGTAATTGGTATTCAAATGGGTGTATAAACCCGTTAACAACGTCTTCAATTCGTTGATTTGAGTACGAGAGATAGGCCGTTTGTACACCACTTGTTCCTCTTCCACCAAGCGTCTCAAGGCGAAGGCTGTCCTGGCAATAAAGAGCTTGACAGAGGTGGAAAATTGCTCGTCGTTGGTGTTGATGAACCGGATGAGTTCCTGAAGACATACCAATCTGATGCTGTTGTGCCTGTAGAAAACAATGGGTTTAGTAGTACCAAACGACTCTCCGAAGTTGTAGTTCACGAGATTTTTAATCACTTTGTCAATTGAGTCCAGAGGGGCCATCAACTCGACTTCGATCTCATTCTTTTCATATAGATAGGAGTTGAGATACACTTCGGTGAGGAATTCATCGATAATACTTACGTCCTTCATGAGTGGTAAGATGATATTCGTTATCTGGAAATACTGCTTGGAGTTGAGCTTTTCATTGTCTTTGCCTTGACTGCTGAAGCAGATCTTGATGGCTCTGAGAATCAGCCTCCAGATCTCGCTATTCATAGACGTGGGGTGTTGGGTGATCTTTTGAAGAATGGTGATAAGAAGCCCATTGCATTCGATCCACAAGGGCTTTTCAGGATTGGCACCGGCAGAATTGTTTTCGACAATGTCAAGTAGCGATTTGATCAACTTGACAATAGTATTGTCTGAGATCAAACTTTCAAAGTCTTCAATTTTGTTGAGTATCACTTGAACCAACTCAAAAGAAGCATTGCTAACAGAAATGAAAGTTGGCAACTTGTACCTGGACTTCAAGTTCGAGTTGTTGAGCTTGGTTTCGATTCTTTCCCTTACTTTGAATTGGTACACCAACAAATTGCTTAATTCTCGGATCAAAAGCACATTGATTTTGTCCTCATTCACATCAATCAACTTGATGTTGGAAAAGATCTTGGACTGCAAAGATGTTGGTTGTGTGTCGTCAGACCGGTTCATGATAATCGGATATCGCAAGCACTTTGTAAATACATTCAAAATCTTTTGCACCTTGTCTTCATCGATTGTGTGGTAGATCTTTCTGTATACCAACGGGAAGTTTTCCATTAAATTGAATAAGCATTCAATGTACAAGTCTGGGTCAACAAAGTCGTACTCAATGGAGAAACCACACCAGAACTCAAAAAATTCCTTTTGTATATTGTCATCTGTCACTTCAATGCTGGACAAATCATTAAACTTCTTCAAAAGCACAATGTGAACTTCAACCTTGTTCAATTTTATTATCTCTCTTCCAAAGTTGAACAACAGCAGCCAGAAACTCAAGTCAAGCAATTGATGAAACTTGCTGAAGATTGATTTCATGCCGTCCAATTTCAACAAAACGGTTTCCTTCAACTCCTTTGTTTCTAGATCTTGAATCACGAAAATCTTCGTGATAACGATGTTGAAGATCAACTTCCAATCATTAGCATCAAACAATATCCCATGAATATCAATGATTTCATAGAAAGTTTGAAGAGATCCATCCCTTACTTGGGCTCTATTATCACTTGACAATTTGATCAAATTTAACAATAGGTAGATGTCCAAGCTCTTGTAGAAAGCCACATCACTTGTTGTAGCTGATTCGATGTACTTAACGAGTTCGTCCTCTTTGAAATTTGTCAAAGTGTCATTTGCACTTGGACTCGTTTGGGAGCTTTCGTTAAACCTGTTCTTAATTGAGTCCCCAATCAACCAGAAATAACTAATTGAACTGAACGAAATATTCAAGTCGTTAGTTTGCAGACAGAAGTTATATAAGGTATCAATCAATTTTTTGAACTTGTTAATCGGCAAACTAACAATAAACTCATTTAGAATAAGCTTCAAGGAATTGAAGGAGGAATTAAGCAATAAGCTGAATTTGTCATTCAAACTATCATTGATAGTGCCCTTCAATTCATCCTTTCTGAACTCAAACGGATTGTTGATAATACTGAAAATAATATTCCATGATTTCTCGGTGGTTAAGTTCTTATTGTAATTTTCAATCAAGTCATTAAGAGTGCTCAAAATGATCAAATGAATCTCGATCTTGTTATTTATGATAAGTAACTCATCATACCTTTGCTTATTCAACTCAATTACCAAGTTGTTCAATCCTCCAAGGCAAATGTCACTTATACGGTTGAACACCACATTATCATCAGTTTTGGAGCTTTCTGTGGTCAAGTTTTTAATGATATCATTAAATTTGTTGATGATATAAATCTTGAAATTGAAGTTAACTCCCTTTTGCTTGGTAATACCAAACTTAATAAAAAGGTTACTGATAAGTTCAAAGCTTTCACCATTGTTTACCAAGAACTTGATGGGGTTTATCTTGCTGACATTATAGATCTCTTTAACAAAGTATACCTTATTGTATGGACAAGTTTCCAACAGCTCTTGTTGGCTTTCAGAGAGTGACTCGTCGTCGAATTCCAGTTCAAACAATTCTACCAATGAAGTCATAAGATTCCGATAGCTTTCCACTGGATAATCATCTATGCTGTCATAGAATTTGCTCATTGAAGTTTTGATATTTGTGACTTCTTGTTGACTTAATCTGGGAATAAAATTTTCTTCTTTTTTGTTAACAAAGCTGAAGTCGTTCGGTCCGTTTATATAGTAGTCACACCATTGAAGGGTAATCCAGATGACTTTCCAAGAATCAGTTAACGTCGACCCCAAGGAAATAGCAAGGTTGACCAAGGCTCTTAGACAAGTAATGTGTCTTGAGTTGAAGTTTACGACCAAAGACCTTTGGGATTTATGTTGAGGGTCACCTTGAGACAGGCCATTTTTCTTTTCAGCATCACCACTGGTCAAAGACTCTACAAGAGACTCACCAAAAGCAATCAAGTTCTTTCCTTGCTCATGAAGAACAGACCTATCAGCTTCACCAACATCAAGATCTTGGTCCTGCTTGACTATTGATTCTGCCAAAAGGGTTAATAGACCATCTCTCAAGCTATTTAAGCCGAGTAGACCAGTTGTATGGGTATATTTTTGCAACGAGCGGATGAGTAGATGAAAGTAGTCATTATCCATCAATGAATGAATGAATGACTTAAGCAACATCGACAAATTTGGATATGTTAAAGAAATCAAGTTGTTGATGAAATCAATGTCATACTCCAAAGACTTGGGGTTTCCGCTATCAGATAATGATTGAACAAATTTGGCCATACCATCTGTGAAGGAAAGTAGAATACTGAAGATCAAATAAATAGGGTAGTTTTGAGGAATAAAATTGGGAGGTTCAGTCTTGTCAAGAAGATCCATGATGGAGATTTTGACGGTAGAGTTTTGCTTTGATAATTGGTTTTGAGACTGAGGGCTGGGAACGGTAATTGAGTTTCTCATTAAATGAGAATTGTATTGCAAAAAAGTGGAAATGATAGATAATAACTCTTGAATAACATTCTTCTTCTTGGGGTCCTGATCATAGAGTTCGAAAATGGTTTGAATGACATTAAAATCGGAGAAAAGGCCCTTGAAAAGCTCTAGCACCGCGTACTTTTCCCAGACCAGACTGTCATTATTCAACAATATGTGGTTCAATATACTGAGGACAATTTCTCCTTCTATCACCAAGTGAGTCAATTGGGAGCTGATCAACACCAGTAAGATTCTCATGGTGCGAATAATCAAGGCAAAGTCAGTGGATGAGTTGATGATTCTTAGCAACGAAGGAATCAATCGTATTCTCAATAAGAACGACAACTCCCTATGGTTGCTGAACAAACTCTTATCGATTGAAAGAATGCTCTCTATGATTTCTAATGCAGAAGTGGTCTTGATATGGGCCAAGTTCTTAAAGTACTTGGGCGAGTCGTTATCGATCAACTTACACAAGTCCAGGAAAATAAGATAACCCTCATAAGAGAGTTCATCCAACTCAACCTGTTCATTCTCATCCACCTGAACCGATTTCGTCAATTGTATGCCTGCCAAGTCAACGGGGATAAGATCATAAATATTGGTGAAGAGCTGTTGTAAAGTTGCCGACGCAGTGTTGATAACCACCGTAGACTTATTGTTGGATGTCAAGCTCGAGCAGATACTCAAAAGATTCAAGAGCAACACGCCTCTAATATGAGTACCGTAGGTTTGCATGAGACTTGGCAAGCATTGAAGAATTCTCAACTGGATATCGATGGCCAAATGAGTAGCTTCCAACAAAGACTTCAACAAAGGCTCCAAGTCCTTGGGATCAATGGCATCCGATATTATGAGCTTATGGATAGCAGGAACCGCCAAGTTGGCGAACCTTGCGTTGCCAGTGTTGCAGGAAATCAAGAATGGTGCCAACACCTTTGATTTGTCCGCCGGCAGTAACTGGTCATTGGGGTGGTTTGGAGGATACTTGGCCAATGCCGACAACGCTGCCTCACAACTGCGGCGCACATCTGTGTTTCGCCTCTTTGTTTCGTTCAATAGGCTTGTCAAATCGCCTGTCAATTGGTTTACAGCTATCATGGCGGGTGAGGTATTGTTGTCAAATTTTGGTTGAGAGTCGCGACTTTTGTGCGGTTGCAAACATCAAAAGAGATTGTGTAAACGCATACCAATACCTATTTTTCAAGGGGCATGACTGCAGTGTGAGGTACATGAAGCATGTAGGCGGCCGAGAGACAAAGGACCAGAAAAGTCCGACGGCTGATAAACTTTTCGGATAAAACCCGTTTCGAAAATGGAGTGATGGAGCCATACATAGAAAAGCATACGATTCCAAGCACGGCTTCTGTGGTTTTAGTACTTGAATGAATGTCACGTTTCATTCCTACATTTACAGAGTACGTTCAGTTCGCTGTGTTTACAGCACTACTTATTACGTATCACATTAGGGCATATCTAAAGGTCTTTAGCAGTAGTTAATTGTAGCGTCCGAGCCGGGACTTAACGCCCGTGTTCTCCACTATCACCTTGCACTGGTTCTGTTGTAAAAACATTATGTACTCTATGGCCTTGTCCAAAATCAACGATTTGTTGAGTTTTTTCAGTTTGGAATCATTTTCAGCATCGGCTTTGGAATGGGTTCTGAAGCCAGGTTCTTCCCGTGCCACCGACGGAATGAGCTTCTGCAAGCTCTCAATCTTGGTGTTGATATTAATTCTGTACTTCTTCTCAATGACGTTATGAGCAGCTTTTTGGTGTTCGGTGAGCTTTTTGCGAGGAGCTCTCTTCCTGGTAATTCTCTTTGTTTTTTTTTGGGACGAGGCAGTTGTGGTTCCGGAACCGGATGTGGCAGATGATAGTTTCTGGGAGTCAAAAACCAAGTCGTCGGGCGACGAAATCGACAGCGACTGGTGTGGCGACGACTGGCACGAGCTGTCGTCATCGGTGGTAGTAGCCAGGTCTAACAACTTATGGTTCACTGAATTCAAGTTTATTTTGTAGCCTTGGCTGGAGTCTACAGGAGTGTTCATCTGGTTAGAGGAAATGTAGCTCGAGTACTCATTTGAGAAAAACTCATCCAAGGGCCCGTCAAACATGTCTTGAGGGATTTCTTCATCGGAGCAGTCCTCGGACTTAATGTACTTGACCCAGTCCTCGTTGTCTGACATGGGAGATATGGGTTGGAATTCGTAGTTGAAGGTGTTCATATTAGGTAATGAGCAAATGTGAGACAGGGGAATCCAGGTGGTTTAAATAACTCAGAGGAGGTTGGGATTTGGCAACCCTGTCCGGGACAATCATTCGTTGGAAGTCCTGTCACCTCATTCGGACTTAGTTGGCGGTACCCGGTTGAAAAACCATTGGATTCTCGCACATAAATCAGATGGTTCCAGCCGGCATTATCGACTTTGGTGCAGGACGATAATCCGCAGTATGCATTTACAGTATCAGAATTTGCGGGCCCTGTAACCGAATAAGTCTAGTAAGGCGGTTTGGGGTCTAAAATTGGGTCCTGTATGCCATCAATATTTTATGGTACGATCGGTTTACGAGGGGGAGCAATGTTTCAAACTTCAGACATCAGACATCAGACATCAGACATCAGACACACGTAAACACATCGGAACCAGGCACCAACTGTTCCGTCTATCCATGACTATCCATGACTGTCCACAAATCAACATGCCTCCTTCCACCCACAGCTATTCCTCCTTATTTGCTCACTCCCTAAACTCCTGGCACCCACCTACCCCTAATCTACAACGCGGTAAACCATTATCTACCAATCTAGTGTCTGGGGATCCTCGTAACCCGGATGTATGTCGCAACTCCCTATGTTTTAAGAATTTACACAACCTTAAGCGCTGCTGCGAGGCTATGAATTATGCCTCCCTGGTTGTTAACCATCTAGTACTACTAGTTCAATTTCACTTGAGCCAAAACTGTGGTTTAGCATCTAGAGTTAGATACATATTTGACTTTGTACGATTTATATTAGTATTTGGCGGATACACGCCCACGCTTTTGTTGCAAACTGAAAGAATGTCTAACCAAGCAGTGATGACTATAGTCATTTATCACCAAACGGTATAACGGCCACAGACACTTGATGACCCATCAAACCAGAATGCTTAGGACAAACTCTTCTTCTCTTTATCTCTGGCAATAGCCGGTGACACAATTGAGAAATCAACGCTGTTTCCTAAAACTTCTCCTAAAACTGCTTCCTAAAGCTGCAGCTAACACATTAACCGAGACAAACGAACTTCACTGCTTTCCTCCTACTGTTCTTAGATGTACTTTATTCTCTTCTGTTGGAGGTCGGGTATGGAAACTCAACACTGGGTAGGGGTATTGCGACATCTGGATTATAGAGGCACGACATACACCCCAAAACCTCTGTTCTCGACTCCTATCACTGATAATTGTATCCCCGGTTAGAAGGATGACCCCATGTGTGCTTGAATATTGCTGGTGCATGAAATATAAGTGTCTGACATTCTATTAGTTTCCTAATTGGGTCTTGCGTGTCAAAACCCCACAGCTATTGTGCAGAAAATCACCGGCAATGTGCAGAAAACCACATGAGCGGTACACCTACATGAACTAGACTAAAAAATATACCTGGACATCGTAAATTAACTCATGATACTTGCAGTAATGCCGTTCGGTTGTCTTGGATCCGCCACACCCGGTCTTTACCGCAGTAAAACGAACTTACTGCAGTTGATCATATGAGTTCCGTACCCTTAGTATTGCATCTTGCAATCATCAAATCTGCTCTGGGCTGGATGTTCCTTTACAACGGTTTCGTCGATTCTTTAATAATATTTCCCACATCAACTTGGAAGATCCTCGTAATACTTGTTCCTGCACTAATGAACAAAAATTGCTCTAAATTGTAGATTATTATGGTGAGCCAAGAGAAGCCGTATGGTTATTGCTCGTCATTCACTAAACCTCATTTGAATCCCGAGGGTTTTAAAACAAAACTTCGGCTCCAGTTTCATAATTGATCGACTGTCTCAAACCATTTCTACTAATCCGGTATAGATAAGAAGTTGTCGGATCGGCTCGAACAGAAAAAATACTGGTTCTTTCCGGGTGGAGACATACTACCTTTAGGTGAAAGTAGCATTGTACAGCAATTGGGATAATATTTGAAGACTGTCGACTGAATGAATTGATATTCCTAACCTAGTACAACTTCGGGATCGCCACAACCAGTGCAGAAAAAATAAGTGGATAGGAATGAACTAGGAACTGTGGTTTTCACTACTTTTGTTGCCCCAGTGCCTGGAGTATCTACTGCACAGATAATACACATAATTTCTAAACCTTGGTCAAGAAACACTCTGCAAAGTCATGTGTTGAGCTTACAAATGTTTTTCTATCAAGTTTGTGTACCGATTTTGTTTACAGATATTTGTCTAAAGAGGCTTGTCTACTTTAAGGTTTACACACGCCCAACATTCTGTTCCTGAGGCAGCGCGCGACACTTTTTTTTCACGGCTGGCTGAAACGTTTCTGATACTGTTCTAGGGCAATGAACACCAAGTTGGACTCCACCAATGGGCTCCGGTTAGCTGCAGCCGGAGCACTTATCACCATAATAACCTTGATAAAGGTGTTTATAATCGACGCGTCCGGGCTCTACCTGCCTAGCTTCAAGAGCCTCGAGGACCTGGTGCAATACTTTGATTTGGCTCATTACCAAGGAAGTAAAGACGGTTGGCAGCGAGAAGAACGTGTGCTTTTCTGCGTGCCATTGAGAGACGCCTCTGCCCACTTGCCGATGTTTTTTGGCCACATGAGAAATTTGACATATCCCCACCATTTAATTGATTTGGCATTTTTGGTGAGTGATTCTAGTGACAACACCATGGGTAACTTAAAAAAACACTTAATGGCCATCCAAAACGACCCAGATCACAGCATGCGGTTTGGTGAGATTGAGATTTTCGAAAAGGACTTTGGCCAGATCATTGGCCAGTCTTTTAGTGATAGACACGGGTTTGCTGCTCAAGGCCCCAGAAGAAAGTTGATGGCTCGTGCCAGAAACTGGTTGTGGAGTGTGGCCATCAAACCCTACCATTCTCACGTATACTGGCGAGACGCCGATGTTGAGACGGTTCCGCCCACCATTTTGGAAGATTTGATGCACCATGATAAAGATGTCATTGTCCCCAATGTGTGGAGACCTTTACCCGACTGGTTGGGGAACCAACAGCCATACGACTTGAACTCGTGGCAGGAGTCGGATGGGGGATTGCAGTTGGCCGAGTCTCTCGACGAAGATGCATGTATTGTGGAAGGATATGTCGAATATCAAACCTGGAGACCACACTTAGCATACTTAAGAGATCCGTATGGAGACCCCGAGGTGGAGATGGAGCTAGATGGAATCGGAGGGGTTTCAATATTGACCAAAGCCAAGGTTTTCCGGACTGGTTCCCATTTCCCAGCTTTTTCGTTTGAAAAACATGCCGAGACGGAGGCATTTGGAAAGTTATCCAAGAGAATGGGCTATAACGTCTACGGCTTGCCTCATTACGTGATATGGCATATCTACGAGCCATCATCGGACGACTTGAAGCACATGGAGTGGATGGCTTTGGAAGAGGTAAGACAGAAGGAAGAAGCAAAGATCAAGGCTGTTTATGACAAGGTGTGGGACAAGGCATTTATGGATGTTCAAGTGGACTGGAAGAAGGAAAAGAATGACTTCATGAAGAATACTGATTTGTCAAACTTCAGAGAGATTTTGGTGGACTGGTCCGGGGCTGAAGAGTTTAATCTTGATAATGAAGCACAAGAGGACGACAAGCAGTTGGCTGACTTCGATCCATGAGTATTATAGACAAGTAGATTACTACAGAAATGTATCATTTGATATCGAACATGAATGTATCACTGGATGACGAACATAAATGTAGCATTAGATTGGCGAAGAGGAAATGACCCCATGGGAGTATTCGATATTTGAATCAGTGGAGACTCACCCAAACTACTAATTCTATTTGTAGTACATGATCGCGTATTATCTAATGTAAACTTCCCTCATGGAATGAACTCATCGTCACTAATGCTATCCTTGTAAATATAAAACTGCAAGAAAATGATGCTGTCCTCGAAAATGGTTCCTAAGGACCCCAACAACCAGCTGAGGTTCAACAACACATAGTTCGAGTCACTCCTATAACACAAGATCTGTCCCGCGTACGTCAAGTTCCCCAACGTAGAAAACAAAAAGAACAAAAGACTCAAGCCATGAACTGACTTCCGTCTATGGTTCTGCACAATCTGAGGAATTCGGGCTCCCAAGTACAACACTGCCGACAAATATCCAACAATCTGTGGCCCCAAACTGATTGAATCGCCCGTGTCGTCAATTGGAGTAGTATCATCAGTGCCGTTATCAGAAACCAAGAACCCCATAAGTCCACACCCAACCACAAAAAGAATCGGTAAGCCAAACTTGGTGAAAATCCCGTGATAGGAAGGCTCCAACGCAATGTCCGTCAAAGTGCTCGACGTTCTTCTGTGTTCTATCAAGGGTCTGTGCTCTTGAGGATTCTGTTTCTTGACCTTGTTCAAGTGCTGATAGTACAAATACGAGAAGATCATCAAGAAATCAGCAAAACAAAACCACACCGCCAAAAACATCACCTGCGGCAACAAGTGTGCCCACAAGGCGCCCACCAAGTTGAACACATCTCCCAAAAACCAGATGGTGATGAAGCCTATAGCGATTCCGTCAGCAGATTTCAATCGCCACTGCTCGATCAATTGTGGCATCAACAACACGATCCAGCACGCCAAGGACGTGGATCCCATTATGCCCGAGATCGACCCCCGGAGCGGGCTTGCCGGGCCGTGGGACGTAATACTGATAAGTTGTTCGATCATTGCCGTACCAGAACAAAAAAATTTTGGAGATAAGAGCGCGAGGTGGAATCAGAGGAGGGGGTGGTCAAGACACGATAACTTACCAGGTCTAGACACGATAGCTTACCAGGTCAAGACTGCCTGTTTGTAATCTATTTGTGGATGGATCAATAAGTCTCATCCATGGGTTCTGCTACTTATATCATCCACAAACACGGGTTTATACTTTTCCCTATATAGTTCTGACCCATCGCGAAACTGTTTCCCGCACCAGCACTATGGCAGGGTCCGACAAGATTAAGAGAATAAACGGCAAACATATCAAGCACCGGGCCAACATCCACATCAGCCTGGTAGTGGAGCGAGAGACCACGTTCCTCGTGAAGTCATCCACGCCGTTTGTATCGGCATTGAAGCGTATCCACAAAATGCTCGACAAGTTCAACAAAACCATCACTACCAACACTCGAAAATACCAGGGAGGAGACTACAAAAACGTCAAGTTCATCACCGTCAAAGGAATGGGAAAGACCATAGAAACAACTCTCGGCATAGCCAACAAGCTTCAGAACGAAGCCAACTATAGGGTGGATGTCTTGACTGGATCTGTCGAGGTATTGGACGAATTTGCGCCTCCAGACTCGTCAGACGGACCCCCAAAAGGTGCCATACAAGAAACGGTGTTCCAGAAGCGGATGGTAAGCTACGTGGAGCTCCATGTGTGGTTGAAGCGAGAGTAGGTACAAATAGAGTTATATACATTATGATACATGACACCTTCATTTTAATTCGAGCTTGTGCAAACATTTCTCCTTGATATGGACAAGATCAGTGATGTGCCGCTCAACCCTGTTGCTCTTCTTCACTTTTGTGTCGAGGTCTTCTCGAGTTGTTACTGGGTGTTGATGGACCCCGAAAAGCGTCTCGGCCTGTGCGATGAGCTCAAGACACTTTGGATAATTCCGGTCATAGTAGGCCTTTTCACACGCATTCAACATCCGCATCCGGTCGGTCTTCTTGTCTTTATCAAGGTCTTCCAAGGCTTGTTCGTCGTACAACCAGGTGTCGGTATTGATAGTTGGTCCTGATTGAGTGAAGAGGTGCTTTTGGAACTGATACTCTTCTTCACTCTGAGGCTTCCGGACTTTTTTCTTCAGTTTTTTTGCTGGTAGTACTGTGCCACCGCCAACGTGTGCATTCACCGGCTGCTTGTCTGCTGGTGCAGCCTCCGCCCCAATTTGTTCTGCTGTCACATCCATGCTGTAGCGAATTTTTAATAATGCGCACCTCTTATCTTCAATGATGAGCAAACCTACTAAATTGGATACCAAGCAACACATACACCAGCTTCTCGACAACTACGACAACTTCCTTTTCGACTGTGACGGAGTGATCTGGCTCGACGAGGTTCTCATCCCTGGGGTTCTCGATACCATCAACTTTCTTCAGGCTCAGGGCAAAAGGGTGGCCTTTATCAGCAACAACTCCTCCAAATCTAGACAAGAGTACGTGGAAAAGTTCGACAAACTTGGTTTCAAGAACATCACCATCGACATCATCTACCCCACCTGCTACGCGGCGGCGCTAACCGTCAAGGAAGAACTCCAGATCCCTGCTGGATCCAAAGTATGGGTGTTGGGAGACCATGGCATAGAAGAGGAATTGCGACAACAAGGATACATTCCAGTCGGTGGCTCGGACCCTGCCCTTGACACTGAATTCGACCTCGATCACCAGCTTCTCCAGGTGGATCCTCATGTCAAAGCGGTGGTAGTCGGGTCTACCAAAAAGTTCAATTACATGAGAATTGCAACCACCTTGCAGTACTTGTTGCACCAAAACAAGTCATTGCCATTTATCGGCACCAACATCGACCGATCTTATCCTGGCCACGGTGGGTTGGTGTTACCGGCCGGAGGAAGTGTGGTTAACTACATGGAATACACCGCCAACCGGGAGTTCATCAACGTGGGAAAGCCAAGCCCCCTCTTGTTGGACACGGTGTTGAAGCACCAGGGGTTTGAGAGAGACAGAACCGTGATGGTTGGTGATACGTTGTACACAGACATCAAGTTTGGTAACGATGGTAAATTGGGTGGCGGGAACGGTGGGTCGCTTTTGGTATTATCGGGAGGAACCAAGCATCACGACTTGGAAGAATTGCACACTCTTGACCAGTCTATGGTGCCTTCGTTTATCATGGACTCCATTGGTGAGTTAGTCCACTTTATAGATAACTAGAGATACACAAATTCTCGATTACTAAAGCGCGAAAGTTGGATGCAACCGTTTGTGAAGGGCAAATAGTGACGCTGCATTTTATTACTTCACAGGTTTCAGCATGGTCAACTTCACGGGCCAGTCCCGCAAGCGTGTGGTGAACCTAGGTGACAACAGAATGACACATATGGGAGGCAACCGAACCTATTTGGAGAAAACTAAACTTCAAAGACAACAGCGTGAGGAACAGAGACTAAGGGAGAAGGCGGCTGTAACTTTGAAACAGTACGTGTTGCGATACCTATCACACCGCAAAGCAGCAGAGGCATACTACGAGAAGTGGTTGACGACATCAATTGGCTCACAAAGCCAGTTTGACGACTGGATAATTGGATTGAACTACTTTTGCGTGTGGAAGTTTCCTTTTGATTCGAATGAATCTATCATCACTCCTTTACTCGAAACTGTGTACAAACGAGTTGATGAATGGAAATTGTGCCGGGTGACGTCCCAGTCCCTGGTGGAAGGCTTGCTCCAACTTATCGAGGTATTGAGGACTTCTCACTCCCAGCAGTTGGTCCACCGTACCTGCCAGTGTATTGAGCATATTCTTAAAAAGTCTCCTACGGATGCTAGATACCCGGGTTTCATCGATACTCTTACCAGCGTTGTAGATGTGGATGATGAGTTGGTCACACTGCTCATCTTTCGCGTGAATATGAAGGATTCATACTTTGCATTGCTCAAGTTTCTAGCCAGGTTGAGGACATTGAGCTCTTCGTACTTGGACTTGCTACGAAAGGCCTTACTGGATCATGAGTCAACGAGTGCTATCGGAGACTTGAGTAAGATGGAGCGCATCGACTTGTTGGTGGTATTTTTGTCTGCTCATACGAGTCCTACCTACGTGTTGGAGGACTTTGTGGCCATCGACCATATCTTGAGCCAGGTGTCGTTTTCAGTTTACTGTGATGAGCTGGCTATGGACTACGACAAGGATGGAGAAGATGTCGAAAGGAAAGATATGCTCAGAATTGGTGTTGAAGCTCATCAACTCTTAAGAACCCTTTATTCGGGAGACTTCATCAAGACCATGATGGATTTCATGTCCAAGAAAGACCACGATGTCTATGTGATCAACATCGTCTCTTCCCTTGCGTTCTTGATCCCTGACCAGAAACCACGACTTTTAATGTTTATGACCATCAATCATTATAGGTATTCATGGTTTTATAAGCGGTTGACTTCAACATTTCTTTACAAGCAATTGGTAAGCGTTGCAGAAAGTAAAGGTAAGGAATACTGGACATACACGGATTTCAAAACATTGTATGAACAGGAGCCTACACCCGAGTTTTTTTGGAGGCTTCTATTTACATTCACCGAGATGTTCTCATATTGGCTCATTATCTCCAATGACTTTGAAAGCTTCAGCGATGATGGCATAACCACCGAGAATGCTGCAAGTTTTGTGGTGTTTTTGAAGCGTCTTTGTTTGACAATGATCTTTAACTCAAATCAAACGCATAGCACTCAGATCTGCCATGATTTCTACAAGGTTAAAGATGCATCAATCGTGTTGCTTAACCAACTTTACTTGAAGAACCTCCGCTTGAAGTTCATGGACGAAAGCGTGTGGAGTCTTAAGAAGTACGAATTCCGGTTAGAAAGTGTGTTGCATTTGATATCCGATGATGATGACGAAGTCTCCAGCGACTCGGATAATAACGACATCCAGGTGCCGGGCAAGGACAGACAGCGCTCTGAAATTCTGGCGAAACTAGAGATTTTGAAGAAGTTGCCATTCTTCTTGAACTTCAAGGAAAGAGTACAGATATTCCAGAGGCTTATTGACCAGGACAAACCCAAAAACGGTGCAGATATGCCCGAGTTTTTCTTTGGATCTCCTACCCGAAGTACTCAAGTGAATGCCAGAAGGGAACACTTGCTCGAAGATGGATTCAAGTACTTGGGCCAGTCGGGACCTCAATTGAAGCACGGAATCCAGGTGACTTTTTTCAATGAGTATGGTCAGGAGGCAGGCGTTGATGGAGGAGGTATCACCAAGGAGTTCCTAAGTGGAGTTGTTCTTGAAGGATTTGATCCCAACGGCCAACGACGTCTTTTCAAAGAAACCAGCGAGCACCAACTTTACCCGAACGACGAGATCTTCACCAAATACTACAATAAAATCGACTTTGAACAACAACTCGAGCAACTTCAGTATCTTAGGTTTCTCGGGAACATCGTGGGCAAGTGTCTTTACGACCAGGTGTTGATTGACGTTTCATTTGCACCCTTTTTCTTGAACAAGTGGTGCAACGCCAAAAACATGATGAAAAATTCGATCAACGACCTCAACTACCTCGACCCCGAGTTGTTCAAGAACTTGGTCAAGTTCACCAAGATGTCGGGTCCAGATATCGAGGACCTCGACTTGAACTTCACCGTTAACACCAGAGCTGACGGTAAACAGTTCAAGTTTGATTTGGTCAAGAACGGCGAGGCCATTAAGGTGACGGCCGCCAACCGACTGAACTACATCCACCAGATGGCCAACTTCTTGCTCAACACGTCGCTCCATATTCAATCCAAACACTTTCTTCAAGGGGTGTTTGCGGTGGTGAACTCCAACTGGCTCAAGATGTTTGACTTTAATGAGCTCCAAATGCTTATTTCTGGATCCAAGGCCAAACTTGACATCGCCAACTGGAAACAGAACGTCGAATATGGCGGGTACCTTGAAAGCGAGTCTACCATTCAATACTTCTGGCAGGTGGTGGAAGAAATGACGAGTGAAGAGCAGTCGAAGCTCGTGAAATTCGTAACATCGGTTTCAAGAGCTCCACTTTTGGGGTTCCAGTCGCTCAACCCCAAGTTTGGCATTCGGAATAGCGGCCGGTCTACTGACCGACTTCCTACGGCTGCCACCTGTGTAAACTTACTCAAGCTCCCAGATTATCAAGATAAAGAGGTGCTCCGCCAGAAGCTCATATACGCGATCAACGTGGATGCAGGATTCGATTTATCGTGAGGCTGACACCGCGAATGCGAAATTTCTTAGCACCAAGAAATAGTTAGTTGTACTATGAAAAATGAACAGAGTTTTCGCCAGAACCACCGTGGTGGCGGCCCGTGTCGTACGACCCTTCGCGTGGTATGTGCCACTACCTCGATACACTCGGCCTTTTACCCACTCGGCAGTGTTGAGGATTAACCCATTGCTTCCATTTGATGTGGTGGAGGAGCTAATGGACGACGGATTGGAGGAAAAGAACGACGAGCTCAAGAAAGACAAGAAGAAGTTGCAGAAGAAGCTCAAGCAGGTGAAGAATAAACAGGACAAGGGCGACAAAAATACACAGGAACATGTCAGCAAGGAAAAGTACCAGACAGAAAATGATAGTATTCCGTTGGTCAAAGCCGTGTCACAGGAAGTAAAGGGGTTGGCTCTACAGACCAAGGAGCCCACAAGCAGGGAAACTGGTGAGGGTAATGCTGGTGAAACTGTCGGACATTCTGGTGAAACCGGTGAGGGTAATGGAGGAGGCAACAAACCCCCCAGAGAGCCAGAAGAAGAAGAACCCGAAGAAGAACCCGAAGAAGAGCCCGAATACGAACCAGAGCCAGAACCCACCCGGCTCCAGCGAACCATGAACCGCATGGGCACTTTTCTTATCAAGTGTTTGGAAGCTATCGGAGTGACTTTCAGCTCGATTTTCATCTTGGGTGTGGCAGGGTTTCTCTACCACCGGTTCTACAACATCCACGTGTTGGATAAAATGGACATGGCGTTCGATAAAGGCGACCCCACCCTCCAGTTGTCGATGCACAAACGAAACAGCACTCTCATCGACGACCAGGACGGCGAAGACCGCGAATCGGACGACTACTGGGTGGAAAGACCGCAGCAAAAGCTCTTGAACGACATCATTTCCGGGAGGATCGTGGGACGGTATTTCTTGTTGGTAGGGGAGAAGGGCACCGGTAAGACATCGTTATTACTCGAAAGTATGGAGGAAGTCAACGGGTATAACGTGGCGATTTTCGATGCCCATGCCGACCCCGAAATCTTCAGAATCAGGTTGGGGCGTGCCTTGAACTACACCTTCAATGAGGACTACATTGGGTCACTTTTCAGTATCAAAGGACCCCGAGACACCACGGCCTTGTTGGATATCGAACGAGGATTCAACAAGCTCGAACAATTGGCTCTTCGTCGAGTCACCACCAACCACAACCGGCCTCTCATCTTGATCATCAATAACACACACTTGATCAAAGAAGACGAAGAAGGTGGGAAACTCCTTGAGTTGTTGCAGCAGAAGGCAGAGGCATTGAGTGGGTCTGGACTAGTGACCATCATCTTCAATTCGGACGACTACTGGGTGTACGAAAAGTTGAAGAAGCTCGGGACTCGGTTGGAGCTCATCAACGTCCGCGACTTCAACCGGATGGAAACCGTCAAGGCCTTGAAGTTCATTCGGCAGAAGCACTTCCCTACGCACCGGTTCCCAGACCAGCAGTTGACGGACGACGCGTGCCACAAAGTGTACGATTTAATTGGTGGCCGGCCTCAGCACATCCTGCAAGTGGCTCGGCACCAGAACATCTTCAGTGCGTGCCACGAGATCATCGACCGGGAGAAGACGTGGTTCTTGAACCAGTGTGGGATCCTTGGGATGGCCATGGACGACGACGTGATGGAACACGGTAAGTTCAGCACTGCGGCCATGCTCTTGATGCGGGAGTTTGTGGAGATGGACCGCAAACGCAAAAACACCTTGATCCTTCAGAACTCGCCCGAGCAGAAGGACCAGTACAAGAGTCACGTGTTACCCGAGCTCCCATTGTGGAGAGCACGTCAGATCATGACCCGACCCGACTACATCCAAGAATACGACAATTTGAACATCTTCACCATCGACTCCGAGTCCCGCGTGCGAGCCGACTCGATCCCCATGATGCGGGGGTTCCACGAGATTGCGTCGCAGCCCAACTTTGATGAGCTTCTTGACGAGACCATCGAAAGAGTCGCAGACATCGAGTCTTTGGGCCGTACGCGAGAAATCGTCATTAAGGATTTGGGACTTGGTAGCAAGTACCGGGTAGTGGCCCACAACGACACCAAGAGCTACGAGGTGCTGTTGGACAAGTCAGGGCGTCAGAAGCTTAAAGACGGCGACGAACAAGACGAGGACGACCAGACCTCGGACTATTTTCTTGAAGATCTCCAGACCAAGGAGTCGAGACGGTGGTGGAAAAAACGCATGCCATCGACCAAGCGAGCCACTGCTTCCGATGGCACCGAGTACGACATCGACCTCAATCGAAGCCCCACCCCATAAATATATAATGTATAGTGTGTATTCCTCGGTGGCATCTGAAAACCTCACTCCGCATTTTCTTATTGAAACCCAAATCTCTTCCTCCTTGTACTTTACTCAATGTCTCAATTGTACACCCAGGAAAAGAAGACCATCAGTGCACACACCCCACGACTCCCTGGTACCACTCTATTGGCCGAGGACCAGCGTCGGTTGAAGCTCGTCTACCATAAATTCACCACCACCACTCCTCGGTTCACCACCGACCAAGTACGAATTAACGTCCTCTTCACCCATGGTACCGGCATGAACAAGCTGGTATGGAACTACCACATCCGCAGGCTCTACGAGGAGTCTACCGCTGCCTCCACCTGGTACTTGGGGTCGGTTATTGCCTTTGACAACATTGCCCATGGTGACTCGGCCATGTTGAACAACGACATTTTAGGCTGGACTAACGGTTGGACTGACGGGGGTAAAGACATCATTAAAATCGTCCAACACGAGATTGACACCACTGGCGACTTTGTCAACGGCAAGTACTCCAAGAATATCGCCGTGGGCCACTCTTTAGGAGGTCATCAGACGCTCATGGCCGGGTACTTGGAACCGCACTTGTTTGACGTGGTGATTCCCATTGAAGCTCCTTATTACTACGACCTCAGCCAACGAGACCGGTATATCGGCGTGTTCAAGAAGGTGTCCCGGCTTATCCAAGACGAGTTCGATACCCTCGAGGACTTTTACACCTACTATCGCAAGTATTCGTTTTACCAAACAATGCAGCCGGAGGTGTTGAGTGAGATGCTTGAAGACGAGTACTATACAGTGTATGATCCGGCCACCAACACCACCAAGTACCGCAGCAAGGCCAGCAAGCAGCGGCAGGCGTCGTGCTACTTCTCGTCCATGTACAACTTGAAAAAATCCTATACAATGGTTCCGTTACTCGAGTGTAAATGTGTGTTTGTGGAGGGAGAAAAAGCCACTTGGAATCCACCTCAGGCCACCAAATACTTCCAGGACACCGCCGACCCCAATGCTTTGCTCAAGGTGCACACGGTTCCGGGAGGAACGCACATGTGTTTTGGCGAGAAGCCGGACGAGCTCGTGGCGATGCTTAAACAGTTATTTGAAGATAGGTCCAAGTTTGCCCTAGACGCCGTTAAGTTTTATCCGGAGTCGATATACCACAACGACAAGAAGAAAATTTTGGACCACCAGTTTGGGTTGGTGATGGCGGGTCGGGACTATGAGGCCATCAATTTTTATGACAAGCCTGACTATCCTAAGTTGTGAAGATGTGTAGTATTTATATATGCTTATCTATGGCGCGCAGTTATATCGCGACCTCATCTCAAAATTTTTTCTTCACTACGATGGCATCAAAAGAACTTGTACTTGCTTATATTTTGAAGTACTTGGAGGCGCAGCCCGAGTTGAAGAGGGCATATAAGGCGTTGGCGAAGGATTTGAAGGAAAATGGTATTGAGGTTGCTGAGGTGAGCGATGATTTAGAGGAGGCGTTAGAGGGTAGTAGCAGTGATAGTGACAGTGATAGTGACAGTGATAGTGACAGTGACAGTGACAGTGACAGTGACAGTGACAGTGACAGTGACAGTGACAGTGACAGCGACAGTGAAGCAGAAACTCCCAAGGCTAAAGATACCAGTGTGAGTGATAGCTCTTCTGAGGCTAGCGATAACGAAGCACAGAGCGAAAAGGAGACCAGCGGCAAAGAAGACAGCGGTAAAGAAGATAACGGTAGCGGATCCAGCTCCGATTCTGGATCCAGTTCTGAGTCTAGTTCCGAGTCCAGTTCAGATTCAGATTCAGATTCAGATTCAGACTCCGACTCGAGCTCAAGCTCGTCGAGTTCTTCTGACAGCTCTTCTGACAGTTCTTCTGACAGCTCTTCTGACAGTTCTTCTGACAGTTCTTCTGACAGCTCTTCTGACAGCTCTTCTGACTCAGATTCAGACTCAGACTCAGACTCAGACTCAGACTCCTCCTCCTCACCCTCATCTTCAAAGAGAAAGGCTCATCCTTCTACACAACCAGCAAAGAAAGCCAGGATATCCACCCCCGAATCCTCCCAAACAGATTCCATCATCTCATCTCCAGAAAAAATCCCAGCCGATCAGGAAGCTGAACTCCAACCCGGCCAGAGAAAACACTTTTCTAGAATAGACAGATCAAAGATCTCGTTTGAAGCCAATGTATTGCAAGACAACACCTACAAAGGAGCTGCTGGCACCTGGGGAGAAATGGCCAATGAAAAGTTGGTGCAAGTCAGAGGTAAAGACTTCACCAAGAACAAAAACAAAATGAAGAAAGGTGCCTACAGAGGAGGGTCCATCACTCTAGCATCTGGATCATACAAATTCACCGATTAAATGGTAGATCATACATGGTAAAGTAGATCATCACGTAGACCATAGAATAGACCATCGATATAATGTTATAATAAATTCGCGAGGGCGCAAAAAAGATTTCTAATCACTCTTGTACAATATACCCATTGTTCTGAATTTAGATGTCACGGAGGAACAAAACAGTCAACTACAACGAGCTCAACAACGGGAACTTCTCGGACGTCTCGATCTCTGACGAAGAGGACGGTGATTACACTTCCAGCAAGAAGAGGCCTTCTCCCAGTCAGTCTGCACCCGAGAGAAAGAGAAAACCAGAACAAAGCATAGAAGCACTCAAGGCCAGTCTAAGCAACAAGGACTTTGATGAAGACGACTTGATCCAATTGACGCCGGATATTCCTCAGGACTACGTGCCCGATGCGGTTTCCAAGACGTTTGGAAAGTCGGACTTTTCATATCTCAGGTTAAAGCCTGACCATTTCTCCAGACCCATATGGATCTCTCCCAAGGATGGACGGATCATCTTGGAGTCGTTCTCCCCCTTAGCCGAACAGGCACAAGACTTCTTGATCACAATTGCGGAGCCGGTGTCAAGGCCTTCCCACATTCATGAATACAAAATCACACCTTATTCGCTTTATGCTGCTGTGTCAGTGGGATTGGAGACAGATGATATTATCCAGGTGCTTAATAGACTCTCAAAGGTTCCAGTAGCAGAGTCCATCACCAACTTCATAAAGGGGGCCACTGTTTCGTACGGGAAGGTCAAGTTGGTGTTGAAGAATAATCGATATTTCGTCGAAAGTGCACAAGCAGACGTGCTTCAGATGCTTTTGAAGGACCCGGTGATTGGCCCCTTGCGAATCAACAGTGAGAGTACTGTCGATTCTAACGGCCTTGTTAAGTTGGCTGCTCCTACTCAAGGTGACTTGAAGATTGCGGGTTCTAGCAACAAGCCAGATGACAACAAGAATAAGGATACAACAGAAGATATATTTGCATCGGTGGTAGGGAACAAAACGTCAGAGGAGGACTTTGACGACGACATGGACACAGTGCACTCATTTGAAATTGCCAACGACTCGGTGGAAATCATCAAGAAACGATGTCAGGAAATCGAATACCCGGTGTTGGAAGAGTACGATTTCAGAAACGATCAGAGAAACCCTGACTTGGAAATCGATCTCAAACCCTCCACCCAAATCAGGCCCTACCAAGAGAAATCGTTGTCAAAGATGTTTGGTAATGGCAGAGCCCGTTCGGGAATCATCGTGCTACCTTGCGGTGCCGGTAAGACGTTGGTTGGAATTACTGCTGCTTGCACCATTCGAAAGTCGGTGATTGTGTTGTGCACCTCATCAGTGTCGGTGATGCAATGGAGACAGCAGTTTTTGCAGTGGAGTACTATACAGCCGGAGTCGGTGGCCGCGTTCACGTCGGAGAACAAGGAGATGTTTTCGACCGATGCTGGGTTGGTGGTTTCGACTTATTCAATGGTTGCAAACACCCGAGCCAGGTCCTATGACTCTCAAAAGGTGATGGACTTTCTTACTTCAAGAGAATGGGGGTTCATCATCTTGGACGAGGTGCATGTGGTACCGGCTGTGATGTTCAGAAGAGTTGTTACCACTATTGCAGCCCACTCGAAACTTGGTTTAACGGCTACTTTGGTGCGGGAAGATGACAAGATTTATGACTTGAACTTTTTGATTGGCCCCAAGTTGTACGAAGCCAACTGGATGGATTTGGCACAAAAGGGCCACATTGCCAACGTTCAATGTGCTGAGGTGTGGTGTCCAATGACGTCGGAATTTTATCAAGAATACTTGAGAGAAACGTCGAGGAAGAAGATGTTGTTGTATATCATGAACCCCACGAAATTCCAGGCATGCCAATTCTTAATTCACTATCACGAAAAGAGAGGTGATAAAATCATTGTGTTTAGTGATAACGTGTATGCCTTACAGGAGTATGCGTTGAAGTTGGGAAAACCTTTTATCTATGGTGCAACTTCACAACAAGAACGGATGAAGATCTTGCAGAACTTTCAGCACAATGACCAGGTCAACACAATTTTCTTGTCCAAGGTGGGTGACACTTCGATCGATTTGCCAGAAGCCACCTGCTTGATCCAGATCTCATCTCACTATGGGTCTCGTAGACAAGAAGCTCAGAGATTGGGTAGAATCTTAAGAGCAAAGAGAAGAAATGACGAAGGGTTTAATGCCTTCTTCTACTCATTGGTGTCTAAGGATACCCAGGAAATGTACTATTCGACCAAGAGACAAGCGTTCTTAGTGGACCAAGGGTATGCCTTCAAGGTTATCACTCATTTGAATGGAATGGAGCAATTGCCCAATTTAGCATATTCAACTGCACGAGAACGTAGGGAGTTGCTTCAAGAAGTGTTGTTAAAGAATGAGGATGCTGCTGGGTTGGAGATTGGTGATGATGCTGATACAACCTTCGCCCGGGAAGGTAGAATCAAGACCGAAGGTAGCAGCTCTGTCAAGAGTGCCGGGTCTTTGGCAGGATTGGCTGGGGGTGAAGACATGGCGTATCTTGAGTACGGTAAGAACAAAAACAAGGAGATTAGGCAGCAGCGGAATCCGCTTATCAACAAGTTGTACTATTCTAAGAAGAAGAGTTAAATAAGAAAGTAAAGCCATGCAAGGCCACGCAAAGTCAGTATCATAATGCATATTCTATATAGTCCATTCATATCGCATAAAGTTTGTGTAACATCTCTTCGCTATCCCACAAAATCTCCAAAGTCGTCTTCTTGGTCGTTATCATCATCACTAAGTTCATTCGTTTCATCCAGCGCATCAAGACTGAGGTGCTTCAGGTCTTCCGCAAGCTGACCCATCTCGAGCTCGTATTTATACTGCTCCACGTAGCTATGGAACAGTTTTTGGTAGGAATTGAGTCTCTCTATAAATGTGTAAGCATCAAGTTTATCATCAAATTTGAGCCCCAAAGCCACTTGCACCAAGTCTTCGTGTGGATTCAGCCCTGTGTACTTGGACCCAGGGATCTGGACAATTATCTTGAATAGTCGATATGCCTCTGTTCGCTGGATAGACTCCAATTGCACAAGTTGACCATCCAATTCATGGATTGGATTGTACCACACCACGGCCCAAAGCTCAGATTTGGCATCCACTTCGTTATACAACTCAAGTTTGAGCCGAATCCGGTCTACCGGGAACGAAGGCAGCCGGATACGTGGCGGGGCTCCACTTAAGTGGATTTCCTCAGTTTCATCCTCTTCAATGTACGTTTCTTCTTCTAACACACGTAAGCAGCCGCTCCAAATCGTGCTTGATTCATACTTGTTCCATTCGGTGATGGAGAGATTGCCGGGTGGAATCTTGAACACACTGACGGCCGAGCACTCGAACACGTCTGTGCTGATTGTTTCTAATTGTTGGCCCATGACTTAGTATAAATGTGCAGAGCTGTTACAAGCCATAAATCGAGCAAGGATCTAATGCCAGGTTTTCGCGGCCGAAAAACCACTGCTAAAATTTTTCATCTGGTGAGGTTCAATATGTTCAGAAGTCTTCAACGCACGGTGTTGATAAGGCCATTCCCCATAAGGCCCGCCTACAGAGGGTTCTCGTTCACATCCCGGGTGTTGGCAGACAAAAAAGGCCCCGACTCCAACTCGGTGACCAAGCAGTTGTACGAAGCCGTCAAGTCCAACAACCCATCCAACCAACAAACCCCTATTGATGACAGTTTACTCGACATGTTAAACAACCTTGAGAGCAGACCCACTCACCAGAACTCGTTTTACGACAGTTTCGGGTTGACGGACGCTTCGCAGGTTCATCCCAGAGACATCGCCAAAAACATCCGTATAACTGGACCACTGGCGGGTAAGACCCTTGACATAAATAACGGGGCTCTTTGGAGGGGCTTGGGAGCCATGAACAGTATTCTCAAGAACAACAAAGTGAAGTACTTGGTGAAGATCCAGAAAAGACACATCAGAAAGGCCAAGTACAGAAAGCAGAAGAAACGGGAATGGTGGAGACAAAGATTCCTGCAAGGCTTTGGCGAGCTTTTGGCCAAGGTCAACGATGCCAAGAGACGTGGATACTAAACCCCCAATTTGGGTCCACTACAACAACTTTTTTGTACATAGTAATATAATCGCTAACATTGGTCAACGGGGCAGAACCGGTCGTGCGCGCCGGGTCCTCATGGAGATCTAATCTCATCTAAAAAACTCCGACTAATCACCACAACCCACCTGAGTCCCACTCCCCAACACGAAGTTCCGTTCCTGGAAGCTTCCACAACCCCCAAAACACCAGACCCACCACCAGCAGACCCGTACCAACCCTGCCTGCCGCTGGATTCGCCTGTATATATTCCTATTTATTACCACCCCATGACTCACGTGGATCCCAAACCTTCATCACAGACTCCATCCGGGGGCATTCCTGCCATCACCGGCAGCATAAACCATACCAATGCCATTCACGTGTTCCCCGAACACCTACAGCCGTGGAAGCCCACCGTCATTTCGTACGGATCTTCCTTTCTTTCCACCACCATTGGGTTCCCTATGGATACCATCAAAACCAGAATGCAAACGCACCCCGAGTTCAAAAGCTACTTCGACTGTGCCCTCAAGACGTACAAGGCCGAGGGAATCAACGGGTTTTTCAGAGGAATCTGGGCGCCGTTGGTGTCTTCGTCGTTTTCCAAATCCATCAATGTGTCGCTCTTCACCCAATGTAAACCATACGTCCACAACGGGCTCTTTCCGTACGACGACTCGGATATACACCCGTTTGTCAGGAATATCCCCACCTGTTTTCTCCTGGGAATGGTGGCGGGCGCCGGGGTGTCGGTGTTTGCCTGTCCGTTTGAATTCACCAAGATCTTTGCGCAGATCAGTAAGTTAGTGGAACGTAACACCGTCAGTAAGGCCTCCAACGGCCTGACGTTGGCGACGTTCAAGAAAATCATCAAGTACGAGGGCCCCATGGGATTGTACTCCGGGTTTAGGTATCATATCGTCAGGGATGCTCTTTCGTCTGGAGTATATTACTCGGTGTACGAGACCATGAAGTACACAATGAACACCGTCATCAACAAGGATGCCACCAAGAACTCTCCCATATCGGTGGTGCTTGCGGGAGGGTTGTCTGGGGTTACTTGTTGGATCGTGGTGTTTCCCATCGACACTGCAAAGTCGTTACTTCAAAAGCAGGTGGTGCTGAATATTTTCTGCAAGAAGGACCGGTTGCAGCCCAAGCCCGTTAAACGTCCAAAGATCACCATCAGCAGAAATATGTATAGGGGACTTGGAATTTCGGTCACCCGGTCTTTTATTGTAAATATGGTGTTTTTCAGCACCTTTGAGTTTCTTATGGGCCATATAGCCTGATGTAAATAGTATGCCATGTAAATAAGTTATAGAGGAGATATTTTACACACAGTAGTTTGGAGGAGTTTGAATCTTTATACAAGTGTATTATTACATATGCTACGTTATTCATAAAACTTTGCTCTGTTTGATCACCGCCTTCTGCTTCTTCCTCTCGAAGCCTGCTCCTGTTCTGCTTCCTCCTCAGTGGCTTCCGGCTTCTTGGTTCTTCTTCTGGTTCTTTTCCCAATGGGCACATCGTCAACAATGATATCACGAAGACTCTCTTTTAATGGTGACTTGGACCGAGTTCTGTTGGCAGGATTGTCTGTCGACGTGCTGTCCCATTTACCACTGGTCTTTCTTGACGTGGGTTGAGACTCGGGGTCAAGAACTGCGTCAATTGAAACTGTTTTCCTTGTTTTGGGGACTTTTAACGGAGGTAAAGGCTTCTTTGTCACCTTCTTAGGTGAACCTTTCTTTGGTCTTCCTCTTTTACGTGGTGAAGCTGGAGGGGTGAAGGTAGGTTCTTTGGGGCCTCCTTCTTCAGGAACTCTCTCTTCAGGTGTGGGTTTCTTCTTTTGTGTTCTTGAGGCTCTCAAGTTTACAGGTGCTTCCGACATCTTTTTGCGAGATTTCCTTGATCCTTTGGGAGGTTTAGTCAGGTCCACATTGGTAGGTTCTTGCTCAGCGTCTGCTGCCCCAAAAGTGTGTCCATCTCTCAAAGAGTGAAGAGGTTCTAAGGATTCCGGATCGATTTCCAATCCGAGCACTCCCTTTCTCTTAGGCTTTGGGGACTGTGGTTCAGGTTCGGGTTTCTCTTGATCTTCTACCTTTGGGAACTGTGGTTCAGGTTCAGATTTCTCTTGTTGATCTTCTGGCTTTGATACTTTGTTAGCTTCACCATAAAGCAGGTCTTTGATATCTTCGGGGTTGACAGTTTCTGGTTCATCCTCTTGTTTAGAAAGTTCTTCTTGTTCAGCAAGTTCTCCAGATTCTGTTTTTACAAGATAATCTTCACCTTCGACTTTATCTACAGCCACCTCACCTTCGCTTTCTGGACTTTCCTGCTTGATTCCATCACTATTGGATTTGGTTGAGTTCCAAAAACTCCTGATCCATAGCAACGGGTTCAAGCTAATTCTCAGTTGCTTAAAGACTCTTGTGTCTTCAAACTCTTCACTTCCATGTTCAATATCATCATGTTTCCTTTTCTTTGCGTGAGCTAAAGCGTCTTCAGTGTTCTTTTCGGTTGTTTCTATCTCAATTTCTGGTTCATTACGTTCTTCAGTTTCCACCTCGCTGTCTCTTTGTCTATCATCCACGTTTTGAGGTTCGTCTGAAATAACTCCTAACACCTCCTCCTTGTCGTTCTCGCCTTCTTCAACCTCCATGATGTCTTCAGTAATATCATACTTAAGAGTAGAACCTCTGGGGTTTTGAACTTCTTCAGGGAACTCTACTCCTGTAGGTTCTACCATCTTTTCCTCCTCATTAATATCAAAATCCTCTTCCACTTTGAATTTGGGTTCGTCGAAAAGAGGTTCCATAATCGAGGTAGGTTGGATGATTTCTCCGTCAACTGAAGGAGTAGATGACATTACTTCCACAAGAGTATGCAACTCAGACCTTTGTGCTTCGAACTCAATATCAGAGTTAGCTAGAGGAGACTCGGGTAAGCTCTCAGAAGAGGGAGTTATGACATTCAGATCCATGACTTCGGTGCCTTCAGGGTACTCAATGATCACCTGTTCCTTTTCTTCCTCAAATTCAATTGAAGGCAGTGGAGACCTGGAAAGTTCTTCAACGTTTGCAAAGGAACTATCCACAGCATCAAGAATGGGTTGAGTGATATCATAAGCCGCTTCAATGCCAATTTCCTTTTCTTCGGCAACCTCTTCGACTTCTGAAACGGAATCCTTCTCATCTTTTTCAAGGACTTGGGAACTGATAACGAGTTCTTCATGTACATCACCCAAAGTAACTTTTGTACTTTGTTCGTATAACTCATTGAGAGACGACGTATCAATGGATGTAATGATCGGCTTTTCAACGCTTCCAGTGAATCTATCTTCAATTTCAGAGTGCTGAGGGCTATCAGGAAATGAAGAGTTTGAATCTTGAACGGAGGGGACTTTGAGTTCATTGAGATCTTCAAGAATAGTATTTTCTGCAAAGGAGGATTCAACATCTTGAAGTGAAGGTCTCTGGACCTCCTTGGAGTCGACATCACGAGACGTATGTGCAGTTAACGAGGTGTCAACTTCTTGAAGTGATGGCTTTTCAATATCAGTAGTGTCGTTTGAGTTTTCCTCAATAATGGGTTCAACGAATGAAGAGTCAACCTCCTGAAGTGACGGCTTTTCTACTTTAGCATCGTCTAGGTCTTCAACAGTGGGTGCAGCGAAAGAAGAGTTCACTTCCTGGAGAGCAGGTTTTTCTGGTACATTCAACTCTTGTACAGAATGGCCAGGAGCCAAGTCAACATTGTAATGAATTTTGTTCACCAGCAGTTGAGTATAATCACTTGCCTCATTTGACTCATTAACATCCTCTTCTATAGGCTTCAAGTCTCCAAAAAACAGGGTAAATTCTGGCAGTTTCGAAGCCTCCTCAACAGCTTCAGAAATTTCATATACACTGTCTCTCAACATGGAAGAGTTTAGGTCGTCCAACTGTGGCACACTGATGTCGCCAGAAGATTTGACCTCAAAGGAGAATTGACTTGGTGAGAGCACTTCATCATCTTCTGAATCCTCCATAACCGCATCAAGAATGGTGATATCACGAGGTTGAGATTGTTGCACAGCAGGGTCTTCAGAAACAGAAAGCAAGTGTTCGATAATTTGAGTGTCTGGGACGGAAGGATTTGCATCTGCCATAGCTTCCTGGCCATCCACCGTGTTATATGGCTCATCGCTTAATTCCGATTCAGAAGCTGAAGAATCGGCTTGTGGTTGGGAAAGTATTGGGATTTCAGGTTCTTTGTGGTCAGAATGCTCTTTGACATGAGGAACTGGAGGTTTCTCTTCGGGGGCTTGGTGTTCTAGTGGTACTCTGTGATCCACTGATACTTCGAGCTCAGGGACTTCGGGTTCAGAAACTTGGAGTTCATTTATCTCTGGCTCTGGCTCTGGCTCTGGCTCAGGCTCAGACTCTGAGGTAGGAACGTCATCAAGAAATGGTCGGTCAACTGTCTTCAAGCTTTCAACAAAAGCCCTCACTGGGTCAATTCCAAGCTCAACTTGAAGCTCTTTTCTAACCTTCAATTGAATTCCAAACTTTTCTTCGGTTTCCTTCAACTTTTGCAAAACGGCCTCAGCAGGCTCAGGGGCCACTGTTCTGAATGTGGGCAACCCTTCGTCCTCCGAGTCAGAACTGGATTCTACATCCGCCTCTGCTTCATCTTCAACCTCTTGGCCTTCACTCAAAGTGTCTATGTCGGCTTCAGATCCCTCTGACACCACCTGGTCGACAAGATGAACCTCTTCTTCTATATCCATTTCAAACGGCTGTGGTAACGGAGCCAAGGGAGGCTCGAGATCTGGTGTCTCAGACTCAACCTCGGCCACGTCAGACATCTCGTCATCTGTTTGGTACTCCTTTTGGGATTCTGTGTCGACCAGCTTCATAGGTTGCAGGGGTTCGGATACAAACTCAAACTGGTGGTCTTTTATCACTGACTCCGCCAATTCGAGTAGATTGGAGTCAAGAGGACCCTGGACGATTTGGTCGTATTGATGTTGAGCCATTTCTTGAATATGCTGCTGGAGGGTGGGATCAAGCTCGATTTCGGCTTCCGATTCGTGGTTGTAGGTGAATTGGGCATTGTGTAAGCTGTAAAGCAGTGGATCGGGAGTTTCCATGTGATCTGAGGTGAGAGCACTTTCCTTGTCGCTGGGAATCACCTCCAAGTCGTGAAAGTCCGTAGGAGAATCGGCCACTGGGATGTGGGTGGTTTCGTTGTCATCATTGGCATCACTAACGAAATCTTCGGAAGAGCTGAGAACCATTAAGACATCGTTTTCGTCATGGGTCAGGCTATTGGCACTTTTCCCGACTTCCTCGTTGCTGCCGCTGTCATTGTCCAGGAAGCGGGCAGAAGTGTAAGGCCCCATAGCGGACAATCGAGGTCTTCCGTTTTGTAATCTGTAAAGTGTGGATTCAGCATCGACTTCTTCTTCGACTTTTTCATCTTCTTCTTCGACTTCTTCATCTTCTTCTTCGACTTCTTCATCTTCTTCTTCGACTTCTTCATCTTCTTCTTCGACTTCTTCATCTTCATCCTCGACTTCTTCAGAACTCAAGATCTCAATCACATCGGAATCCGAGACCGCTGCCTCTTCCACCTCTTCCAGTTCGACCTCTTCCAGTTCGACCTCTTCCAGTTCGACCTCTTCCAGTTCGACCTCTTCCAGTTCGACCTCTTCCTCCGCCTCCTTCAGTACTCCCACGTACTCGTCAAACGGATCGAATATGCGGGTCCTATACTCCTCTCTCATTGCATCTTCATCCAAACTGCTCTTCAACTTGACCAACTCGTCATTTTGCACTTGGAGAGTCTGGGAAAATCGGGACTTCAACGAGTCGATCCAATCGACCAACTTCAATGAGTCGTCCTTCAACTGCAGCGGTAACTGCTTCTTCGGGAACAAGGCCCGATTGACATCCGATACATGATCTTTCCCCATATTTGTGGTATTCTGATGCTACAGAGGTTGTGTCGCAGAACTAAGTGCGACAGCGTGCGCGCACCACCCACATATCTACGTGCCCCACCCAAACATCTGGTGCACCAGCCACCTAGGTCACTTCGTGCGCGCACCACAGGCGATGGCTGGTTTTGCGCGTGCATCGTAGAAATAAAACAGATCACTGAAAACTTTTCAATGGAATTAGAGGATTGGCGTCTGGGATAAAGATTTAGGTTCCGAGTTTTTAGTGACCTACTCCACCCATTGTTCTTAATTTAGAAGTTTTCATTCGTTTCGCCTAGGCATTGCTCATGTTCGGTGCTGTACCCCTTCTTCTTTAATTTGGTCAACCATACCCGATGGGGAACATTCGGTAGTTGTAGAAAATGTTTCTTCATGCACGCGAGCCGCATGGACCGATGTTTTCCATTCAGCTGAAAACAGAAATAGTGGGTTTGCATTTGAACAGGTGGGCCAGAATTCATACCGCCTCCCAACTCTGACCCTTTCTTCTACATCTTATCAATACTTACATCACCTACTGAACATTCTGGTGGTTGATCTGGAGTGGTGTTGGCGAATGCAGATCCTCTCTCGTAAAATCGGAGAACATTTCTTTTTTTTTTCGCACTCAATAGAACAGCAATTATCATTCTGGGAGATTAGAACTAGGATGTTTCAGCACGGGTTGACAACCAGCGGTACTTAGTTGTGGATGATTGTACCGCCCCCAGGTTGTGGATGGGGTTTGAGATCGTAGGTGGTGAGAATTCAATGCTGACAATTCCATACTGGCCCGTATTTTAGGTTGAAGGTCATCGCAGCACCCGCTACGAATTTCTGGTTGTGAGAAGCCTAGCACTAGAAGGTGCCTTAAAATAGAAGCCAGCTGCAAACCTCAAAAAATTTCATCCCAACAATAGAGGTGTTGTGCACAGACCGCGCGCTTTTTTCCCAATGGGGATAATTAGTTGGAATTGCACTGGTTTTGCCTTTTTCTTTTTTCCTTCGACCATCAAGCCCTGTATTTACCTTTGCGCCTGTCCACCGGTATAAATACCAGGGATTTTTCCCTTGCAATTTCTCCTCATCTTTTCTCCATCTTCTTTCTAATCATGGCTGCTTCCACTTCCGACGTTGACGTTGAAGCTCAACATATCGAAACTTACGAACCAAGAGATGCCGTTAATCAAGGCTCTGCTTTAAAGAATCACGGAATCGCCATTTTGGGTGAATTCTTTGGTACTTTTATCTTTTTGTGGACTGCCTTTGTCATTGCCCAAATTGCCAACCAGGATCCTACCATTCCAACCGTGGGTTCCAACCCAAGCCAATTGATTATGATTTCGTTTGGTTTTGGTTTCGGAGTCATGGTGGGGGTATTTATGTTTTTCAGAGTGTCTGGTGGTAACTTGAACCCAGCCGTCACCTTGACCTTGGTGTTGGCCCAGGCGGTTCCTCCAGTGAGAGGAGCATTGATGATGATTTCTCAGATGGTTGCCGGTATGGCAGCTGCTGGAGCTGCATCGGCCATGACCCCTGGTGAAATTGCCTTTACCAATGGATTGGGAGGAGGTGCCTCTAGAACCAGAGGAGTGTTTTTGGAAGCTTTTGGTACTTGTATTTTGTGTTTGACCGTGTTGTTGTTGGCGGTTGAAAAGCATAAGGCCACCTTTGTGGCTCCATTTGTCATTGGTATTGCCTTGTTTTTGGGTCACTTGATCTGTGTGTACTATACCGGTGCTGGTTTGAACCCCGCTAGATCCTTCGGCCCATGTGTGGCCGCCAGGTCTTTCCCAGACTACCACTGGATTTACTGGGTGGGTCCCGTGTTGGGATCCGTCATTGCCTTTGCCATTTGGAAGGTGTTGAAGCTTTTGAACTACGAAACCTGTAACCCAGGTCAAGATGCCGATGCTTAAGGTGTTTATAGAATCTTAATAATTAATAATAACTGCTTATAAAGACTGATTAAAGTGCTGATGTAAAGACCTTACCATCGACTGAAAATTTCGTACATCGCGAGAAGCCGATGGAGCTTCCCCATATTATTGATCTCACGAAATTTTAACCCTTTTAAAGTTCTGAGTTCGCTGTCGAGTAGCAACTCTGCTTCATGACCCTTGACATCTTCTCTCTCACATTTATCCAATAACACCTTGTGCTCGCCCTTGAACTGGTCGATGAGATGGAGAATGTTGGCCATGTTATATACAAGGGTGTTCTTGAAGAAATTGAAGGACGTGTGCTGCTTGTACCGATAAGCATAGAATGTCTTGGACGCAGCTCTATCGTTGCTTCGGGGGACTTCCTGGATTTCAATCACATTGAGCTGCACAAGCTTATAGATCTCGTTTCGCACAAGCTTATCTTTGAGTAGCACCGAGTGTGCAACCGTCTTCTCATCAACAAGCTTCATCTGCTTGATACACCGCAAGATCCGTAGCCCGTCACTGCCCACTGTCTTCTTCATCACCTCGTCATAGTTGTATTCCAACACAATCTGCTTGAGCTTGTGGAACGGCACTGTGAATGTGCCGGGACTGAGTTCCACAATGAACGGTATAGCCGAGGATGACGATAAGAGTTTGAGGTGGTGGTTGACCAACGATGCAGTTTCGCTGCGCACGGTGTCGGCGAAATCCTCTTGTTCGAGAGGCAGTTCCAAGTTCTCCATCTTGATTTTGGGCTTCTTCAACTTTCTCTCCATCTCTCCAAAACTCACCACTCTTTTTCGGGTGGTTTCGGGCTTCAAAAAGTTGTGTGTTAACACACTCTTGCCCAAGTCCAACTGTGGGTGCAAGTGCTTCACCACGTCGTGGGCTTTGAAAACCATTGCCTTGTTGTCTATGAGTCTATTTTCAAGTTCGGTTTCAAACCGAACCATTTCCTCTGGATCTAAGATCATCCCATCGATGCTGGTTAGAAAATGGTGCACCTCAGGGCTGCTTTTCTCGATTAAACTCAATGCGGTCGAGTATACCGAGGCCGTGAGCGGGCCTATACGGGATTCACACAAGCTCACAAGGGCATTTGTGCGCGTGTGTCGTTGGTACCGGGCATAAGAAAAGGCTATTTGCGTTTGTGGCTTCAACACCTTCATGCCATCTCTCTTGTCAAACATTCCAGTTGGTAAGCTCTCCACCAAGTTGGTGAGCTTTATGCGAGATGCCTCTTTGGCCTCAGCCACCCGCTTGATTTCACTCACGGTTGCAGAACGTGGCAACTGCTTCATGGTGGCCTGGTAGATCTGGTTCCACAAGTCTTCTATGGGGTTGAAATCGTGTTTTTGTAATGGTTTTACCCATCCATCACTGAAAAGTTTCGCCAACTTGATTTCCACCAGGTACCTGGTGTCCACGTCAGCATCTTTGACCAAATCCTCCACACGAATACTGCCTATTTGGATCAAGTTCTGGATGATGGCAGCACTTTCGTGGTCGTATGTTTCTCTTATATGGTTAATGATCTGTCCGCTGTGGAGCAACACCAACAACCCTTGTTCATGGAACGTATAATCCACCCGTTCGCCTTCTTGCCAGTACAACACGCAGTTCAACTGTATCAACGATACCAACGATGTTTTCACGGTTTTAAGAGGGAACTTGGTCTTCTTACTGATATCTTTTGCAGTTAGTCTACCGTGGGAAATCAAGGTGGAGACCACCACGGCGGCTACCAGTCCCAAATGGTTCTTGGTAACCATCGTCCAGAGGTTTGACATTGGCGACTGGCCCTCAGCTGACTCGGAAAGCTCTGCGATCATCGTGATAAATAGTTCTGATTCCAAGATGAGGGCTTGTTGTCTGAAATTTTTTTAACAGTATCGCAGAACATCGCGCACTGCAATTGTACTTTTAACCAGTGTGTCATTGAGGTGAATGTCGACGGCAAAACATTATTTGAAGCTCGCCAAGGGTGCAATTGACAAAAATGACCCAGAGCTTGCATTGGAGTATGTTCAAGATGTGTTGGAAGCCGACAAGAACAACTTTTTTGCCTTCCTTTTCCAAGGTAAATCGTACCAACTCATAAACGACACAGATCAAGCCATAAAGGCTTTTCAGAAAGCCACCCAATTACAACCAGATAACTTGCTTGGGTGGAAAGGATATTTTCAAGTGGTTAGTGAGCTGGGCGTCCATGAACTTTTTTTCCAGGTTTTGGCGCAGTATTTACAAGTTGAAGCTGAGCAGGGCCAGGGTTTAGGCCAAACGTTAAGAAATGCGTCAAATTACATTAAAAAGCACAATCTCAAAGGAAAGCCAGACCTCCATGAGTTGTTTTTATCGCACGTGATTCCAGGTACCAAGCTTCATGAGCTTGCTCCTTCGTACTTCGGAAGAGATGAAGATAATTTACAGAAGTTGGTAGACTTGGTGTTTAAGAAGGAAAATGAATTGGTGGTGAAGGCTTGCTTCAAAGAAAGAATGAAGTTCCCGAAACAGCTCAGCTATGACCAGCAAGACCTTATGAATAACATAATATGGCCCATTTACAAAAACTCCAAATTGTCAGATTACTTTGACGAGTTTTTAAACATTTGCAATGATGACGACAAAAGAAAGAAATACCAAGAACTCTATTTCCAATACAAATATGACGTTTTGAAAGTGTCCCCAAAGAAGTCCAAGTCCAAAATATTACAACAAGTAAAAGATATGTGTGACGACTTGATTCTTTTAAACATCCCCAGTCATTTTGTATGGAGTAAATACTTTGATTTGCTCGACGTCAAGGATTTCCGTGATTTAGATAAAGACCAGGTGATCTTCTGTATAAAGAACTTCCAAGCTGAGGGCCTTGGGATCCTTTTTTATGGGCTTGTCCACAGCGAGATTTCTCCGTTCAACAGAGACGAAATCTCGAAGGAAGTGAAAATTGAAACAGAAACAGAGGTAGAGGAAGACGAGGATCAAGACCTCATAAATCTCATGGAAACTAAAGATGACGGGCCATCCCGCTTCTCGGCAGAACAGATTTTAGAGCTCATAAAGGAGGGTTCTTCCAAGTTAGACTCGGTATTTTCCAAGCGAATCTTGATAGACTATTACCTCCATATGAGAGAGTATTTGGGAGCTTCTGACATTTGCCGTGTTGGTATAAAACTTCTTGCAGACATGCAGCATGCAATTGGAGTTGACTTGGTCAACTCTAGAGCGTCCGTCGTTTGTTCTCTAGCCGTGGTATATACTTATCATGAAGCACCCAAAAACTATAGCAGAGCATTGGAACTCTATGAAAGAATCTTGGAACTCGACAAGCATAACAAAAGAGCAAGAATTGGGAAGGGGTTAATTCTCTTGGAGAAGGGAAACCTTTCTGTTGCAAAGAAGTTATTAACGCAAGCATTCAACGACTTTCCAGACGATTCGGATGTATTGATGGAGCTAGGATGGTGTGAGGTTCAGCTAGGAAATCACCAGGTTGGAAGAACGCATTTGGAGAAGTCGCTCAAGTCATTGACTGGATTGGATATCCAAAGCTGTGAATTGAGAGCCTCTATTAACTGGAGAATCGCCCGAAGTTATATACTCGAGAAACCCGACAATGTGGATGTTCCCTATCAGCTTTTGATCAAGTCTTTGAAGGAGTATAACAGCTTTGCTCCTTCCTACACGGCTCTTGGTATCATATACTTTGAGGTGTATGGGGATAAAGTGAGGGCCCAAAAGTGTTTTTACAAGGCGTTCGAGTTGGATATCGCTGAAGTGGAATCTGCCAAATACTTGGTCACTGACATGACCAGCAAGAAAGAGTGGGAAGTTGCTGAAATCTTATGTTCCAAAATTGTTGATACAGAAAGAGCTCGTAAAGCCTTGAGTTCCCAGCAAGACAAGTCATGGCCCTATCGAGTCTTAGGGTGTTCTGCTTTGAACAAACAAGACGATGCCAAAGCCATCCAATGGTTTCAAACTGCTTTGCGAATGGCATCTATGGATTTCGAATGTTGGGTGGGTCTAGGTGAAGCTTACTACAATTGCGGAAGATTTGATGCTGCTCAAAAGGTGTTTGAACGAGCCTTGACTCTCAAGGAAGAGGAATCTTGGCAAATTACATATATGTTGGGAAAAGTCTTGTGTGACACCAAAGAGTTTGATGACGGAATCGAGAAGTTGGAAAGAGCTCTTGAATTGAGACCAGGTGAAGAATGTGTTGTAAATGCATTGTTCCAGGCCAAGATTGAGCAAATCCAAAAGCTTTTACCCAATGGGTATTTTGGAAGGGTGTTGGATATCAACCGAAACGTCTTGGAGTTGGTCAAGCAGTGCAGCAAGATTAACAAGAAGACACAGTCGTTGTGGTTGGGATTATATCACTGTCTTCTGGTGTATCTAAAGATCCAGTCCAACTTGGAGGACTTTCCTCTAGCAGAAGTGGAAGATATCTTCAACGAGTTCAAGGACGAGACTTTCACAGAACCATTTTTACAAGAATTGAATCAGATCGATGACAATATTAACCTTCAAGGCTGTAGTGATATCTTCAGAAACGGAAAGCATGTCGAGGGTATTACATCCTTGATTATCTTCAACTTTAAAGTTTGCATTCACTTACTACCCGAACAAGGTAGATACATGAGATCCATCAACTACTACAATTTAGGTTTGGCATATTACGAAGCATTCAATCATTGTGAAAAGGAAAACCTTCGTACTGCAGCTATCAAGTGTTTCAAGAAAGCGGTTGTCCTAGAAGGCAAAAACTCAAGTTTCTGGATTGCTTTGGGAAATGCCTACTCTTCATTCAGCCCACAGATCAGTCAGCATTGTTTCATTAAGGCCACGGCTTTGGAATCAAGAGATGGGGACATTTGGAACAACCTTGCTGCACTTTACTTGAAATACGGAGACGTGGAATTGGCCCAGCAAGCATTTTTAAGATCCCAGTCGGTGGCTCCAGAACAATCCCAAGCATGGTTAGGACATGCATTGGCGTCGAAAGCATCAGCAGATGTGGAAAAGGCTCATAGCTTGTTCAACCATGCGTATATCTTGTCCAACGGCCGGTCGCCTTTAGCCCAGCTTTTGTACGCCTTATCGATCATCAGCAAGCGGGTAGGCAACAACTCAAGTCCTGAAGATATAGAAACAGCACAGGACTTTAGTATTGCCAACTTTGCCATTCAAAACTATCTCAAGTTCTACCCCAAGGACAAAATGGGGTTGAAGGTAGCCTTGACAATCAGTGAACGTTGTAAGACCTTTGATTTGAGCAAAGACATTGGCCAACGGTTGTTAGTGATCTTGGAAGCTGAATACGAGGAAACCGAGAGTCCCCAAATTCTTCAAGAATTCGTCAACACCAAGGTCCAAGTGGCCAGAATCCATTTGGCACTCGGCGACTACGCTCAAGCAGTACAAGAAAGTGAAATGGTATTGGGTCTCATCGATGAAACTGATGCCCTAGATATCAACAAGCGCAACCTCTTGTCTGCTCGTATAACCATCGGATTAGCCCATTTTTTCGACAAGGACTTGGAAAAGTCTGTGGAGCAGTTGAAGGCGATTTTGGTGGAGTACAGCCAGTATGAATGGCTTGTTACCTTGACGGCTCAGATGTTGAATGCTTTTAATAGTCCTGACACCAAACAAGCGGCTTTAGACCAATTGTTCTCGTTCATTGAAGACAGCGACACCGAGTCTTCGTTAATCATAGTGCTCACTCTAGGCGCCATCGCCTTGAAAGACGGACTCGAGGACATTTTACCAGCAGTCAAAGACGAGCTCCATGGACTCTCATTAACACAAATAGTGGGAGATACCCACAAATACGTACCCAAGATCATACAAGAGATCAGCCTGCGACTCGGCCAATCCCACGAGTCCAAGATCTGGGAACGGACGGCCATTTTGTTTCCCCAGGACTTTAATGTGTGGAAGAACATCAATAGCCAATTGGCGCTCCAGATTGCCAACTTACAAGAGACAAAACTCACTTCCTTAGACATGAGCGACGCTCTTGTTGCATACGGACGGTTCCGAGACGTCCAAAGAAGCATTGTGCTAGCTCCACACAACGCCAATGCGTGGGCCAGTTTCTATCTGGTTAGTTCTCCTAAGTAGTAGTAACAAATACACAACACAAGAAGTTCGCGCGCTCGCGCTTGGCAACTCAGATAAGATAACATTCGTGACAAGGAGATCCATCACTTGTACACACATACATACCCGGCCCCAATACTCTAGGCCCCCACTGAGCCCATTTCACACCCATCGCCATTGATCCACCCGGTCCTCTGATCTCGTGAACCAAGGATCCGTTCTTTATCGGTATATATATGACTCGTTACCATGGTGTCCCCTCAGGTGAAAGACCTTGATACATATATCCGCAAACAGAACTCCAAGCTCACGCAGGTGGTACAGAACTTTTTCACCAAGGCGGTTCAGATCATCCTCGGTGCTCGAAGTGAAGACGAAGACGAACTATCACATGATCAGAAAATCAACAAATGGTTCAACCTTCTAATGGCATCTTCCAACGCCGTAAACAAGGATGAGTTGAAGTTATGGAAGTCATGTGGTGACCTTTCGATCATTCCGCCGATGATTATTGAAACCTCTCTCGACCTTCGGCTGCTCTCCCACGAAAACGCTTTGGTGCTCAAAGACGACACGGGAAATGTGTGGGAGGTGGTCAAAGGTGTTAACAGTAAGAAACAGGAGGTGGTGGTCGAACGGTGGCTCATAGAGTTTGATCCCAACGATGTCAGCGGCTCCATTATGGACGAGTTGCCGTTGATCTACAAACAGGCCATCATCCTCTTCCGAAGTTTATATGGGTTCTTGAGACTCATGCCCGTATACAAGCTCCGGCAGCGGTTGGCGAAGAACCCAAACGGCCGCTTGAAGGTGGTCAACAAGGTCTTGGATGGCAAACAACCCATCAGCTCTAAGGGTCGAATCGGACTATCCAAGTCGATTATTCCTCAACAAATGCTATCTACAGAGTCCCATTTGGTACAACGGAACTTCCACCCGATCCACACCACCTTGGGCACTTTGAAGGTGTCGACCATCTACAGAAGACATGCAGACTTTGTGGTGCACGATAACGAGGAGGTATTATCAAGTCACTTTATCCACATGGACGACAAGGATACTCTGGTGCTTCCAGAACTCGAGGTCCCGGCAAAGGATATTGCCAACACGGCTTCAATGTCCATTTCACCCAGTACTGCTAGAGAACCTTCACCTGCAAAAAGAGACACTCCTCCAGCAGTTTCTGGACGTCCTGCCATCCAGCCGTTCAAGGTGGGCTCCATCAGCAGCTCACCGCCGCCGTTCCACGGCCCGTTTGGCCCATCTTCCCTCGAGAGGAGAATCTCCATCACCAGCAACAAGTCAACGTCAAATGCGTCTCTTGCAGCCATGCTCCGAAACCCGCGTGGTAGTAACCTGTCCACCACTGGTAACATTCCCATTTCCAGTACCGCTAGCCAGCATGCGTTGTCATCGGTGCCACGGTCGGTATCTTCCTCCCATGGCGACGCTGACTCCCCCAACCCCGACGGTGTGGCCACCACGCCCCGGTTTTCGTCCTCATTCGGGTCGCGTGCCAGCAGACGCTTCAGCAACACCAGTGTTCGCCAAAGCGTCTTGCACCAAACCTTCAACGACCACAGCTACCTTGGCACCAGTGCCGGGCTGATCACGTCTGTCAACCCCATGAGTGGGATTTACATTGATGACGACATTAGTGACTTTGTGCGTATGATTGATAACAAAACGGACTTGCGTCTCTCCAGTCCCGGTAGTAACCAGTCAAACGTTGAAAAACCACCGTCGGGATCAGACGTGCTCAACAAGTTCCAATTGATGAAGTTCCAACACCAACAATTTGGAGACAGTGTCAACCAAAGCTTGATACTACAGTCCGGATCCAACCCTCCAAGTCTCAATAACCCTGGAAGTCAGGTGTCGAGCCGTAAGTCATCGACCCACTCGGCCACCTACTCACCAGTTTCTCGAAGTCCCTTTGGCCATAGAAGCAATCCTTCCAACCAGAACTTACCTACGATTGACTCGAAACTCGAAACTGAACCCAAACCACCAGCCGCCGCGCCAGAAACGTCTGTCGGCCACGGAGACAAGCCAAGAGAGCCGGGAGTGGTACGGGGCCTTGCCACCACACCCTCGGTGTACGCCAACCGTCGCTCTATCCAATACGAGAATGTGTTTGAAGACGACGATGATGGTGAGGACTACTATTTGCAGCTGAAGAGTGCCCTGAAGCCGGAAGAGGAAGACGATGACTTGCTTTTCACCATGAGCGACATGAACTTGACCAAGCACTAACTTATGCCCAGCCCTTGGCACCCATCTATATATAATCAATAGCTCATGTTCGATTTTAAATTCACTCCACAAGTCGCGAATCGTAGAATCCACCGTCATATATGAACAAGCTCGTAGCTATCAGACGGTTTGCCACGAGCCGGGTCTGGCGAATAACACCACTCGAGCTCTACGACACCCGCGTCCAGGCGGGCCGGCTTAGGGATGACTCGTACCAGCGGAAGATCATTTCCAACCTTTCGGTGCTCCACCAAAACTTAAGTGAATATCAACCTCCCCCAGTTGAAACTCCCAATATCGACGACCTCAAGCCCAAATCGAGTTTATCCAAGCTCTTGGGCGGCTTTCTCCGCTCCACCAGCATCAAGGAACCCAACGTCGACGAGTTATTGGAGAAAGATAACCCCGTTAAAGGCATATACCTCTATGGAGATGTCGGGTGCGGTAAGACCATGTTGATGGACCTTTTTTATGAGACTATCCCCGGGCATTTGCCCAAGAAAAGGCTTCATTTCCACCAGTTCATGCAAAATCTCCACAAGCGGTCGCATCAAATCAAGCTTGAACACAACCATCATGACATGGACGTGATCCCGCTTTTGGCGAGCGAAATCGCTCAGGAGGCCACCATCTTGTGTTTTGACGAGTTCCAGGTGACGGACGTGGCAGATGCGATGCTCTTGCGGCGGTTGATGATGATGCTTCTCAGTCCCGAGTACGGGGTGGTGCTTTTTGCCACTTCCAATAGGGCTCCCGATGACCTCTACCTCAACGGTATCCAGAGAAAACTGTTTATTCCGTGCATAAAGTTGATCAAAAAACAGACCCGGGTCATCTACCTCAACAGCCCCACCGACTATAGGAAAATCCCGCGGCCCATGTCGCTGGTGTACAAGTACCCGAAGCCGGGGGTCAAATACACCTCGAAGCTGTTCCAGGCCCTGAAGGCAGCTCATATCCAAGAGTGGTATGAGTACTTTAACAAGGAAAACGACGACCAAACAGTGGTACTAAACTACAGGTTGAACGTATGGGGCCGCGAGTTGGTGGTTCCCCGGTGTTCTTATCCGTATGTAGCTCAATTCAGTTTTGAGGATCTCTGTGGAAAGCCTCTCGCAGCTGGAGACTATTTAACGTTGGCCACGTCCTTCCAGTCCTTCATTATTACCGACATTCCGTACTTGAGTATCGATGTGCGGGACAAGGTACGGCGGTTTATTACGTTGTTGGATGCCATTTATGATAATCATGACCGGATTGCCGTGACCCTGGCGGCCAGTTTCCAGGACTTATTTGTGGAGCCGGAAGATTTACAAAAGGACAACTTTCTGTTGTACAAGAAGCAACAGGAGCAGGGGAGCGAGGAGACGTTTGAAGATGATGAGTTGGTGACGAAGCATGGGTTTGATAAGAGGGTTGCAAAAACCGCGTCGATGTTTGCCAACGACGAGGAGAAGTTTGCGTTTGCCAGGGCCTTATCGAGATTGAGTCAGATGAGCACGACCGACTGGATTGAGAGTGTGAGGCCGGTGGAGAGGTGACCATTGTCGAGACAATCCTATTTTTCAGCTACACAGGATTTAAGGTTCGGTTGCAGACTACCAGCCTAGGCACTATTTATTAACTATAACTATTTATTAGACATTATTGCACATTATTATCACCTATTATTATTACACATTATTATCACGTATTATTATTACACATTATTATCACACATTATTAAACTATCTATTAAACTTTACTAATTGGTGTTCTCTGCCTCGCTCCTGCCTGCTTCTTGTCTAAACTATTTATAGTCTACCGAACATTCCTCACGAAATTAAGCGCAGCGCCACGCACCGTTGGTTGCTTCGTTGCCTTTGCGATAACTAAATTCACAAGCCCCTCCCGCAACCGCCAGGTCTCTCGTAAACCTTTGTCACAAGCCCAGGGTTCCGCTGTACCCGGGCCCTTGCACTAACCGCCCCTCCTCTCACCGCAACCACCCGCAACCAATCTCCCGCCCTTTTCTGGTAGGCGCGCACGACCTTTGTTTTCTTTTGCGAAGGATTCCACATCAACAGAAAACCAAAACTACCTGTAACGTTTATTCTTACTATATACGTTTAAGGTTGTTCATTTCCCAGGTTTCCTATCCTTGTTTCCCGCTGTTTGTACTTCAACAGCCTCCACCCACCTCGTACTTACCCCCACTTCTTCTTCGGGTCCTTCAGCTACTCGGGTCTGTATGAATCCCTTCGTTTAAATTTCATCTTAATCCTTCGTTTCCCCCAAAATACTCCCCCCCCTAACCAGCCATGAAATCAAACGAAAACTACTACGATATCCAGATCAAGGCCACCAAGAAGAACAACAAGGCCATCGTTCCGCCCAGAAGAATCAATTCCCAGTCTTCCATTGCTGATATGTGTTCAAATGCTTCCAAAAGACCTAGTGATTACTACATCAAAAAGTTGAGCAGCAGCTCCGTGAACTTGGCCAAACGCCCTATCTCCGGCGACTCCATAGTGCTGTTGAACTCCACGTACTCCGATGATATCAGTGTAAACTCCTCCAGTTTTGACCATCATGATTCGAGGTTGAGCTCCATGACCTCCAACTCCATAATATCCCCAAGTGACTCGCCCACCTTGAAGTCTCACTCCGGAAAGGCTGACGATGGCTTCAACCATAGCTTGTCGACCATCACAGATGACGCGGCATTGGTGGAGGATCTGATTGCTGAATCGTCTTTCAGAGTGCAGCGCAATGTTTCTATAAAGTCAACTAACACAATCGCCTCACTGGCATTCTCGTCTTCGTCTCTCACATTGACGAGGACAAAGACCAAGTATTTGAGCCAGGAGGAAATAAAAACTCGCCAGAAGTTGAGAAAGAAACAGTTTGATGACAGTTACCTTGAAGATGACATCTTGTCGAGTGACCTTAGTTTTGTGTTCAACGTACCAGTAATGAAGAGCCAGAGTGAACTCTACTTCAAAAAGACCATTAGAAAGAACTTGGTTGATGACGACCACTATAAACCGTTTCCTTTGCCTGGTAAATTAAGAAGCAATTCAACCCCTAACCTCAAACCTTTGAACACGTCTTCTATCAACGTTTCCGATAGCGTTATTGAGGAGGATGAATCGCAAGGCACCAGTCATATCACGATCGACCATGACATCTCATATGACGATGAAGGCTTCGATAGCAACGAAGTTGACGACGACTCTCAAATCGTTGATAACATCTCCAATTACTACAGCCAAAGATCAAAATCTTACTCCAAGTTGGTGCAAATGTCCAGACACGAAAATATGATGTTTAAATTGCCTGCTTATGTGAAGTCACAGTCGTCTATTGAGGACTTGAATTTGATCAGTCCTGAAAAGTTGAACTTCGTCGATCAAACAAGACCTATTTATTTGCCTCCTAAACCTGAAACCGATAAGGCCAAACACAATAAAGAGATGCAAAAGATGCTTAAGGATTTTGAGAGATCTTCCTTTACTTTCGAATCCAGCCATGAGAGTGACTGGAGCAGCTTAATCAATGATAAGAACTTTGCCAGAAGAGTTGTAAATGAAAAAAATATTATCCGGAAAATGAACTGGGATTCCAACTGTCCCGAATCCTTGAGATATGAATATTTGGTGCTGTTGTTGACGTATAATAATCCTGATTTAACAAAGAAGGTCGATGACAACTTTACTAATTTAAACTCTGTCTATTCAAGTTTGAATGATTCAATCAAACGCAACCGTAATATTGAATTCGAAAAAGTTGTCAAGTCGGTGTCTGAAAGGCCGTTGTTCAGCTCTAATTTGAGCCTTGCGTCTAATTTAACCCGTCCAGATAGTAAAGCTTTCAAAAAGAACTTCCTAACCATTTTGTTTCTCAAGTCTATCGACAATAACTTGCACAAGCATGACGAAACATTCTTGATTCCTGTCATCGTTCTTCTTTTCAAGGACAGAAGCACCCAAGAACAATTTCGGTTGATTGAGTTAATCAATCATCAAATATTCACTAAAGAATTAAAAGTCGAAGTCAATAAGACGTTCGAAAGATGGTCTAGTAAATTACCCAAGAAGATTGATAATTATTTGCAAAATTTCAATTTGAAGGAGTTCACCAATTTGGACTTTAACCGGTTTTTTGAAGTCTTGATTCAGTTCAATGATAGGTTACCTTTGAGTATGTCTGCTTCTTTACCATCAACACCTGTTTCAGCAGGTGCCAATCGTCATATTGACTCATGCTCTTTGGAACTCATATACAAGTTTTTGCAGTTGCTCATCATCTATAATGTGAACTCCAAAACCAAGATCTTCAATCATACCAAAATAATTCAAAGTTACTTAATAATAATTATTAAGTACTACCACATCAACTGGAATGATTTTAACGAACTTATCAAGCTCAATAAGTCTATCAAATTGAACTTTAATACCAACAACCTGATCAATTTGAACAACTTTAATGACAAATGGAAGGTTATTTTCAAGAATATATAGACGTATGTACATACAAACTCACATATCAATGTCAATTATGTCAGGATTGGATGGCTTGGAAGTAGTCGAAGAACCCATGACAAACCCAACAGGATCAGCAGCAGTTTCTTTCAATTTGGTCTTGAACCGTAACATCTTTTTGAAGGTCAGTTCATTTCCGTATTCTAATTCAAAGTCTTCCCAGTCCTTAAAGGTATAATTAATGTTTGAATGACTATACTCATATAGAGTTCTGACTCTATCATACTGTTTGTTGGCAATTTCAAATTTGATAAACTCTTTCAAGAGCTTCATCAAAGATTCTTTGGTCAACTTCAAAGTTAGCCACTTCTCGAACCACTGTCTTAAATCAACATTGTTGTGGTATTTGCTGCTTAGAAGCAAAATCAAGTCAATAGGATCAAGAGATGTTGACATGATAAAGTCGTTCACGATGTTGAATGCCTTGATTATAAGGCCATTATCATACTCAAATTCAGAATACAACACGATAATGGGCTTCACCAATTCATTGGGAAGCTCAATCAAGCACTTGTCAAACAAATCCCGTATTCTCTCTTTATCCTCGTTGAACTTTATTGACTGAACCAAGTAATTATTGTATATCTCAAACCTGATTCTAGAATCGTTGAATTCCTTTAACCCTATTTCGTATATCTTATAGGACTCCTTCACTCTGCCTTCATCTTGGAGAAACTTAGCAAACTGGAAAATCATCAACGGAGTGGCGTACTTTAATTCGATCATCTTATAGTAACTGGCTGTTATTCTGTCGATATCATCGATATTGATTTCCAATACCTCGAAGTAGTAAGACCATAATTTCATTGACTTAGAGATGTCCTCTTTCTTGAATAATATATCTTCCAACAATTTCAATCCATCTTCTATCTGTCCATTATCAACGTACATTTTTGACCAATTGATGTAAATATTAACCAACTCATCCACAGACTTAAACTTGGATTGCGTTGACTTGCTGTAAATTAAATGGGCAGTTTTCAAATCACCTTTTTCACTGTAGGTTTTGGCATACTTAACCCAGATATCACACAAACGATGTCCTTCATTCGAATATACTGTCAAGGGGTTAATGGACGTTATGGCTTTGACAAAGGTTTTAAGAAGATTGTTGGTATCGTTCTGACTCTGGTAGATTTCAAATCTGTTGAACCAGCTGTCTAAGTTGTTGAAATCATCCTTCAAGTATATGTTGTTGATCATGATTTGTCTTTCGTTTATGAGCTTCTCAAAGTGATCCACATCGTAATCACTTGGATCTTCTGCCAAAGTAGAATCTTCAAGGAAAGACAAGTAAGATTCGTAGACGGTGGTGAAGTCAAACACAGACGGACAGGTGTCCAAAGCTTCATTATAGTAATGTTTCTTGGTTTCGATGGAATCAACACTTTCTACAAGTTTGATATATCCGTAGCTGTGATCTTCTGGGAATTCCTGGAGGAATCGTAGTATGAAGCTTTCATCTTTGATATACTCCAACACCAACTTCCAGTCATCATTGGAGTAGTCACCGGTCTTGAATATACGCATAACACAGTCCGTCCCATCTCTTTCATTCCACGATGCCAACTTGACCAAATGATGTATATCATATTTCCCATGATTGATGAATCTTAGCATAATTTGAGTGGCTAATTTGGTATCGTACTTGGAAAGCGTTTCAGCAAACTGCAAAAACACAGGCCATATCATATAATGCTTTTCAAACGGTACTATCCGAAGACATTCGACGTACTCATTCAAGATGAACGGCACGTCTACCTGTTTATTCAAGAATGACAAGTATTTGCACCACATCATCACATCGGAAGTGCACATCAAACACCTTTTGAATAGGTGATTGACGACTTGGAATTGGCTTTTATGATCGTGAGAGTTTAAGCTCTCCATTCTCTTCAACACCAAGGTAATATAAAGCTCCCAGAACTCCTTGGTGTCTTCATATTTATGAGATGATGTAAACTGACAGATGGCCCTCTCTAATATTATGACTTTTTGACGAAACAACCTCGACTCCTCTGCATACTTCAACCAAAGGTACTTGTTCTGTGGATCCTTTAGTATCTTAACCTCGAGGTCGAGATTGTCTAGACTCAAACACTCGCCCACTGGTATTGGTTTTCTCATGTGCAGTGGATTTGGTCTTATCAGTTTTTTGCAAGCTCAATGCTCGCGCACCTTGGCGAGTTCCGAAATTATTCAACAACGAGCATTACGGGAATATCCCTGAAACTTACAAGTCTTTTGAAAATCTTAACATTTAAACTCAATGAGTGGCGCAGGTAACAGGGAACTGGTTTTCCCAACACGGATGACATTGGGGATGATGAAGATTAAATTGAAGGGTGCTCAACAAGGGCACTCCTTGTTGAAACGAAAGTCAGAAGCCTTGACCAAGAGATTTAGAGAAATTACTCAAAGAATCGACGAGTCCAAGAGAAAAATGGGAAGAGTCATGCAAACCGCTGCCTTCTCGTTGGCCGAAGTCCAGTACGCTGTTGGTGGAAACATCTCTTATCAAATCCAAGAGAGTGTCAAGAATGCCAGATTCAAAATTAAGGCCAAGCAAGAAAATGTTTCTGGTGTTTTATTGCCTGCATTTGACAGTGAAATAGACGAAGAAATAAATGACTTCAAGTTGACTGGGTTGGGAAGAGGTGGTCAACAAGTGCAAAAGGCCAAGATGGTTTACACAAGAGCAGTCGAAACCTTGGTTGAATTGGCATCTTTGCAAACTGCCTTCATCATTTTAGATGAGGTGATTAAGGTCACCAACAGAAGAGTCAATGCAATCGAACATGTCATTATACCAAGAACCGAGAACACCATCAGCTACATCAACTCGGAGTTGGACGAGTTGGATAGAGAAGAGTTCTATAGGTTGAAGAAAGTCCAGGAAAAGAAGCAAATTGCTGCTGAAGCAGATGAATTGGAAGAGCAGCAGAAGATTGCAAAGCAGGCTCAAGACCAGTTGGATGAGAAGAAGCTTGAAGAAGAAGTTGAGAAATTAGACATTAAACATGAGCACCAGGATGAAGGGGAAGACGAGTCGAAGGATCTTTTGAACGATAAGGATGATGATGTTATTTTCGACTAGTTTAATCAATAGCCCTAATGCACAAAGTACTGTAGCTTGTATTCTTTAATAAACGTATATTTTCAGGCAAGACTTTTGGTGCACATTCCAACTGCTCGGGACACAGGCACAGAACTGGTTCAGCAGAGACTATAGAGCACAGAAGGGCGCCTCATGACCGAGAATTAAGTGGTAACATGATCCAATAAGGTTCTTTGTTCTAAATGTTTGTGGTCATTAGCATGTAAGTGGATATATTTTTGAATGTCGGATTTCAATAAAAGTGGACTTCTAAGTTCAAGATCCGGTCAGTGGCCTAGTGGCATTGAGCGTGTGCTCGGCGACGCCGAGCGTGCATCCGCGTAATTGGGTGAGGATTTCCTCGCTCGGGCTCGTGGTAAACTTGTCGCGAGCATCGTGGAACAGGGCGTGTGGTCTAGTGGTATGATTCTCGCTTTGGGTTTAGGCCTATTGAAGCACTAGCGAACAGTTGGAGCTTCAAGAAAACCGAAATACAAGCATGCGAGAGGCCCTGGGTTCAATTCCCAGCTCGCCCCTACTTTTTTTATATGGGATTGTGCCTGACTTTGCTGGAGGGTTTGAACTGGCAGAATTAATCAAAATGAATGAAGAGGATCAAAAGACCTTCTTGGGGGTCTTGTACCTGCTCTGATCATTAAGATCACAAATTCCAATGAGACTACTATGCACCAATATTATCAATTCTCTGTTACCATCCCTTTTGCACACTCATGACCCATAATCAGCAAATATTACAATTCGCAGCCAATATCTACATCACCCACAGATTTAACCAATCGCCTATACAGAAGAAAACTAACAAAACCCGAAGTTATTGAACACTAAAATACTACCAAACTAGGCTAATCACAGATATTACGACAAATGTTCCAGTGTACTGATAAGGCAGAAAGAGAGTCAGACCATTGGCCCCATCAGGTGACATCAACCCTGTAAACATCCTACACCCACGTCGGGATCCCAACTCCCCAGCCACTACTGCCAAACAGGGGTGTTGTTTTTCAGGGTTACCCCAGGAAAATTAATTTTCGGGTAAATTATATGAAACGAGCTCCGACATCAAAACACAGGGCAACCGCTGGAGTACACAAAAGCGGAAAAATCCAGTCATCTATCGCAACTCCTATGCGACCTCCACCCAATTTCTATACTCAACTCCCACCCAATCCCCACCACCGGTCATCTACGGGTCTACCAGTCATCTAAATTGTTGTCCCCCGTTACCGCCTCCCTCAACAAATGTAATTTGACGTGCCCCTGTCCTGCAGGCAGGTGGGTTTTCTTTTTTGGCAACAGTCCCCGATTTTCTTTTGCGCATCGACTGCAAAAGTATAAATAAAGGACGGAGCCAGGTAAAAAAGAATCTTTAACTATTCACCCATGACTATCGATACGCAAGCAGAAGCCCAGTCCATGATCAACACCGCCGTGGGGCCCGTGCCGGTGCCCTTCCCCACCATCAGCAACAACATCATCGACTTGTTCATGCTCACCGGCAAGTCTGCCATTGTTACTGGAGGGGCCAGAGGTATCGGATACGCCATCAGCGAAGGTTACTGCCAGGCCAACATCGCCAAGTTGGCCATTGTTGACTACTCCAACCACGAGGAAAACATCGCCAAGTTGCAGAAGACTCATCCCAACACTCAAGTTGAGTTCTTCCAGTGTGACGTGAGAAACGCCGAACAAGTCAAGGATGTCATTACTCGGATCCACGAACTCTTTGGAGTGTTGGATATCTTTGTGGCCAACGCCGGGATTGCCTGGACATCGGGGGCCATGATCGAGTCAGAAACAGATGCCGAATGGCATAACGTCATGAACGTCGACGTGAATGGAGTCTACTACTGTGCCAAAAACATCGGTAAGATCTTCAAGCAGCAAGGCAAGGGATCGTTGATTTTCACAGCATCGATGTCGGCACACATTGTCAATGTTCCCAATTACCAGGCACCTTATAACGCTGCCAAGGCTGCTGTATTACACTTGTCAAGGTCTTTATCGATCGAGTGGATCGACTTTGCCCGTGTAAACACGGTGTCTCCGGGGTACATGGCCACCGAGATATCTGAGTTTATTCCCAAGGAGACCCGTACCCACTGGAGTCAATTGGTTCCCAAGGGAAGAGAAGGAATTCCTCGAGAATTGGCGGGGGCCTACTTATACTTGGCCAGTGATGCAGCTAGTTACACCACCGGAGCCGACATTCGTGTTGACGGTGCTTATACGGTACCATAGTTTAGAGAATAGACCTAATAGATGTTTTAAGCTACCCCAGATTTGCGCGACCCGGCCCCGGCGTCGGCGGCCCAAAGTTAGGTTCCACCTACTGGTACCGCGGAAGCCGGCCAATCAACGCGCGTCAAATTCGCATTACTGGAATAACACCAATTTTCATTTGAAAGCAAAAACTTTTCCTTCTGCTTAACCGGTTTTTCTCAGGTAAAAAAGGTTAATAGTTACATATTCACTAACAATGTTGAGTTTACGTAACGTTCTTGGTAGACCATCATCATCTACTGTTAGAATGTTTTCCCAATCGGCCGTGGCTTCTCAAACCATTGGATCCAACATTAAGGGGACCGATTTCAATGCTGCCAAATACATGGGTCAAAAATACCATGTTATAGATCACGAATATGATTGTGTGGTTGTCGGCGCTGGAGGTGCTGGGTTGAGAGCTGCCTTTGGATTGGCCGAGGCTGGTTTCAAGACCGCCTGTATCTCCAAGTTATTCCCAACCAGATCCCATACGGTGGCTGCCCAAGGAGGTATCAACGCGGCCTTGGGAAATATGCACAAGGATGACTGGCACTGGCATATGTATGACACTGTCAAGGGTTCCGATTGGTTGGGAGACCAGGATGCCATCCATTACATGACCAAAGAAGCTCCTCAATCGATCTATGAATTGGAAAACTATGGGGTTCCATTCTCCAGAAATGAAGAGGGAAGAATCTACCAAAGAGCTTTCGGAGGTCAAGCCAAAGAATACGGAAAGGGTGGTCAGGCCTACAGAACTTGTGCGGTGGCTGACAGAACTGGCCATGCCTTGTTACACTCGTTATACGGTCAATCCTTAAGACACGATACCCATTTTTTTATTGAGTTTTTCGCTACCGACTTGTTGATGCAAGACGGTGAATGTGTGGGTGTTATGGCTTACAACCAGGAAGATGGAACTTTACACCGGTTCCGTGCCCACAAGACTGTCATGGCCACCGGGGGTTACGGAAGAGCCTACTTCTCCTGTACCTCTGCCCACACCTGTACTGGTGATGGATATGCCATGGTTTCAAGAGCCGGGTTGCCCTTGGAGGACTTGGAGTTTGTGCAATTCCATCCTTCCGGTATCTACGGATCTGGTTGTTTGATCACAGAAGGTGCCAGAGGTGAAGGTGGATTCTTGGTCAACTCTGAGGGTGAAAGATTCATGGAACGTTATGCTCCTTCCGCCAAGGATTTGGCTTCAAGAGACGTGGTTTCCAGAGCTATCACCATGGAAATCAATGAAGGTAGAGGTGTGGGGGCACATAAGGATCACATGTATTTACAATTGAGTCACATTCCTGCTTCGGTTTTGAAGGAAAGATTACCTGGTATCTCTGAAACTGCCCACATTTTCGCTGGGGTCGATGTCACCAAAGAGCCCATTCCTATTTTGCCAACCGTCCACTACAACATGGGAGGTATTCCAACCAAATGGACTGGGGAAGCATTGAGAAAGAATGAAAAGGGTGAGGATGAGGTTGTTCCTGGATTGTTTGCCTGTGGAGAAGTTGCCTGTGCTTCTGTTCACGGTGCCAACAGATTGGGAGCCAACTCCTTATTGGACTTGGTGGTGTTTGGAAGAGCCGTCGCTCACACCATCACCGATCAATTGACTCCTGGTACTCCTTTGAAGCCAGCACCAAAAGACATTGGTATGTTCTCGATCGAGAACTTGGACAAGATGAGAAACGCCAACGGTACTAAGAGCACCGCTGAAATCAGATTGGATATGCAAAAAACCATGCAAAAGGGATGTGCTGTGTTCAGAATGCAAGACACTTTGGACACTTGTGTGGAACACATAAAAGAAGTCGACAAGTCGTTTGCCCAAGTTAAGACCTCTGACAGATCGATGATTTGGAACTCAGATCTTGTAGAAACCTTGGAATTGCAAAACTTGTTGACCTGTGCCACCCAAACCGCTCATTCGGCTGCTGCCAGAAAGGAATCTAGAGGTGCACACGCCAGAGATGACTATCAAAGCAGAGACGATGAAAACTGGAGAAAGCACACGTTATCATACCAAACCAACTGGGGTGACGAAGTCAAATTGGACTACAGAGATGTTATCAGAACCACCTTGGACGAGAACGACTGTAAGCCGGTTCCCCCTGCTGTGCGTGTTTACTAATGCATCTATTTATTAATACATATCGAGTTATTGAATATTTCCGAGTTGTCGAATGGGGTACTCCCCCCCAGGGCGTGCGTCTTCCCAGTGCGGGGGTGTCCCACTTGTTGCCGGGGCCACCCAACGTTATTCACGGGGGAAGAGTGGTGAATACTAGTCTCGACTCTCATCAACCACAAACACACTCGCCGTCGTAGTATATAATTCCACAGGCTTGAATGTTGTAACTTCCTGGATGTTTTGCGCATACGCAAGCAATCTAAACCGCTCGCTCGCATATAAAGAGGCCCATATCTCGCCAGGCAATTTTGCGAATATACTCACTTTTCTTTTCATCAATTGAATCCATACAATGGCCTACGAAAGCTTCATCAACCCCAAATTAGGACCTTTGCCCATCAAGGCCCCAGAACCCAAAAAGAACGTCTTGGACTTGTTCAGCTTGAAGGGTAAAGTTGCATCCGTGACAGGATCAAGTGGAGGCATTGGGTTGGCGGTGGCCGAAGCGTACGCCCAAGCCGGTGCCGACGTGGCCATTTGGTACAACTCCAAGCCTGCCGACGACAAGGCCGAGCAGATTGCCAAAGAATGGGGAGTCAAGTGCAAAGCCTACAAATGTAATATTTCCGACTCCGACTCTGTTGAACAAACCATCGACCAGATCGAAAAAGACTTTGGCACCATCGACATTTTTGTGGCTAATGCCGGGGTTCCCTGGACAGTGGGAGAAATGATTCACGCCGAAAACCATGATACTTGGCATAAGGTGATTGACCTCGACTTTACTGGTGTATATTACTGTGCTAAACATGTGGGTAAGATTTTCGAGAAAAACGGCAAGGGATCGTTGATTTTGACGGCCTCGATGTCGGGACACATTGTCAACTTTCCTCAAAGACAAGCTCCTTACAATGCTGCCAAAGCGGCGGTGGTGCACTTGGGGAAGTCGTTGGCGGTGGAATGGTCTCATTTCGCCAGAGTCAATACCATTTCTCCCGGGTACATTGTGACAGAGATCCTGGAGTTTGTGGACGCTAATGAGAAGCAGACCTGGCACAAAATGACACCTTTAGGCAGAGAAGGTACCACCCAAGAATTGGCGGGGGCTTACTTGTACTTGGCCAGTGATGCCAGTACTTATACCACCGGGTCTGATATCATTGTTGACGGGGGTTACTGTGCTCCATGAACCTGGGAATATATAGGAGCTCAATGTACGCTCATAGACCATAGTGTAGTATGTGAAATGACCCTGGTAGAAGCACCGAGCCCGCGGTAGTACCGCCGACTCCCGCTACAAAATACACCGCGCTCGCCCACCACCGCCAACTCCCGCTACAAAATGTACACCGCGCGGACGAGATACTTCTCTCACTTAACCCGCGCCCTCGCCATTCTTACCTTCCTCCGCCCTTTAGCACTATACCACAAATGAATCACGACGATGATCTAACGGCGTCACATTGGGACGACATTCTCTCTCCCTCGACCCACACCTCATACAATGCCGCCTCCAGCACCTATTTGGATCCCGAATTTAATGGGTTCCAGGACTTATCCCTAGGGGACCCAGACAACACAACCACACACCACGACGACACCGAGCCCGAATCCAGCGAAGAAGACTCCCACCAGGCTCCACTGGCCCACCACGAAGTTCAAGAATCGTCCTATGCGGTGGACCTGGTGACAGAGTCTCCCAATTACAACCATTCATCTGCCTACGACACCGCCAGATCTGAACTCGAGCAAATGCACGAGTTGAAAAAAGAAGAAAGGGCCAAGCAGAAGTCCAAGCTCATGGACGAGTTGGCCAGCAACGACGATTTCGACCACCAGTTGGAGCAGTCGGTGATGGCTGCTACTCCAGGGGATAACTTTGACTCGTTGTTTAATGATGCTAAAAGTCCCATCAAATTTGATCTTCTGGCTGATGTGAAGAGCAAGAATGGCAAGAGTAAACAGTTTAAACGACCTCGGAAGTTTTCTCTGCAAAAGAATGCCAAAAACTTGAAGTCCACCCCTGCAAAAGAGAATGAAAATTTGGGACCTCTTGGATCCACTGATAATAAGTCTACTGATAACCTTTCGATGAAATCTGCTAACGCCAAGGAAGAATTAGTCAAGGAGTCGGAGGCTCCATTGTATGATCTTTCGAAAGATGCCCAACGGGAGCAGCAAGCAAGAACCCCAGCGGCGATTGCAGCGATCAAAGCACATAATGGAGAGCACGACCCTAGTAAACCCAAAAACCATCTCGAGATAACTGTGGGCGATCCAATGAAGGTGGGGGACATTACCAACGCACATATCGTTTATCGTATAACCACCAAGAATAAGAATCTTGAACCAAGCACTTTTCCACAGCAAACTGAACCGTTCATCGTTACCAGACGGTATAAGGATTTCCGGTGGATATACCACCAGCTCCAAAACAACCACATGGGAAGAATCATTCCTCCACCTCCATCGAAACAGACATATATTGGCCGGTTCAATGAGAGTTTCATTGAGAACAGAAGGCTTTCGTTGGAGAAGATGTTGAGCAAAACCAGTAGCATTCCGGATTTGTCCAACGACCCTGATTTCATCATGTTTTTGACTAGTGAAGACTTTGCAAATGAGTCTAAAGAAAGAGAAAGAATCAGTGGATCTGGTGCATCTTTGCAGAATAATGACATGTTGGATAACCCTGCCGACACCAGCTCTGCCAATAACGGTTTCATGTCCTCGATCTTTTCTATCTCCAACAAACCCCAAGAACCAGAAGAGTTTTTCGACACCAAAAAGCATTATATTGAGGCCTTGGAATCCAATTTGCAAAACTTTTACTCTGCAATCGAGTTGATAATTAATCAAAGAATCGATATTGTTAACATTATCGAACAAATTACTGTGGCCATCCAAGAGTTGACCGATTTAGAGATATCAAAGAAGACATCGGATACTTTGGCGGCCTTCAATGAAGTGCAAATCAAGTTGAAGGACAACCTTGATAGAGTCAACTTGCAAGACCACTTAACCTTGGGGTTCACCATCGAAGAGTACTTGCGGATAATTGGATCCATCAAGTATGTGTTTGATCAAAGACTAACAATCTACGAGTCGTACCAAAACAACTTGAGCGATTTAAACAAGAAAAAAACCCTGTTAACTAAGTACAAGCTGAGAAATCAAGTCGATAAGATAAGTCAACTCAACTTTGAAATCGACAAATTACAGACTAAAACCGATAGTTTTGAGAAGAGATTCAAGACCATTAGCGACACAATAAAACAGGAGCTTGAAAACTTTGAGCTTGAAAAAATTGACGATTTCCGTAACAGCGTGGAAATCTTCATAGAGAGCTCCATTGAGTCTCAGAAGGAAAGTATTGAGTTATGGGAAACATTCTATGAACGACAAAGCCTATCTTCCTACTAAATTTCCCATCTATTATTTAGTAAATACAATATAACCGCAACTTACTGACCAGATAATGACTCTATACCACATCAAAATTAACTTAACCACTTGAACATAATCTACCCCTTTTCTATTGTGTTTTTCACTAAAACCGCTTAGTGAAAAATTTTTAGCGGCTGTAATTGGAGGACGGGCTAAAATAATATCAATACTGTTAGACCAAATTTCCCACTAAAACATAATTGATATTAATTCAGACACTAAGGTGCAGGCAAATGGTGCTATTGAAAGTCGGTAACAATGTAACTTTTATCTATTGTATTCTCAACCAGTTTTTCATAGGACACTACATAGGAAAGAGCCGGGTGGGGAGATCCGGGGGTATGGCCGAGGGTGGTATGCGGCCCAAAGCCTCGCGGGGATAGGTATCAGTGGCCCTGTCAAGGCGGCCCTTGATGCCGTGGGGCCCAATGACTTCCGAGGCCCTCACCGGGGGATGATCTCGGTGACTCAATACTCCCCTAATCCTATCCAACCTAAACTTGAAAACCCCCCTAACATTCTTTTCACATTTTTCAATTGTGTTTGTGGTTACCTTTTCACCAGCTTGGAAAACTCCTATCTAACCCACATCCTTCTTCTCATAAGTAGATAATATTCCAGCTCAAAACTTCGCATGAATCAGGTTCAAATCAACCCCACCAAACTATCGATCCTTTCCATAAATCGATCCAGGTACTGGATCTTCAAGAGTGCCATTCTCGAATTCTTGTACGCTGAAGTGGATAAGGCTGGAGGTAACGAATTCGAGGGCTCTGGTAGTGAAAGTGATGAGGATGAAGATGAGCTTGAAGATCGACTCAGCTTTCTTAATCTCACATCAAAACCTCAACGGAACAGCCTCTACGACCTGTCATCATCGTCAGCATCATTCTCCACGCCAAGGAGAGGAAAGAAACACGGGTCGGTGTCGTCGATGTCGAGTTTTAACTTGGAGACCAAAGAAATCGATAACTCCAGCAAGAGACATTCGGTGACCAACACCAACCCAGCACCGACAGCGTCCAACACGGCCCGGTCTGACTCCAATGAGTCAGACAGTGAAGGCCCGGAGGCGCCCAACTACTTTTTTCACATAGCATTTACACCCATCGAGTGCACCATTATCTGTGCAACGACAGTGATGCACAGACTTTTCAAGGAACCATTAAAGGCGTGTCAGGAATTGAACTACAACGATGTGACATTGGTGGAGCAGCAGTTTGTGAACTTGCAAATTGATAGCGGCGGTGGTAGTGACAATAACTATCGGATTTTGCAGTTGACCAAACCGTTGTCTGAGAACAATATCTCTCTCTTTTTTCTCTCGAGTCACTTCAGTGACATCGTGTTGATCCCCCACCACTTGGAAGATAAGGTGGTTAGCATCTTGACCCAAAGTAACTTTGAGTTCAACGACTTGAGTGGCAGCTATATCATCAACAATAACTTCAATCCCATTGTGGCTCCTTCTCATGATGAGAGCTCTAAGGGTCTTGAAGACCGTGTGTTCAAGCTCTTCAAAGACTCGAACATCAAGCCGTGTATAGACAAAAATGTCCTGTTGTTGCTCACAGGTTCTAGGTCCAATGATGTTGCTGCCACCATCCTCAAGGCTGCTGCAAATTTGGCTGCAAATAACATTCCCGATTATTTTGCAATTACTCGAACTTCACAAAATGAAGTGTCGTTGATTCTCCCCAGGTCCTCCAAAAAACGGTCGAAAATGGGGTTCCAGTCGAGGTTTTTAATAGGTTCGACTCAAGACATTATCAATCCCGTAACTATAGACTTACAGAAACTCCCATTGGATTCTACTGGTATTGTGGCAGGGGTGGCCAGCAAAATCTTCACCGGTATCAATAGTTTACCGGGGTCAGACTATCCTTTCGAATTAAACTTCTTGTCCATGGCCCGTTCGGCCATCTTAATGATCCCCAAAGAGAACGTTGAGCTTGTGAACGAGATTTTAAGCAGTATTGATTACGACAATTTATGACTTTCATTTTAGGTATGGTGTATAGGAAAATAATAGACCCTGAAAACGGTATGTTGTAGGAGATGTAGCGTCAGAGAATATTGGTTGATATCAGTGTATATTTTACTGAATGCTGTATGCGAATGATATGCTAATTCTTTCTACCCTTTTTCTTCTTGTTGGTGGTGGACCAACCTTCTTCATCCACAAATTGCACCCTGTCAGCACTTTCAATGATGGCCTGGGACCAAGCACTCAAGTCGCTGGGAGTGCTTATCATTCTTTCGGTTTGCTGTCTTTTCTTTAAGAACTCTTGGGCAAAAACACGGCCGTTCATGGTGGCAGAAGAGCTGTAGATGGTTTCGGAGATCAATTGGGAAGAGTCAGTGTTATTGGGTAAGGAAATGAACATTTCCAACAAATCGTTGGATGACACACTAGGATACAAGTTAGTCATTTGAGACCGGGCCCAGATCACAAAGTCTTGTCTCAAAGTGTCAAAGTTGTTATGAGAAGTAGCTACCACCGGCGCAGAAACACTTCTCAACACCAGTGGGTTAGTCGAGGAAGTAGTAGTAGAAGACTTGATCAAGGTACTGGTAGATGCCTTCTTTGCAACCTTCTTGCTGGTGACAGTAGACCACGCACCCGAGTCCTCGGGGGAAGAAGAAGCAATTTGGGCAGCAATGGAGTTGATAGGCGTCTTCGACTTTCCCTTGGCCAAACTAGCAGCTTTTCTCTCTTCTTCCTGGATTTCGGCTAAAGTTTTGATAACCTTGGTCAGGCCATTGGTAGCACCACCTGTAGTCCAATTAGAAGTGGTGGGTAACCCACCAGCAACTGCCTTTTCTCTTTCTTCCCTCAAAATCTCTTCTTTCAAAGCTTTAGTCTGATTTTCGAGCTTCAATTGGGCTTCAAGCTTCTTCTGCTGCTTGAGTTTGGCACTTTCCAACTGCTGGATTTCTTTCAAAGTCATTTTGGGAGCTGCCTCTGGCTTGGTGGATGCGGCCCAAGGGGCTTTCACGTCAGCAGCCGATACCGGTTTGAGAACCTGGACTTTTGGTGAGGGTTTAGGAGTGGTTTCTTTTGGAGGTTCTGGTTTGGCTGCCTGAGGTTCGGGTCCAGGGATCACCACCCGGGGCTGAACGATGGGTTCTTGAACTGGCTCGGGAACAGCCACTTGTTCAGAAGCAATCACCACTTTTGGCTGCACAATTGGTTCAAACTCAGGGACTGATTCAGAGGGGTCAGGGGTGGTTGTGGGCTGATCAAAGTCACCCAAAATGCCGGTCACCACCGTCGAATGCAAATTGGCCAATACCGGGTCCGCAGACTCCACCACTGGTGCAAATGGGGAATTTACACGAGACTGCGAGTTGACAGTGGAAGTCCATGGCGAAATGGGCATGGGGCCTCCGGGCTGGGAACCGTTGGAGCCGCTTGTTGGCTGAGAACTGATACCGGTATTGACGGTGATAGGAGTGGAGGGAGACGAAAAGTCGTTGATACCCCAGTTCAGATTACCACGGGTCAACACCGGGTTGGGGCCGATCTGGTGCTGGAGAAGAGATGGAATGGGCGAGAACTGGTACGCCATGGGCTGTGCGAACGGCTGGCTCAACAGGCCAAGAAGCGACCCGTTGAGGCCATTGCTTAATTGCGGGACCTGCTCCAGTGGATGAGGTTGGTTGGCCTGGGGTGCCTGCAGTAAAGGTGGGAGCGGCACCTTGAATGGCGCCACGTAGTCTCCCACAAGCTCACAAAACGACTTTAAACTGTGGTACTCCAGGTTCTGGCGTTTGATTTGTAAGTCCAAACTAAGATATCCGTCTGTGAACCATGAATGCATCAAACCTCCGTTAAACGGCCCTTGTTCATTGCCCGACGAGTCCAAGTAGAGCCAGAGAATCTGATCAGGGGAAATTAAAGACGTTGTTGGTGCCAATGGACGGCTGGACGACGATAACAGAGGTGTTTGAGTAGGTAATTGGTGGGTTGACTGGTGTATCGCTTCGAATGCAGGGGCCAGAGCTGCTGGTGATGGCTGGCTAGTTTCGTTGGCACCTAAGGAAAGGGTCTGCATGTCTGCGGTTACGTGGTCCGTCTCGTTGAGGCGTAAGTGATAGATCGGGTGGGGCTTCGAGTGCTTGAACGAGGAAGAATCCAGTGATTCGTCGGCCTGGACCCCGGTAATATGGGTTTTAGGAGCCAATATGTTATTCTTGGATGTTTCCCATACTTGGAATGCTTCTGGTAACGTGTAGGACCTACTTCCTTTATTGGTAGGGACGGTTGCAGAAAAGGTGGGTGTTGTAGATGAGGCATGGGAATTGCCATTTACAGCGGTGGAAGTCAAATTCGAAGGGGTTTGGTGGGGGTCGATGCTGGAGATGATGTTAGCGGGTGTACTAGCACATGTGGCTGGCGAAAGTGGTACGTACATAGAAGACTGAGACATAATTATGGAGACTATATGTGTTGAACAGTTGAAAATTTTTGCGTTGAGCGCGACAAGATGCGCGAGGAATGCCATCAAATGGTGTTGCAACCCTATGCAAATACCATCTATAAATTGGGCTCCAGCCACCTAGAAGATGACCTATGTCACATACAAAGTGTCTACGTGAAATTAAATACGAATATCCATTGATTTTTGCATACGATCATGACCTACTCGGTCTTTTGTTTTTTGGCATCTGGCTCCTTATTATCATCAATAGAAGAGTGATACTCTTTGATGATGGAATCAACATCATCGATGTTCAATTGTCTAACGTCTCCCAATTGTTTGATTTTGGCGGTGACCTCTTTACACTGCTCATCCGTCAAATCCAATTTCAATTGGTCTACTCTTGACTTGATGGCATTCCAACCAGTCAACCGGTTGGCGAAATGGATATATCTCGTCAACCCGAAATCAGATGGGTTCAAAATCTCGTAGGTAGAAGGGTTGGCCAAGATGGCTTTGGCGTGAATACCGGCTTTGTGGGTAAAAGCACAGAAACCGGTAATAGGGTTGTTGAAAGGAATGTTGACTTGTACGGCATCAGCCACCAAGTTCTCCAAGTCTCTCAATTTGTGCAACTTATATTTGGACAACACGTAATCCCTGTTGGCGGTGATCATACGGGCCATCAAACCTCCCAATGGAGTGATTCCGTTTCTTTCACCGATTCCCAACACCGAAACATCGATCAATTTGGCTCCTCCTTCCAAGGCCGTGTAGGCGTTGGCAATGGCACACCCGGTATCGTTGTGGAAGTGGCACTCGATGTCACAACTGACCACCGATTTCAACGTCTTGACCAATTCATACACCTGTCTAGGGTTGGCTCCTCCCACCGTGTCAGCAATACCGACTCTATTCACTCCGATCTTGTCAACGGTTTTGTAGATGTTCAACAAGTCAACCAAGTCACTTCTAAAGGAATCTTCAGAGGAGAATCTGATTTCAATGCCTTTGGATTTGACAAATTCAATCACCTCCACTGCACTCTGGGCAATGTAGTTCATATCCTTACCATGGGAATATTGTCTCAAGAACAGAGAGGTTCCAATCACCACGTCAACCCCATCGACACCGGTTTCAACAGCCACTCTGGCATCATCCATGTGACATCTTATATGGGTCAAGATCTTGGCTTTCAATCCCAATTTACAGATGGCTTCACAGTCTCTCCGGGATTGTTCAGAAGCAACAGGTGAAGTCAATTCGATGTAGTCGACACCGAAGTCATCCAAGGCTTTGGCGATTTCGATCTTCTTTTCGGTTGTGAAAAACGCATTGGCAAATTGTTCACCTTCTCTCAAGGTTGATTCGATAAGCTCGAAGCTGCTGACGTTGGACAAATAGTCCGAAGGATTTGGTCCGTAAGGATTCAGAGACATTTTAGCAAAGTAGTGAGTTTCTTCTAATGAGAAAGCTGGCTCTTTTATATGTCTGGTGACTAATAGAAAAAACTGACTGATTGAAAATTTTTCAGTTTATTTGATTTCTCCAGAATCTGGGTTGCGAACAAGATGAGGCCTGCACACAAGCGCGGAATTTTAGTGATAATGAGTCAGAGATAGCTGGAGCTCGAGGCTGGCGATGAGATGGGATCGGCTGCAACACCCTTATTTTGGGGAAATTGGATCCAGGGAAACCGGGAAATTGTTTCTGGTGGATATCAGAATATATTATGCTGGCTTGGGAATGGTTTGGCGCTACCACTACCAATACTCTACCATCTGTCTATTCTTATGACTCATTGGTCTGGGAGAATACGACTTTTCGGCAGACGCGCGACTCGCGCGACATCCACATATTCCTTCGGACTTGTGAGTAAGTATTCCTTTAGATGTAAACGGTGATACCGTGGGAATATAAATGTCTCTTGTAAATATTTGTAGATAAAGACCCTCAGAGACTGTTCGGGTCAATGGGGGTACTTTATGTCAATCCTTCGAAGATTTGAGAGTCAGTGAGTTCAGGTTACAAATTTTCTTGAATGATAAATGTGCTCTTACTTTCAAGCTTGAAGTAAGGGCTTTCCAAAAAAGTCATCAAATGTCCGGATTTGAACTCAGTTGACTATCTCTCCAACTGTATTTTCAACAACGCGACATCCTTATCCCTACTGCTGCAAAACATTCACTTATATTCTATGATACACTTTTAACTATACAATATCTTCACTAATAAGACTACACCTCCTTGGAAACTATCTTGACATATCTGAATATTTCCAGCTTCAACTTGCCAAGTTCTCCATTTTTGATCACCACCTTGTTATTCAATCTCTTCAAGATGGTCTGAATAACAATGTTAACCTCATTATCCGACAAGCCGGTCAACTTGTGCCAGTTCTTGTGAATTCTTTCTCTAAGTAACGTCAACTTGAAACAGCCAATAAGTAATTTCTTCAACGGGAAGTCCATCTCGTTGAAGTTCGCAAAGTTATTGGATTGGTTCAAGTACCTCAAAAGGTAAATGATGTCCATATATCTGAAAAGGTAGATAATTGACTTCAAAAAATTGGGCAACGACAACTTGAGGCGGTTGACCATAATGATCAAAAACTTCTCCAACGAGATCTTGGACTCGGAAGAAGAAGGAGGGAATAAATTGGTAATTTTGATCGAAATATACTTGACAATCACCATCATCAACTGGTTTCGCTCTTGTTTGAAATCTTCGGGAGCCAATGTCGCAGCAGTAAACCCTTTGGCCCTTGACCTCTTGGGTCTTATCTTCCTGGCATTCCCACTGGAACCGGAAGAAGACTCAGTAGATAAGCTACTGGTATTGGGGCTGGATTCGACATTCTTGATGCTATAGTGATCGACCGAATCAAGTCTGGAACTCCTTTTACTTTCCAACTCGTCGTCATCGTCAGTTACATCATCAACAAGCAAAGGGATATCATTGATGTAATCGCTGATATTGAACCCGGCAGGTTCCCCTTTGATGTTGGGCTCAGTTTGGACATTAAAATTCTTATAGTATTTCAACGGCATGATTTCACCTGGTACAACCATTTCTAGTTTAATCAGAACTTTTAACAAGTAACAAGATAAAATAACTCAACTATTCCTTCCTTATAGATCTTTTGCTATACTGACAAGGAATTTAACAAACTATGTCCTTAGGGCAAGCTTAAAAAATCATCGTGTTTGTAATTCTTGGGATGATTAAATAAAACAAAAAAGTTGGGTAAGGCTATTACGGACAGTAGAAGGGTTTAATTAACTATTGAATACAATTAAAGTGTACTTTAATCGATTTCTTGTGAGTAAAACAAGGGGCACTGCGTGTCGCTTTATATTTTCTGTCGAGATGAGTCATGGTCGTGTGCCGCCCTCTGGCAGCGCCAACGGTGGCCACGGCTCCGACCCTGGGCAGAAGCACGCCCGGGGGACGTGCGCCCTCCCAGAGCCTCGCGCCATCTGATGTATTGTGCCGTTAACTCCACCACCATGGATATGAGAGGAGGCAGAACTTATAAAGACGCTATTGCTGCGTTGAATACGCTCCAGTCGAACTTCGCATCGCTCGAGGCAAAGCGTCAGATCGGCCCGTCTGTCAACAAGAATGAGTACTCCATCAAGGTGGTGTATGAATATATTAGAAGATTGGGATACTCGCCCAAAGACTTTAATCGTCTCAATGTCATCCATGTCACCGGAACCAAAGGCAAAGGTAGTACGTGTGCGTTCACTGAGTCGATTCTTCTCCAATACGTTGCCAATGGCGGTGGGCCTGGAGGTATAAAAAAGGTGGGACTCTTCACATCACCGCATTTGAAGTCTGTACGGGAGCGGATCAGAATAGATGGTAAACCAATTAATGAGCTGCTTTTCACCCGGTACTTCTTCGAGGTCTGGGACAAGTTGTCTAACACGACATCTGATGCTGACGAGTTCCCTGACCTTGAGCCGTACGACGTGGTGAAACCCATGTATTTCAAGTATTTGACGATATTGTCGTTTCACATTTTTATGAGTGAAGGCGTCAACACCGCCATTTACGAGGTGGGTGTAGGAGGTAAATACGACTCGACCAATATTGTGGAGGCACCTACCGCCACCGGGGTCTCAGCCTTGGGGGTGGACCACGTAGCGATGTTGGGTAGTACTATTGATCTGATCACCTGGAACAAAACGGGGATCTTCAAACGGGGGTCGCCTGCGTTCAGCAGCGTCCAGCACGAGTACCCGCAAACACACCAGCAGATTACCGAGCGGGCAGAAGAGCTTGGGGCCAGTTCAATTGAATTTGTCGATGGGGTTAGTGTGGCGGGAGTTCGACTCGGGCTCCAGGGCGAATTCCAGCGCGACAACGCCGCCTTGGCGGTGAAGCTCGCGGCAGCGCACCTTGCGCATCTCGGGGTCACCGACCTTCCGTCTTCTGACTTACTGTACTTGCCAGCCCCGTTCAAAGAGGGTTTGGCACGGGCCCAGTGGGACGGGCGGTGCCAGGTGATTGATCACAAACCTGGTTTTGAGGGTCTTTCGTTCTATATCGATGGTGCTCATACCCTTGAATCGATTAATGTGTGCACCAGCTGGCTCGCTACCCGTAGTGAATTTGGCGGTGCCGGCAGCCGGAGAAAAGTGCTTTTGTTCAACCAGCAGGGAAGAGATAATGCTAACCAGCTTTTGACCCAGTTGTATGACAACTTGCACGGGCGAGTTCTGTTTGATACGGTGGTATTTACCACCAATATCACCTGGGCCAGCGGATACAACGCCGAGTTGGTGTCGATGAACAATTCGCAGGCGGCCATTGATACCTTGTCGGTCCAGAAGGGGTTTGCTGAGGTATGGGAACAGAGGGATGCTAAGTACGGGAAGAAGACGGAAATTAAAGTGTTTAAAGAGATTGAAGCGGGCTTAAACTCTCTTAAACTGTTGGCACCAGCCGATGTGTTTGTAGTGGGATCTTTGCATTTGGTGGGAGGAGTTTTGAGTGTTTTGGATGGAGATAGAGATTAGGTGCTACAGAATTATAGAATTACGTTCTTGCTTGTATTTGACCTCTAGTTGATTTCTAAAAGTATTACCACACATGAGTTCTTGCTTGTATATTTGTCCGCTCTACTTGATGTTTTCTCTAAAAGTATTAACCACATCGCCAACAGATACTAGAGATGCTCTCCATGCTGCCAAATGGCTCTTGACACCTTCCAAGTTTCTGGCCACTGCCTGTTGGTCACTTGGTAAGATAAATTTGTTAATTCTGGTCAAGTAGAAGGTGGAATTAGTCTGATCCAATTTACCTTCAACCAAACCAGCTTTTATAGAGTTGATCAATAACACTTCCAAATCAGTAGACGAAGCCACTGGAATTTCAGCGAGATTGAATTCGAACTTACTCGATGTTTCAAAGAATTTGCACAAGGCCAAGATCTGGGACTTGGATTTCAAGTTGGTGAAGTCTGGCGAGTCTTCGAGTAATTCCCCTTGTAAATAACGAGAAAACAAAGCCACCAACGCATCGGATTGGTGGGCTTGAATGGCCTTGTTGACGTTGTTATTCACCATGAAGGAGAGATCGATTGTGGAGCCGTTCAAGGCAAATTTGATCAAGCTTTGCAATTCTTGTTGGTCCAATTGGTACTGCTTTGTGAATTTGTTGATCAACTCTAAAGACTTCAGTGAACGAGAGGAGTCCAATTCAATGAACGACCAGAAGACCTGTTTGATATCTTTTTCAGACGCTTGGGCTTCTTGTAACCACAGAACCAAGTTTTCACCGAAAGATTGCTGGAGAATCGAAAAGTCAAGCTCCAACTTCTTGACAAATGATAAAATCAACGTCACCACCTTCACACGGATAGAAGAGGTGCTGGGCAACAAGTTGAAAACCAACGTCAATTCAGACAATATACTGGTGGCTTTAATGGACTTTCTGTCTCTCAAAGACAATTGTTGAACAGGACTGGAGTTGATCAAATTGTTCAATAACTTGTCTTCGGTATCTTTGGCGAACACAGCTTCAACTCCACCTTGGAGGGCACTTAAGATGTATATGATCAAGTTGAAGGTTGGTTCGAACTCTTTGTCACTCAAAGTTTTCAAATACTCTGGTGATGATGCGTCGTAAACCTTCTGTATAAGAGCTGATTTATCGGTGAAATCAGCGGGTGAAGAGGGAATATGGGAGTCCAACGACTGAGAAAAGTCTGACGATCCCTTTATGGTGTCGATGATCTCCCCAAGTTCTCTCACGGAGCTGGTGATCTCGTTATCAACCACAAATACAGACATGATGATGTTGAAACAATTGAAAATTTTTCGCGCACTAAAATAGGTGAGGACTGTGGTAGCGGAAGAAAATGGGCTAGAGTGGTACTTAGTAGAGTGAGGTGAGCAAGAGTGGTACTTGGTTGAGTGAGGTGACAACGATGTAGCAGCGTTGTGTACCCAAACCCGAGCAAAACTATTCATACATTAACTATTAATACATTGCCTTGATGTCTCTATTGACACCAAGACAAGAGGAAATCCACGTTTGTAGATCAAAGCCTCTGGTTCTCTCTAGCTCTCCTGACTCGTCCCTGTTGTCAACTCGAATTGTCATCCTCGTTCTCTTCCTGAATAGGATGCGTGGTCCCGTACTTGATCTTCTCCCCTTTAAACTTGGGTCCATTTGTCACACCCACCGGCGGAGAGCTGGAACGAGGCACCGGAGCCGCCAGCGGGAAGGTGGAGTTGATGGGCGAGCCCGACCTCCCAAACACAAACAGAGCCATATTCGACTGAGGCATCAAAAGACCACCGGTTCCAGTGGTGGTAGAAGCTGCCGGCAGAAGCAACTCACTACTTTCAGTAGACGAATTACTCAGAACCTGGCGAAGAGAAGCAGCTTTTTTGGTGGTGGACGGGTGTCTCAGCATCGCCGATGTCGATACCGACGCAATCAGCACGTCACTCGACACCTGGCGTCGGTACGTAGGTCGTTTCGTGGTTCCATTGCGAGCAGTCAGTCGGCCAACATCTTGGGTGGAAGCGTTCAACGACGACGACTCGTACAATTCCTCGTCAAACTCGTCCATGGAGTCCGACGCAAGCATCTCCGACTCCAGTTCAGAGGCCATGGTCGAAAGCTGGCTCACGTGACTCAACTGTGAAACCATCGAGGTGGGTCTTCGTAGTTTGGTCGGCGTCAGGGCCAGCGGGGAGAGGACCATGGCCGACGATTTGGCGGGCTTCTGGTCCTTTGAAGCTGGTTTCACCTCCGATAACTTGGGGTTGGACTGTTCACCGGGGTACGGCTGGTTTTGGTTGTAAATGTAGGCCGAACCACCATTAGAGCCCAAATGCTGAATGGGCATCAACACGTTATCTGGCACTGTTTTCGGACTAGGGCTGTTGATGGTAAGGTCACTGGTGTCTTCAAGGACGTACTGGGGCTCATCTCTTTTTTTCCAAAACTGGAGCCGGTTCATGAGCTTACGACCCGAAGGGTTAGAGAGCGGCCGAGGTCCGGCGGGGGACGGGGCAGACGATACCGACAGGCGGCGGTGTTCGGTGTAGAACAGAACCGTGCGGTCGAAGGGTGCGGTGGCAGCAGGGCTGGGCACGTCAGAGCCTCTCCCTACGTCGACCGAGCGTCTGTCGGTCGACCGCCGCGGGTCCGCCTTCCCCTGCCGGCTACCGAGACTTAGCGTCAGCATGATGCGCTCGAGCTGCGGTCCATCTTCATTCAACTGAAGCACACTCTTCATCTTTTTGGTGCTTTTACTCAACGAACGCCGAGCACGACGACTACGTCGCTTGTGCCGTACGTCTCGGGTGAGACTGAGGTCAAAGAAGGCCGTCAAAGAGTTCATGTGGCCTTCTTCGATGTCTCGCCGGAGTCGGTCCACGCGCACGCCAGCATGGGCCAACCGTTTTAAGAGAGCTTTTTCAACTTTGGACAGGAACCGGGTCCGGTTGGACATGTAATATTGCGAGATCGACAAGGCCAGATCTGTGTCTTTGGAATGGGAATGGGTGGGGAAACGGTTGGAGATGTCGATGAGAAATGGCGAGTTGAGGATGTCGTTGAGATTGGGCCGCAGCATCGGGTTCTTGGTAAGCATGCGCTGGATGAGGGTGTTGGCGGCCAGCGGCACCGACTCGTCGTACGTCGGCAGCTCGTGGATGATTTTATACTTTGTACGGAGCTCGTCGTCCTCTTCAAACGGCATCTGCCCGTAGAGCATCGTGTAGAGAATGATACCAAGCAGCCAGATGTCAGCAGAAAACCCGTTATATTTCTGGCCACAGAGCACTTCGGGCGCCATGTACACGGTGGTGCCACACATCGTCAGCAAAAGTCGGCGGGACGCAGGGCTAAACTCTCGCACGAACCCAAAGTCGGTGAGTTTGATGATGGATTTCTTCTTATCGGCAAGGAGAATGTTTTCGAGCTTCAAGTCTCGGTGCGCTAGGTTCAACAGATGCACGTACTTGGTGGCCTGGATGATCTGGAAAAAAAGGTGTTGGGTCTGTTTGTACTCTAGTCTTCTATTTTCGTAGATGAGATAGTAGAGCTCATTTCCCTGGCAGTATTCCATCACAAGCCAGAGATGGGTTTCGGTCTTGATCACCTCGTAGAGCCGTACAATGTTACGGTGCTTGAGCTGCTTGTGGTAGTAGATTTCGCGGACGATGTTGGGGTCGTCGATGAGACCTGATTTCAACACCACCGGTGTGTTGAGAAGAACATGGTGAGCAAGGTATGCTTTGCCAAATGAACCCTCACCGATTTCGTGGGCAATTCGGTAGTTGCCTACTTGATGGAGGGTTCTGTCGGTGATGTGAATATAGAACCGATTGAAGTCGTCCGCGAGCTGTGATGCGTAATTGTTGTTGTTGATGGTCTTGTTCATGGATGCATTGGTGTTTGATTTTACAAGCGACCGCGAAATGAGCAGAAATAGCCTGGGAAGCAGAGCATGAGGGAGGAGGCAAGAAAAGATGCCGGGGATTAGAGAGGTGATTATAGAGCCGTTTAAAGGGTCAGACCAACAGAAGGCTAGGACATGATACAGGTAATTGGGTATTTGTGGATCTTCCATCCATTGCTGCTGCACACACTCGGCTCTGCTGTTGCGCGCATCGAGTGCAAAAACTTGATGCCTAAAATATAAACTCACCACAACCATATGTTAATCACATGGACACGGCAGATGCTCCGGCCCCAAACGACGGCCATTCTTGCCGTCGATGCTTGGCGAAGCTACTCCACACAGCGGGCGTCCAGCTTGCCAGACTCCCAGTTGCTTAACGCATGCCTCAAGGACCCGCTCGCTAACCTATTTGTGAACCATGCCATCACCACCCCACCGACCAAACCACCGCCATACTCGCCCCACGCCATGGCCACGCTTTCGCGGCAGTTCAAGGATACCGTAAAGGCTGAGGTCAACAAGTACTGTGAAACTCCACAGGAATATAAACTGCCCCAACTGCTCACGCCAGCCGACTTTGTGAATCCTCGCTGGGAACACCTAGGCCCCCTCGTCCACGCCATCCACGCCGATATGGTGCCCCCGGCGTTGAAGAGCGTGTACGCCGAAGGCGACATCCTCACGCCCATGCTTTCCAAACTTGTGCACAAATTACGATCTCAGCAATTGCTTGTGACGGCAGAGGGCATCAGCAGGTCCATCGATTTTTCCAACCCGGCCCAGTGGTATCCCGAGACCCGGAAAATGAAGCGAAAAATTGTTATGCACGTCGGCCCCACCAACTCCGGCAAGACGTACCAGCTGTTGAAGAAGCTTGAAAAATGTCTGTCTGGGTACTACGCGGGCCCACTTCGACTCCTCGCGCGGGAAATCTACGAGAACTTTAACGGCAGAGGCATAAACTGTAACCTCGTCACGGGTGAGGAGGTGGTGGCCCGCGTCGATGATGACGGTAAGATCAGCCAGATCACCAGTGGTACCATTGAAATGGTGCCGCTTTTTAAGAAAATGGATCTCTGTATCATTGACGAAATCCAAATGCTCGCAGACGATATGAGAGGTGAGGCGTGGACCAGTGCCTTACTCGGTGTCCAGGCCAAAGAAGTCCATGTATGTGGAGAGGAACGTAGTGTCGACTTGGTACGACGTATCGCCACTCTCACAGGCGACGAGATCGAGATCAATCGGTATGAGCGTCTTGGAAAGCTTGAGGTAGCATCGCAGCCAGTGCGCGGATTGGAGAGGCTCAAGCCGGGAGACTGTGTGATTGCGTTCTCGAAACGGAAGATATTGCAGCTCAAAGTGGCAATTGAAAAATCCACCAAGCTCAAGGTGGCAGTCATCTACGGGGCACTTCCTCCTGAAATTCGAAGCGAGCAGGCCCATGGGTTTAATTCTGGTAAGTTTGACGTGCTTGTAGCAAGTGATGCGGTGGGAATGGGACTCAATTTGGCGATCAAGCGCATTGTATTTTCCACCACCCAGAAGTTCAACGGGACATCGGTAGCCCTGCTTACCCAGTCAGCGGTGCGCCAGATCGGTGGCCGTGCCGGCAGGTTCAGCCATGATAAGTCCAAGCTGGGCGGAGTAATCACCGCCATGAACAAGAAAGATCTCGCGTATATCAAGAAACACATGGATGGGCCCGTCGAGGACATTCCCAAGGCATGTGTGTGGCCCACCAACGAGGTATGGACAAGCTACATCTCCAAATTCCACCCCAATACGCTGATGGAGTCGATTTTGAAGGATATCGACAATGGCCCTATCAACTCCGACAACTTCTTCCTCACAAACATCGAGTCGAGGATGGGCATAATGGAGCTCCTACTGGCCGATGGAATCATGCAGCAGTTGTCGATAGAAGACCAGTTGAAGCTTAGCATCGCTCCCGTCAATTTGAACATCAATTCGCCCTTGGTGCTAGGAACTTTGATCAAGTATATTCGGAATCTCGTGGAGACAAAGAGCATGTCGATTCTCACGGTTGACTTCTTGCCACTTGAGATTCTTCGTCTGAAGCCGCTTCGGCTTTCCCCCGTGGCTGAGAGTTTACAGGTGTTGACGGTGCTCGAAGACACACATAAATTGGTGCTACTTTTCATGTGGTTGGCTCAACGGTGGCCATACTTGTTTGTGGATGTCGAGAGTGCCCACGACTGGAAGCTGTTGATTGAAAAGCGTATTGGGGAGGAGTTGAGTAATATGAGAGAGTCCAAGCGGATGAAGAGGTGATGGTTTCCCCAGAGTGTCCCCCACGCGAGATAGAGAGACGCGACCCCCACTGTAAATAGACCTGTAAATAAACTGCATCGCACGTCCCCCCCCCACGTCCGTCGCGCATCTCCCCCACCATCCTCCGCAATCTCACCGCTTTTAATGAATTCCGAATTCTCCATCTCCAAGTACACCTTAATGACTGGAACCATCATCGTGGTCGGAGGCCCCGCTGGCACCGGCAAAACTACCGCTGCTTCCAAGCTCTCAACATACTTCGACTGCCCATACGTCGAAGGTGACGCCTTGCATCCCCAAGCCAATATAATCAAAATGTCCAAAGGTATTCCCTTAACAGATGATGACAGATGGGACTGGCTCATCACCTTGACGGAACAGACCGCCGTCAAATGCAAGGAAGATCCCCACAATATCGCCATTGTGACGTGCTCGATGTTGAAGAAATCATATCGACAATTGATCAAAGACCATGGAAAGTCGTTCAACTTTGTGTTTTGCTTCTTGTATGCCTCATTCGACGAATTGGTCAACCGTGTGGAAAATAGAAAGAACCATTATATGAAGAGTGATATGGTGAAAAGCCAGTACGAAATTATGGAAGTGCCTGAAGGTGACGAATTAGTTGAAAATGGGGGCGACTGCTTGGCTATTAACACTACTGGTAAGAGCCTTGATGACATATTTCAGGAGATTTGTAACACTATCCGAGTGGGTAGGGTGATAGATAAATAGATTAATGAACATACGGGAGAAGAGAAGAGCGTTGAGAATAGAAAACATTAGAGAATGGAGAAGAGAAACAAACAGTGGACACAAAGAGTAGCAGCATAACTTGATAACATCAGAGGCATACCCAAAAATAGCTGCTTCCCTCTTCCTCTGTTTCATCGGTGCTCAAGTCTCAATCTCCTATCTCATCTTAGTTTTCGCAACTTTTTGTGCACTCTCCCGTAACCCATGCTAGACCTCGATTATATCGAATCACTCCCATACGTCAACCCCACGGTTGACCGCCGGACCGTCCTCATTCTTGGCGGCTGCAGCGGCATTGGCTGGTACACGGTGCTCTATCTTTTCCTCCACGGCTATGTGGTGTACATTACTGGCAGAAGCAAGTCCCGGGTCCTCAAATGTATCGATGAACTAGAGAAAGAAGCCATCCACATACGCCGGACGTACACATCGCACGAGCTCTCCAGCGAGCGGTATCTTGGACACCTCCGCTACCTCGAGCTTGACCCATCGAGCCTCACGTCGGTTCTTCACACATCGTCGGCATTTGCCAAGTTGGAAGACCACTTGAACATCTTCATCAACAACTTGAGCACCAGCCAGTTACCACCAACCCTCACCCAGGACAACTTCGAGATCCTGCTCCAACTCAACTATATTGCCCCGTTTCTCCTTATAACCCAACTTCTTCCACTCCTTGAAAACACTTCATTGCATTCTCATCTCGATCCTCCCAAAATCATCTACACCAGCACCCCCCTCCACCGGCTACAGCTTCTGTACTGGTCGCTCGACACTACATGGCCCACGTACGCTCACACAGTGTTCGGCTGGTTCCGGTATTGCAACGCCAAGGTATCTGGGATTCATATGGTTAAAATGCTAGGGTTGCGAAACCCCAAGATCTTGAGCATAGCTGTAGATACTGGATTTGTGATGAATCCTAATAGCTTCAGCTTCCTTACGCGACTACCCATCATTGGTGTGATGTTCTGGTGCTTGTTCCAGGTGTTTGGGTATTTTTTCGGGTCTTCGGTGGAAGAGGGAAGCTATGCCATCATCAAAACGTGCTTGGATCCCACGCTAGACTTGGAACACGATAACGGCAAGTATTTTGATAGTAGAGGGTTTGACTCCAGCCCGTCGCGAGTGGCGGGCGACATGGACTACGCGGCCCGGACGTGGATTTGGACCGTCAATAAGTTGAACGAACGGGGAATCCACATTCCTAATTGACTTTAGTAGAGATACGACGGATACGAAAAACACGAAATATACATTTCTAGAACTAGGCAATTGCACCTACAACTTTGAGTCGTGATCGAGTCTCTCGATAACAATGGCTGAGGCTCCTCCTCCACCGTTACAAATACCGGCAACCCCCAACTTTCCACCTTCTTGGGTCAATACGTTCAACAACGTAACGACAATTCTGGCTCCTGAACATCCTAATGGGTGTCCCAAGGCAACAGCACCTCCGTACACGTTGATCTTATCCAAGTCAAGACCACAGATCTTTGCGTTGGCCAATCCCACCACCGAAAAAGCCTCATTAAACTCAAAGAAATCCACATCCTCGTACGACAACTTGGCGTGTTTCAAGGCCTTTGGAACTGCCAACGATGGGGCAATGGTAAAGTCCACGGGCTTGGTAGCAGCCTCACCCCAGCCGGAAATCTTGGCCAATGGCTTCAAGCCCAATTCCTTCAACTTCGACTCACTCACCAAAATCACGGCTGCTCCTCCGTCATTCAACTTGGATGCATTGGGAGCAGTAACGGTTCCGTTTTCCTTTTGGAACACAGTTCTGGCACTCTTGAGCTTGGCCTCGTTGAAGTTCTTTGGCTCTTGGTCATGCTCCACCACCACATCTGGCTTCCCTCTGAACCCCTTAACGGTGATAGGAGCAATCTCACTGCGGAACTTACCGGCAGAAACAGCTGCCTGTGCCTTTTTATAGGAATTAATGGCATAGTTATCTTGGTCTTCTCTGGAGAATTCATGGTCCGAGGCACATTTTTCAGCGCACTTACCCATCAAAATATCATCATACACATCCAACAACCCATCCTTCTGGATCCCGTCAACCATCGAGGAATCTCCGAACCGGGCACCACCTCTGGCACTGGGGAGGTAGTAAGGAGCGTTGGACATCGATTCAGCACCTCCAGCAACCACAATATCGTTGGTACCACAAATAATCGTTTGGGCTCCCAAGATGATGGATTTCATTCCAGAAGCACAAACCTTGTTGATGGTAGTGGCCACCACTGATTCTGGCAACCCAGCCTTAAGTGCCACTTGTCTGGCGGGAGCCTGACCAACGTTGGCTTGGAGAACACCCCCAAAAAGCACCTCATCCACCTGTTCAGGCTTGATATCGACCTTGGACAACGCAGCCTTGACGGCATGAGCCCCCAAGTCACTGTATGTCAAGGAGGACAAGTCTCCTTGGAACGCACCAATAGGAGTTCTGGCAGTGGCAACAATGTAAACTGACATGGTATTTAAAGAAGTAATTAAGTGATAGATGTTTGTCACAAATGTGAGAAGTCGCTTTTTATATAGGCGTCGGTTCGCGAGCGCGACTGTGAATTTGAACGATAGGAACGACGACCCCCTCACAGTACCATGAGTGTTAGATTACGTCTGCACTGGCCGCTAGGTCGCAATATAGGCTTACAGATGGCAGGTGGAGCATATCAAGTGTCTCTATTCCATTCGACGAGTTTCCTCCCAGATAAAAGGGCGGCTCTAGGTCAAAAGATCCTCAATAAAGTCCCAAGCTTCCTCAAACCCTATACGATTAATTTCATTAATAAGCCGATAGCCAATTTAACGTCTTTCTTAATCCTCCATGAGCTTACGGCCGTCGGGCCATTGATCGGAATTTGGTACCTTTTCCACAAGTATCAGATTCTGATTCCTCTTGACCTTCCCCAATGGGCCATTAGCAAGGGAACAAGAATCATCGATGATTCAATGCAATCGTTTAATTTCGACGGGTTTTCACTTAACGAAAAGTTCCAGTTGATTCTGGAAGGTGCCTATGCCTTTGTGGTGGTGAAGATGCTTATGCCAGTGCGGGTGGTATTGAGTTTTGCCTTGACTCCAGTGTTTACGCGATTTGTGATTGAACCAATCCAAAGTGTGTTTAGTAAGAAGAAAAAGGAGCCTGAGCTGCCGGTGGTTGATAAACCAACGGAGGTGAAGCCTAAGAGGGTGGAGAAACGGCGGTTGTAGCTTGTAAATAGAGTAAAAAGAGTTATAGGAGAAGAAATGGCGACTGGACACAGCTTTCAGTAGACACAGCTTTCAGTAGATACAGCTTTCAGTAGATACAGCTTTCAGTAGATACAGCTTCCAGTAGATACAAAGAATGGACTGGATTTAGGGTCCCATGTAGTGGGCAAAGCATCTTTTGCCATTTTTACCATTATCGCGATAGTCCAAGTACTTTTCAATGGCAGTGATTATCATTCTGATGGTCAACAAAGGTCAATTCACCCACAAAATTGTAGACCTTTTGTTACTTCAATTTGAAACGTATGAGCCAGGAACATGTATCACTTTCATTGCGCTCATAAAAGTTTCTTCATGAATGTGTTGCAGATGTCTTTTCGACTTTTGGGCTTACATGGTATTTTTCGGTGAATCGGAGTAGTTTCTGGCAGAGACAAAAGAGCCAGGAGGTGGGCAGAGTCGTTCAGTGTATAAAGAAGAGCCCATGCCAGTAGACAATACGTATAAAGGATAATGGAAACCCAGTGGGCCTCTTGAGACTTCTTTGATAAATAGCTCTCTGATCGGTTCGGATCAAATATGACTTTATTCGCAGCCAATATTCGCAATAGCAGCTCAAAATAGGGGAACTGATTTCGGTACAGCACATTTTAGGTAGAACCAACTCTGACATTCAGGTAATGCCTAACTCTGCAATAGTCCATTCCCTAAGAACTTGAGTCAGCTGATGGGGTCCTCTCTAAGGCTTTTCTTGACTTATCGTGAAATAGCCAGCTGACACAGCTTTTGTGGCAGTACACAAAAGCCCTTGATAAGCTACACATGAACGACAAATTACACATGAAGGAGAGACTATGCATGAACGATATATACTACACGTGAACAATATATGCTACACATGAACGTATAATCAATCCATGAGCTTAATATCAGCTAAATAGTGTGTTCTCTCCTCCCAGTTGACAGCACAAAAAAGCTGACAAATCACCTACCCTAATACTATATTTAATGTTTCGTAGGTCTAATTCTCGCTCTCACATCCCAAATCACCCCATGTATTAAGCAACTACCCTGCCGTCCGAGCCAATCAAGCCCCTGTGGTCTTATCTTTGACCTTGTAAGTGTTCATAGAACTATGGCTCAACTATGGCGCCTTCCAAATCGGGCCAGTTTTTTCGCAATCGCGCTATAATGTTGCTGCAAATTCCTTCACAATTGTGGTGGCTACCCAGATTCGTGCTGCTCATGTGCTCTAAGAAATTCCCAGTATAGCCGAACCGGATTGCTGTCGAAAGTATATAAACCCCCGCATGTTCTGACCCATGCACCACCCTAAACAAAACAAAACAAAGCAAAATTATTCATTATGGCTACTCGTCCAAACGGTGGTAATTACGACATTCACTTCCACGAAGGAATAGATGAAGTTCTCCCAGATGGCACTCTTGTCGTCAACAAAGTCAACAGAGACGCTTCCAACCATCCCGAATTTCTTCCCACCTGGAACCCCAGCCAAAAGCTTCCTCCATTGAAGTTCTTCAAGCACCAAGAACCAGGTACCAGGGCTGACCCATCGTTCCCAAATTTGTTTCCAAAAGACGTTAAAGTCGTCAACAAAAAAGTTACTCCTAAGCTTGGAACAGAAATCACCGGAGTTCAGTTGTCTGAGTTGAACGACAAAGGAAAAGATGAGTTGGCGTTGTTTGTGGCTCAACGTGGTATTGTGGTGTTCAGAGAACAGGATTTCGCGACAAAAGGACCTGAATTTGCTGTCAAGTACGGTAGTTATTTTGGAAGATTGCACATCCACCCAACCTCGGGGGCTCCTAAGGAACACCCGGAATTGCACATCACCTACCGTCGTGCAGACCCTGGTGAATTCGAAAGAGCCTTTTCTCAAAACACCAATGCGGTCGGATGGCACACAGATGTCTCATACGAATTGCAACCACCTGGAACCACTTTTTTCTCGGTTTTAGAAGGCCCAGAAGCTGGTGGTGATACCATTTTCGCCGACGTGGTGGAAGCTTATAAGAGATTATCTCCTGAATTCCAGAAGAGATTAGAAGGTCTCCATGTGTTGCACACTTCTGAAGACCAAGCTTCCAGCTCCAGAGGTAATGGAGGTATTGAAAGAAGAAAACCAATTTCAAGTATTCATCCTTTGATCAGAGTTCATCCTGCCACCAAGGAAAAGGCTATTTACTTAAACAGAGCCTTTTCCAGAAGAATTGTCGAATTGAAGGTCGAGGAATCGGCTTTCTTGATGGAATTCTTATACAAGCACATCGAGCAATCTCATGACTTGCAAATGAGAGCAACATGGCAACCAAACACTGTGGTTGTATGGGACAACAGGGTTGTCCAGCACTCTGCTATCATTGACTGGGATACCCCTGTTTCTAGACACGCTTTCAGAATTACTCCTCAGGCCGAAAGACCAGTTGCAGACTTGAAGGACTTGAACAAGGAAGAATATGACGTTGGTGATGTTGCTGAGGCATTGAAGAATGTGTTGAAGAACAATTAATTTTGTAAATGGTTTAAAAAGTTTTAATGTACAGTTTCCGGTTTTATCAGGTCATAGAGTTCAAACGTACAGTAATAGCTTCAAAGCAATATGAAATTCAAATATACACATAAAAATATAACCAGTCTTTTATCATAATCAACATCTAAGCATTATCCAACAAATAGTTGGTGGCGGCCTCAAGGTTCCATCCTTCTTTTTGTAATGCTTCAGTTGCAGTGCTCTCATCAAATCCCATACCAACAAGCTCTTGTACCAATTCGTTGGTAGGTTCACTGACAGCAGCAGGAGCAAACAGATTTACCACGGGCTGCAGGGGTGTGTTTTGTGCCGATTGTGAGTTGCCAAAGCCAGCAAAAAGCTGTTCCCATTCATCGTTACCAGTTTTAGCTTCAGTTAATGGCTGTTGTTGGGATTGACTAAAATCTGGCATATTGCTGTTTGTGAAATCGTTGTTAAAGAAGTCATCGGTGTTATCTCCAAATTCCTCTTCACCTTCATTTTCAGCTTTGGCCGCTTCCAAATTATCAAACTCGTCAAAGAAGTTGTCTTTGGGTTCATCTTCAACGGGGAATGACCCTGGTACCACCTCGGGTTCCGCTTCTGTGGCGGCTGGTTCAAGATCGTCAAAAGCGCTGTCAAATTGGTCCTTTTTAGATGTAGCTACAGCAGTAGATCCAGCAACAAGATCACCCTTGGATAAGTCCTTTGCCTCATGAAAATCTTCGTCTTCTGAAGAGTCGCTTTCGTCATAATCAAGTTCCTTGATTGGAGGGAACTCTTCTTCGGCATTGTCGGTTGTTAATGGATTTTTGATAACAAAGGAGGTGGAGTCCCTGGTCTTGTCATCGATTTCGGCATCTCTAGCATCATCAGCATTAACAATTTCAAAGGATTCCACCCCAGACGAAAGCTTGTCTCCATCGCTTTCTTGGTTTGATGGTGCAGACTTATCTTCTTCAGCAGCAGAACCATTGGCAACTTCTTCAACGCCAATAGTGTCACGGTCACTGAATTCTTCAATGTTGTCATCACGAACAGACATGGCAGCGTTATTCTGAACACTTGAAGTCAACGAATCTGTTCTTTGAACTCCCACCAAGACACCAGGCATACCAACCATTCCACCCTGGGGAAATTGGTATTCTGAAGGTGAAGGTGATGTGACTGGTGTTTCTCCTTCTCCATTGGCGGAGTTTGCTGAATCAATGGTGGTGTTTGTACGTTCGTCGAATTTATTGTATTGGGAGTCAGTTTCAGGCTTCGATTCTTCGGTGTTATCGTTGTCCTCAATACCCGTGAAGTCTGGAGCGGCCTTCTCTTTGACTTCATCCACAAGGGCCTCGACAGGAACCGATTGAGGTACAGATTCAGAAACTTCTGGACTTGTTACAGCCTTGGATTCGGAAGGAGATGATGTAGCAATTCCCTTGGACTCTGTGGTTGGTTCCTCCTCTGTGATTTCTGCAGATTTGGTAGTTGGCTCTTGTGTATCTGGCAAAATACTTTTGGCAACAGCACCTAATCCAACACCAGCAGCCGCGCCGGCAACAACACCCGCAATGGCACCTTCAAAGTGTGAGCTACTTTGTTTGGGTTCTGGTTGCACGGGCTTGAACAGTTTAGCCTCAGCTAAATCATTTTGTAATTTCTGGTGATGTGCCAAAGCCTGGGCTTCTTCTTCGGCTTTGGCATTAATTTCATCTTGTATTCTTTTATTGGCAGCCAAAGTTTGAGCCAACTGAGATTCCAAGTCCTGCTTCTTCACCAACGCAACTTGCACTTGAGAGGACCTAACAGACAATTGGTTGGACAATTTTTGGTTCTCGCCAAGCACAATCAGCAATTGATTTTGTAAGTCTGAAATTTCGGCATTGACAGTTCCCAATCTTTCACTGACAGCACCATTTTCCTTTTGTAAATTTTCCATTTGCACCTGCTTCTCATTCAATTCTGTAGACAAAGCGTTGAATTTGGCTTCTGCAATAGAGGATTCTGATCTTAAAGCTTCGGTCTCTTCCTTAGCATTGACCAAATTACCTTCAACCTCCTTGAACTGCTTGACTTCATTATCATAAGATGTTCTCAAGATTCTCAACTTGGACTCAATTTCCTTCTTGGTGGTTAAAATCTTATTGAGCTCCTGAGTAGCACGAGACTTGTTGTCATGCAATTGAGAAGTTTGAGAGCTTAAAGACTTGACCTGATTAGAAATGTTGGCGATGTCCGAGGTTGCTTGGGAAAATTGGGCTGATGTGGATGGGTCCGCCAATAGGTCGTTGTTTCTAGTACCAGGTGGGCCTGAAGCTGGTACTGAAGTATTAATATCACCCGTTGGTACTGGTGAGACAAAAGATGAGGAACTCAAGTTTCGGTCGAGCTCTTGAGGAGATTGAACCGGAGGAGTATGACCAGCGGTACTTTGGGGCTGGAAAGTAGATCTCTTTGGAGGAGGAGGAACCGCTCTCAATGCATCGTAGTTAACAGTCTTTGATTTTGGGGGTTCGGGTTGAACAGCAGCAACATAAGGTGGAGACGTTGGTTGAGGAACCTTCAGAGGAGAACCATGATGGACATCTTCACCCAAGAGATCGGGAGATTCTTCCTGAGGACTCGATAAACCACCCTTATTCAACAAACTCTGGCCAAAAGAAGAGGTTGGTCTGAAATTCATGTTTTTTCTAACCTTAGGTAACTCTCCACTTTGAGTAAGATCACTACTCGAAGCTCTTGTTTGAAGTGATCCAGGTACTGAACCGGTGGCTACTGGTGACACCTGGGTGACCGGACCAGGGGTACCAAAAACATCAGCCAATTCATCAATAGAAGTTTTTTGGACCGTCAAGGGCTTTGGTGGTTGTTGAGGAGCTGTCGCCTTTGACACAACTGGTGAAGTATAAGTGGTTGGAGTCTGCGAAGCACTGTCGTCACCAAAAGCCTTGATGAGACCATCGGGAACAATATTAGGAAGAGAACCACCAGCAACTTTTCTATTGACAAGGAAAAGAGCGATTGAAAACTCCAATTTTCCAAATACTCCAGTGTTCTGAATATCTGCCAAGTCCCACACAGCAGCCAAATCTTGTTGGCTCAATTTCGAAGTCATCAAGAATGAGGCAACTTGGTCTGGATTCAATTGACCAGTTTTGGCCTTATCTAAATTAGCAAAGATGGACTCATATTGCAGTTTCATGGTGGGAGTGACAGCCCATTCATCCGTTGGAGTGGAAGTTTGAGTAGCGTACAGAGGAGGCTGTTGGGGGATGTGCTTGACGGTCAGTTGCGAACTGACGGAAGCGTAGGAAGCTTGACGCGAGCTAGCAGGCGGTGGTTGAGCACTCTGCCAAATGGAATCGGACAAGAATGGAGGCAACTGCTTGATAGAGCCTCCCAAAAGCCCCTGGATCAAGTGCATGGCCACAACAAAGCTCGCCATATTCAACTGACCCAAGTTTTCGGTGTCCACCAAGTTCCAGATTTGTCCCAACACATCCGTAGGCAATTTGGCCTTCAAGAAGATATCTCTGGCCAGAGCCCCACTCAACTCCTTGGTAGGCGACCCGGTGGTGCGGACAAAAAGCCCACTGAATTTCTGGTAGTCTGTGGGGTTAAGAGGTGGAATTGGGTCCTGGGGTTGTGATTGGTAAGTGGCAGTGTTCTGAGGAACTTGGGCACTTGGCTGTGATTGCATAAACGAGTTGTTTGTGGCCTGTGGTTGCAACAGAGATACAATTGCCGGTGCCACTGGTAGCGCCAATCCGGCGAACTTGGGCAACGGACCCGGGGTATCAGCCAAAGTTGGAGTTGGGGAATTCCCGGCTTGGGTGTATCCAATCAATCTCATGGCGTAACAAAAGCCAAATTGGGTCAAGAAACCCAAGTTGTTGCGGTCGGCCAACTGCCAGATTTCACCGAGAATGGCTGGCGGTAATCCCGACTTCTCAAAGGTGGTCCGGGCTTTTTCGCCTGTGATCACACCAGTGCCTTCGGGATCGAGCGACTTAAAGAGCTGCGAATAGAGCCGCTTTTCTTCGGGGGTGAGCCCGACTTTGAGCGTGGGAGCTAGATGGAAGGGTTAGAAACATACTCGTGTTTGAGGTATCTACCGACAATTGGCGATGATGGAGATTATACGTACCTTGTAAAGAAGAACTCATGGTTGTGTTGGAATTGACCAAGTGCGCACCCTTTGGCAGGTGTGGGACGGTGAGGTGGGCGCGCGCGGTCTCTGCACGACCGCTACCTCATATCGCATCGCAAAAAAACCTCTGAAAATTTTTAGAATCCACAATATGTTTAGAGGAAGAGGAGGTTCTAGAGGTGGCCGCGGCGGTAGACCCGGCGGTGCCCCATTCCAACAAGGTCCTCCAGACACTGTCTTGGAAATGGGCTCATTTTTGAAATCCTGTGAAGGTGACATTGTTTGCCGGTCCATAAACACCAAAGTCCCATACTTTAACGCACCAATCTACTTGGAAAATAAGACTCAAGTTGGTAAAGTTGATGAGATCCTTGGGCCCCTCAATGAGGTGTTTTTCACCATCAAGCCTTCCGAGGGAGTACAAGCCGACTCCTTCAAGGAAGGAGACAAGTTTTTCATAGGGCCTGACAAATTATTACCGTTGGACAGATTTTTGCCCAAGCCTAAGGAATATGGTCCTAAGCCAAAAAGACCAAAGAGTGCTGGTGGTAGCAGAGGTGGTTTCGGCGGAGCCAGAGGTGGTAGAGGAGGCTTCGGAGGCTCCAGAGGTGGCTCCAGAGGTGGTTTTGGTGGTTCAAGAGGAGGTTTCGGAGGAAGAGGTGGTTCGAGAGGAGGTTTTGGTGGTTCTAGAGGTGGTTCTAGAGGCAGTTTTGGAGGATCCAGAGGTGGCTTTGGTGGGTCCAGAGGCGGTAGAGGTGGCTTCGGTGGAAGAAGTTAAACACGACAAGGTTATCCTTTTATTGTACAATTAAGTCATGAGCTATAAGTAAATATACGTGAAAACAGACCATTACGAAAGACCACAACTCTCGACGATGGATGTCCGGATCTCTTTGTAACCCCACCGTCCTTGAACCATTTTGTTGGCCACGGCATTATTGAAAAAGAGTCGAGGTAGTGTAGGCAAGTTCAATAGATTAGCATTTTCAATCAACGACTCATAGTATCGGACCACCTCTGCGTTGGCATGCTCCACCGCCAAAACGTTGGCTTCTCGAGATGCTAAATCCACCACCTTCTTGGTGATCACCCCATGGGCCTTCATGATTTTCAAAATCACCATGTCCACCTTCGTGAACACCACCTCAAACGGCGCTCCTGCTGTCACCAAGAGTCCTAGGATCTGTGTATCCTCGTCCCGGAGCCCGTGGGAGCTGTCGATGAGGAGGTAGGCTCTTCGTAGCACTTTACGTCTTTCGATATACTCCACCACCATCTGGCCCTGTTCCTCCTTACCAAATTGGCCATACCCAGGGCTATCTATGAGCCGGAACCGGTTGCCCACATTGAAGCAGTTCATGGTTTGGGTGTATCCGGCCTTGTTGCTCACAAATGCATACTCGGTGGACGCTCCAAGGGTCCTACTGTCTTTGGAGTTTAGAAGAAGATTGTTGATAAGTGACGACTTACCGGAATTTGTGTGACCAAGAAAGAGCACCTCGGGAAGTATGGGTGCCTTGAACTTATACGCCGGGTTTTCGGCTGCTTTGGCTATGGCCTTAATGTCAGGGATCTCCTTGTAGTCTGCGAGAGTCCACTCGAGTCTTGGTTTTGCACCCAAAAACAATTTTTGGGTTACGTTCAAAAGTTGTCCTGACACCGGCGCATAGTCTTGGTGTCTGAAGGTATTGGTGAGTGACTTGGGTGTCACGATGAGATGTGAAACTGTTTTGGGGTGGTTGACAGAAGAGATGAGCTTTGGGTGAGGTGAAGATAAGGGTGGGGGTGGAGGGATTGATTCCGTCAAATAGCTGATGGAGTATGTTCTCACGTGCTGTGGAATGTGGGTTTGCATCATGAGTGCCCTACAACTGGGAAAAGTCGTACCATGGCGTACACTAAACATTCACTATTAGCTGCTCACAATATGCAGCAAATGCTTGGCCGCGCGCAAACTAAATCATGATTTCCTAAACCACAGCCATGGTTTCCGTCCGTATTCCCGTTGCAATTGGTACGTGTGACACAAGTGTTCGAATCAAGTAACCCTCATACCACGGCCCATACTAACTCTTTAACTCAGTCTTTGCTCTTACCCTTGCTCTTGCAGCATATTTGGGGTTTGCCCTGATTCATTTTGAGTACGATAAGTTTCTCCATTTTAGTGTATTTTTTGTTCTTGCAATTGAATTCTACTTTATCATCGACACCCACCACAAGTCGTTGAAGACGCTTCGTCTTGTCACGTGCTTATGGTGTGTCGGGTCGAGTGTGGTGCTGGAAATTGTTCAGTCTATCGTCAACCCCAGCAGGAAGTTTGACGTGTACGACATTATGGCCAACCTTGGCGGTAGTTTCTTAGGGCTCGTGGTGGCAGCCTCCGCCCATGCGTATACGGTGCGTCGGGCCCGGGCAGGGCGGTACCGTAAATTGGCACGTCTGGAGGTGGAAAATACAGGCCGAACTGATGGTGAGGAGTTTGTGAACATTAAGATGCAAGATCTTGAGGACGGGACTGGTCCCAGTCTGGTGCAGTGAGACCCTTTGGTACCGTCAATTTGGTGTATTTCTCACTAAGCTGGTTCTTAAGTTTGTGGATGTTACGATAAATGTTGTCCTACATCATGGCATTGGCAGAAAGGTAGTCGGTTCCATTGCTGTAAATAGCACGAGAGATTTGAAAGTTAGAGAGGAAAATAATAGAACCAGATTGACTCAGGACCACCGTATATATGAATGACTTGATGAATATAGGTTGGTAAATATCACGGGTTGTAGGAGGCATTCATAGTCGTAAGTATATTAACTAGAACCTATTAAACCTATTGAACCAACTAACCTTTCATACCTACTAGACCTGTTCCCAAAACTGGAAAATTAACCTACTAAACCAACTGCCATTACAAACCAACGTTCAACCGACTACGATAAACCTTGATATAATAGCATTACCTATAATCAAATCTCCATATCCTCGGGGATATTGCACTTCAATTTCCTTGTGTATCAAGTAAACATTATTGTACTCGTCAACATCCAAAATCCGCTCTGTGGCATGTCTTTCTTCGAAGTAGCATTCCCGAACCCAATCTTGGAGGAGTGAACATCGATGCACTTGAGTTAACATTATAGTTGTCAAGGATTCTGGACATAGCGAACATAGCAATCACAAGAAGTGCTCCGTTACCCCTAAAGACCATATTTTATTACAGTCCGACGATAACCATATCCACTGGGACGAACCGGTTGTATTAAGGCCTTTGTATATACAAGGCTATGGCTCAATGGCTTGAGTTGGTTGATATCTGTTCGTCTCAATTCAGCGTTCTTTACACTACTAACCTACTAAACCAAAAACAAGCCTTCATCAAGAGCCTCAGAAACCTTCTCTAAAATAAATCTCCCTTTCACCTTCATCAGCATTCCCCATCAACGTTATATGACTGAAGTCATATTGTCTCCAATAACAAATCCAGTCTGATACCACCACTAAAACCCCCAGATTCAAGTTGCTCCCTCACTTATCAAGTCTCCGGGACCTCTTTGGATTCCCCAACCTTGATACAAAATATGTTTGGTGCTTACGCTGTGGAGAAATGCTTATTAATTTTTACTAAATTTAGTAAGCTGCGAAAACCAATATATCCGCTATAAATGCGGCGACGTCTGCTGCAAAACCTCCCTAATTCAATGACTTCTTTCTACGGTGACATCAAATCCTACGACATCCACACCTATTGGCACGCCAGTAGTCCTGCGCAAGCAGAGTTTGCTGCCCAGCTAAGACAAAAGGTCCTTGATGAATTTGCACCCGAAGTGGAGGCAGGTGATATCAGGGTGTATAAATTATGGGACAAAGCTATAGGACCGCACCCTACTTGCATGTTTGAAATCGACTTTTCTAAACCAGAGGTTTTTGCAAAAATAGTTCCCTTCTACCAAATGAACCACGGCCTGCTCTCGGTGCTAATTCACCCCCGTACTGGTAATGATCTCTTGGACCACACGCAGAATGCTCTTTGGTTGGGCCACAAGCTCCGACTCAATACCGAATACTTACATTAAATGGCCCTGGGACCAGGTATTTATCACTTGGTATAAGGATATTTCACCACCATTTAGCTACCTGTTAAACAACAGATGGATTGTATAGTAAAACATGTCTTTTGTGTATTAGTTTCTCTGGTGTTGCTCTCATCAACTCTCACTTCGCACCAAAATTTCACTATCGTTTATTTGGCAATCGGTTAGGCTCCACAAACAAAACAACCATCCAAGACTTTCTGCTTCTCCCATTGGCATAACCCACCAAGTCTACGTTGATGCCGATTGAGAACCCGCCGCCGAAAATGCTGGAGGCTTCGAAAGCAGACCCCCCTGCTTCAAATTCTCAGTCCCAGTCGCTCAGCCTCTCCAACGGTAAACCACTTCGAGAGTCCAGCCACTTTGACGACATCTACAAAAGCATCTCCAGCACCTCAGAGGCATCCCATCAAAGCCGCCCCAAATCTCACCGCCGAAGCAGCCTCGGGTCAGATGAGGGCCCCTCCTATACTATCGGTAACCCCATCCAATTTCTATTCAGTCGAGACGATCCGTTGCAATTGCGGTATTCGGACGAGGGAGAGATGGAGCGGGACCGTGCAGAGTACGTGCCATCCGAAGATGAACGTGAGGATATTGTTCCCAACGGGGAGGGTGAACAGCAGGTGGAAGAAGAGCAAATAGAACGAAACCAGACGCTATCGTCTTTCCTCCCCAGCATGTTTCGAAACGCCGACCATGCCCAGAACATCAACGATGAAGACAAGAAGTCCAAGAGGAAGTTCCATCTTTTCCGTAAAAGAACCAAGGATAGAGAAAAAAAACAGTCGATCATCACCATACCTGACGAAGAGCCTGAACAAGAAGACGAAGATCTCTTCACGGGCCAACGGGCCCAGCAGTTGGTCGGTGCCTTGGCCTTCGGGCCGCCAGCCATCAGCCTCATGGCATCTTGTTTGTTGGAAGACGAGACAGGTCTTTCCAGAGCCCCTTTACTCTTGAGTTTATTGGGATTCCGAGTTACGGATATCTCCAATACCATTCTCACCAAGAACAGAAAGTTCCGGATCGACTTGGAGTACGGGGTCGGTCCCCAGAGAATGAAATGGTCGGTGGAACGTACTGCCAAAGACCTTCTCTATTTGCACTCGAGATTCAAGCTTGATAACTGGAGGAAAGAGGTGGTGCGTAATAAGAACTCGGAACTCCCCAAATACCCCATTCCTCCCTTGCGAAGAAACAACCAGGATGGGAATCTCTTGACCCGATACGCAAGAACAAACTCCATCAAACCAGCATTGAATGAATACTTGAATCACGAGGGCCACGATCATCAGCATGAGGATATGCATTCAGCCATAAGTCTTGGTCAGTTGGCCAGTCTTAGAGCACATTTATCCCACTCATCAGCCTCTTCTAGTGAGCTTTTCGACCAGAACCCAGAAGCCTTGAGGGTAAGGATTTCCAAGAACCAGGACTATATCCACCAAGTGGTCAACTATTTGAATGAGTTGATCAAGTTGGTTGCGTTAAAGCCTCAGTCGAATAGATTATTTCATTTCTTGGAGATCTCTCCGATTTCCTCTTTGTTGAGTTATGAAACAGGGTTCATTGGTAAACAGGGTGTGGTTCATATAGGAGGTACAGCCAAGTCTCAGGGATGGAGAGTTGGCCATTTCAAGGCAAATGATTTAAAGGGTATGATCGATAGACGACTGGAAAAATGGCTTTTGGTCCGAAACAGCTACATAATGTACGTCTCGGATATCAACTCCACGTTACCGCTTGAGGTGTTCCTTGTTGACCATAAATTCAGAATTACTTACAAAGGAGACCAGTTTTTCAAAGACGATGACGACTCGGACTATGATGACGATTCAGTTGAACAGAAAGTTGCAAGTGAGAATGGAGATGAGGCTCATAAGCATGCAGTTTTCAAGCATTTGAAGATTGTCATTGAAAACTCCGAGAGAAAGCTCTCATTGCTTCCAAAATCACAAAAAGAGCAAAAGCTTTGGATCAATTCTTTATTTGAGATGAAAAACTCCACTGTGTGGTCGAAGAAGAACCGTTTTGATTCTTTTGCTCCTGTCCGTGACAACTGTTATGCTCAGTGGTTTGTTGATGGAAGAGACTACTTTTGGGCCATTTCATCAGCGATTGAAATGGCCAAAGATGTGGTTTATATTCATGATTGGTGGCTTTCTCCTGAACTTTATTTGAGACGACCAGCAAATGGCAACCAGCAATGGAGAATTGATAGACTTCTTCAACGTAAAGCCAAGCAAGGAGTTAAGATTTTCGTGATTCTTTACAGAAATGTCGGTTCGACGGTTTCCACTGACTCCTTATACACCAAGCATTCCCTTTTATCACTTCATGATGAGAATATCCATGTTATCAGATCTCCTAATCAACTTTTGCAGAACACCTACTTCTGGGCTCATCATGAGAAACTATGTGTTGTAGATCTGACGGTTGCTTTCATTGGAGGAATTGACTTATGTTACGGTAGATTTGATACCCCTGACCATGTTATAACCGATGATTCTGGAATCAGTTTCTCTGTCCTTGACAATGACCATGTACCAACCGAACAAGACTTCACCGACTTTCAGATCTTCCCTGGAAAGGATTACTCAAACCCAAGAGTCAAGGACTTTTTTGGTCTTGATAAACCTTACGAATCCATGTATGATAGAACCACAACTCCAAGAATGCCATGGCATGATGTCCATATGCTTACATCCGGGAAAGTTGCTAGGGACTTGGCTCGTCATTTTGTTCAGAGATGGAACTACTTGTTGAGACAGAAAAGACCAAGTAGGTTCACACCTTTGTTGACACCACCTTCCGATTTCACCGAGCAAGAAGAAAAGTTACTTAACCTTGGAGGCTCTTGTGAGGTTCAGCTCTTGAGATCTTCGGGTAATTGGTCTTTGGGATTGAAAGAGCATGAACAGAGTATTCAAAATGCATATTTGAAGTTAATTGAGACTTCAGAACATTTTGTATATATCGAAAACCAGTTCTTCGTTACTTCTTGTGAAATAGATGGTAATGAAATCGAAAACAGAATCGGAGATGCTCTTGTGGATAGAATCATTCGTGCCCATAATGAAGGAACACCATGGAGAGCGGTTATAATAATTCCATTGATGCCTGGATTCCAATCCCAGGTGGATCAGCCTGATGCTTCTTCTATGAGAGTTATTATGCAATGCCAATTCATGTCGATTTCAAGAGGTCAAACCTCTATTTTTGCCAAACTTAGAAAGTATGGTATTGAGCCTGACGACTACATCCAGTTCTTCTCATTGAGGAAATGGGGTAGAATCGGCCCCAATAGAACCCTTGTCACCGAACAGTTGTATATTCATGCCAAGATCATGATTATTGATGATAGAGCTGCTATTATTGGAAGTGCCAACATCAATGAACGGTCGATGAGAGGTATCAGGGATTCTGAAATGGCGGCATTAGTTAGAGACAGAGAAACTATCCAAACCAAAATGGCCGGAAAAGATTATACAGCCGGAAAGTTTGCTCATACTTTGAGAATCAGGCTTATGAGGGAACATTTGGGTGTGCATGTCGATATCGTTGATATTGTTGAGAGAAGGTTCAGAAGATTCGAAGAACATGCTTGCACCAGCGAAGGTATCAAAGCAGCTACGAATCACTTCAAAGATAGCAAATATAGAATCCTTTCTGCTATGGTTGAACTTGCTTCGAGAGATATTTTGGGTGAGTCAGAAGGTACTTTTAGATGGAAAACCTTCCAAAAGGTCAATAAGTCAGACCTTGTTGCCGACCCTGTCCCCATGGAAGATATTGATGAGCTCGAAGCTCAAGACAATAACCCAACTCCCATCCCTTTGCCAATTTCATTTAATAACAGGACTGGAACTTATGAAGCGAATAGAGGTATTCGTGATAAGAAAAAGCAGTCGTATGATGCACGTGTCCAGCACAGCGAGGTGCACAAAAGAGATGTCTATGGACTTGGCTTGGATAAGTATAAAACCAGATTAGCCAAGACAGCCAGGTTGAACAGCACCAGGTTTTTGAAGGACTTGACCCATAAAATCATGAAAACCAATCCTCATTCCACCGTATTACCGGACATCGAAAACATAGCTGAGTTCCTTGAAGGAGACGATTTCGATATGTCGGACGAGATGGATGAGGATTCTGAACGCATAATTCACGAAAGAAACAAAGAAAGATGGGTTCTTTTAAAGAAAGTTTCCTACCTACAGAGAGTTTCTGCTACTCAGAGGGAGTATCAAGATGAAGAAAACAAGAAGCGGGCCAAAGCAGGTATGCCACCGGTCAATTTGTTTGGTGGACCTTCACCTCCTAGTTCAGCTGACAGTAAAGTGGACGAAAAAACAAAGCCTGTTTCATCGGTCGAAGGTTCTGTAGAAGCACCTAAAGATATTTCGGAAGTCACTGGTATTGGGAGTAAGCCTACATCGGCTTCTTCTGCAAATACAAATGGGACTTTGCACCAAAATGGAAGTGCTATTAATGGCTCCCATAGTAATGGTCACCCCAGTACCACAAATCTTCCATCCAACGACAAAAAGCCAGATTCTGCTGAGTTTTCTGCAAATGTGCCGATAGTTTCACTCAATGAAGCAGGAGCTCAAGCCCTTATAAACTCAATCAGTCCCAAGGATGCAGGGAACTTCACTAAATTTGTTGATCCTTACCTGTTCGAAGACCCTATAAGCTTCGATTTCTATGAAGACTTATGGTTTGAACATGCAAGAAGAAATACCGAAATCTTTCGAATGGTGTTCCATACTCAGCCTGATGATACTGTGTTGACATGGGCCGATTATAAAGGGTTCTCGAAGCTTCAGAAAGCTTTTATCACTGCTCAAATGCAAGATTCCAAACGCAAAAGTGAAAGACATCTTTTTGGAGAAAATTCCAGTGAGGATTCGGACCAGGAGTCTGAAAATGAAATGAGGGATTCCAACGATACATCTGGTAGCACTGGTATCAATATTGGATCAGCCAAGAACGAAACTGTTACTTTGGGTCAACCAACTGAGAATATCTCCAAGAAACTGAGCTTCAAATTTGTGTACCACAACACCATTCCCGAAGACCCCGAGTTGCTGGGCGAGCTCGCGGACGGTACCGAACTAGGCCTTGGTAGTGGTTCCAATGGTGTCGCTAACGGCAGTGCTAATGGCAGTGGCTTCACCCGAAGAAGACGTGCATTTAGTTCCAGAAAGAGGGTGGCTGCTGGAGATCGTATTTTTGATAGAGAAACTGCCGAACGAATCTTGAGTGAGATCCAGGGTAATTTGGTTATATTCCCAACCGACTGGCTTCTGAGGGAATTGGACGGTGGAAATTGGTTCTACAATACCGATAGAATCCCCCCTATAGATATCTACGATTAGTTTGCATCTAAAAAAATTGAATATAGTCGCGTTTTGATTCCAACTTTTTGTTCAACATTTACTACACGTCATGTTCCTTCAACTCATCTCATACTTAGGAGTGGGATTTGGCTTTTTGTTTCTAGTTCTTGCAATCGCCTCGGCATTGTACTACCTCTCCGAACTTGTGGAAGAGCATTCCGAACCCACCAAACGAATCCTTAAAAGGCTCATCTATATCATCACAGGTGTCCTTGTACTTCTATACTTATTCGATGGATTCCCATTCCTTTTGACGGTATTTTCGATGTTCTCCTACTTTGTGTACCTCCAGAACCTCCACAAATTCCCCTACGTACAGTTGACTTCTCCCATCTTTTTGGCTTCTTGTGGACTTGTGGTGGCCAACCATTTCTTTTGGTTTAACCACTTCCATAATCCATACATCCCTCCATTGGAGGAACGGTTGAAGCCTGAGTACGTACCACCTCATATCCCTTCGTTCACGGAGATTTGCTCATTCTTTGGGTTATGCGTGTGGCTTGTGCCGTTTGCTCTCTTTGTCAGTTTGAGTGCTAATGACAACCTTCTTCCTCATCACATGGAAGTGGATCCGCTGGGAAAGAAGAAAAACAACGGATTGGCCAAGGTGGTGGTGGCCAACATCCGTGACAACGTGTACTCGGCCAGCCGGGCGTTGGGCTACGAATTGGATCCTCACCATGGGCAAATGGTATAATTATAATTTATTTACATAATTTAAGTGGACATAAACTCCTGGACGTGGGGGCCAAAGTGATCCAAACTCAACAAAAACGTATCGTGTCCATAGTTGCTGATATCTGTTCCCAATTCATAGTACTTCACTTGGCCTGTAGGATTATTGGCTTGAAGCACGTCGAAGATTTCTCGTTGCTGCCACACGGGAAAGAGAATATCTGACTCAACCCCCACCACAAGCACGTCTTTGTGGGAGATTTTGGCAAGTCCTCGCTTCAAGTCATCGTACGACTCTTCGGGAGTCACGGTGGCAGAAGTGACTTTTTCTTCGTACGGTTCTTCTGGTACGGCGGTGGATTCCTGCTGCTGCTGCAGAAAATACGCTGCTTCAGCCGCACCTCGATTTTTCACCGCTCGCTCTCTGTTACTAGCACTTAAATCAAACAAATCCATGGCCTTCAGCACGTATAAGAGCGAATTGGCATCGTACTCAAGGCAGAACTTCTCTCCCGCATGATCCAAGTACGTTTCCACCAAAAAGTCCGGGCAAAATGCTGGAGATTTGGAGTCGTCAGCTCTGTTACGTCCAAACCGATACTCCCACTCAGGTCCAGACCGGTAGGTGATGGTGGCAATTTCCCGTGCCAACTTCATCCCCACGTGCGGTGGAATCTTGTCATAGTAGAACCCCCGGCTCCAGTTAGGATCACTCATCAACACCTGCCTTTGTGTGTGTCTCAACGCGATGGAATATGGATGAGATCGGGCACACCCTGAAATCGACACCACCTTCTCAACCTCGTCGGGGAACTCCATGGCGTATGCCAACGATTGCATGCCTCCCATCGAAGCACCGATGGAGGCGTGGATTTTGGATGCTTTGAAAACGTCTCTTATCAACTCTCGCTGCCCACGCACCATATCGTTAACCGTCAAAATGGGGAACCGGGTGGCATAGTGGCTGCCGTTGGCCGGGTCGATCGAAGAGGGCCCCGTCGACCCATAGCATCCGCCGAGTACGTTGGTGCAAATGATGAAGTATTTGTCTGTGTCCAAGTACTTCCCAGGTCCAATAAACTGTTCCCACCAGCCTGGTTTGGGGTTGGTAGGTTGGGACTTGGCATGCGAAGATGCAGAAAGCCCTGTATGTATCAACACAATGTTGTCTTTTTGAGGGCTTAACGTTCCCCAGGCTTCGTAGGCAATTTCGTACTCAGGCAAGAATCCACCATGATCGAGGAATATAGGCTTGCCAGACTTGTAAATGTGAAAACCAGTTTGCACCTTGGAGTATGAGGGCTCGGGGCCGTCTTCGAGCGAGTTGGAACAAAGTTGTTGCGTCTTCTTCTCGAGCTTGTCCAAGCAGGGAAATGCCATTTGTGGGTTAGATCCTGAAGAGGTTGAATTAGCCTTAGGTATATTGAGTGGCAGCCTCAGCTTGGGGGTTTGGGAGATGGGTCGAGAGATTGTTCTCATGTATGAACTCCAATGCCCTCTGGAGGCCTTGGAAAGTGATAGGTGTCGGTATAACATGATGTTTAACAAATACCGATGATTAGTAACTGTTTGCTCAGCAGTTAACTTGGGAAAATTATTGACTTATTTCACGTGAGGACTGTCGTTTTGAGAAGCTTTCGCACTATCGTTGGCTGCAAAATATATCATTTATTAGCTATGGACAGAGAATACAAGAGGAGATTCAGATGAAGAGAATAATCTGAAATGAAAAGAGAAGAAAGCAAGAGAGTGCAATCATCGTCTTAAGAGAGCTTTGTCCGCTGTTGTGTTCCCAAATGGTTGCGTTTGAAGAATTGTAGCCGGCACTCAAACTGGTTTTTAAGCTTGTACCTCCCAGAACTGGAGCCAAGACGTCAGTATTGCTGGCGTTTGTGTTTACTTGTGGTGGTTTGAATTTTCGGTCCCCTTTTTGTGTTTCCATATCGGTATTGTTGTTGCCTTTTGTGGACCCAGCACGAGCCCTCGCTGACTTGGTGAACTTGGCCTTCTTGTGGCCTGCTTTATTGTGGCTCTTTCTCTTTCTTGTAATGGTGGAATTGCTGGGTATAAATGTCATCAGAGCCACCGGGTCGCTGTTGACAGTGTCCTCTAACCTGAAAACCTTCAGGATCAATTTGCTTTTCAATGGAGAAAAGAGCTCATAAAACAGATTCCAGGACACGACCAATCTCTCAGTCTCAATGCTGGAGATCCCCACATCTTTGGCTATCTCTCTAATGGGTTCCACTGTGGAGTTGGCCAATTGCCTGATCTTTTTGATCAAAGTCTTCTCGTGCAATCTCTTTCTATCAAAAACGTAGCCAAGAAAACTCTGAGCCCTCTTATTGGGTGCATCTCCATCATGAGAGTACTTGTAAGCATAATCGTAGTCGTCGGAGTCGTAATCATAGTCTTCTTCATTGATTTCGCTGTCGTCACAATCAGAGTCTGATTGAGTATCCTCAAAGGGATCGTAATCATTATCAGACCCAGAGCTTCCATCGTCTTCGTAGTTGCCGTACTGCTCCTGAAACTTCTTCTTGTTCCGAAAGTACTTCACAATACTGAAAAAGCTGAAAAGCTCATCTGGATCAACTGGAATAGTTTTTTGTACTGGCTGCAAACTTTTGTTGACAGAGGAGGAGTCTAAGGAGTTCTGCTGAGCTTGATCAGCGGAAAAGGGGAGGTAAACGGATATTGTCATGGTGACCATGAAGAACCAATAAAATTTCATCAACAACATGATTAACGTAGTTTAGCGAATGAGTGTAACTAGTGAAGAGGTTTGTGGATTTTACAAACTCTAGTCAATTTCCAGCTTTTTCGCATTCATAGATTTAAAATATGAGCATTTCCTTGTGGCAGGCAGCAGTGGGCCTTTTCGTGCTGACGTTCGCGAGTACACTCTTGCCGTCACTATACTTCCACAAGTATAGTGCTTGGATGCATCACCATCCCGTTAACTCGGTGCTCAACATGGTGTTTGTCGACTACAGCTATGTTTGGTTTACCATAATGTTTAGTGGTTATGGGATCTGGGCGTATTTATACCAAAGCCGGTACCACGTCTTCAGAGTGTTCGTAGCGTACGCCGCTTATTTGGTCCTGGGAATCGTATGCACTGTGTGGTTCTTTGGGGCCTGCTTATTTGAAAGAGTTGAAGTTGCATTTGGTGGACACTGTGATGTCGGTGGTGGGAATAGTGGCATGAGCCACGCTGCATGTGATGCGACGGATGGCGGTGTATGGGTCGGTGGGTTTGATACGTCAGGACACTATTTTGTGCTTTTATCGTTGAGTCTCTTGCTGGTGGACCAGCTTGTGTGTCTTCGATTAGTGGGGAACCAGCGAAGTGATAGATATCAGGAAAGAAGTGATGAGTATCAGGGAAGAAATGATAATGGAAATGTTTCGGGGACTGTCGACGTGGGCCTCGCGCCTCTGCCAGAGCTGGTCTTGGTGTCCTCCCAGCTTCTTCGTGCCCTTATTCTCACAGTTTCTCTATGCCTATTCGGACTCTGGTATTTGGAATTCTGCATCACATCGCTCTTCTTCCACACTCCTACAGAAAGGCTTACTGGCTTGCTTCTTGGTCTCACAATCCCAATGCTTGTACATTATAAACTTGCTCCTACACAGAGGGTCTCATCTTGAGATAGCATAAAAGCCGCGAAGAATTAGCACAATTGTCGCAAATGGGTATAAGTACGCACGATCCCATATATAACAAAAAATCATAAAACACATAATCTATGGAACATCTAGAAATATATCTTCGAAACATCCACTGTTCTGACTGTGAGCAGACGGTGCGTGGCATTTTTGCATCCCATTATCAGCTTCTAGACTTCCGACCTTCACTACCGCTTAGTCAACAGATGTCAACCACTAGTGCAATTTACCGCCAGAACCGCAATCAGGTCGATTTATATCGTTCCTCCCATTCTCCTGGTGCTTCCTTTGAACATATCATCAAGAAGATCACCAAAAAGATCAAACGAGCCGGGTTTGGTGTTCTCTCGTGGGAGATATCTGTTGATGGGCAACTCCAACAGAGCTCTGTGGATGAAGCTGACTCCGAAAATGAGCCTTCTCTGAACCAATTCAACCCCGTTCGGGGCTTGTACTCGAAGTACAAACAAAAGTCGTTCAAAAAGAGTCACATCCAGAATTGCCAAAAGTGTCGAGATGAGCTTGAATCCGAGAAAGAAAAACGGTCTGACTCCAGCTTGAACGGCTCATTCACCACCGTGGTAGAAACTCAGCAGAAGGAGTATAGAGTGGTGTTCTTTGTGGGTGGAATGACGTGTGTCTCATGTGCCAGTGCTGTAGGTGAGGCATTGGGGAAGGCTTTCCAGGAACTTCATATCGAGTCCAAGCATGATGAACCAAGCTATTCGGTCAATTTGTTACAACACTCAGCAGTTGCAATTGTCCCCAATAAACAGGTGATAAATTCTTTGGTCAACACCATTTTGGACCTGGGTTTTGACTGTAAGATCTTGGAAGTGCTTCCCGTGGAAAGATCTATAAACGTTAAGGTGACGGCCGCGATAGGAGGAATAACCTGTTCAGCCTGTGCTATCTCCATCGAGTCTGCAGTACATGAATTACCCTTTGTATTGGACTCTAATATCAACACTATCACCAAAACAGGTATGTTTGTTATGGATGATTCGGACCTGAACCTTGAACTGTTGAAGACCACGGTTGAAGACTGTGGGTTTGACTTTGAGGTGTTGAATGTCACCAAAATCAACTACGTCCTGGGTAAAAAGCAGTCGAGAACAGTAAACTTGGAAGTGGAAGGGATGTTTTGTGTTCATTGTCCTGAATTAGTGTATGACTACTTGAGTAGCTATGGGGAAGTCATCCTGGTTGAAGATGAGCTTACTTTATCACACCCATTACTAAAATTCACCTACATCCCCAATCAAGAAAAGGGTCTCAATATAAGAAAAATTATCAAGGATCTAAACCATTTGAGACTGACAGACGGTGATGAGGCTTATACTATCGACTACTCCAAGCAAGGACCTTTTACTTGCAATTTCATAGAACCTGTATCAATGGATGAGCATCTCCGTGAATTGGCTAAAAAAGATGTCAAAACCATAGCACTCCGTCTTTTTCTTGCTGCAGTGGTTGCCATTCCTACATTTGTGTTTGGTGTTGTGGCAATGCTGTTGCTTCCCAAACATCATGCATTCCGAGTGTGGATTGAAAAACCATTATGGACCGGTAATGTTTCCAGGTCCACATGGATTTTATTCTTCTTGAGTACCCCCGTCTATTTTTTTGCAGCCGACTTGTTCCATAGAAAAGCCATCGTGGAAGTCAGATCACTTTGGATGCACAAAAACTCCTTCAAGAGAAGGCTCTTCAAGTTTGGATCAATGAACTTATTGATGTGTCTAGGAACTACTATTGCGTATGTTAGTAGTATTGTTCTTTTGATACTTAGTTCTCAACAAAGCTCGGAATCAATGGATGCACTTCATACTACTTATTTCGATTCTGTGGTGTTTTTGACGTTCTTTTTGTTGATAGGAAGATTGTTGGAAGGTGCTTCTAAGAGTAAGACTGCCGAAGCCATTTCAGGCTTGAACAAGTTCAAGGTTTCTAGTGCCACATTAGTTGATCGAGTTCCAAGTGGAAATAATGAGTACAAATATGAAAACGACCAAACCATAGACATCAAGTTCTTGGAGGTGGAAGACTATATTCGTATCGCCACGGGGGAGTCACCTCCTGTAGACTGTGTGATTGTTGAAAACTCAGCTGAGTTTGACGAGTCGGCTTTGACTGGAGAGTCTAAACCCGTCAAACATTCACCGGGGAATCAGGTGTTTAGTGGAACAGTCAATGTGAGTAACCAAGCTGTCATTGCCAAAATTTTGAGTCTTCAGAGTGATTCGTTAATCGATCAGATTCTCAATACTGTTCGTGAAGGCCAAATGAGAAAGGCCCCCATAGAGAGAACAGCAGATGCGCTTACGGGTTACTTTGTGCCAATTATTGTATTCATTGGAATCTTGGTGTTTATTATATGGTTGATACTAAGCTATTCAGGGGCATTGCCTGACTCCTACTTGGATGTTGATATTGGTGGTTGGTTCATGTGGTCTTTACAGTTTGCCATAGCAGTGTTTGTGATAGCATGTCCCTGTGGAATTGGCCTTGCGGCTCCGACAGCTCTTTTTGTAGGGTCAGGTTTAGCAGCCAAGAATGGGATCTTAGTTAAAGGTGGAGGAGCTGCTTTCCAAGATGCTGCCAACACCAAAGTGGTGTGCTTCGACAAGACAGGAACCTTAACCTATGGCGAGATCAAAGTCACCGACCATCAGTTTTGTACAGATGATGAACAGATGCAGCTGGTAGCAGTGCAATTGGCAAGGGACTTGGAATTGAGTTCTAAACACCCACTCGCTCAAGCCATTAAATCTTTCACTAGTCAATTTGCACTAACTAGCAACAAAATTCCAGCGGTGGAAACAGTTCCTGGAAAAGGTTTAAAAGGTTCCATTGTCGCTGGAGACACCGATGGGTTTTGGAATGGCCTCACAGGCAATGTGGCCATTCTCGGAAACGAAGCACTCATTGATGATTATAATGTCGATATTTCAGATGAACAAAAGAGCATCCTTGAAGAATGGAAGTCTGAGAAGAAGTCTGTGATACTAGTGGCGTTACTTTCTGAACATAAAAATCAGTTGTTAGTGATGTTTGCCTGTCGTGACCAGATCAGACATGAGTCCAAAGACATCATCGACCATCTTCAGAATCAACTTGGAATCGAGTGCTGGATGATCACTGGTGATAACTGTGTCACAGCCCAGGCCATTGGATCCGAGCTTGGATTAGACCTGGAGCACATTGTGTCGGGGGTGTTACCGGATGAAAAGCAAATGCATATCAAGAGAATCAAAGGTCTCAGAAACACGGTTATAGCAATGGTGGGAGACGGAATCAACGATGCCCCAGCATTGGCAGCCGCAGACATCGGAGTCGCCCTTGCCAGTGGTGCCGATATTGCTGTGACTTCAAGTGACTTTATCCTTCTCAATAAACTGCACCCATTGACGACACTTGTCACCCTCTTTGACTTGTCTACCAAGGTTTTGAATCGAGTCAAGTTCAACTTTGCGTGGGCATTGGTGTACAACATGATAGGAATCCCAATTGCAGCTGGGGTGATCTACCCGTACCATAATTCCCGGTTGAGCCCTGTATGGGCCAGTGCGGCCATGGCAGCGTCACTGGTGAGTGTGGTGTTGAGCAGTTTGGCCCTCAACTGGTATCGTCCCATCGTCCCCAAGGAACAACCAAAGCAAGCACCAGAGCATATTTGAGGACAGTTTGTGTATATTTAATACGTTCATTAATCATTAGACTTGAAGATCGAATTGTCGAACTTGACCACCATCACGGTGATGTTATCAGTTGTAGAGTTGTCAAGTGCGAGTTGACATAGGCGTTTTGCAGCCACCTCCGGGTCGTCCAGAGTCCGGAACGACTGTTTGACAGCCTCACACGCCTTCCCGTCAGACACCACATCCCACAACCCATCGCAGGCCAATATCATGAATTCGTCGTACTCTCCTAGAACGGTGGAGGTAGTGAATGGCTTGCCCACCACCAAGTCCTTCATGTACAAGTCACCTAGAGACCGCGTTACCGCCAAGATCCCATTGACCCGATTCTTCATGATAAGTCCCCCAGAGTCTCGGACTCGGTTGATTTCGTTGATATCACTGGCTTTATGATCATAACTTAATCGATATGCCTCTCCATTACGGTACAATACGATTCTCAGGTCCCCGACGTTGGCGGTATAGAGCATACGGTGTTGGTTTGAAAAGTCGACCGAATAGCTACCCTTGGTGTTATTGGTGTCTGTGGTATCGGCTGGGATAGCATCTCCTCGATTCTCCCATAAAAGTACCACCACCGCCGCCGTGCTGCCGGAGTTACCAGCATTCTCCTTGCTGATCAACTCGTCGGCCTTCATGAACGACTTGTATAAATTATCCTTCATGTCTACCTCGGTTGAAATCACCAGCTCCTCGTTCGAAATGATCTCTTGTTCGAGTAGCGTATGCAAATTATTCCCACACCACCGGGCCGTCTGCTTGCCAGCGTGGCCATCGAACACCGCGAAGTACCCCCAGTCCAAGCGTTCGGCAAAATTGGCCACATAGGTGTGAACGTCTTCCATTTTTGATTGGTAAGTGATGTTTTTGTTTTCAGCCACTCCCACCTTAAAAGACAATCCGTAGAACGGATCCACGTTGGAAACCTGTGAGAGGTTGGAGGTGGACGAGTTTCGTGCCTGGCTGGTGAAGCTATTCAACGAGATGTTTGACCCCGTATGGGTTCCAAGACTCAGCATGATATAGGCGTGTTTGTATGTAGATCCAGTGGTAGTAAAGTTTGCGAGGGTGCGCTCAGCGCCCTCGCCATCTTTCAGGTACGGACCGGTGGGGGCACGCTGCCGCTCGCCGCTTGTGCTGCTGCTGCTCGCGCGCAGATTGACGGACTGCAAACGTTATCAGGCTAATCATGCAAGTGGATCCATCAGAACTAGAAGAGTACGGTGAATTGGCCGACACGGTGGACGTACGGGCACTGGTAAATATGCGGCTGGCCGGCGGGCAGCAGCCACGACCGCGCCGCCGCCTGAGCAATTTCCGTCCCAGCTACTACTACGATAGCGCCAAAATCCTCCAGGCCCTGAATACCATGGAAATGCTTCCCATCGCCATGCTTATCAAGATCTTCCTGATGCTCGATACACCTGACTTGCTCCGTGTCTGTCTAGCCAGTCGTCTCTTTTACCTCCCGGCAATCGCCCGTCTTTACCGTAGGATTATAGTGGTGGAGGACCCAGCACTTTTGACCTTTGTTCGAGTAATGTTGGATCATTTGGACCCCTACGCCAATACGGTCATTGGTGGCCAGCATTTCGATGCGTTGGTGAAGGTTCTACATAACAAGAAGCTTGGAAAGCATGTGGCATCTCTTGTGGTCTTGAGTGATAAGGACTGGTCCGATAAATGTTGGGCTCAACTTGCACAGATAACCGGCACTCTGGTGCTGTTTCGACTGCTTGTGCACCCAGGAGCACCGTTTGGACGTGCAAACCTGCTCAAGTTCCTGCTGCTTGTGAGCTTAAGTATGACCATCAAACATGCCAATCAGACGGAACTCAACCTTGATCTTCCCGCCCTTCGGCACCTCAAAGTGTTCTATGAGAACAACGAGTTCAATAAACTCAAGTTCGGCCGGTTGGCCCAAAGTCTAGTAAAAGGAGGGATTTTGGCACATCTTGTGGGTCTTGAGTTTGAAGAGTTGGTCATCAAAGACTTAAAGTTATTGAACGAGTCCAATAATAACTTGCAACTTGCAACCTGGTTGAGTTTCTTCTACGAGCTTGGAGATCTTGTTGTCGGAGGCATACCTTTGTACTCGCTTCGGGAGCTCTCTCTTGATGGATTTATCCATGATCAGGGTCCAAGTCTTGTGGCTACGCTTGAAAAAGTGTTTGATCTCGCAACTCTCTCCACCTTGAAGCTCACCATCAAAGAGTTCAGCCATTTGAACAATTCACATTTCGACAACGAGCTGAACTTGTTGGTTCCACTCGCATCTCGTTGTACGTCACTCCAAAGTCTCACGGTTTCCCCCACGTTCAACTGCCTTACGTGCCAATTCCATATGCTTCTACATACATTGGTGTTGCTCGAAGGTAAACTTCAGTACCTTAATCTCCAATTCGAAGTGATGAACTTTGACCACACAAAACACCTCTACCTGGCAATTCTCAGCCATCAATGGCGTTTGAAGCTGTTGATACTATACGATAAATCCAATGAGTTTTTCAACGAGAAGCAGATGGTCAAACATCTAAAGGCACAATTTAGCCAGTTTGAAAAAACAACCTTCTACCTCCAGCTTTTCTACAAAACGTACCCGATACTGTTAGAGCCATACAAATGTGTCTCGGGGATCTCAAGCATTTACAAGACTTTTTTCAGTGAAAATCAGGACGCTTTGTCTGTATACTTGGCAGACTATCTCAAGTCGGTTGGTCTCAAACTGCCCCCTACAAGCCTTGAACAATTCGTTGTAAACAATGTGCCACTTGTGGTATTGAACGGCTCTTGGACATTTATGGATGCTGCCAAAACCCCTATTTTGTTTCCCGATTCCAAATATCCCTTATGACTGTAACAGCAATGGGTGCAAAATATGATGAACATAAACAACGGCAAGAACTGGCCACTACCATGGGCATTTTGAGGAATGGTTACCCTTCCTGATACTTTTCATACGGCTAAAATACACATGGTTTTGTCGGGCATGTCTCGGCCATGCTGTATGCCCACCCAATCAATCATATATTATGTTATGTACATACGTGCCAACACCAAAGGGTCTTGCGCATGCGGGACCGGGATTAGGGCCGGGCCCGTCCCGTGCGCGGGAGCCGCCCACGCTGTGACGGTGCCAGAGGGGGTGAGTGCCGGGCGGTTTGTTTGTGTCATAATTTCATTTTTTTCTTTTATCCTCACCGTTTAAGGCTTTTTGTTTTTCTTCTCTCTCCTTTAAAAATTAGTAATTTATCGAACTACATATCCGTTTGTGGTTTTTATATTTATAGTTGTTGTTAGACCCTACACACGTTAGCATCTCCCTGCGTTTGGCATACACACCGGTGAGTCTCTTATACCCCCTTTTCTCCCCTGATTTTCCCAACCCTGTTGGCCTCATCCCCCCCTCCCCAACTCCCAGTTCTTGTGACTTGTTACATCACAAGATAACACCCCTGTTATCAATCACATAATTCCCACACGTGATGAGCTCCAAGTCAGCCGCCGCCATTCTCCAACGGCAGTTTCGAGACTTGACGGACCCCAAAAGTGGGATTCCTTCTTTTCATATTGAGTTGGATAATGACAACATCTTTTTGTGGAATATCGGAATCATCGTTTTGAACCAAGAATCGGTATATCATGGCGGATACTTCAAAGGACAAATGAGGTTCCCCAGTGATTTCCCGTTTTCTCCTCCAACCTTTAGGTTCACTCCTGCTATCTATCACCCTAATGTTTATAAGGATGGTCGCTTGTGCATTTCAATCTTACACCAAGGAGGTGACCCCACTTCTGATGAGCCTGAAAATGAAACTTGGACCCCAGCGCAGACGGTCGAAAGCGTGTTGATTTCGATCATCTCGTTGTTGGAAGATCCCAACGTTTCGTCTCCTGCTAACATCGATGCCTCGGTGGAGTTGAGAAAGAACCCGGAGGCCTACAAAAAGAAAGTATTGCAAGAAGTTGAAAAGTCCAAGAAAGATATTCCTGAGGACTTCATAATGCCCGAGCTGGAAATGTACGCCTTTGGTAATGGGTCTTCTTCCAATAAAGATAATGAACATGATCAAGTTGATGAAGATTTTTGGTACGACACTGAAGAAGAAAGTTTTGATGAAGAAAGCTTGATGGATGACATGGAAATGGAAGAAGACAACGAGGACGATGAAGAAGAAGAGAATGACGACGTTGATATCATGAGTAAATGATCAGAGAACTGAGTGATTGTTGACTGCCAACGACCAATATCCATAATCACAGCATTATCTAATATATTAATATAAACAACTTTAACTGAAGCCCTCTAGTCCGGTGTTCAACGCCTCTGTTAAGCCGTCTAATTTGGCCTTGGCTATGGCATCGGGTAACGAACTGTCGTATAACACCACCACATACATTTTGTTTTCTTCAGTTTCCTGGGTCAACTGGAGTTTGCCCATCACAAGCCGTAACTCGCTGTCTACCTTCACAAGGCACCAGGCTTCGCGAGAGTCGTAGTTGTTGAATGCAAGTAGCAGGTATATTTTGATGTTATCGATTGTGAGTTGCGAGTCAGCCTTGATGACAGTGCTTAAAGGAACACCTTTGCTGGAGAGTAACGACACCGAGATGGGTGCCGCCAACGATGACTCCGTCTGTGAGGGTGAGCTGCTGGTCACCGGTACTGGCTTGAGTCCTTGGCACAATACACGAGATATTTGTTTCAGCTGGAGCATCTGGTGAGTGGATGGAGATTCAATTATCTATTTTAGTGCGATAGTGCGTAGACGGTGACACTGGAAAGACTTTGTTGAAAAATATGTTCGAAGAGGTTTCAGGGAGTAGAGAAGGTGTTGGGAGGTGCTGGGGTATTCTGGGTGGACTGGGTGGTGTTCCGGGACAAATCGGGGTGTTCTGGAGCTATTTGGGGATGAAATTCTCCAATTTCAGCCAAAAAAACATGTCCTTCCTTTCAAAAAAAAAAGATCATTTATCTCCTTCAGCCCACTGGTCTACTCCCCCATCTCCATATCTCCCAAAGTCTCCAGCCTAGACAATATATATGTTAGTAGGCGAGTACCATCGGTATGCGCACGCCGATTGTTCCAGCAAAAAACGCGGTGGATCCAAATAAACAAATCTGTTTTACTTGTGAACATGGACATCAATAGAAAGAGAGTAGCACGGCCGCCGTTACGGGAAACCAGCGGGAACGTTCCTCTGCCTAACAAGAAGAAGCTCAAACTCTCCGCCAAAGAGTCAGTGAGCCTCGATGTCCATACGCCGCAACTCACTCACCCCCAGCCGGCAGGGTCTCTCCATCACCAACCTGAACATTCTGATACATTGGCACCAGCGGCGCTCCAAAGCCTGTCGAACGGCGGGTCTGTGCGCCTGGCGCTTCTCGCCCGGTCGGTGCTAAAGGTCGACAGCTACAAAGCCAAACTGAACCGGTTGATGGGAGACGAGCTTCTGGAATGGCGTAGTAACTGGCGCAAAATCATGAAGAGCAGCGTCGTTTACTTTGATACCCAAGGCTTTGAGTCCCTGAACCATGTGTCCGAACAGAAACGCGCCCATAAAGGGTTGAAGTACGTGGGCAGTTTGGTGGTTCCGTTCTATGATAAGGATGTGACTATCATTGTTAGTCGAAGACCATACAATCCTGCTGTCAGCTATCCTTCCAATGATATCTTCCATGACGCGTCGTCGTTGAAAATCAAGGTGTGGAACTTCGATAAGGTGTTTCGGTTCTTGCTGAACTTGGGAGTTAATGATCTGGAATACATGAGCAGTGCCAACTACGAGAATGGAGATTTGGTCAATTTATTGAAGGAAGAAAAAATCTTTGGCTCCACTGACAAAGACCCCACTGCCAAACGAGAAGACTTACATTATTTGGATAACAACTACATCTACGTTTACGATTTGTCACAAAGCGTCCGTCCCATTGTCGTTCGGGAATGGAATGCTGAAAACAAGTATCCTAGGTTTTTCTTAACCCTAGATGGTAAATGTCCATTCATCCAAGACACGGAAAACCTGGATCGTAAGAAGGTTCGGCGGGCTAAAAAATATGAAGAAACTTCTCATTATAGACAACTCCTTAAGATCATGGCTTATGAGTTGGTGCAAAAACCCCAGGACCGACGGATTTCTACTAGCTCTTTGTTGACGAGCACCGCCATCGAGGAAGATACCAACTCGCATCCAAACCATCAACAAAACTCCAATAATGACAGCACCATCTCCCAAGGATCCAATCCTGAGGATAATGAGGCACTGGTGGAAACCGAGCCCGAAGACCTCGCGTGTAAATTCAAACACCCCAAGCCCAATTTGATGCGCAATTCGTCTTGTTTGCCTACCAACAACTCCAATTCCAACTCCAACTCAAGGTTCTACGACGTGGCAGCTTCAGGGTTCAATGGAACTTCAAATGCCGTGCAGATGTCTATCGACTCCGGGACTTTCCCCGGTGGTGGGAATGGATTGGGCCCTACCATGTCACAGGTACCTTCAAAGAACATCAACAACTTGAAAAGAAGAATCTTCATGAAAAAGCAGAAGCAGTCCATGGTTGAGAAGGACGAGAACAAAGACTTGAAGCCAGGCTACTGTGAAAACTGCAGGATCAAATACGACCATTTTGATGACCACATCAACTCCAGCAGACATCGCCGGTTTGCGATGGACGACGGTAATTTCAAGGATATCGACAACTTGATCTCCACTTTGAACGAAAACAAGGTGTTTGGCTTCATTACTTCGGATGGAGACTTCAGCTACACAGAGTAATCTTCATCATATTAGCATACGACTTCATAGCATCTTTTTGGTGGCTACTGCATTTAATCAAACAAAATTGATCGCGATCTAATTTTTTCAACTCTAACTGCGATGGCTATACTCAACACTGTCACCGTACGACACATAGCGGGTTCCAGGTCCATATGGGCATCACCCACTTGCCAGTGTCGATATCTCAGTACCCTGTTAGTGGTTCTCGCAGACACGAAACCTGCAAAGAAAACAAACCGATTTGCCCAAAGATTCAACAACCAGCATAACCTGCAGCAGCAGAATTTACCAAAGACTCCACCAAACAATAGACCTGCGAAAGCCACGCAGCACGGTCCACCCAAGTCTGGACTCAGTCGTGCTCCCAGTGCTTCGGCTATACCACCTGCTCGTGCTGACTCGAGAAAAGACCAGTATGCCAAAGCTAAAGAGACATTGAGACAGAAACAAAGTGCCAGCACCCAGATAAAATCGGCTCCACTAAAACCAGCATACAAACCTAAGCCTAAACGGAAGGTCCAAGCTCCTAAGGAGAAGATCAAAGTGTCCGTTCCCACGTTTGTACTGGTTTCCAACTTATCGACGATTCTACGGATTCCATTAAATTCGCTTCTCAAGACATTGGAAGCCATGGGCTTTGACAACATGAGACATAATTATATATTGGACAAGGACAGCGTTTCATTGGTGGCCGATGAGTACGGGTTTGAGGTAAATATGAACGATGATACAGGCCTCGATTTATTCCCTGCTCCACCAGCTGAAGATATTTCGAAATTGAAGGCTCGTGCCCCGATTGTCACAATAATGGGACATGTTGATCACGGCAAAACCACCATTTTGGATTATTTGCGGAAATCTTCCATTGTTGACAAAGAATTTGGAGGTATCACGCAACATATCGGAGCCTTTTCGGTGGTGACTCCGATCTCAAAGAAGAAAATCACCTTTCTCGATACTCCTGGCCATGCTGCGTTTTTGAAAATGCGTGAAAGAGGTGCCAATGTCACCGATATCGTCATTTTGGTGGTAGCAGCAGATGACTCGGTGATGCCCCAGACGCTTGAGGCCATTAAGCATGCCAAAAATGCCGGTGTTCCGGTGATTGTGGCTATCAATAAATGTGACAAGCAAGGTCTCAAGATCGATAAGGTGTTGGCAGACCTTGCTCGGTACGAAGTGGATATCGAGGACTACGGGGGAGAGACTCAGACGGTCCAGGTAAGTGGGAAGACAGGTTTGGGGATGGATAAGTTGGAAGAAGCAGTGATTACGTTGAGCGAAATCAACGAATTCAAAGCAGAACCTACCGGAGTGCCCAGCGAAGGGTCTGTTATTGAAAGTGAGGTTGTCAAGGGTATGGGCCCCATTTCTACGGTGTTGGTGACCAGAGGGACGGTGAAAATAGGAGACTTTTTGGTGGCTGGCACCACATATTGCAAGGTTAGAGGTATGAAGGACGAAAACGGGAAACCAATCAAAGTGGCAGGTCCTTCTACTCCTGCCCAGATCTGGGGATGGAAGGAGTTGCCTGAGAGTGGAGACCAGATCCTTCAGGCCAAAACTGAGCAGATTGCCAAGAAGGTGTGTGACAATAGAATTACTCGAAACAAGCAGATGGAGGCCACTAAGGACATCGAATCGATCAACTTGAAACGGCAGTTGGAAATCGACGAGCTCAAGAAGCAGGAGAAGATCAATGAGTTAAAGTTGCAAGGGTTCACGGAAGAAGACCTTAGAGAAGAGTTCTTCGGTGATGAAAAGAAGGTGGAAACTGTCAAGTACATCATCAGGGCCGATGTCACGGGGTCTGCCGAAGCCATTAAGGAAAGTATCGAAGGCTTGGGGAATGAACTTGTCAAGGCCACCGTCATCTCCTATGAAGCAGGACCTCCAGCTGATTCAGATGTGGATATGGCCGGTGCTTTGGGTGCAAACATCTTTTGTTTCAACCTCAAGGTTCCCAAGCCAACTCTTGCGAGGGCTAGTCGAGCTGGTGTTTCTATCAAGGAGCACAATATCATCTATCGGTTGATTGAAGATGTAACTGAAGATCTCAGCTCAAAGCTACCACCTATAATTGAAACCAAGATCTTGGCTGAACTCCTGATCATGGGCGTTTTCAGCATCTCCAATAAGAACAAAAAGAGCACCAAAGTCGCTGGGTGTAAGGTGGGAAGTGGAATTATCAAACGGTCCTCAAGAATTCGGGTTTTGAGGAAGGATAAGGTGATATTCGATGGTGCCCTCTCATCTTTGAAGCAGGTCAAAGACGATGTGTCTGAGGTCAAGAAGGGACAGGAGTGTGGTTTGACGTTCGACTCTTGGGAGGCGTTTGAGGAAGGTGACCAGGTCCTTGTGTACGAAGAGATCAGCCACAAACAGTATTTATAACCATGTAAGTAGTCTTGTAAATAGCAGCACTTAACTCAGTTTCGCGATGCCATGCTCATCGCGAATTTCATTTCTGGACCACCGCTTCTTACTATGAGCTTCAACGACGAATACTCTTCGGATGATGATGAGTCGATCATCGACCGCAAGCTGACCAACGTTCACTTGGGGTTTTTGGACATTGAAATTCCCGATTCAAAAGATGGTGTAAGTGAGGAAAATTCTCCTACTATAGAGGACACCATCTTGGGAGGACAACCGGTATGGCTCCATCCAGACTCATTACCAGCTCCTAAGTTGGTCACATGTGATTCCTGTGGACAGAAAATGGCCTTATACTTACAGGCGTTTGCTCCGTTTAAAGAACGTTTGTACGACAGAGTCCTATACATTTTGGGGTGCACGAACACCCAACAATGCTCTAAGAAAAAGGGAACTGTCAAAGCCATCAGGGGGATCATCAAGGATCCAGTGAAGATGGCGGATCTTAAAAGAGAACAAGAAAATGCTCTCCAAAAACAGTTGGATGAAAAACTACAACTTGAAGCCAAAACCAAGTTGAGAGACGAGTTGACGAAGAATTTGTTTGGTAACTCCAAGGCCGAAAACCCGTTTGCTGCCACTGGTTCTAATCCCTTCACTAGTTCGAATCCATTTGACAAGAAAGTACCACCCGCTAAAGAAGAATCAAAGTCTCCCTTATCTCCTGCTTCAGTTCCAGCTAAACCTACCTATTCATCAGTAGCAGGTAAAAATGTAGTTGCCCAAGCTAAAACAGCATCTCCAAAGTACACCCTTCCTGAGTATCCTGGATACTTTGTTTATGTGGAAAAGGAGCACTTGAAGAAGATCACGTTGGAACCTGAATTGGAAAAGTACAAGCATTTAATCGACTCCAACTCAATTGAGGAAGAAGAGCCTTCTGGAGGGTCCACTTCCACTTCTGCTGGAGTGTTGAATGCTCAAGCCTCCAAGATCTCAAATATGTTACAAGATACTGTGTTTGAAAACTTCACCAACACAGTGCAGCACAATCCTGGTCAAGTTCTTCGGTATGATCTAGGAGGTAAACCCTTGTTGTATAACGGGAAAGACGATGTCTGTAAACGGTTTGGCCAAACTCCCTTTAATATTCCCAATCCTGGGTACAATCCTTCTTCATCTAGACAATTTGAAATCCAGGTGATGCCCAAGGCTATTTTGGATCTTGAAAACGCAGAAACTGCTGATTTGAACACCTTGTTGAATGGGATGTCGTGGGGAACCATCATTGTGTGCACTGACGTGGAGGACTACATGCCTGAAGAGCTGTTTGATGAGAACCATGTGGCGTACATCGAAGAGTACTGTGCTGTTCAATGGGAAGAGTCTGTATAGAAGGTTACAGTGAATGAATAGTGAACGATAGGTAAAAACTGTAGTTGCGATTTTGTTGTAGATTGAGAAGATGAAATTAGCCCAAGTCAATTCCACATATTCACTGGACTAGCTGTACGAGCTCTCAACACCCAAAACGTCAGAACCTCGCAACCGTCTTTATGGATGTCGATTGCGCCATGGCTTAGCATAATTTTTCGTGTATTAAGTGGATATGTGAATAGCAATATTTTGGTATTTTAGTCGCAACCGCACTTGTTACAGATGCACATTTGATCTTACTTGTGTTCTTTAAATTTGATATATAATTGTTACCACCAACCTTCCACAAACCCTTCTGTTTCCAAACATCTAATTCTTGTATACCCTCGCTGTACCGTCCTCGAACCATCAGCAAACTGAAACTCCAAAGTCACGCGTCACAAACTATTAGGAATGTCTGATCCTCCGAAAGATATGAACTATTCTCCTAGTTCTGACGAAGAAAACGAGGACTTTTCCACAAGGCTCCACTTCCCAGATATACAGAACTATAGAAAACACAAGCGCATAAGCTCAGGGTCCAATATAAATCTAGTTAAGGCGGGTAAAAAGATTGTCAGCAATACCAGCAAAGCAGTAAGATTTCCCGAAAGAAGACCTGGACTTTCTCCCCGTCAATCGTATATCAGTGGTGGATCTTCATTGAACAACTCATCTACTGGCATCAATGAATCGAGTGATAGCTCCGATTCCGATTTGGGGAATACTCATGATCTGGCTGCCAATTTACCTCATTTCGAATTCCAGACCAAGCAAACTGACGATATCCACGACAGTGACTCGGATGCCCTGGGCTACTTGGAGGGTGTTTATAACGTTGGAGACAACCAGCCCGACCATTTGGATGAAACTGATTCTGATGAGGACGAACAACACAAGTCCATTCAAGAAGGTAACCATTCGCATCTCGAAGCGGTGCCCCAGTCATTATCGTCCAGAAAGAGTTTAGAGTCCCAAGGCTCCAAGGCCTCCCGGTCTTCTCCGCATAGAAACCATTTTTTCAGAAGAGGTTCACTTGCCTCCCGGTTTCACAGAAATGAAACTGATATAACAGAACAGATGGAAAGTACAACTTTACCCCATTCAGGCATGTCAAGGGGTAGAAGTGCCAGCGTATTCAAGGATATCCTCCGAAAAGTGGCATTAACAGACCAGCAATATCCTGAAGCCCCGTCTCAGTCCGATACCTTCATTGGAAGAATGCTTCTGAATGATGACGGAGGGTATGGACTTAGTGGGGGTGGGATGGCACCGGGTGCTTCTAGAAACTCGAGAGAGAGAACCATAGATGAAGAAGAAGAAATCGGCATGGATAAAGAAGATGTGGAGCTCCAACACCTTAACTTTGCCCAGTTGAACAATGAAGCCAGAAACTTGATTAACGTGCATGTTCCCAAGTCAATGCAACAACCAGTCATGAACCACACGGTTAAATATGATGGGGCTCACGAGACTTCCAATGATATGATGTTCAATGTCCCTGGAGGTTCCTCAAGTGAGACTATTCGTAGGGATGAAGAAGTTGAAGATAAACTCCATAATGGTAATGATGAAAACCACACTCTTAGGCTGAGCAAGAAAGAGAGAAGTGATGGTATGTATGCCCCAAACCCCGACCTCTTTCTTCGGGGCGATGTTCAATATGATGATAGAGGTGAATTTATCATGCTTGATAACGATTCTGACAGCAATATAGCACCTCCCACGAAAGTGCAGGCTGGCGTTCTCTCTTCTTTGTTGAAATTATACCAGAACCCAGAGGAGTCCAAATCTACTTCCAGTTTGACATTTGGTGATACCTCTACTATCCATGAATTTGATAATGAAGATTCAAAAACATCCACAGGTATGACCTTTAACGGCTTGAAGGAAGGAATCAAGCATGGGGGCAGAAAGGTCTACAGTATTCCATTTGGCAAGAAGGCTATCAGTAATGTGGCGCTTGAAGGAGATGGTCCAGGTGCTGAAGATGTCGAAGGGTTACCATCCTTTGCTAATGCTAGACCCAAGCACCATAGAAAAGCCGCTAGTGTTAATCCAGCTGATATGCCTGCCAAAATGTCCAAGAGAATCCGTAAAGCAAAGAGAAATCAAGACCGTCAACTTCGGATCACCGTCCACATCTCAGATATTCTTCAAAGACAACGGTTTATTATGTTGATGTGTAAGGCATTGATGCTTTTTGGAGCTCCCACCCACAGATTGGAAGAGTATATGACCATGACTAGTAGGGTGTTAGAGATCGATGGCCAGTTCATCTACTTTCCTGGATGTATGATCATTGCTTTTGGTGATGCTGCCACCAGAACCTCTGAAGTGCACTTGGTCAAATGTTCACAAGGTTTGAACTTGGCCAAGCTTTCAGAAACCCATAAGATCTATAAAGGAGTCATCCATGATATTATGAGTGTAGAAGAAGCATCATCTAAATTGGCCAAAATCTTCAAGCTGAAGAACAATTTCAATCCATGGCTCTGTGTATTTTTCTATGGGTTGGGATCTGGTTGTGTTTGTCCTTGGGCATTTGGTGGTGGTTGGATTGACGTTCCAATTGCCTTTGGTGTGGGGTTATGTGTGGGATATCTTCAGTTCTTTGTGTCTTCCAAATCCAATTTGTACTCTTCAGTGTTTGAAGTGACATCTTCTATTGTTGTTTCATTCATTGCAAGAGCTATTGGCTCCATCAATGGAGGTGATACCTTCTGCTTCTCTGCAATTGTCCAAGGCTCATTGGCATTGATTTTACCTGGCTATATTATCTTATGTGGATCATTGGAATTACAATCCAGAAACTTGGTAGCAGGCTCGGTGAGAATGTTCTACGCCATTATCTACTCGCTTTTCTTGGGATTCGGAATCACTTTAGGAGCTGCTCTATATGGATGGGTAGATAAAAATGCTACATCGGAGACAACCTGCCGGGCAGAGCATACTGTTGACGATAAATGGAGAATTCTACTTGTTCCAGCATTTACCGTCTGTTTGGCATTGATCAACCAAGCTAACTTCCGCCAGCTTCCTATAATGATAGTGGTTGCCTCTGCTGGGTACGTTGGTACATTTTTTGCATCCAAACACTTTGCCAATGTGTCTGAGTTCACTGCGGCAATTGGAGCCTTTATTATTGGGGTGTTGGGAAACCTATACTCAAGAATTGGGAAAGGGTTGGCAGTAAGTGCTATGCTTCCCGGTATCTTTGTGCAAGTTCCATCTGGTATCGCATCTCAAAGTACATTGTTGGCCGGGGTTAAAGCTGCTGATCAGATTAGTGGTAACTCAACCACTACGTCTTCAAGTACAGGTTCGGGTTCCTTATCATTTGGTGTAACGATGGTGGAGGTTTCAATTGGTATTAGTGTGGGATTGTTTGCGGCTGCATTGTTTATTTATCCATTTGGAAAAAAGAGAACCGGTCTTTTCTCGTTATAGGTTTATAGACAAGATTTTAGATAACCATTTTCGCATCGAGCGGTTTCCCCAGATTCGACGACAACCCTAAATGTTCACACGTATTGTTAGAGAACAAGGTTGGCTCTCTCTTAGACTTTTGCCCAGGCGGTTCAAGTCACTGTTGGCCGTCACCCAGTATGACCACAAGTACATTACCGTCGCTTTTGACGAAAACAGCTCTGTCCAGTTCAGCAACGTGTTTTTGAGAGATGCATGCCCTTCCCCTGAATCCATAGAGGCCAGCTCCAGTCAGAAACTTTTCACCACCGGAAGCATTATTAAGGACTTGAAGATCAAGTCTAAGCCCAAGGTTGTCACAGATTCCCTTGGGAACGAATGCTTACAAGTGGTCTGGAGTCAAAATAATAAGGATCACATCTCTGAGTATCCGAGGATGTTCTTGGAACACTATGCTACCCGTTCTTCGAGATTGGAGGGACAATTCTTTGGCTACGATAGAGTGTTTTGGGACAACGACAAGTACAGTAAGGTTTTTCCCGAGATGAATATCAGTTATCATGAGTATTTGAATAACGATTCTACGTTCTTCAAAGCGGTCAAAAGCTTGAATCAGTACGGACTTGTATTTGTCAACGGTGCTCCGGATCTGGATATGTCTCAAATCATGACAGAGGAGAACACACAACAGTGGCCGGTTGCTAAGTTAGCAGAGAAGTTTGGTTACATAAAGAAAACCTTCTACGGAACATTGTTTGATGTGAAAAATATCAAAGATGCCAAAAACATCGCTTATACAAACGTATTTTTACCCTTGCATATGGATCTTTTGTACTATGAGTCTCCACCTGGATTGCAGCTCTTGCATGCAATTAAGAATTCAACTTTGGGTGGTGAAAACATCTTCTGTGATTCTTTTCTTGCTGCCAAGCACATTCGTGAAACCGACCCTTCAGCCTTTTTGGCTTTAACCCAAATCCCACTCACCTACAAATACGACAATGACAAAGAGTTCTACTATTATCAAAGACCTTTGATTGTGGAAGACGAAATTTTTGACACACGAACCCACTACCCGTTCATAAAAGAGGTCAACTACTCACCTCCTTTTCAAGGACCCTTCGAGTTGGGAATTACTAGAACTGCAACCATGGGAAGCTCTGCTGCTGAAAACGGTAACCATTTCATGTTCAACGACTTCATTAGAGGCTTGAGTCTTTTTGAAGATTTCATTAATGATCCAGTCAACCATTTTCAAATCAAGCTTCCTGAGGGAACTTGTGTTGTTTTCGATAACAGAAGAGTCTTACATTCGAGAAACGAGTTCTCTGATTCCAATGGTGGTGATAGGTGGTTAATGGGAGCATACGTTGACGGAGATAGTTTTAGATCGAAATTAAGAATAGCCCATAAGAAATCAGATTAATTTACAATATACTTATTACTTTGACTATAATTTAATACAATATACACGATTTTTGTCAGGAGTTTTTTAGTATCCAAAGCCTCCATAAGCAGCTTGAGGATTAACACCCGCAAGCCCTTGGCTTCTTTCAGTCAAGATTCTGGCTTGACTTTTATAGGTTTGTTTGAACCCGTTACATAAACGAAGCATGTTTGGATACGAAAAGTCCTTCAATCTGAATCCATCAGCTTCAGTCTTAACGTGCCAAGTAGTGATGGGAGTGTTGACATTGACTTTGAAAAGCAACAAGAACCATCCAGGGGCTCTGTGATCGTAACAAAACACATAGGCACTACTCTTAGGATTGGCCTTGGTGTAAGAGTTCAACCATTCATTCACTTCTGCCAAGGTACCTTCACGGAACTTTGGATGACGAATCATCTCATGGACCTTCTTGGCCATAGATTGAATGTGTTGGAAAATCAACTGGTCCAAATCCCCGTATCTTTTGTTTTCAACAACATATTCCTTTGCAGTACCCCGAAGTCTTTCTTCTACCACAAGATGTTGGAAAAGGTTGGTTCCAACTTTCCAAGTGACAGTCAAAAACTGGGGACCCCTTGAAGACGGACGAATTACACAGTCTCCAACAGATTGAGGAGCCAAGTATTCTTCAGCCTGTTTGTGGTTGAAGTTATGGAACAAAGGATGTTGAACGTGTCTTGTCTTTGCCTGCTTGATTCTTTCTTTTGCAACCTCCTTTTGTTTATCCGTCTCTTCTGCATTTATGTCCCATTTGAGTGGATCCTTATGAACCTTTGGTTGCAATGCTCTTTTGATATCTTGTTCTGCAATGCTGAACAGAGCTTGAAAGTTTTCGTAGTAAGCTTCAAGTACAACCGCTTGTAAAACTTGCCCTTGTCCAACTTCAAAGTTTTGAGGAATGGATCTTTCTTCAATATTTCCCTGAATCAATGATGGAGTAGTCACTTTCAAGAATTTGATACTAGAACTGTTCATATCTCTAAAGTTTCTTCCGACTCTCGTCACGGTCACAGGAACTATAGTGTTTCTGCTGAAACTCTTGGTAGTTTCACCGGTTAACATTTGAAACACTTCACCAGCATCCAAAGTATGGAATGAACGTCTCAACTCTTCATAGTTGTTGACTAATTCTTCCTTGATACTCTGTAAAGTAGCATACTTTTTCTTTCCAAACTTGGACTCCAATTCTTTACCATAAGCAGCCAAATTCAATTCATCAACTTTGTTCACACCCTCTTGCATTAACTGGTAAATAATACCACCTTGTTCTTCGATCGTTCCAATATCCTCTTCATCCAAGTCCAAAGCATCGGCTGCCATTTTACGAGCCAAGTCGTAATCTTCTGGGTGAATTCTTGTAGCATCCAAAAGCTCAACTGAACCATCGCTGGCAGAAACCCCTTCATCATATGGAATATACAAGAAAGACGAGCAGTTGATGAAAATGTTAGCAGTTGAGAGTTCATGTTCAATCAACTCAGACCTAGTAGCCAATGAAGATCCCAACTTGGTTCTGATAGTACGAAGAAGACCCGAACTCTTACGAGCTCCCAATCCAGAGACATATGGTACCAACTGAGCAAGATATTCATCTCTGACAGCTTCATTGATTTCAACACCAACCATGTTGACGATATCAACAAAACAAGTTTCAAGGGTTTCCAAAACCAAGTCGTTGGGGATCAACTTTTGGTGTTCATAGAAGGTCAATGACAAGATATCATCCTTCAAGGAAATGTACTCCAAAAGAGGGTTTTGGATATAACGAGCCACACCGTAACAATACTTCACAAGAGTGGCCTTGTCAGATAATTCGACTCTTGCTCTTGCCGAGTTTTGATACAATCTTGCAGTTTCGTCCTGACCCCAAATCACCTTGACGAGAGGAGGAGATTCGACTTCTTCGGTTAAATCTTCCGTGTTCACAGTGATTCCGTTTCTTTCAACAAAACCACGAATGATATCATATAATTTCTTGGAATGTGCATTGTAACCAGAAATTGAAATCACATCAGGGGTCTTACCATTCAACGAATTATCTAAGAAAGACTTTAATTGACCGTTGAATAAATCTTGACTTTCTGGGTCTCTTGTTGGGTTGTGGTCAGACTTGAATAGTTGATCGATTTTCCCGGTGTCCTTGATAAACACACCAATTACAGCACTGTCAAAATCACCTTTTCCAAAAGAAATCGATAACACTGAGGGTCTTGTTCCTTTGTCAAATCCAAATGGAGTGAAAGGAGCTTGGTCAAGCTTCGCAATGAATCTCTTACGTACCTCATGAGCAACCAACCTTTGACACTCACTGCGTAAGTCTTCTTTAGTGTTAAGAGAGATCATTGACATCAACTTAGCAAATGCCATCTTCAAGACAATTTCTCTTTCCTTGTTCCATTTTTCGGAAATGTCAGACAAACCGTCTGACTTCAAGCAGTTAAAGATAGAGTCAAGCCAATGTTTGAATCCTTGGGTTTCAACTTTAAGAACCACCAAACCTTGAGCTTCTGCTTCAAGCATACGCAAAAACGAATCTGGGTAACGAACCAAATCAGCAGGAGATCGGTTGATGGCATATTTAATGTCGTAGAAAGGGCTGTGTGCATCAATGGAAGCTTTTCCTTTTTCTGTGACAGCGACACTTACAGAGGCAAAACTCTTAAACGTCGATCTGACTTCGTGTCTTATTCTTGGATTATGGAAAATTGACTCAGAATAGTACTTTCTGACTGCACCTTGGGCATTCTTTGGGTCCTTGAACAAAACATCATCATCTTCACAGATTCTTTCAATTATATCTTCCGGGGACTCATATGGATCATCAGTGGCATGGATTCTGTATGGAACTTCCCATTTTTTCGCACTTTGATCTTGGACGTTTTCACCAAACTGCTTTGCAGTTATACCGTATGCTTCAACAGCATCATACAAAACATTGTCTCTGATTCTTTCGAATATAGCATATTTGAAATGCTTCTTTGTGGCTTTAGAAGCTTCAATTATTTCTTCTTGAGGTTCTTTGTCTTCATCTTCCTCGCCATTTTCATTGTCATCGTTAGTTTGTTCAACGGGTTCAGAGTCTTTCTGTTCAGAGAGCTTTTTGATTTCTTTCGAGTAGGTGAAATAGATGTAGTCGTGGAAATCTTGAATGGCAACCATTGAATTCAATGATTTAATATCTTTAAGCAAGTCATCATCCACATTTAATGCAGCCACCATTTTTTCCAAACTCGTTCTCTTCTCATAGAGAGAATGGTATTCGATATCCAACTTGACAATTCTCCAAAGATCATCTTCAACCAATAAGCTGTGGACAACTTCATTCGTGGTTCCATCAGCATTAACAACAGCTTCAGCATGTAAAAGATAATCACGACGGTGAGTCCAAATGAATGGAACTTCAAATGAGTCTTTAGAAATGAATTCAATTACCTTACCAACAGCATCTTTGAAGGGAAGTTCAAGATTTGGGTCCATTTGACCTTGTCTTTCCAAATACAAGATATTTCCTATCCAAGACTTTTCATTTAACACTTCTTCATCGTCCAAGTCCACATAGTTCAAGCTGACTCTGTACTTTTGGAATCTTTCAGGAATATCGATGATTCTAATTAAGTTATCCTCTTCGGTCAACATACGTTCTTTCAACTCGGCATGCTCAAAGACTTCGTCCAAGGTAGTTGGCTCCATACTCTCGGCATTACCATCATCTTCGATTTCCTGGGCTTCCAAAGCCCAGTCATATTCATTTCCACTTCCAAATACTTCGAATAATTGCTGTAAACTTTCTCTGTCGACGCTGGACAACTTAGAAGTATCCAATCTGGGGCCCTGCCTACTCTTTTCGCGTTCCCTTTGGGCTCTTTCTCTGCCAGCTTCGTCTTCGTCACTGTAATCTTCTTCTTCGATGAAATCTTCAAACTCATTCAACACGTTTCTTTCATCCGGCAATCTGTTATCATCTTCACCTAAAGCTTCACCTTCAGATTCGTTGTCATCAGAAAAGAAATCATTTAACCTCTTGTCCCCATTTGCTTGTTGTTGAACTTCCTCGTCAACATTTTCAGATTGAGCTCTCTTAAGACGCTTGAACTGATTAGAATCAGTACTCCTTGGCTTTTGACCGGAGTTCTCCATTAACAATTCCAAGTCGTCTTCATCCAAAGCATCATCTTCAACAGATCTTTGCTTTCGCTTGTGCTTTCTCTTTTTCTTCTTGGAGGATTCTATTTCTTCTTCGTCTTCTTCATCGACAATGAAGCCTTCACGTACTTTGTTGATGGCTTCTTCATCGTCGTCCTCATCTTCGTCTTCTTCAGAAGAGTCATCATTCATGACATCATCTCCTTCGCCTTCGGACGAATGCTGTTCAGATTCTTGATCTCTGATTTCTTTCTCCTCTTCTTCCTTGGCCATTGTGTCGAACTACTGTTGGGGTGATGGCTGTAAGATACTGGAAGGTTGAGCTTGTGAAATTAGGGGTTTCTATCTCACTTTACTATACAGTGTTTGTTCACACCACTAATAATATAGATGAATGGCACGCAATCAATGCAGTTATAATGGTATACAACTAGCGGTTGACTGTTACTAGTGAGCTTGAGTATTTTTCAGTTTTTCGACTTTTCTGCGAACAAGTGTATCCGGGTAACTGTTTTCTTTATCTATCTATAAGCTATAGGCAATTACATTTGAAGGGTGGAGAGGCTTTCAGTCCTTCGATAACAACTGGCGATCTAGTTTCCGGTTGAAGTCTCGATTTTTCTGATTTATGAAGGCATCTGTGGTTCCATCGTCTTTTTTTCTACGCTTTTTCATCTTCCTGGCATCACTTTCTTGAATAGATTCCACAAGAGCCTTGGATGCTTCCAAACTGGGTTTATGGTTGAGCCCTAGATCGTTATGTATACTTTCTCTGTCGCCGGACTTGTGTTTGAATTGCTGTTGGTGTTTCTTGTATGCTTCTTTATCGATTGCCAACTCGGCTATTTCCTTTTTATAAGTCATTGCAGCTACTTGATTCAAGTTCTCGAATCCTTTGCCTTTCTTAAGACGCTTAGCCTCCTGTTTCTGGTTCCATTTATCTGTGTCTTCAATCGTATAGTTCAATACTTTTGATTTATCCTCAGGGTTGTTTGGTTTCTCCAGAGGGTGATCGGGAACTAATACTTTATCTGAACGACTTTTGACTTCTTGTAGTCGTTTTATCCTCTTCTCTATGCCAACTTCTTTGTCGTTTTCTTGGGACGCAGACTTTCGGGCCTCTTTTAATTTCTTTATTCTCTCTAGCTTGTCCATGTCATCAGATAGTTTTTGTCGCGGGATGCTTTTGCAGTAATAGAGTGCTATGTGTGACAGAAAATATCATGTTGTAAAGAGGTTCAAGTTATAGACCTATTCGTGATAATAATGGAGATTAGTATGCTTAAAGGTGTGTACAGTGGTTTTCGATATTTTCAATGGTTTTTAAACCTTCATTTATTTGCTGTCGGATGTTTTGCAAATAAAGTGAAATTCACCAAATCTATCAGTTCTCTAATTAAAACAATTTGAGTGGAACACAGTTTAAAACATTAAAGGAGGCTCCAAAAACCTCCAAAAAATCAGAGAAAAGGCGCCAGATCCATTTATTATCAAACACTATTTCAACACTATCAATAGCCTAAAGTAAAATGATTGCAGTCAATTATTAGCTATTTTGGTTCATTTCTAGTGGATTCGGTTCCAGCTTTCGCGCAGGCAGCGAATTCACTGTGCAGCTCATATGAGACTAATAAGATACTTGCACACAGCCAGATCAGACTTTTCGCATGCAGTGATAGGAGGAGGAATCGTGGGAACAGCCATTGCTGCCGAATTCCAGAAAGACGGCCACAATGTTCTTTTAATCGAGAAAAATCCGCATTTGGGCATGGAAACCACCTCCAGAAATTCAGAGGTGGTACACTCTGGAATCTACTATCCCAAACACACATTGAAGTCCAAACTCTGTATCGAAGGCAGGAACTTGATCTACAATGCTCTTGACACTGGAAAGTTCAACTCGGTGCAAGTGGCAGTCCAAAAATGTGGGAAGTTGGTGGTGGCTCAAGACGAGCAAGAGGCCGAGTACCTTCATAAACTCCACAAATACGTCAAGGAGGAACTTGATGTTAAGACCGAGTTCTTATCGCATCGCCAGCTCAAATCCAGGTATCCGCACATTTCTGGGGTTTTGGCATTGAACAGTCCCACCACCGGAATCATCTCTGCTCATGACTACTTGCTCTACCACCAGACGCAATTGGAAAACCACGAAGGAACCACAGCCTTCAACACCACCGTCACCGACATCGAATACAACCGTGGCACTTCTAACTACACGGTGACATGTTCGACAGAGGATGATGAGGCGTTTGAGTTTACTGCTGATGTGGTGATTAATTCCGCTGGCCTCCATGCACAAAAGGTGTCCAACCTTCTACTACCTCCCGAACGGCACTACACGCCATACTTCGCCAAAGGGACATATTTCAGCTACCTGCCTGTCAAGTCGTTGGGAAAGTTCACCGATACCTTGATCTACCCGTGCCCTAATCACAATATCGCAGCTCTTGGTACGCACTTGACTTTTGACATTGGAGGCCAGATCAAGTTTGGACCTGACTTGGAGTGGCTCGACGTCAACGACGCCAACGAAATCGACTATACCCCCAGTCATGCCAACTTGGAAGCTGCATATGTGGCAGTTAGGCGGTACTTTCCTCACCTCCAACTGGGTGAGTTACTGCCATCGTACTCTGGAGTTCGACCCAAAATAGCATCGGCCGAGGAAACCAAGAAAGGGTTTGTGGATTTCCTCATCAAACAGGAAGAGGGATATCCTGGGTTTGTGAATTTGTTAGGAATCGAGAGTCCAGGACTTACATCGGCTTGGGCCATAGCCAAATATGTCAAACAGCTCTTATGAAAAGTTTATATTCTATTATACACATCAGAGTTTTCTTCTCTTACTGGACTCATCTTCCTGGACACCTCCCTTCTTAGGAAGCTGGGCCGGGGTGGTGTGCTTGGGTAACTCTAGGAAATATTCGTGTAATAAGGCAGAGGTCAGATCGCACCTGTTGCTAGGATCCAACTGAGTCATCAGCATCAACAAATCCAAGGCCTTTTCTGTGGCGGCACTGAACCGGAGTCGAATCTCTTGCCGAGATGGAGGAGGGTACACCTTCAAGGCGTTGTATAAGGGTAATGATGACACATTGGGCCAATTCAGTTCTGTGGGGGTTCCCAAGGCTCTAAAAGTCACGTCCAATTGGTCCACATCGTCTTTCCCTGGAAGATATGGGATTCGTAACATCAACTCGGCGAATATTATCCCCACCGCCCAGATATCAACTGCATATGTATAGTGTTTAGCTCCAAACAATAATTCGGGGGCTCTATACCACCTAGTCACTACCATGGGAGACAAGTCTTCATTAGGGTTACCCAACGAACGGGCCAACCCAAAATCGGCTATCTTCAACTGGCCATCGGGTGCTATCAACAAGTTATTGGGCTTCAAGTCTCGGTGTAATATGAAGTTTCTGTGGCAATGATGAACACCTCTCAATGTCATGAGCAACCACGATTTGATGTCTGAAGGCTTAAAAATGATGGACTGGTCCTTGATCAACACTTCCAAGTCACACGGCAAGAACTCGAGCACCAAGTTCAAGTTGTTGGCGGACGAAAACACATCTATAAGTTCTATGACATTCAAGTGTTTGAGTTCTTGGAGATACTTGACTTCGCGTATGGCAGACATGTCTAATCCATCTTTGAAGAGCCCAGTTTTGATTTCCTTGATGGCTATGCTTCTCTTAGTCTTCATCTGTTTCCCTAGGTACACCACAGCGTAGGTTCCTTCTCCTACTTTCCTCTCTTTCGAGTACTTCAATTCGTTCACTTCAGTCATACTGAGATATAAAACTTGAAAAATCGCGGCTTGATGCTGCAAAAATGTAGATGCGGTTTTATTGATTAAGCTATTAAGACAGATTTCATTTTTTTTTGGCAACTGTGTATGTGTGATAATGATGCATAGATGCAAGTGGAAAACAAACGAAGCTCCAGGCGAGGGCATTTATAAATTCTAATTTTATGGGGGTTTAGGTGACAGTGCCAGGTGTGCACTCCCACTGGGCAAACACATACCAGCTATTACCACTATCTCCAATCACCAATCCTCGGTAGAGTCCCAATTCTTGGCATTTAAACATACTTTCAAAAGATCCATATGGCTTGTTGGGATCAGTTTTGGAGAGCTTGAAGTACTTGCCGCTTGGAGACTCAATGACGATTTTGAAGTCTTGATTCAAGATCTTGGAGCTGTTGGTAAGACCAGCCGATGGGTGTTGCAATATCTCGAAGTTGTAAGAGTTACGGACCATTATCTTGTTTGTCTGAGGAGATTTCACGTACAAGTCATTGTTTTGACTTTGTACGGTTGGATACCTTGGAACAAATTTCACCGGTTTAGATTCACCTTGATGATAGATTGGCACAACAACTGAAAGTTCATGAATATTCTTGAAATGTTTTTGCAAGCCCTTTTCACCCGAAAAGATTTGCAAAACTCCGATTTTTTGATCTTCAGGAAGAATGGCCTTGATTTTCGCATACCGAGAGTTATTCTTCCAATAAACTTGACATAAACTAAATTCATTAGAAGTGACTTTACTAGTTTTGATCAACGTAAATAACTCCACGTTAGTAGGGATTTTCATATCCATTTCAAAGATTTCCGAATCCTTTAATCTGGTCAAGGCATTGTTGAAGTTGACGAACTTCAAGTTGTTCTTGTAGTAACCACAATATAATCTTGGTAAGTAAAACGCTATGTTCTGATCAATGGGTGGTGTGACATGCTGTAAATCAATCACAGAAGGTATATGAGTGGAAATCAATGACAACGGAGGTGCCAAGAAGTAGAACTCGTTGAAGTCTTTTTGTCTGATATTGCAGATTTCTGTGTCTTTGAAATTCAACAAGTCCACAAACAAGAATTGATTCTCAATGATAACAGACAACCAACAGTGGTTAATGATATATTGTTCATCATGATAGAACTCATTGGGCTTCTTCCAGAATCCCAATACAACCTCGCTAGGAATCCTTAAGGCGTCCAATACCTTTTTGAGTAAATAATTCAATTGGTACACTGAACCTTCTCCCTTCATCAACACATCGTTTAACTTAGGTTTGGTCTGTTGAATTTTGCCAGTTTCTTCAATGATTACAAACTTAGCAAAGTGGATCAAAACGGCTCTGAGTTGACTGACCTTATTGGTGCCGAACTTGACTCCAATGTCACTGATCAAATCATTCAAGTCACAGTTGATATTATACCGACTAGCGAAAGTATCAACTTTTTCAAAGCAGCCAGAAGAGAACTTCAACTCACTAAAATCGTTGTCAATGGTTTCATTGGTGTTGATATCGGAAAGGAACTCCAACGGCTTGACAATAAGAGTAAGTTCTTCTCTAACCACTCTTTTGGTTCTGGCCTGCTTGTCTTGACTAGTCAAACTATTCATTCTGTTCAATTCCAGTTTAAAGGTGGTCCAGTCTATTTCTCGTTCTCCCTCTTCCTGCTGCATTCTCTGCTCCAAAGGATTAGTGACGTCGTCCTTCTTCTTTAAAAGCTTCTTGAAAATGTTAGGGTGTCTTGACTTTTTGTCTTGAAAAATGGTATCCATCAAGTTCTTGTTTTCCTCGTCTTTATTTTCACCATTCATTTCAGAAGGCATGAGTTCATCTTGAAGGGACAAATTCTTCATTCTGATCTCTTGTTCGGCCTGATACTCTTTCTCATACTTATGTCTAAGAAAAGAACCAGCACTAGTGGCAGAGAACTCGGAAAAGTTTAAGACGTCACTTTGAAGAGACTTTATCGAGTTCTTCAATTCCTCCTGTTGTACCTGGGACAAACTCAAGAATTCTTCTTCTGTCAAGATGATTTTATTACCGTTTCCCGAAAACCTGAAATCATCGGCATCGTATGGAATTCTTGAAGGTTCTGGCTTTTCTTCACTTCTCCAATTGTGTTTTGGAGGAGGCGGAGGTGGGGAGTTTGAGTCGGAAATGGTCAAAGGAGTATTTCCATACTCGTAGTCGTCAATTTCTTCGTCAGTTGGGTACCTCGATAACTTCTTACTCAAGTCTTCTCTTGAATGATAATTTTTCTTGGAAGATATCAAATCTTCACTAATATATGAGTCGTTAGAGTGATCATAGGCTTTAAACCGGTTTGGACTAGAGGAAGACTTATTTTTCTTTTGAACACTTGATCTCTGGAGCTCTTCCAAATGCAAAATCTCCAACTCAAGCTGCTTCTTCTTCAAGGCAATTTCATCAAGCTCAGGATCCAGGCTGATATCTTCCAACAGATAAAGGTTCTGTTTTGATTTCATTTGCCTAGGAGACGACTCGGGAGAAAAGCTCTCAACCGTCTGGTTGTTAAATTCGTAGTTTTGATTGAGAGCTCTAAAGTTGGGGGTGGATGCTTGTCTGGTATTAGAGTACTCCAAGTTGGAAGATTGGGGTCTGAACCGTGACCCTCCGTTGTGCTTGGATTGAGTAGGGGACTCAAGTACGGAGGTTCTACCAAAGTCTTGTTGCAGAAGCCTCTTCTGTCTATCCATCTCGGATGCCTTCTTAATGTGGTACTCTTGCTGTTGCTGCAACACCTTGAAGCGTTCGATTTCTCGTTGTCGAGAGTCATCTTTCTGATGCTTGGAGGACCTTTTTTGCTTGGTGTAGGGCCCTGCTGACCGGGACATGGTGGCATTTTCATAGCTGTTGTCAAAGCTGAAGTCTTCCATGTACGACTTTTTGGGCAGAACCAGCAGGTGCTTCTTGACTGGGGTGGTGTTTCTGCTGTTTCGATAATCGTTGTCCTTGACAGGTGTACTCTGCTTGCTTGGAGTGTTTGAGGTGGAATTGGCCAAGGAAGGAGCTTCGATGATCTTGACGTAATCCTTGGGGAAGATTCCTTCGGAGTGGTTTCTGCGAAGCTTACCACTCCACCAGCTTTCGTCGACGATGGAAAATACGTCGATCACTTCATTTTCAAGAAACCCCAAATCTCCTTCTTGCTCACCGGCCCATGACACGGTGGTTTTAACTCGAAAAGGAAGAGGAGGAATTGACATGAGACAGAAATGCTAGAATGAACAAGAGGAACCCAGGAGGTGTGAGATGCAATGGAAATGACAAACGACAAAGGAATGGGGTACCAAATAGAGGCTTGGTTGGAATAGGAGCCTTATTGAAAGAAAGCAAAAAATTGGTAGGATGAAAGTTTTAGATCCGACTTCCTTTTTCTCACCAGCGACCTTTGTTTGCAGTGGTAGTGGCTTCCAAAAGGGGAGTGATTTGTCAACACAAGCCTACTTCATCAGGGAAATTTCATTGTGTCTAAAGGTACCTGTTTGATTTACTAGATTTGTGGAAAATCAAAATACGCACTGCGCGAGTTGCAGCCGCTTCTATTGTGAGGAAGAAGAAGTGTAGTATTTTTATGAATGATCAGTTAAGCAACCGGGAATTTGGCTTAATGACTGAGTACTATTGTTCCGTGCAGATACATCGGTTCCTCCTTCCATGTAAGCACTACGTTATTGTCATAAACTATTCGACGTCGTAGATTAGCCCAGTTTTCTGAGTGTTCATCAGATGGAACCAATAGAAAGGCTACAATTAGTGTTCCGTGTCCGGGATTAGCTGTCCAGTTATCATATGAAAAACGCTATATCTATTTTTGGTGGCTGGTAAGGGTATCGCGTTGAATTCCATTGCTGTGAGGATTTGCTCACATTTTGCTACAATCGAGATGTTATTTTGCAGATGCGGAATTAGCTGCATCTGAAGGACGTGACTCCACCAACTCCTGCCAGCAGCCACTCGAATTTGGACCACCTGCTGTCAATTGCGTTGTAGAATGATTGTGACACGACCCATGCACAATATTTCACTCGGGTGTATGGGTCAAAGGAGAATTTCAAAGTTATGACTTGAACTGCTTCAACTGTAAAGTCTCTGGTAAACAATGCAACTCATGATGTCCGTAAAGAGAAACATTGAATGTGATAACACGAAGTCAAGTGAGACGGATAGAATAGTAGAGTATTAGATCACGTATCTGAACTTTTTGTTTATGGTAGCAATGGGTGCAAAAAGATCAAATTCTACTCTAGTTGGCCAACTGTATATACCCTGTCATACCGTCATCTGAGGAGAACCATCAAAAGAATGATAAATGAGCAGAGCGAATGCTCTTCATGTATTCTTACTTCTTACAAAGTATACTATATACCTACTCTTGTTGGCGGACTCCGCTGACAATGTCATCGACTCTCAACAAAAGACACGCGCTTTCAATGGCGGTCTTAATCGATTGGTGCTTGATCACCTCGGGTTCCCAGATCCCGTACTCGTTCATGTCCACCACCTTACCAGCTTCTCCATCAATACCAAACGTATGGTTTCCACTGGAGTGTTTGGCTCTTAACTGAGACAAGATCCTTATTGGGTGTCCTCCACAGTTCTGAATCAACGTTCTTGGAATCACCTCGAAAGCATCGGCAACTGCCTGGTATGGCCATTGGGCAACACCTTCGATGGATTTGGCCTTTTCGGCCAACTTGACAGAAACTGCCATTTCAGTGGCTCCTCCTCCAGGTGATAATGAAGGCTCGAACATCACGTTACGGGTGACTGCCATGGCATCGTGTAAGTTTCTTTCAATTTCATTTAAGATATCCTTTGAAGCTCCTCTCAACAAAATCGTACAGGCTTGGGGATCTTCACACTTGGTAAGGAAAGTAAAGTATTCATCACCAATCAAATCCACACGGAATTCACCACATCTTGTACCGATGTCAGATTCTTTCAAGTCTTCGATTCGGTTGACGATAGTAGCACCGGTGGCTCTGGCAATTCTATTGTTATCAGACTTCTTGACTCTTCTCAATGCTGAGACTCCCCCCTTTAACAAGTAGTGTTGGGCCAAGTCACTGACACCCTTTTCTGTGATCACCAAGTCGGGCTTGAACTCCAATAATTGTTCACACAATATCTTGATTTGTTCTTCTTCAATTTGTAAGATCCGGTTCCATTCCTCTTCCTTGGTGATTTCAATATTGGTCTGAGATTCTCCCTTCTTGTATTCCAAAGGACAATCCAATAACACTATCCGGGGATTCTCAATGAATCTTCTCATCTTAGGATGCGTCACGTCTTTATTCAATAATATTCCGTCCAACACCTCGGAGTCTTCAACCTCACCGCCAGGAATCTTTTCGATTCTCACGTATCTCTTGGTGTCGATTTCCTTGTAGTCACCTTGCTCGATGTATACAGTCTTGACGGCCTTGAGAGATAACTCACACATCTTCTGAGACCATTTGCTAATATACTTTGTACCAATACTGGCTTTAATTAACTTAATCATGGCAGAGTCATTATGAATATCCACAGGAACAGACACCTCATGAATGATTTCCAAAGCGTCAGTCAAGGCTTGCTTCAATGCCTGGATGATCACCACCGGGTGGATCTTCTTCTCGATGTAAGGAAAGGTTTGGGCCAAAATTTCTCCAGCAAGAATGATAACAGTGGTGGTACCATCTCCAACTTCCTCGTCCTGAGTTCTGCTTAATTCAATCATACTTTTGGCAGCTGGATGAGACACATCAATTTCTCTTAAAATGGCGTGTCCATCGTTAGTCAATACTATCCCTCCCATAGGATCAAGTAACATCTTCAACATGGCCTTGGGTCCAAGACACGTTCTGATAATATCAGCGACGGCCTTGGCGGCTGTGATGTTTGATATCTGGGCTTCACGACCGGTCTGTCTTTCAGTGGACGTGTTCATATAAACCACTGGCGCCTGCATTGTATATGTATAGCTTGATTCTTTTGCTGTTTGCCGCTGTTCAAGGTTGTCAAAAATTTTCATACTTTTTCAGCGCGCTTTTTCAATAGATCGCAGCTGCTACCTCACACACACTTTTGAAGTAATGGACATTGTCAATCAGAGTATCATCACTGTGGGTGACCTTGACGGTGTAGATGACAGGATAATAGAGGTTGAGCAGCTAATACAGCGGCGCAACGCAGATGCTCACTCGAAGCTAAAAGCCAATGTTTTTGAAGACGAGCTGACAACTTTGGCAGTGGCTACTATAATACAGAAACTAAGAGATTTGAATGTTGATGATCCACGCGCCTCATACGACGAGATCGTCAAGTTGGGACTGGAGTACCCACACTTGGCGGTAGTTGACGATTTGAAGGAGTTGTACCGGAACAAACAGCTGGTTTGCTCTGCTCAGAAGTATTTACTTGATGCTGAACTAATTGAACAGGCGATCGAGCAATTGAGCTCCAGCTGCATCGAGAACTACCAGAGTATATTTGACCAGATGACGGCGTTGGACGCCAACGAGGTGTCGAGCGACCTTTCTGTGGAAGTGGAGAAGGGTTTAATACAACAATTCGATGAGAAGATTGAAATATTTAAAGGACAAACGACCAAACAATTGGAGACACTACTTCGACGGATCGATTGGCTTGGACTGGAATTCTCGGTGGATCTGTTGAAGTCCGAAGACTTGACTCAAATTAACGCCTTGGTGTCTTCGTTGGTATCTCTTCAGAGCATTGGTCATCGGCCAGTATACCCAGATACCTGGTGGGCTACAGACATACTTTTGGAGCCATTTACCAATAGGTTCAATTTCCACTTCAATACCAAAAGAGATACAAATAAGCTCTCGAGACCCGAATGGGCTTTTAGCTTCATGGAAGAGTTTGTTTCCAAAAACATCAAGCTTTTTGAGTTGGTGATAAACCAGGCGTTCAAGCCTGTAAAGCTTATAATGTTGCATCAAGTCATCAGTTCTGCGTTGGTACCCATACGCCAGAAGGTATTGGCAGCTGTTGGTGTGTTGAATGAGAAAATCGAAGTGTTCAAGGTTTCTAACGATTCTTCTAACTATGATAAGAGTGGCCGGTTACTCTCTCATTTGATTTATGAGTTAACCTCGTTTGACCAGCGGATAAGAAACAACTACAAATTCAATCCGTTTGTCACCAACGTTAATGAGGTGCCGTCTAAAAAATGGATGGGATTAACGGCAGACGTTTTGTTGCAGGGCGATAAAGAACGACTCGGGACATCAAACTGGCTTAATTTCGAGAGTATTTTGGCCAATAATCGGTTTAAAACCGAGATAATCGAGGATTCCAATGCTTTGAGACTAGACCTTGATTATAAGTCAGACCCAGATGAAGACGAGGAGCTGGGTATCAACAGGTTGGGAAACCAACAATTGAAGCCCACATATTCGGCGTTGAACTTGGTGAAGTTGTTCAATAACCTCACTACCCATTACAGTGCGATGAGAATGGTCAAATTCCAGTTGAAGTATGTGTCGAACATTCAGCTCAGGTTACTTGAAAATTATCATGATTATTTGAAACAGGCCCTCAAGAGGTATGACGATAATTACAGCCAACTGACAGTCTTAAACCTCATTCCAGGAGGATTGGAAAGCTCCTCCAACAAGGTACTGAGTATTTCTGATAGTTTAAAGGGATTGCAAATGCTCACTGAGATTTTCTGCTCTGCCAAGTTCATTTCTCATCATCTAGGAGAATGGGGTGAGGAGTTGGTATTCATCCAACTTTGGAAGATCTTCAAGACTGTAGCCCAAAAAGATTATAAGAAAGATGTCAACATATTCGGAACATGTAATAATCAGTACAATAAGTTGATCGAGGACATAAGAGGAAGGTACGGTAATTTTTTCCGGAAGGGCACCAAAGATAACTTGAAAGACTACATTAATGAAAGTCAATGGGAAATCCAAGAAGTAAAGGACAATTCCGCTCAGTTTGGATCCTTAATTCACAATCTTCCTGTTTTTTTGAATGATCTTCACAAGGTGTTCATCCCCAGTGACTACTACATGATAGTCAATCAGGTGCTCTCATCGATTTGTGGACTTTGGTACGAGTATATCATAACAAACAACAGGTTCTCCCGGTCAGGAGTCCGTCAACTTGAACAGGACTTTGAGTTTGTGATAGACCAGTTGAGAACCGAGTTACTCGTAGACAATCAGGACCACTTCTCAACCGCAGCCAACTTTGACTACAATAGAATCACTCAGTCAATTGGGTTGTTTAAGAAGTACGATTCGGTGCTAAGCAAGAGTTTGGTGAAGAACTTCGATGCATCATACGTGAGAAGTGAGTTTGAAAGTCAGTTATCCAATTTGCACGATGAAGAAATCCGAAATCTCTTATTTAGAGTTGCATAGTTAATGAAAGCCATATCAAGTAAAGTTGCAAAAAAAGTTGCGAAGTTGCAACCAGCAGATACAAAAAGGTGCAAAGCATATTGATTTCAGAGACTAGTGGATTATTCGGCGGGAATATTGCAACGTTTCAATTGCACAATTTCCCCATTCGAAGAAATGGTTGTCGTTAACATCAGAATGCTGAGACGCATCAAGAAACGCGAGACGCATTTTCAAAACATCAAATCAGCATGTCTTTGAATAGAAAACGAGTATGTAACCTTTGCACCTCCTACATCACCGGATATACTAACACCAGCATATAGGCCTTTGGAGAAGAGGTAGATGAGCTAAGAACAGTCGCGGCAAAGCGACAGGAACTCAAGTACGAGATAATTGCAAATATGTACAACACCGATCAAGAACAATCTCACATCTCACTCTCCAAGAAGCCCAGCGGTCTCCTCATCGGCAGAAGCAGTCAGTGTGACATTCGAATACTGGGCGTAGACGTGTCGTCTAAACACTCGAAGCTCTCGTTGGCCACCAACCAAATACGAGACTATTTCTTCGTTACCGACTTGAGCTCCAATGGGACCTATGTAAACGGCGAAAAGTTGGGCCACGGAACCAGCGTGCTCTTAAAAAGTGGAGATCACGTGTCGTTTGCCAAGACAGGTGGAGCCTTCATCTTTCGCTACTGTGCTGATGAGAAAGAAACCGCTCATAGAAAAAGATCACTCTTCGATGACTACGTATTGGGAAAACAACTAGGAGCCGGCCATTACGCGGTGGTTAAAGAAGCACGAAACAGATTGACGGGGGACATTGTGGCAGTGAAGATCTTTCACCCGAACAAGACGTCGAAGAACTCTAAAGACGAAGAAGCCAAATTGCAACAGGAGATTGATTTACTTCTTTCCATAGACCATCCTAATATCGTCAAGTTTATTTCCCGTTACGTGGAGCCCGTGAGCCAGCATACGATGTCAACGTTCCTAGTGCTCGAGAAGGTTAACAGTGGAGAATTGTTCCAGAGAATCATAAACAAACTGAAACTTCGGGAAGATGAGACCAAGGGCTTATTTAAGCAGCTTTTGTCAGGTCTTCTTTATTTGCATGAAAACAACATTATCCACAGAGACATCAAGCCCGAGAACATACTCCTCGATATCACTCCCCGGAGGTCCAGCGAGCAGGTCCAAACAGGTCCGTGGGACCATGATGAATACGATATTAGAGTGAAAATCGCTGACTTTGGGTTGGCGAAATTCATTGGGGAACTCAAATTCACAAACACCTTGTGTGGAACTCCTGCGTACGTTGCGCCCGAGATACTCAGTGACCAGCGAAACTACTCAACCAAGGCAGACATCTGGTCGAGTGGTGTACTTCTATATGTTTGTCTCTGTGGGTTTCCACCATTTAGTGATGAGCTAGGACCTCCCACCATGAGAGAACAGATATTAAGTGCCAGATATGCCTTCTATTCTCCGTACTGGGACGATATCACGGATCCAGCCTTGGACTTGATCAGCTCGTTATTGGTTCTTGACCCAGATCAAAGATTTGATGTTCACCAAACTATTAGCCACGACTGGTTGGCTCAAGACACCTTAGAGGATAAAGATATGGAGGACGTTAACATGGACGCTTTCAATTCATTAAAGGGATCTATCAAGACCAACTCCATGCGAAGCAGCTCGATGCTTGGTTCCGAGACCGATAAATTAAGAACTCCTGTGAGGTCTTCGAGTCAGCCCATACGACTTCGAGACCGGTTTGCATCCGAGTTGAATTCGATTGACTATGAATGAGCAGACTCTGCTGACTATGAAATGATGAAAATATTTACAGGAACTAGAATGACAGGGTATTCACCAACTCTATGGCTTGTTTTCTGCTACTGAAGAACATCAGAAGTAGGTGCTTATTGGAAGCTATAGTGGCTCTGTATTTCTCTGGCACCGACGGGTTTTGCCGACTTTTTTCAAACTTCTCTTGTATAGACATTATCTTTTGCAATGCTTTCAAAGCACTCTTACGATCTTTTAAAAGAATTTGACAATCAAACTGCCCTATCAAGCACGATAAATCTCCATCAGCCTCATGCCCAAGTTTAAACCACTCAAGACTTTTATCATAGTTGTTGAAGACATTCAACTCCAAGAACCCAAGAGACGAAAAACTCTCCTTCAAGCCTTTGGAGGCACAGATCTCCAAATGGTATCTTGCAATCTTGGGGTCGGTTAGGGTGAAAAGCTGGCTGTAATAATAGTGAGACCTCAATATAGTCGAGTCTAGCTGTCCAAAAGCTATGCTTTTCTCCAAATACTGCCGGGCCCTTATCAAGTCGGGTTTGGGTTGTAGTGTGTAATAGTACAAACCAAGGTTGCTGTATACGTGGCTGGCATTTATGGTATTTGGTTCTAGTTCAATGAACTGAAGCCAGTATGATTCGGCCTGAGAAAATGCCCGTTTTTTATATGCCAAGTCCCCGGCCAATTTGAACGTCAAGGGATTCTTGAGGTCCAGAAGATTCTCTATCAACTGATTGGCGTATTGAAAATCTTCTTTAGACGTGTTTGGATCTTGAATGGTGTTGAATGCCAATATTGCGATCGCATTGCTACTTCCAAGTTCTCCAGCCTGCTCCACAAGCTCATTCTCCAACTCCACCAAGTGGCGGTTGATGGTGTTTGTGGTCTTTCGGATCACCAGAAGTACTTCTTTGAGGGACATCAAGTCATCGCTCCTGGTGTAACTCGGAAGTAATATGTGGTTAGGGTTGTCGATGTGGTTGTACACAGCTTCATATATTTTCATGGCCCTGCTATAGGCCAAGCGACTGTCTTGGTCGAACAAGATTCTGTTGAAGACCTTCTTGCTGGGGATTATGTCTCGCAACGGTGGCCTCGTCAGGGCAAACCGTCGAAGTATTTTGAACATGGCGTATAGGACGATAAATTATAAAAAAATTCATCGCGAAGTTTTGTGGCTGCAAAATGTGCACAAAGCGATGGAGACAGAGGAAATGAAAAGCGAATGATGAGAAATGCATTGTTTGTTTACTGTAACAAACTACTGATCTAAGCTACGTTATATCAAAGAGACTATCAGCTGTAGTTGTTATAGTCTATGAACCTTTCGATGTTGGTGTCCACCGGCGAGTCGATGTTTGAATGTTCCAGGACTTCGTACTCGTTAACCAAAGGGAAGTCAAACGTTTCATCGGTCGGCATTGCATCGAACGTTTCTTGGTTATTGATGTTTTGGAAAGGCGAGGTGTTGATTCGGTTGGGTTCTGGGGCTGTATCTTGTTCCATATCTCGATCCCCTTCCAAAGGAGTGGTTCCAGACAATGACAGAATGATATTGGGGGTTTGGGATGCAGTTACAAAGTCCGGCGTGTTGGCCGAGAAGATTTCGTTGTGATGGAAGTTGGCATGAAGATCCGGCTTCCTCTCGGGGACAGGATGACCATCAAACTGCCCTAATGGCGAGAGCCCGTTGGCCTTAAGTTCGTTGGTTTCGTTCCAAATGGGCCCCAAATGGGTGTTTGAAAATTGGAACTCGTCGTTTATGCCGTTCATATCATTCATGTCGTTCATATTGTCGTTATCACTGTTGCTCTTGGATTGGTCCTGTGAGTTCACCCGATCTTCATCTTCGTACCCCCCTTCTATTCCTCCCTCCAACCCAGTAGAAGAATTTGTGTCGTTCATCATATAGTTTCCTTGGTGTTGCTGGTTTTGCTCGAGGATAAAGTCGTTCAAAAAGCATATGGAATCCTTGGTCCCCACCAAAACGTGGGGAATATAGGATCCACCGTCTCGATGGGCAGAGCTCACCTGCTGGCCCTCGCTGAAGTCATCACAGATCGACCACTGATTGGAGCTCAGATTGACCCCGTTGTAGAAGTTAACAGAGAACTTGGGTCGATGAGAAAGTGTCACCCGTAGTTCATTGCACTCTTTTTCGATATTATTATCTAGTAACGAGCAGCTGAGAATGTTTGCAATGGGATAGAAGATGCGAAATAAGATCCGGGACGTGTCAGACATCGAGCTGAAGAAATAGTTGATCTCCGAGTTTTTCTTGGACACTATCACCAACAAGTCAAAATCTAGCATCACTTTGTTCAACGTAAATGGAGACAAATTGAAGAGACCTTCCTTAAGAAGCTGCTCGTTGTAGTACCCGGACCGCACACGTTGCCACGATCCCACCGAGAGTGACGTACAATCGATAAAACAGTACTTTTCGTTGATGCTGAACCGCGAATACTGCTTGCGCTCCGCAGTTCCCACACTGTTGGAACGGGACAGATCAATACTGCCGGAGTGAGCGGACCGGCCTTTGCGCTCAGACTTCCTGAGTTTGGCCCTACGGTTTTGAAACCAGATCCGAACAGCCTTTTCGCTCATGTTGGTTTTATCGCTTATCTCCCTTCGTTGATCGGGTGATGGATTGTGATTTAGCTCGAACTCATGGAGTAAGTAGTCCAACACCTCTCCTGATGCTCGAGTTCGCTTCCCCGTCATATATGTATCTTCGGTTCCCATTTCAAGGCGGTATTATCAAGGTTGTGATAGATAACGGTAAAGCAAGGGATTCGAAAGCTGGAGGAGGAGAAATATTTGAAGCTCTTGGAAACGCAATTGGACACGGAAAATCGGCACGTGAGTTTTTTTATAGCACTATAAGGGATTGGACCGGCGTGGCTATGGGAAACTATGAGGATGTCCCTGAACACTGATCAATATGCTATGACTAGAGTTTATGGAGGTTAAAGAAAAATTTTATGATGTGCACGCTTCGCGACTCCAGTTTTCGAGGACAACGTTGGACGTCTCACGTGGATACCTGAGAAACGTTTTCATTGGCAAAAGAGGTGCAGCCGGTATTTGAACAAGAGGGATAGACAAATATTTGGCACACGATGTAGTGGCTGGGAACTTGGAGATCTGGGTATTTCTGTGAGAGTGTGAGAGTTTTGTCCTTTTTGTGTATCGAGGTGGAGTAACCTGATGGACTCAATTGTTCTACAGACCTACACCTACTTTTAAAGAATGAGGTAAAGGGGGAGCTAATTGGGGAATTAGGAGTGGTAAAAATGACCATTCATCTGGGGATTTGGATATGAAAAAAGTGTTCATGAACAGACATGGACTAGGAGCTCTAGGCATTTTGCAGCCATTTGGTTCCTACAAGAGTTAGGTGACTATTCAATAAATATTATTAGGGTATATATGCTACAATGGTACCAGATCCAATGGTCCTGGGTAAGAGTTCTCCTATGTCAAGAGTTCCTCACCGTCAGCATTGTCAATGGCTTCCAAGGCGAACTTGAAGTCTTTCCATTGCTTCCCAACATCTTCCCAAGTCTGGAAACTCGAAACAAGTTCCTCCACCAACTTAAACGCCGTGATATGCTTTGTCTGGAGGACATCATGAACTAGTTCTCGTACTGTCCATGGAAGCTTGTAGAGAGACGTCTGCCCATCGTAGGCTGATGGAATGACCATAAGGTCTCGTTGGCGACTCAAGTTCGTGGTTTCTAATGCAAACCGGAGAGCCGTTTCATGTACTCCTGCTTGAGAAACAATCCGATTATGCCCTCCTCCTGGAGGACGTCCAACACACCGTTCTGAGAGATCTTTTGCTATGCCATGTTCAAGATGCCCGATATTACGGGCAACAAGGACAAGATTCCATAGTGATGCCACAAATGGAGGTATGGAAATTGGCCCATCATCTATGTACACACACCTGTAGATATTGGGATGATACCAAGTAGTAGCCAACGCCGAGTCAATAGGAACAAGCTGGTCTGTGGTAGATGCTGCTAGTGTCACCTTGACATTATGAGTGACGAGGGTATTGAGGGCCTGCTGAAGTCTTTCCAGTTCAGCAGATTCTGGTTTCAGAAGTTGGACGAGCTCGCTTAAAACTTCGTTCTCCCGTTGGGTATATGCTCGTACGACGATTTTAGTTTCCAATTGGGAAATGGGTCCGTTTATAGGGCCAGCCATGCTTAAAAGGCCCACTTTGCTGCCAGATATCGAGATTGGAGACTCAGAACGAAGGAGATATGCTAATAGTTCAATGGCTACAATGGCACCATGTGAGTGGCCCACCACGTATAGGAAATCACACTCATGAATAAGGTCTGCCCAATTGTTAAGTAAAGCTGCAGAACGTTCTACTCTCTCAGACACGGTCCCTTGACCTTCCAATGCAATTGTTTCTATGTGGTACATGCTTTCAAATCCTGGTTCAGTGTCGCTTCGTACCCAAGCTTCCACGGCTTTTGTAGCGGCATCCACCACTCTGATGGAGTTCCCTGTGGTTTGTCCAATCATAGACTTGACAAATTTGGTGGGTAAGAAGCTGTGCACGCCAATAATCACTATCTTTCGGATCTTGTTCAACTTTCTGTGCCGTATCTGAGAAGGTGAAAGTGAATAAAGGTGGCTTTCAGAACTGTTATACTGGAATATCACCTTTTCTCCCACCAATCGAAGTCTGGTAAGCCAGGTAATGGTACGAAAATTAAGGTCAATTGGTGGAAACACTCCTGTAGGGTTGGGTTTGGGTTTGGGTTTAGATGGAGGGGCTGGACCCGGCTTGGAACCAACGGTGGGATGGTCCACAACTTCGTCTTCAGCAGCTTCAGCAGCTCCGGTAGTAAGAACTATCTGAAGAGTGTTTTCCTGGACCTCTGCCGGCGTCACCGGTGTCTTTTTGATGTTGTACCGTACCGGCTGGGTCTGTGTTGGGGTGTTCCACACGGCCAACTCATGGTCCGCCACGAAAAACTGACTGTTGACTCCTCCTTTGTAAGCATAACAACTGGAATCTTCAGACGACTCGATAGAAGCTTTGGCCGATTTGTACAACTCGACGTTGTTTGTGTATTCCTCGTAGGGATCCTCTTCCACGGCACGGCTACCAGGCCATACCCACGAAAACCATGTGGCATTCGTATCTGTTGCAGCAGCTGATGCCAGGTCAAGCAAAGGAGTTGATTCGGAGGTGATGACAGTCCCACCTCGAGCCTCGCGGTAGTAGATGTAGCCCGCCACTGTGCTGGTGTATGCGGTGAACATACCTGCCCAGGACAGACCGGAGTCCGTGTTAACAGCTGTTTCTGTGCTGACAGTAGGTTGGATGTGAATTGATTCTGAAAGGTGGTCCACCGCCAGCAGTGATGGCTCGCTCCAAAACCACCACCGTCGGAGAGGGGTGTCGGATGAAGCGCCGGGATCGGTAGTGGTTTCCGTGGGTTCTGGAGCAATGGGGTCGGTAATTGGATTAGGGTCTGAGACTTGCACGGCGCCTAGTGAGGTTTGAGAAGGGCGGGGGTTCACGGTCCTTTTGGAGAACAGGGACCACGAAGATGACCTTGGTTCTGTCATGGTGTGCTGTTTCTGATACCAGGAAGGTCTGTTTAGGGCCGGGTGTAATTCGGGTACCAATTCTTTCTCAAGTTGCTTGTCTTGTGTAAGTGACTTCAAAATAATTTTGCGCGACTGACGATAACAAACTTATCTACTAATGAGCTGGACCCTGGATGTGCTCCATGGGTTGGAGATTCGTGATGAGATCGAGAAGCGGGACTCTATATATTTCACGGCATTCAAGCAGCTTAGTCTCACTGCGCAGAAACCGAAAGGTGATACTGGCAATGACGGTATCACTCTTCATCTGTTAATATCCGACAAAGATGTGCTTATCAACAAGATGAATACCTTGCATTTTGAAATCCAGAAACTCGAGGAAAAGCTTGTGCACACCAACAAGCTCAACCGACAGTTGGAGAAGGAGACAGCAGCGTTGAAAGGCAAAATCACTAGCCTTACTTTTGAAATTGCTGAAAAGAATAAGGCAATTGAGACCATCAACGACGAGCTTCTATCATGTAATATTCAAAACAACATATTGAGCAAAACTGCCGATGATTTGACGGAGGAGAACGAGTCATTGGTGCAGAGGTGGATGGAGAGGGTGAAACTCGATGCTGAAAAGCTAAACGATGCTAATGAGCTCGTTCAAGGTAAATGAAATGATGCTATTTACACAAAAATGCTATGAACCACCAGGTCTGCAGAAAACCACAAGGTCTCCCCGGCGTCGGTCGTCCCAGTGGAAGTAGCTGTTGAAAAGACGCTTGCACTCAACGTATCCAAGGTGCTTGAGTATTTCATCCATTTCAACAAACGCTTCGAAAATCACCACTCGTGCAGGCCAATTGTATTTGAACTCATCAGCTACAGAGTCGATTTCTGGGGGAAAGTTGGTGTGGACAAAGTGGCGTGGATCATCGTACATTTGGTCCGACTCGTCTCTGTACTCACGAAGTAATTGTGGGTCCTTCCCCGTGAGATGCAACGGAGGCTCGCATGTGATGAACCAGGAGTTGTTGAACCTGGGATCATGCAAGTGGCTTTGCCAGGGAGTGGAATGGCATGGGGTAAGGAAGCCGACGTCCAATACGTTTTCTGACTTCAAGTAGTCCAATACGTTTTCTGACTTCAAGTAGTCCAATATGTCGATTTCTCCTCGTTCGTTAACAGTGGTGAAGAATAGGGCAATCACAACGTTGAGTACAATAACCAACACTGCCCATGCTTTGAATGTCCGAGACTTCAAGTAAACCTGTCTCACCGAATATGCACTGTACAATAGGAAAATTGGCATCAACGGGTAGATGAACCTAAACTCCTTGTGGCCGATACACGAGAATAGCAAGAGGGTGCTCATACAAACCAATCCCAAGATGTCTCTGTAAAGTTTGAATTTCCAAACGGCATGAACGAAAAATGGCAAGTACGTTGTAAGGATGATGGGAATCGATTGGAAAATATGAAAGTGCCATGGGGAGGATCCATAGAATACTGAGAGGTTCCTGATCACGTTGAACTCCACGAAATTGTACAACACAAAGGTATAAAACCCGTAGAAAAGTCGGTCTAGCAACGTACTAACCCCAAATATGACCAGCAATTCGACTGCTAAACCGGCCACAAGTTTGAAGTTTGACTGCAAGCTTACAATGGCAACAAAATAGACCCCTAGAACAAGCCATATAATAGAATTTGTAGGCCGAATAATACAACTCACAAACGCAAACCCACAGGGTACAAACATCGTTCTATAGTCGGACGATCTCCAAGGCCAATAAGCCAACCCAATGGTAGTAAGAACCATCTCCAACGTATTGGAGAAGGACCTAGTTATCACGTACCAGTTGAAAGGATTCAATATCGACAATATGACTGTTATCTTGGCCATCTGCTCATTATTGGTATATCTTTTGGCAAAAACGTACAAATGTGCTTCTGCAGTTGCAGCCAAAATAGCACCCATAACTTTTGGTGCCAGCACCACAAACACGGTGTTATCTGTAACTAGACTCACCAATTTATATGCCCCAGCATATATCAACGGATGAATCGACGACCTAAGGCCCTGCTGCCATTCCCATGTCAAATAGCCATATCCAAACACTAACCGATGAGCTGGCTCCAAACACTGGAAAAACTCGTCCGGCTGGAAAAAAGTCGAGATACTGAAAGCATTGACGAGTCGCACCACCAAAACCACCCACCATACGTGGGAAACCCTCCAGGTTCTTTGAAACCACAGATGGCCGTCGGCAGACATCTGTTAAATAAGTTTCCAAAGCGCGCGCAGCCTTGGAATCTGGGGGTAACTTGATGCTGCTTAAACAGGTGAGGACTCTTTTAGAAGAATGTCAATTTCACGAGGCCATGGGAAGGATATCCGACAGCTGGATATGTTGTATGGACGCCATCAAGTTGTTGAACCAGATGAGCAAGGAAGACACTGAACCCTATACCCAAATATTGTCTGTATTTACCCTCCAGCTATATGACCGACTTTCCAAGACTTCCATGCCAATGGACCAAAAGATCCAGTGGATCAATTCGAAGCTTCACAACACATATTTCTACCCTCAGATTGAATTTGGCGGGGGTTTAACGTCGAGTATGGGTCCGTTTGTGCTACCACAAACAGAACCCGAACTCGAGTTGCCAAGCCATTTAAATGCTCAGTACTACCCACTTGAAATTGATGACTGGTCGGCAGAAATGGACCATTTGGCCCAACTACACCAAGACGTGCTTTCCAACTGTTCGCTAGTATCAGCAATTCTTGCGCTAGTCCACTCAGAAGGGATGTTGGTTGATTTGGTACATCCTCATGCAGCAGCGCAGAATTACACTGTGACCTTCACTTTTAATGGAACCAAGAGAACGGTTTCGGTGGACAACCGGTTGCCGCTACTACCACAGGACACTCAGTACTTGACCATTCGGTCCAGCAATAACTTAAACTTGTACTGGCCTGCTCTTATAGAAAAAGCATACTTGAAGGTGATGGGGAAAGGGTACAACATCGATGGGTCCAACATGGCGTACGATGGGTTCATGCTCACAGGATGGGTTCCGGATATCATCATGATAAAAGACGGACAGCTACCGGTTTCACATATCAAATATTTGAAGAATCGGAACACAACGGTGATGATGGGGTTGGGAACTGGCAAAATCAGCAGGGTGCTTTCAGACAAAATCGGGCTAGTTTCTCTTCATGACTACACACTTTTGGACTTCGACGAGACCCGAAACACCGTCACCATCAAGAATCCCTGGCTCCATAGCACCGATAAGAATCGCATAATAGAGCTTCCTGCCAATGGTTTGTTTCAGTTTCAGTTTTTCTATCTCAATTGGAACACGGATAAATTGTTTCAATTTCGAACCACCACCAGTTTCATCCATAGTGGCGATCTCACGCGAGATTTGCTTGCCAGCAGACCCCAGCTCAGCATTGAGAATCCTCTGGAACAGTCCCACGAGGTGTGGTTGTTTCTTGAGAGATTCTTCACCAAAGATGTTGAAGAGGTAGTTATTGCAATGGACATCTATGCATCTGAGGGTGACAAGGTTCTTCTCTCCAAGCAGTACAATAACGTGTATGCTGGAGAACCCACCAATGCTAGGACCTCTCTTGTCAGATTCACAATGAATCCCAACACTAAGTACACGGTGGTGGTTCACTGTTCTGTCAAGTGCTCGATGTCCTTAACGGTGTTTCACAATGTGAGCAATGATTTCAAGATCCACCGGGCAAAGTTGAAGTACACCGAGTCGTTGAAGATCACCGACGAATGGGACTTTATTAATAGTGGAGGTAACCGTTCCCTCACCTCGTACATCAATAATCCGCAATTTGACTTGGAAATTTCGCAGCCATCAGACTTGATGATAACGTTGATAGGCGAACTGTTGCTTACGTTCCAAGTCTTACACTGGAACTATGCCGAAAAGTCCCGGAAAATGCAACATCTTGACGACCTCAAACTTCTCTGCGACGAGCCATACACTGCGGGAGCGCAGGGTTCGACATTGAAGAACCTCAGCCCAGGAATTTATAGAATTGTTTGTTCGACCCAAGAACCCAATGTGCGAGTACCGTTCCAACTCCAGGTGTTTCACAATCTTCCTAGCAATGAGGCAAGAATTTCACGAGTTGGTGGATCACTTGGGTTATTCACTGACAATTTCCGCTATGATTGGAACGGTACAAATAGGTACAAATTCATGTTTTCCACCAAATGCTATAATCGCCGGTTCACGTTCCACCTCAAGCACTCATCGTGTAACTTCATGAATCCCGAGGGCGTATCAGTATACCGCCCAGCGCTCCGTGGGTCGGTGTTCAACCTAGACACTCTGCAGCCACTCATGGTGAATGAAGAATGGAGTTCCAGCTTGTACGGAGTGTTTGTGGAATGGACATGTAGGGTTCCTGGGAACTTTGTGCTACTTGTAGAACGGTTCGAGCCTGGAAATGGCACACTTGAGATCGAGGTAGGCTGTAATGGGCAGTTCTTCTCTCTTTGACGACATATTTTAATATATTTGCAGCCTCTGAATGCGCGACTGAAAAATTCCAAAGTAATTATCGACGTGTTGAGTTTGACGTAAATCAGCATGAAGGTATCTTTAATACAATTGATGATGGGTGTAATGGCCTACGCCGCTTGTGTGTTGGGTGGCTTCACCAACGAAGAGATGCTTGCCAAGGTCAAGAAACTTGGCGGCAAAAAAGTATTTCAGTTGAAAGAAAACAACTATGAAGAGTTCCTCAATGGACCCAGAGACTACCACTTGATGTTGGTATTATCATCTACTTCCAGTCAGTTTAACTGTCCGCTATGTGTGGAAATCAAGCCCGACTACGAGTTGGTGGCCAACTCGTGGTTCCAGGACCATCCTAATGGTGTGGGCGCTCTGTCTGAAGGTAAAGACGTTTACTTTTTGTACGCAGAATTTTTAAATGCTAAACTGTTGTTCCAAAAATTGCAATTGAACAACATTCCCAAGGCGTATTACGTGGCACCCAGTGCTGCTAGTGCTCCGGATGCGTGGACGGATGAGCTTGAAGAGTATCAGTTTTTCCAGGGAGTTCACACCGAGTTGATCTCCATCTTCTTGGGGGACAAGACCGGCCACAAGTTCAATGTGTACGTTCCAGTCAGTTACAGCAAGCTTGGATGGACTGTCTTCATTGTGGCTGTGGTGGTTTTGTGGCTCAAGGTGTTCTTCAAGCAATTCAAGGTATTGCTCTCTTCCAAGCTTTTGTGGACAGTGTTGTCGATCATCACCATTTTGTTGTTCACCTCGGGATACATGTTTAATCAGATCCGTCATACGCCCTACTTCAAGCAGAACCCCGAAGGAGCTGTGGAGTACTTTGCTGGGGGTCAGCAGACGCAGTATGCAATTGAGACTCAAATCGTATCGTTTATCTATGGTATCTTGAGTCTTTTGTTCGTGACGTTGGTGAAAAAAGTCCCAACCATTGAACATCCCAAAGTCAAATTGTTGGCCACTGGTCTCGTGACCATCTCTATCTACGCTATCTTTAGCGTGTTATTGGCCATATTCGGCATCAAAAGCCCCGGGTTTCCCTTCAAATTCTTCAAGATCTTTGGTTAGAAAATACATCTTCGTCACTCTACATCCAACCTCTCACCCATACCGTCCACTCTCTTGTCTATCTTGTCCATTCGTTTCTTTGTGGCATGAAGGCGCTTGCGGATGGTTTTGACCCGTTGTAGAACCGCTGACACGTCCTTTTTATCGATGGTGCTGTGGGCGTCTTCGAACTTCTGAAGTCGCTCCTCAATGAGTTTTAACCTCGTGAGCAAAATTACCTGGGATTGGTGAAGCAGATCAAAGTTCTCGTTCAAGCTGTCCAAGGGACCACTCAATACCGAGTGGGCAATAAGCTCAATTGGATGTAAGTCCCCATCAGACTCAGGATCACTCATTGGTATTTGCCGCGACATCACAAGCGCGCGCAAAAAGCTGCAACGAGCAAAGCACTATCGTCTTACACTTGACAGCCATACCTAATGGCCATGCTTTCAGGTAGACCCTCTGCGGATGCCAGCACATCGGAGGCCACGAAGAAAGACTTGGTACTTTTTAGAGATGTCAAGGCGGTCAAGTCGGGCCAAATTCATCGGTTTCAAATCAACTATACGCCTACCACGGAAGACAAGGTGGTGCTGCTAACAAAGAATCTTTGGGTCAAGGTCAAAAACACCGAACCACTTCCTATGCGAGCAGCATTTATTGCCGGTCCGTACTTACTCTATGTGGACTGCCGGTCCGAGGACTACGATATCAATAAAAAATGCTTTATCACCGCTGACCAACCGACTTTTGAACCACAATTGCAACCAGGAAACTCGTTTTATGCTGAGCTTTCATGCCATACCATCAAGGATACGTACCGGTGGACGGTGGACGTGGTATCGCAAATGATCTTCAACAACAATGTGGAAATCAATTTTGAGATTATGGTGGGAACTTCTAGACAAGTGCTACACGAGGCGAGTCTTCCCGACAAGCATGTAGAAAACCGTGATAGAATCGGAACGTTTGTTTCACTGCAAACCCTTGAGGTCAGCGATTTGGACATTTACGATTTGTGGAATCTACCAATTCCCAATCCACAAAAACCCATCCACCTTGTGATACTCACGCACGGATTACACTCTAATGTGAGTGCAGATATGTTTTATTTGAAAGAACAGATCGACTCGTGCAACAGCGACTCAGCCAGTGAGAACTTCGTGGTGAAAGGATTCTTTGGAAACATCTGCAAGACTGAACGAGGAATCAAGTATCTAGGGAGTCGAGTTGCCGAGTATATCATTGATTTGATCCAGAATAATGAGCCCCTCAGCAAAGGGAACGTCACCAAGATCTCGTTTGTTGGACACCTGTTGGGAGGATTGGTGCAGACGTTTACAATTGCATATTTACAGGTGAATTTCCCCTGGTTTTTCCAGAGGATCAAGCCCATTAACTTCATCACCATCGCATCACCAATGTTAGGTGCCAGTAACGAAAACCCGATTTACGTCAATTTGGCATTGCTGGCAGGAATCGTTGGAAAGACTGGGCAGGAATTGAGCTTGCGATTCACGGAGGATGTCTCGAAACCTCTTTTATTGCTACTTCCTCAAGGCCCAACTCATACGGTCCTCAAGAGATTTGTGAGAAGAACCTTATATTCGAATGTGGCTAATGATGGAGTGGTGCCCTTGAGAACTTCGGCTCTATTGTATTTGGACCATGAAGGCTTGGGTACGATACTTTCAAAAAAATCGATGTCTTCTCATAACATCGACGAGTCAAAAGTAGATAAGATTCCAGATGACGATTGTGTTGGAGACAACAACTTATCTTTCTTACCCCAACCGGTTCAAGTGATGTTGCTGAAGTTTATGCCCCAAAAACAGCACAAGACTACTGAAGTGGTAGATGACAAGGACGAAGTGGATGATCCCCAGTCTTCGAACACAAAGAATATATTGAAACGGATTGAAGGCCTACACAGATCGTCTGTTTTGGAAACAGCTCAATCTCTTTTACTACCACCTTTGCCTCCAACTAGTTACATTGTGAACCCAGACGAAAGAGAAAATGCCATTATTTACGACAAGGTTTACCATGAAGATGACCTTCCTCCAAGAGACTCCACTGAAGAAGCCTCGAAAAGACTTGGAGCCGAAGTTGTTAATGTCAATGAAGTGAAAGCCAATGACTCTCAAGTCACCACCTTCAGAAAGCGTTTGATGAGTAGTTTCGACTTACAAGAGTTTGAACGAATCGAAGAGGAAATTGCTCGTGAGTACCATAAAGATATGAGCTGGAGAAAAGTTCTTGTACGACTCAACCCTGACGCCCACAACAACATCATTGTTCGAAGAAGGTTTGCTAATGCCTATGGGTGGCCTGTAATGGAGCATTTGATCAACAACCACTTCACTATCGATGCAATGAAAGAGCAGGAAGCGGTTTCTCATCGATGGAATCTCAACGGGATTGGAATGTGGGATAGCGAAACACCAGGTGAAGGCTTTGAGCTTGTGGATCTACTCTCTCGAGATCTCATCAAAAAGGAAAATAAGGATATAGAGGAGACAGGCCCGAAAAACGACCACCAATGGATAAACACCAAAGACAACGAGTCCTTCTTCTCGGTGGGACCTGCCAGTTTGATCAGTGATGTCGGAGAGATGGTGGGAAACTTGAGAGACCAGTGGTATACCAATCAGAATACTAGACTTGCTGTTCAGGAAGAGGTGGAAGTGTGTCAGCCAGCCGATGAGCCTCCGCAAGTGATGGGGGACTTTTTATAGAATTAGGATGTATTGCCTATATTACAGGATATAATGTACAGGTTATTTATTGTGATTGCTGCTCTTGTTGTTGGTCTTCTTCATCGTTCTCCGGGAGTGGAAACAACTCGTTGATCTTATCGATGAGCAGGTTGACAGAATCCTCGTTCAATCTCTGATCACACTCCTCGATCACCGCGTGCACATGGACCATTGATCGAGGAAGTGAGTTCATTATCTGAAGCTTTTCGATCTTCACCAAATCATACTGGTTCAAAAAAACCATCAACTGTTTGAATTTGTCGGGCGACTCGATTTGAGAACATGCTCTGTCTTCCAAAAAAGATATGATCTCCTTGGAAACGATCTCCAACTCCAACCCACCGTGCTTACTTTTCTTCTTATCCTTCGGGTTTTGGGTGGCCTTGAGATGTTCAAGCACCTCGTAGTCCGATAAAAACTTGTCTCTTTCAATCAACACCTTCATGCTAAACTGTGCTCATCTCAAAAACTTGGGACCGCGAAAGTCTCGCTATCTCCAAATGACGGTGCTTATATTGAATCCTGAGGAATTGAAGACCAGGTTCCCACAGCTGTCCGAAAGCGATACGCTACGAGTTCGTCTCATAGTGCAAACACTCAGGTTTGACTACGAGTCGAACCACATAGCCATCCGGTCAATGCTGTGTGTGACTCCCAGTAGTGTTAAGGTGTGGCTCCACAACATAGGAAAGTACGATTCTCAGGTTGTTAAAAAGGGGACCGTCATCGACGTGACCGGCTACTTCAACGGGGAAGATGTCGACGCCATCGAGATCCTGGCGTTGAATGGAAGCGAACTCACTCAAGAGAATATTTCGGTATTACAGACCATTAGCCATCTCCCCTAATACAAACGCCTCTATTATGTGGTATATATTGTACAAAGTCTATGAAAGGCCACTGCTCACTGGGGAGTAGGCGAGCCTTCGAAATGGAGTCCTGAGAAGGTGTTGGAGCCACTGGTGAAAAACTGGTCCCAAATGGGGTTTGTTGGGACCTGATGAATCAACTCGTAAACCTTGCGGCCATCGTGAGGGATTCTGTTATCAAAAGGAGGTGCCATTTGCAGAACGGGGCGGTCACTTTCAATACCTGTGAACTGGGCAGCCGTGTTCTCTGGCACCTGTCGGTTGGGAATCATACGGTTCAATATGACGGGAGAAGAACCATTCGAGTCATTGGAATCGTGCGAGTATGGAGTTGTGTTGAAAGCTCCATTCTCGTTTGCAAGATGACGATGATCTACAAAGAGCTGATGGTTGAGATCGGCGTCACTGTAGCTGTTTCGTCTGGAGTTTGTTGAAAGCGGCGACTTCTCCAACTCGTCAAAAAAGTGTTCCAATTCGTTGCCATACATTGCGTTGGAACTGGTCCACTCAAATGTTGATGGTGTATTGAAGTCTGGGGTGGACTGGGTCATTTTGTTGGAGAAAAGGTTCTGCAACATCGGCCTCTCGAACTGGTGGGCAATAGGAATATCATGGTGTAACAAATCGGGAGAATTATCCGATGGAACAGAGGGTATCGCATAAGAATCATGGTCAGTTTCCAATTTGCCCAGAATATCGTCGGGTTTATATGATAAACTTGGTTCTTCTGGGGTTTGGCTGGGTTCTATTTCTTGGGTGCTTTCATTTTGGATATGGGCAACGAGGTTATTCAAGTTGTTATTCAGGTACCCTTTGGCAATACTAATTTTGGTGGAAGGTCCAAGTCGGACACTACCGTGGACCGTTTCATTATACTTGATTTTGACAACAGCAGCCGTCAACATCTCAAATGTGTTTTTACACGTTGAAGCAGCATCACATCTATCGATTAATGTGTTCAAGACGGTAATACACTCCTGGGTGATTTTCTTGACCTCGAATAAGGAGTTTTGAGACCGCACAACCTCCGAGTTGTAGATGCTGTACAAGTATGAGGTTCCGGCCATGAATAAGTTCAAAACCGCAGCCCACGTATAGTTGATACATTTGTTGGTCAACAACTGGGTGTAGATATTGATGAGTTCTTTAGCGCATTCGCTCACCTTGGAAAAGTCCTTCTTATTCAACTTGAAGTTTTTGGGAGACAATCCGTGCAAAATCAATAGAGTATGATTATAGTTCAATCCAAAAAAGTCCAAGTTGAAATCACAATTCATTTTTCTTCTAGTTTTGGGACATGTGCTCTTCCAGCTCTTAAGCTGCTTGGAAATGTTTTGTTTCCATTCCAGTAAGGTGTTGAACTGTCTGGGTAAATCGGAGTTCCCAAAGAGCATTCGTTGCACTTGACTTTGGATTTGTCTCACTCTGAACATAGAAATAGATATTGTTTTGTAACTCGACAGGCTACTGGTCTTATCGGAATAATCCTGAACCTTCACATCGTGAGGAACAATCAACGCATCGTCCAATTCACTGGGGAACCGGGTGGTGATATACTCATCGGGGATTCCATCGGGTCTACTCAAATAGAAACTAATTTGTCTATCCAACGAGTAGGTACACCAGAAAAGCCTTCTTCTCTTGTCCAACGTGAACGAGTCAATCTTCAACGTTTGGTTGATGGACTCCGAGTGAAGACCCAAGTCCACACAGAGTCTCAAGGCAGAACCCACCAAGTACCAACAACCAGGCACCGCAGGTCTCATGATAGAATATAACGCCGTTAGCAACAATCCCTGGAGCACCTCCAACTGGTCGGACGAGGTGTAGACCTGGTCGATGTATTTCAAGGCTGCTAATCGTAAGGAATCAGATATGTTGGTGGGATATTGTAAATGGTGAGTGGAAGAAGCGATTGCAAATACGATGTTTAGGAAAAACAACGGTTTGTGGAACTTGAGGGGCACACTGATCTCATTTGAGAGAGTGGAAGTGTCCACCTTCTGGTTGTTGGCCTTGTAGTAGCTCATTCTTTCGTTCAACGCCTGTTTGTACTGAGCGAGCCATGTCAAAGATTCATCTCTATAGTACGGGTCGTCTTCGAGTCCCGACATGTTGATGGCCGTGTAGTTGGAGGCCAATGTGATGTTTGTGTCCAACCTCCCGTAGATGGGTAAAAAGCACGTTTGCAAAAACTCTTCTCGGTGAAGAACAGGACACTGGGAGTTGGACTGAGCAAAGAACACCCGAACGAACTCCTGGGCAGTTTTCTTGGGAGGCAACAAGGCCGGAAGAATCTCCTCCAGTGACACCACGTTCAGGGTGGTGGGATCGAGCTCGATTTCAGGGGTGGAGGACACATTGGAACATCTTTTTTTGAACTTGACGGCGGTGGACATCAACTTGGCAAACGAAATCAGGTGGTGGGTGGCCTCCAGCCGGTTATCCTTGGCGTTGATGGAGTTGAACTTGACCTGGTTCATGAGCACGCCCTGCTCTCGTTGGTCCTGGATTTCTTCCTGGTCTTTGTCACTGATGGAACTTTTGGAGGTGGTGTTCTCGGTAGAAGCAGCAAGATCATGAACCACCTGGGGGTCGACACCCAGCTCCTTGAGTTTCATTTCCAAGGCAGCAATCCGATCTTCCAAGTGGGTGACATAGGATCGAGGAACCTCTCTACCGGTAGCGGGGTCCAAACCTATACATTCGACGTTAGCCTTGTCACACTTGGAGCACTTTGGGAAGTTTTGGTCACATTTGATTTTTTTCTTGCGGCATCGCTGACAGGCAGAGATGGGGCGAGAGAGACTCAATGAAGGGGAGGAGACTCGGGGGATCTTGGACTCAGTGGGTGAATCCTCGTGCTCATTCTCCCTCTTGATTCCCATGGTCGATGTTTGGTGAAAAAAGATAACTTCGCGATAACAGGGCGAGCGATTATTGGATGAATATATTACAGTAGAGATATATAAGAATCAGAGCCAAAACTGTTTACACTAATCGCTCGATTCATTCACATGCTTGATCACCACATCTTCAAGCTCGTAGCTCCCCATCAATGGAGGAATCAATAACTCATATCCCATGGTTTTACAGTCAAAGTCCTTAGCATCATCCTCCACATGTATGGTGGTCACCAAACTGTCTGCCAAAAGCGGGTACTCGATGAACCGCTCGTAACTGTTGTGGGACAGCGACGGGGCCGGGGCCACCTTTGTGGACCCCGGATACCTGCTGACTATCCGTTCGTCGTCTTCATGGCTCACCTCGTTTTTGTGCACCGAGTGTTTGGCCAAGTTCAAATCACACCAGTTCCGCTTGTTCAAAAACTGCAAGTTGGCTCGCGGATGACCATCGGGGTTCACGTTGAAGAGTGGAACCACGTCCTCGTCACAATCCCGGTTAAAATGGTGCACTTTGGACCGTTTGTCCAACAAGGTGGCCATGGCATCGGGTGGAGGAGCGTTGATAATGGCCGACGACGTCACGTTGAACATCAACCGCGGGTCGTACTGCGGGAACTCCAAGGTGTTACGGTTCTGTTGCTTAAAGTTGTCTTTTTTGATGGGATGGAAGGTGGGATGATGGTGGACTCTCGACTTCAATCGGCCAATACAGCACAAGTGCACGTCTCCACTTAAAATGGTGATTCGAACTGAGTGCTGGGCCCCAAACTCCATGAGGTCTCTGACAAGCCGATTGCGCTCGGCCTTGTGGTTTTTGGAGCACCAGTGGTCGTTGATATCGTCCAATACTTCGATGGACCCGTCGAATTCGTTTAAAAGTCCCTTGTTGATGACCCCCATCTCCGCCAACTTCCGGAGAGGCTTCAACCACGGCGACGTCAACACCATCTCCAACCACACCAACCGTGGGTACAAGATGGGTACACCCAACATCACCAAAAGATGTTTGATGTCAGGGTTCAGCTCAAGTTCCAGTTTCATGCGGCCAAAAATGCCCTTGTAGGAGCTGTCAGACACAATCTTCAGCAAGCTCCGCTCGGTTCTACAGTCCAAGCCCACCACCGCGATCTCGGGGCCCAACCGTGTGAACAACGACCGGTTGAGGTACGGAACGTACCGGGGTTTGGTGGTGCCCACTATCCACAGCGAATCAAACTGCGGTTGCAACCGCTCCTGCGGCAACTGGTGATGTTGGAAAATCATGTAGTACAAAAAGGCAATCTCACCGATGGCCTTGAACACGGGCGAAGCCATGGTGGCTTCGGGGTACGAGCCGAACCCGTCAATAATATCGTGGTCGTCAAAAATGTTGATTGACGGGATGGTGGCCATGGCCATGGGGAAGAGCGAGTCAAGGTACCGCGACTTCTTGCCCACCCAGAAGCCCTTGCCGAACCAGGCCATGTAGTGGTGGAGATAGTAGTTGTGCAAATCCTGTTCAAATGCTTCATCCACCTGCATCTGCTGTTTCTTCTTAAATCCGTCAATTTGCGTCCACTGCTGCATCTTGGTACTCATCACCTTGACGGAGTCGCAGTAGATCTGGTCACCACCGCCCAACATCACGTGGTATGGGTTTTGTGAGTGCCGGTTCAATACATCAAACCACAAGCTGGAAGGGTATTGGGCCGCATCGCACGCTAATGAGAAGCCGTTGCAGCTGAAACTGACAATGTTCATAGACTGGGTGGAAGCCGGGAGATAGAACTTCCAGTATGCCGTTGTCTGGCCGTTGATGGCGTACAGGCATACCGACTCGTGTGGTTGGAGTGGGAGGTCTATCATGTACCGGTAGAATTGGAGGTTTTCATGCTTGTAGAAACAATTCCCGTCAAAGTTTCCTTTTCCCACCACTTCCTGGGAGTTAGAATCACCCAACTGGTAGGTTATGGAAGGCACCTCGTCGTAGTCTTCCAAAACGAGTAAAAGACTTGCCAAATACCGTGAGGAACCTTTATCATTGCAGTTGAAGAGCTTGAGAATGGGTCCGGAGCGTATGTTGAGGTCAATGGGTGAGTCCTGCGGGCATTCTTCGGGGACGTTCTTGGACTTGGCCTCGTTGATGTTCCGGAACTCAGACACCGGCAATTTGTCGAAAATGGGTGAAGTAGTCATAATTGTTGAAATTGTCGGTTGCTTATTTTTGCGTTTCAGCCATTTGATAATAATGAGTTGCTGGGAATTTCACAGATTCATCGTGGCGGCACCGGTTTCCCCTGGCGCAAGATGGGTGTTGGACTATGTGCACACCGAGGGGGGTTTGACCCGACACGCCCCAAATAGTCTGGACGCACACGCCTGGATGCACACGCCGCAACTAGTCTGGACACACACTCCTGGACGTACACGCCGTGTCCCCGGACTTTACCTCAGGCCCGGCACCGGCCTCTATGGAAAGCACATGTGTACAAGCCCAAACAGGTGATCCAAGTGAGTAGGTTGAGATTTTCGGGACTTTATTGGCTTTCGTGTGTTTAACTCATTGTTCTTATTATGGTTGTGGAGGAGCGAAATATGTGAAATTCACGCAGACGATAACAGAACCCAAACATAGCAGATAGGTCTGTTATTTGTCATCTGTCACTTGTCATTTGTCACCAACTCTCACCCATACCCCTCTTCCTGGTAATCCTGGTTGTAGGCGTCCATCACCCACCATCGCCCACCAGGATCGCCTACTCGGCAAGCGCCGCCACCACATGAAATGAATGAAAAATATTATTTTACCCCGGATTTGGATGTCGTAAACCTCACGGGCAGAAAAGAAAATGTCGCGGAAACCCTCGGGTTCACCGCCACATCTGGCACTCCTAGATAAATGTCTTGGCAGTATTAAACACAGTTTGCCAAGCAGTTAACAGCGCCTCTTTGTTAACACAGCCTACTCATTACCTGTTACCCTACCAACTTTATCCACATCATATCATGGGCACAGGATACGGCTGCCATCTTATCTTCCCCTCTCCCGCAAAAGTAGGGCCTTCCAGAATTTCGCGACATTGAACCCTCGTTTACTGCCAAGATATTTTCGCCTTTATCAGACAACTCACCCATCACGTTAAATATTCACCTGGTTGCACCAAATCATTTTTTTACTCCCCGTCGCCACAAACTTCGTTTCATTATTGACACGTCAAACACACCACCCATTCCTTCCAGGCGTATCTGGTTCGACTTTCACTTCCCCTACTAGGCTACTCCCTCATTCCCCACATCTGGTGATGTCTCTGTCAGTTGCTCACGACTACTCCCGAGCCGTGTCGTTCAACAACGTCAGTGATGAGTACCTTGGCCTTGAAGAATCTCACCCCAGCATCGACTTCAAAGACATCAACTTCGGGTATGGCTCATCTCTCATGAGTGACATTTCCGCCTCGTACTACAACGTGGAGGGTAGCACCAATAACTACACCCTAAAACCTCCCATTGACTACAAAAAACGTAAACTGCTGTTCCTGCTGACCTCATCCACCCCTCGCAAGCTGATATTGAAGAACAAGTTGAGCCCCCAACAGCTTCAGTATAATCTCAAAAATAGCAAGAGTTTTGGTATCAACTACCACGAGAATTTGGACGACTTGATCAAACACTACGAACCCGATGATCAGCCGGTCGACGACACCAGCAACTCGACGTACGGGTCGAAGCTCAAGAATTCCACCACCACCGGCGCCGCCAAGACCCGCCGGAAAAGCTATAGCGACATGACCCCTGAGGAGTTGATCGCTCTCGACCCACAGTTCCAAACCACCAAATCCAAAATCGACCAGTTTAAGTTTGACTCCCAGAAAACATACTACCTCTCGGAGCGAAAGCTGGTGGTGGTGCCCAAGCTCGAATCCCATCGGTTGAAGCCCAGTTCCAACTATAAAAGTGTCAACTTAAACTACAAGCACGATCACTTTCGACTTCAGCGCACGATCTTGACCCTCGTCGATGGCACCACCCACACTATGGGGTCGCTCGTGTGGATGCTCCAGTCGAACTTTCTCAGCGACGGCGACCACGTGATCATCGGCCTGTTGTTGCCAACCTCTGCTGCTGACGACTCGCTGCTGATCTTCAAAAAGTGCGAGCAGCTCATCTCCAGCTTCTTGCAACAGCTCAAACCCGACTTGGTGTTGAAGGTCACAGTCGACTACGTGATCAACGAACCCATCCAAGGAGCCACCACCAAGAAGGACAAGGATGTGTTGAACTACAAGGTGTTTATCAATAATTTGTTCAACCAGTATACCCCCAACTTGCTCGTATTTGGTAACAAGTGCACCAACCCCAATTTCAAGTATCCGATGAAATTGAAGAATAAGAACAACAAGGACAAGTACCTCATCAAGTTTCTGAGTTATTTGATCAAATACTCGACGATCCCGGTGATCTTGGTCAACTCCCATGTCCGAGTATCCAAGCCTCGCAAGCACTCGCTCGGTTCAACTGCCAGTATTGGCAGCAGCCAGTCATCCATCGAATCGGTGTCCGTCAAGCTAGAAGACATCAACAATGATATGGACCGGTTCGAGGAGATGATGAGGCGGGTCAGTGACAAGTCTTTTACTGAAGCCACCGAGTACATGAACATGGTACAACAGCAGGAGTCCCAACAAGACAACTTGACCGTACCTCAGATCAAAATCTCTGATAATAAAGTGTCTTTCAATGATAATGTGCGATTCAACAAGGTCCACAATATCTACAACAGCCAGTTTCACCGGCAAAGCGCAGGAAGTGCTGAAATGTACAAGGTCAAGTCATTGTTGGACAACAGCTCCGATTCTATCAGTGTGACGAAATCGTCCAAGAGCGAAGAGATTCCTACGAGCGGGTTGACCATTAAGAAAATCAAGAATGGATTGAAGAAAGAACCCGTTAAACAGGAGAAGAAGAAGTCTTTCTGGAAAAAGATATTTTAAGAATATGTTTTTATTAATGTGATTATGAATTAAAAATAACGAAATGCAGTCCGGAGAATAATGAATGCAAGTGGGAGCAATCGCCCAGTACATCTCGGATGCAGTTACCATGAATAATAAAATTATTGACGATGTAAACTCGTAGACCCCGACCCACCCGGCCCGCGTGGTACATGGACAATTTAGACGATGCATGAATAGGAGCTCATTGCCAATTTTTCGTGAGGTGCTTCAAACAATAATGGAGCTGAGTGAAAAATAATGTTGACGGAGGATGTGCTATTTATTGTTGGGTCTTCACCGAATTGTATGAATAGACGAGACAAGTGATACAAGAAGGTGTTCGCAGGTGATTGGAATGCCGGAGACTGGTGGTGCTCGCAGGAGATTTTGGCGCTATTTTATTTCGCAGTAATTTCACGTATACAAGGCTCAGCAACAATCAAGTGCAAAACCACCCTAACAAAAGTTGATGCTTACTGGTTGAGTTTTTCACATCGGCCAGAACTGACCGGGAAATGGGGAAAAATTGTAGTTTGCATTTGTTGCTTGTCCGTAATGGTAACCTTAAAACGCACTGCTAGACGGGCCGCGGGTGCGGAGCTCACACAACTTATGTTATTCCCCTGGTGTCTACCAGACGGAGAGACTCGTCCGACAACCATGGGTATACGAGCAGACTTGTATGGGTGTATGGGGCCAACTACATTTGGTGTGAGGTTGGCGACTGTTTGGAAAAAACACCGCGCGCTCTCACATCTCACATCAACATGGAGATAGAACCTCAGGTCAAAGAAGAAGAGAAAACAGAAATCGAGGTCCAGGCGCCCACCCACACCCTCACCAAGAAGCGACGGGTCATAGTGGAGCCCCGTCTTAAGCCCGTTCTGTACAAAGCGCTGGATCTCAAGGTAGGAAACTCAATCTCCCGCACCCCAGCCGCCATCATAAACTCCATGCAATTCTTCACCAATGAAGACAATCCGCTCAACAGACGTGGATATAAGTACAAACCGTGCAAACCCAACCCCGAGCTTAAGCTGACGATGTATTCGACGACGGATTTACCGCCGTATTGTGTTCGTCCTAGCTACTTTGACAAGTCGAGTGGAATTCTCTTGGACACTAACGTCACCAGCGTGTCGAACACGTCGGGATGGCGAAGCATACGAAGTAACGTGGGAGTTCGTGAAGGGAAATGGTATTTCGAGTTCAAGGTGCTAAGTGGTAACGATGGTACTGGTCATGTCAGGCTCGGGGTGGGCAGAAGAGAGGCTAGTTTGGAAGCCCCCATCGGGTGTGATGGGTACGGCTACGGAATCCGTGATGTCAATGGACAGAAGGTGACTTTGAGTCGACCTAAGCCATTTATGGATGAAGGGTTCAAAACTGGCGATGTTATGGGAGTTTTGATTGATCTTCCAAGCTTAGAAGACCACTACAAGAGCTTTGAGCAGGAGCTCAAGGCCGCCGAAAACAAGTTCAATGTACACGGGAACATTGTACGAGACCAAATTCCTATCAAATATAAAAGTTCGTTGTACTTTGAGCAGTTTGAGTTCACTCCAATCGAGAATATGACCAAGCTACTTAATCCCATCAAGGTAATTGGTGAGCGGCTTTCGTCGTTCGACGAAGATATCCAGCTTCCGAAGATCCCGGGCTCCAGCTTGAAGGTGTACAAGAACGGGAAGTTGATGGGCACGATGTTTGAAGAGTTATTTTCGTTCTTGCCGATTCCGGGGAACCTAGCACAAATCCAAAACCAAAGTTTTCGAGATTGTGACGATGGTACCTTGGGGTACTATCCGATGATATCTGTGTACAACCAGGCGGTGGTGGAGATGAATGCCGGGCCCGAGTTTGCATTAAAAGAGCTTCCACAAGGTGTAAGGCCGTTGTGTGAACGGTATGATGAGCATGTGGTGGAGCAGTGGTACTTTGATCTTGTGGACGAGGTGGAAAGCCAGTACTTGGACGGACTTGAAGGGCAATAGAGTAAATATTCATTAGATCGTATACATAAATACCTGCTTCAGGTTCTGGCTACTTGCAACCCGATGTAAGTCCACTGGGTGGGGTCCACATCATTACTTCGCTTATAAATATCAAAACACTTGTAATGAAATTGTCTTGTCTCCACTTGCACACCCCTGGTGACAATATTATCACAAGTAGCACACTTTGCAAGCTGGTACTTATTCAAATAGCTGCGCAATTCCATCAAGAGCCTCGCAGTCCCAACAAGAAAGTTTCTTTCAACTTCAAAATAGCCAAGGTTGATGAGCTTAGAAATCAACCCTCGAAGCTCTTTGGATGTCCTGGAAACGTGATGCTTGATGAGAAGTGAGTTCACCAAGCTGTCGACGTTGGCGTGGTAGTCGTTGACAAACACTTCGTCGATGATGAACTTGATGATTTCCAAGTCACTCACCTTGAAACGCGACAACGTCTTGTCGACTTGGGTGCTGATGGAGCTGGAGTTTACAAACGCGTACACAAGCGTGTTGGACACCTCGTCGAGGCACCGATCTATTTTGAAACCCAGGAAACTGATGGTGTGGTTGAGATGGTGTACCACCTCGTCAAGCAGGGCGGGTGGAACGCCTAGCTCGTCACAGATGACGCAGAGCTTTTGTTCGAGCTCAGACTGGTCGACGTACTTGGCGGCTCGGATGTAGGTGAGAAGCACGCGTGTCACTGATGGGTTGATGGGAAGGGGATCTAGTTGAGACATGGTTGATTTCGTGGTGAAAAAGGCGCGCTTGAGAAAACCTAAACAGCGGATCAGTCACGTGAGCAACCGAGGTTGAGAGTTTCAGGTGAATAGGCTTTTAAGCTAATTAATTGGTGAACATGAAAGGATTGGATGTAGTGGGTATGGGTCATCCGGTGCATGGGCCAGAATCTGGGTTGTGGGTGGATGGGATAGTACTTGGTCAAATGGGTCGTGGGTGTATGGGACATGTCCAGCGAGCACGCCTTTGCCTGGGTGTGGGTCATGCGGCTGCCCAAAAAATACTGTCCCTGCATTCACTGGCTCGTGCATGTATAGCCACCAAAACCCGTAAATGTAACCCGTGCAAAATGCACCTGTGTACGGCCCTAAAGGTGCGTCGGCTATCTGGAGGGCGTGGGACAGCGTCGAAGGCGGCAGTGCGACGATGGCCCGCAGCACTTGACAATAGCGGGTTAATGGCCTACTTTTACGGTGGTGGTTGTCCCCTTATGTAGTTGCATTCTCTTGCATCTGTATCCTGTCATAAACTGCGAGTGGTCTCCTTATGCAAGCGACATCCAGCCAACTAAGTGTTGAAATAGTACACACCTATTAAAGTTTATGCAACCTGTGTTTGTACCGGCTGCAAAAGTACCGCATTTGGAAATATACAAAACCATTAATGCTTGTGCAAACCACTATTATCACGCTCCTTACAGCCATGGCAAGCACGGCCACTGCCTGCAACCCCATGACGGATCCCATCTGCTTGGTAACCAACCCTGCCCTTTCAACCGACCTTTCAGGCTACTCTTCCAAGCACTATCGCACCTCCGGCAACGTCGAGGTGTTGAGTCCGTTCCACCTCGATATGAGTCTTAGGCAACGATTCGATAACCCGATGATCGAGAGCAAGTTTAGCATTCTCTACGGACGGGTGGAGTGTGAGATCCAGGCAGCGGGCGGTACCGGCATCATCTCCTCGTTCTACTTGCAGTCGGATGACTTGGACGAAATCGATATCGCTGAGATTTTTGGGGGAAATCCCTATGAGTTCCAGTCCAATTTCTTCATTAAGGGCAACACGTCGACGTGGGACCGTGGAGGATACCACGCGGTTCCCAACCCATTGCAGACGTTCAATCGGTACGCGGTAGAGTGGACTCCTAGTCGCATCTCGTGGTTTGTGAACGGATACACCTACCGAGTACTTGATGCCACAAACCCATACGGGATCCCCAGCTCCCCCATGCAAGTGAAGTTGAGTCTTTGGGCCGGAGGTGATCCCCTGAACCCACTGGGCACGATTCTTTGGGCTGGTGGGGTGTCTGACTATGTGGGAATGCCTTATACTATGAGGGTCCGGAATCTTCAAGTGACAGATTACTCGACCGGGACGTTCTACACGTACGGGTTCAGGGAAAACAAGTGGGAGTCACCAAGTAGTGTGGCCGGAGAGATCGGTGGACGGGTAGGAGGGTATAATATTGAAGCACTGGCGTATTTGCAGCCAGAAATGGGGTACGAGTCAGACCTGGTGTACCAGGGGCACGAATCAGATCCAGTCATCCAGGGGCACGAATCAGACCCAGTCATCCAGGGGCACGAGGCAGACCCAGTGGAGTCAGGGCTAGGAGAGCGACTTGTAGATGGGTTGGGGCCATTTCTGTGGATGTTCACGGTGTTTGTGTTTGAGGTTGTGTTTGTGCTCGTGTGGATGTGAGAAATTATAGTTATAAATAGAGATACTGGGCAGCGTAGAACTTACACCGCAGGTGGTGGGAGAGGAGAAGCTTGTGATGTATGGGTCAGAACTTCGGTGGGTGTAAGGGTCAGAGCTTCGGTGGGTATATGGGTCAAGACTGGTTCATTGAAACCGTCTTCCCAACTCCGACTCCGACACCAACACAATTTGACCCCCACCAGTAACAACTACAAGTAATTCACAATTCACCTCTAGTTGCCCCTAGATGCTTCCACTACCACTGCCGCTGGCACCTCCACCGGCGGGCCACTGGTGGCGGAAGCAGATCATCACCCCACGGCCGGCCCCAACCCGACGTCTCCTGAGCGCGAAATCAAATATAAAAGTTCCCAGCAACCAAACCAAGAACATCCCAATGACAATTGAAGGACTCAGCTCCATATCTTTGGTGACCGATTCCCCAGACAAGTTCACCGCAGCTGCCAAGTTCTACGTGCGGGCCGGGTTCACCGCCCTCAAGAGCTACAACAAACACCTAAACAAACCTGACCTCCTCGGAGTGTCCAGCGACTCCATCAGAGAACTTTGGCTTCAGAGCTTCCCAGTGGAAGAGGTCGATAGCCATGGCCAGGTGATCCCGTTTCAGGAGCTGGCAGTCTACCAGGGCGACAACTGCGAGTCCTTGAGTGACCCGGTATTGATCAAATTGAGACTTGTATCCACTTGTGTCGAGGTGTGCAAAGACATCCATTTATTCACCACCGACGTTGACGGATGTCACCGCCGTTTTGGCCTGTCAGTCGACCCGCTCGGCAACCGCATTGTGTTGCTGAACAAGGAGCTGTTAACGGGTCGGGAGTTTGGCTCCGACCAAGAGTATATCGACTACCGAAAATCCGTGTTGGTTCCAGCCTCCAACGATGCTGATGCCCACACCGGCCCCCGGACCCTCAAGAAAAAGATTGCGGTGATGACATCGGGTGGTGATTCACAGGGAATGAACCCGGCCGTCCGTGCCGTCGTCCGTTCTGCCCTCTTTTATGGGTGCGATGCGTTCGCCGTGTACGAAGGCTACGAAGGATTGGTTAATGACTATATCCGGCGCATGGACTGGGACGACGTGCGGTCATTCTTGAGCTTTGGTGGTACCAACATCGGCACGGCGCGGTCCAAGCGGTTCCGAGACCGTGAGGGCCGGTTGGAAGCGGCTGGTAATATGATCAAAAACGGTATTGATGCGTTGGTGGTTTGTGGAGGAGATGGGTCGTTGACGGGTGCCGACTTGTTTCGGAGCGAGTGGCCGTCGTTGGTCGATGAGTTGGTGTCGTCCGGGCGGTTCAGTGCCACCGGCGTGGCGCCGTACCGCCATTTGACGATTGTGGGGCTCGTGGGAAGTATCGATAACGATATGGCCACCACCGATGCCACGATCGGAGCCTTCTCGTCGTTAGAGCGGATTACCGAGATGGTGGACTACATCGATGCCACCGCCACGTCGCACTCACGGGCGTTCGTGGTGGAGGTGATGGGACGCCATTGCGGGTGGCTTGGGCTTATGGCCGGCCTCGCCACGGGTGCAGACTACATCTTCATTCCCGAGCGGCCCCCCAAGAATGGGGCCTGGCAGGCCGAGTTGCAGGTAGTGGCGCGCCGTCACCGTGAAGCCGGTAAGCGGAATACCACGGTGATCGTGGCGGAAGGAGCTACCGACGATCAGTTGAACCCCATCACTGCGGCCGAGGTCAAGGATGTGCTTGTGGACTTGGGCCTCGATACACGGATCACCACTTTGGGCCACGTCCAGCGAGGTGGGTCTGCCGTGGCTTTCGACCGGATGTTGGGCACGGTTCAGGGTGTGGAGGCCGTTAAAGCGGTGTTGGAATCAACTCCGGCCTCCGAGCTGCCTATGATCGCAATCGTGGGTAACAAAATCGTCCGCCAGCCGTTGATGAAGGCGGTGGCACTCACGAAGCTGGTGGCCGAGTGTATTGAAGCCAAGGACTTTGATGGGGCCATGGCCTTGAGAGATGGGAATTTCGCCGAGGCCTACGACCAGTTTCTTCACACCAGTATTCACGATGATGGCACCCACCAGTTGCCTACCACCGAGAGATTGAACATCGGGGTCATCCATATTGGGGCCTCGAGTTCCGCTCTAAATGCTTCTACCAGGGCCATCACCTTGTACTGTTTGAGTCGTGGCCATAAGGTGTTTGCGATCCAGAATGGGTTCCACGGGTTGATCCACACAGGGGAGATGAGAGAGTTGGAGTGGATTGACGTTGAGGGCTGGTACAACAAGGGAGGTAGTGAGATCGGTACCAACCGGTCGTTGCCCAGTGAGAACTACGGGGAAGTGGCCTACCACCTCCAGAAAAACAGTTTGGACGGGTTGATCATCATTGGTGGGTTCGAATCCTTCACTGCTTTGAACCAGTTGAACCAACAACGTCACAACTACCCAGTGTTCCGGATGCCCATGATTGTGATACCGGCTACCGTCTCTAACAACGTTCCTGGTACCGAATATTCGTTGGGATGTGACACTTGTTTGAACCAATTGGTCAATTACTGTGATGCCGTCAAGCAGAGTGCCTCGTCGACCCGGAGACGGGTGTTTGTGGTGGAGGTGCAAGGAGGACACAGTGGGTTTGTGGCGAGCTTTATCGGATTGGTCACTGGGTCTATCGCCACCTACACTCCCGAAAAGAAGATCAATTTGGCGACCATCCAGGAGGATATCGACTTGATCTTCAAGATTTTCGAAAATGACAGAGGCGAGGACAAGAACGGGAAGATCATCATCAGAAACGAATTGAGCAGTAAGGTCTACACAACCGAGTTGATAAGTGAGATTTTAAAGGAGAACAGTAATAAACGGTTTGAGACCAGAACCGCGGTTCCTGGCCATGTGCAACAAGGATTCAAGCCTACTTCCAAAGACAGGGTTTTCGCTGTCAATTTCGGAATGAAAGCCGTGCAGTTCTTAGAAGAGCATCAGGACACCGATGCCTTAGGAAATTCCAACCATGTCATAATTGGGATGAATGGGCTGAAGGTGACGTGCTCGAGTGTTACGGACTTGAACAAGGAAGCCAATGTCGAGTTGAGAAAGGGAACCAGAGTCCATTGGAATAAGATGGTGGAAATCGGCGACATGTTGAGTGGCCGGCTGTTGATGAGGAGATCCAAGTAAATACCGTAGCTTTAACCTTTTTTTTTTTACCATATTTTGGACACGCATAGAAAGTCTATTAGTTAGAAAACGCATTATTTTAAACCTTGTAGATACTTTTGAGGCGATCCTTTTTGACGGAGAACTGCGTCGGCGGGAGGTTTTTCCGCATATATACACAGCATTAAAAGGGGAATTATTAGCCGGAACCAGTGAAACCAGACGAGCAAGGGACTAGACGAATTGAAAACAAAAAAATAGTCTGACAAAAGGTTTGGGTTGGTTTATTAGTCTATCTCTACTGGTACGATTCAATGCAAGTGTCAAGAGCGCGGCGGGCGTGGACAAAAGTTGCGGTTTTACGTGTGCAGCGCCCAACTCTTTCTGCAGGTTTTGTCACCTCACCAAACTTAGAAGTTGCTCGGTGTGCCTAGAGAAAAACTGCTCGTTCCGAAAGAAAAAATAAAATTATATCAAAATCAGAAAAAACAAAATAAAAAACGCAAAAGATCAAATCTATCGTATATGCACCTGGTATCCGTCTTCTTGCATGACCAGTGTAGAGAGCAAGTCTACTAGTATCCTTTCGAACAGGGGAAGAAATCAAAGAGAATAAAGATTGAATAAGCAAGAGAAGCTATCGAGTGGCAGGGAATATTCGAAGAACAATTGTCAACGTCTTTGGTAACCTACTTCTGTGGTGTCATGGGTTAGTTGGCAAATTGAAGGTTACCTTGGGCACCCCTGGCAGCCAAGCCCTCTAGAAAATATGGGCTGGTCAACGCAAACAAGCACCTTATTTTTATAGAATTCCAAATAAGGATTGATATGCCCCTGACCATAAGCAAGGTAGTATTTGGAATGGGCAATGAAATGGGGTTTTGTAGTAGGGTTTTGTTTTGCAGGTTACCGGAAATTGCGCGCGGGCCACCCCGGATTGAGACTCTAACTCACCCAGATCAAGATCCGGCCGCTTTTAGCCGGGACACGTGCGGCATGGGCCTCACTGCCACGGGCACGGGCCCGAAAGCAATAGGAGTACAGTGATTCTACAACCGTCGTGGTTGTTAAGTGCTTCTGACGTGTAATACGTCACCAGCCGATTGTGTTTGTGGTGTTCACATACAAAGTTTTTACGCTCATGTCCCTTTCTGAGTTGCTGTGGTTTGGAATATGACATCAAATGTGCCTGGAACGTTATAATCTTAACTGATTCAGTGGAATACTTGTGGGTTTATCCGTGTATCTCGCAAAATGCTGTGGTATGGAAGTGGCCAATGAAATCCAGGTATTTTGCCACCTCTGACTGGTACAACGTCCATTTTGGTGCCAATCCCCGAGATTTGCACATCTGTCGGAGTTGTCATAATCAACAATCCGCGGCATTGATATAACTATAGAGGTCGATTGTCTAACACAGGTTCCCAGTGGTTCTTGATTGGGTTCCTCAGAAAATATCGACACCCATGGTATGCATCTCGCAAATGTCTTTGTAAACAAGAATCCCACTATCCTGCCAATGTCCTTCACTCCTATACTTTTAAGCGGACTTCTGTCGCCAATTCCGCACTCGTGAATCCGATATCTCTAATCGCATTCCCAAAGCGGCAATCGGACTACTCCAACATATTTCATGGACTTAGGTGGTTGTACGTGGTGCCAGCTCCGAATGGCCATCTGATAAGCGGCAGTGGTTGGAGGTTGGTTGGAGGTGGGAATGCAGTCAGAAGGAGTACAAGGGACTACCAACACATAGTGTTTTGTCTGTTAATCGCCTACCAGGTTGTCGCAGTCTGTGGTGTTTTCGGATCAACTATCACATTCTCAGTTTGTAGATCTCAGATCTTTAAAACTTAGAGCCCGTGTTTGACCCATTTGTCGACTGGTTTAGACACCTTGTAATCATCAACCACGACACCTTCTAAACACCACATCCTCATCACTATCGCTATCACTATCGCTATCGCGATTTTCTTATCTCTCACCTTAAATTCTCGGACTCTCGCACATCTTCAACCTTCAAAATGATTACCACCTTCAAATCCAATACCAAAAACACTCCGGAGGTTCCGCTGCCGTTCTCGTGCTCCATATGTAAGCGCACCTTCACCCGCCTGGAAAACCTTAAACGTCACGAGAAACTTCGTACGTACTCTCTCGTTCCCTCCCCCACCCTCACTACTAATGCATTTAGATCTCCATCGAAAGTATGTGTGTCCACATTGTGGACGGGTCTACTCACGCAGCGACTCGCTCCTGGCCCACGCCAAAAAAGTCCACCGCCTAACTGTCTCGTCCGTCAAGGCCATTGAGGGACTCCAACTATCGGACTCCAAATCACAAACTCAAGACCACTTGAGCATCTTGGAGAATCTCAAGTCGCTTGACGAGCTTAAGAAAACGCTCGAAGAACTTCGTGCTCTCAAGGGCCTCAGCGTCCGTCAGGACCTTCAGTCCATACCACCCGAACCGGCCAATTCTCCGTTGCAAAACACCCCACCACAATTGATTAACGACTGCCTCCACCAGTACTGGACCAAGTTCGACCCGTGCTTCCCCATTGTCCACCGCGGTAGCTTTGTGCTTCCGGACAGCTATGACGACGACTGGTTGGTCAATGTCATGTGTGCCATCGGTGCTAGGTACCTTCCCGAACACCGGCACCTTTCGTGTCAACTCTATGAGTACATCACCAACAAGCTGGACCCGTTTCCAGAGCATCCCCAGCTCCAGGAGCTCCAGGCCATCTTGTTGGTAATATATATCGGCATATACTCTGGGGACAACAGTTGGTTCAAAAAATCCTTTCGCATCTACTCACGATTAGTCGAGTTCTGTCGAGAATCGGGACTTTTCCAGTTTAATCCCCACGATAACTGTGACAAGGACTGGAACTCTTTTGTGCTTACAGAAGGCCGTAAAAGGTTTGCGTACGGACTTTATTTGTTTGATTCCCAATCGGCTGTGCTCTTTAATTACCCACCGTCTCTCTCGCACTATGAAATCAAGCACAAACTTCCGTGCTGTGAGTCCCTTTGGGAGGCAACCACCGGTTCTGAGTGGCAGCTGCGTCTCCACTACCTGCCATTGACACAGATCCCCCATTTCTTCAAAGGCTTGCAAGAGGTGTTGATGTTTGGGCTGATATCAGGCACCATTCTGTCGTTTGGTGCGATGATACTCTTGCTGGCCGTTCATATCATGGTGCGTAACATGGCACAATACGCTGGGTTTCATGCTGGGTTTAAGGAAATGTCCTCCTTCCATGTCCAGGATGCTTTTACTCGCAGGTCACAGTTGGGGTCTGCTTTGAACTGTTTGCGGTCATTACTTCCGAAGAAACTAGAGCCTCACGACATCTTCGACATGTGGGACGAGTTTTCCGTCACCTGGAACCTTGCATACATTCACCTTCATCTCCCAGACACCGTGATAACATCGGGAGTGGTGGAAGTGACGTTGAATGAAACAATTGCAACCGCCTCGGCCCTTGCCAGACCCCAGCCAAAATCGCCTCCAGGAACAGCCTTGTTGAGCAACGACTTCAGCAAAAGTGTCTACCAGGTGCTATCCCTAACTGCAAGCCACATAGCATATTTCCTCGAGACATTCATGGTGGACCAGCTTGAAACGTCTCCTGTGTTCACATTCATGTTCTACAAAGCGGCATTAGTAGCATGGCAGATCCTCAATGCTTTCAAGAACGTAAGTTTGGACGGGTCCAAGCAAGAGGAAAAGACTCCAGAGGAGTTATTTGGTGCTCCCATCAGCAACGCCCAAAAGGATTATATGATGAAAAGACTTGTAGATGATATGTTGAGCCGCATCCAATCCGAGCGATACGAAGACATTCGAACTGGGTTTTTCGAGAAGTGGGTGGAGTCGGTGTTGGAGTCGAAGTCTACCTGGGGTGTTGGAGGGTGTGCAGCGGCGTCCTTTACGTCATTGGTATCGGATCCCAATTTATAGAGAGTGTGTATATATAATGTAAGATATGGATTTGGGTGCACGGGCCAAATTTCTATGGGTGTATGGGGCAAGAAGAAGCGATGGGGAATTAAAAATGAGTGTACAAACTCCAATGACCAAATTTGCATCACCTTTGGTACCCCTGGTGGCACGAGATTCGCTCGTGTCTAGGTTTCCTCAAACAGCCTCTCCATTGGAGAATCCTATCTAATCGCAGTCATTGCAACATTTGTGCGATAAGGTATCTCGGAGCTCCTTCCTTCCTATCTGGGACAATGTCACAAGTACTGGTCCTGTTGTCCACAACTTCACCCTAAATGGGCATGTAACCGGTCCGATTCCATAGTCCCGATGGTGTCAAACCTCACGACTATTTAAATACCCACCCTTCCTCCGCTAATCTACTAAACATCTCATTATCATGACTCTGGGTGAATACCAAATTAAAGAAGAACCTGCTTGCACTCCAAGAAAAATCAAGGTTATTGTCATCGGGGCCGGAGCCTCTGGCCTTAACTTTGCCAGGGAAGTCTACAATAACATTCCCTCCTGTGAATTAGCTCTTTACGACAAAAACCCTTCCATTGGTGGTACTTGGTTCGAAAACAGATACCCTGGTGTTGCATGCGATATTCCCTCTGTCAATTACCAGTTTACCTGGGCCCCCAGCACAGACTGGAAGACTTACTATTCGTCAGGACCTGAAATTTTGAAGTACTTCAAAAAGGTTGCAAAGGAACACGGCTTGGAAAAAGACGTCCATCTCAATTGCAGAGTTGTGGGAGCTTATTGGAATGAAGACAATAAGCAGTGGGATGTCACTATTCAAAGAAACGACGATCCTAATGACACTTTTACCGACTCAGCCGAAGTGTTGATCAATGCTACTGGTGTGTTGAACAAGTGGAAGTGGCCAGATATTAAGGGCTTGGAATCGTTCAAAGGTCCCAGACTCCATAGTGCCAATTGGGACACCTCATTGAGTTTGGAAGGAAAAACCGTGGGAGTTATTGGATCAGGATCCTCAGCCGTCCAGATCATTCCCAACATCTTACCCAAGGTCAAGCTGTTGACACAGTTTGTCAGAAGTAGATTCTGGATCACTGCTGGTTTTGCTCAGAAGTTCGCCGGCCCCAAGGGTGCTAATTTCAAGTACTCCGATGAACAAATACAGGTATTGCAGAAGGATCCCAAGAAGTACTTGACCTACAGAAAGAACATCGAATCTGATCTCAATAAGCGGTTTAGGTCGGTTCTCCGTGGAGGAAAGGAGCAGAACGAGGCCAGGGCCTATGCTGAGAACGAGATGAAGGAGAAGTTGGCCTCCAAGCCTGAAATCGCTGAGAAAGTCATCCCCCAGGATTTCGGTGTTGGGTGCCGTCGTCCTACTCCTGGAAATGGGTTCTTAGAAGCGTTGTGCGATGAGAAGAGCAACTTGGTTTTCAGTGACATCGACGAGATCAACGAAACTGGATTACGGACCAAGGACGGAGAGCAGCACGACTTCGATGTGTTGATCTGTGCCACCGGGTTTGATGTGTCTTGGATCCCTCACTTTCCTTTGGTGGGAAGACAAGGTAAGGATCTTCGTGAAGAATGGAAAGATGCTCCAGACACCTATTTATCGGTAGCCGTGCCACACTTCCCCAACTACTTGACATTCATGGGACCATACGCTCCGTATGCCCATGGATCGATCTTGCCTATGACCGAAGCCATTGCCAAAAACTTCATTCAACTTGTGCAAAGAATTGCAACCGAGTCGGTCACCTCATTTGATCCAAAACCTGAAGCCGTGGACGATTTCAGAACCCAGAGAAAGACTTTCTTGGAGCGGACAATCTGGAACGACCCATGCCGGTCTTGGTTCAAGCAGAGTAACAAGGCTGGTGAGTTGATGATGTGGCCCGGATCTCGGGTTCATTTCTTTGAGATCATGCTGAAGCCAAGATGGGAAGACTACCACTTGACTTATGAAAACGACAACCGATTTGCGTATTTTGGAAACGGTTTCCATGTCAGGGAGTTTGACAACCGTGACTTAAGTTGGTACTTGGGGTTGTTAGATGGTAAGGACGAAGAGCCTGACTACACTGATGAGATGATCAAGGATTTCATTGTCCTGGAAGTTTAGAGTTAGGAAGAATTAGATAACAATACAAATGCAAATAATATCTGTATACACTAATACACAAACCCTAGACCCTGGGCTTGTATCAAAATCGTAGTTTATCCGAACGTGAGTGAATCAGGTTAAGGCCAAATGGGCTGCGGATCTGAAAAGACGGAGATTATCAAAGAGGCAAACGAATTCTACGGCGATTGAGTTGGAGATAAGCATATGTAAAGATATAGAGGATAAGTATAACAGCCCAATTGAAGGTCCAGGTATCTTGAATTTGAACAAATGATACAATCGGTCCAACACTCCAAAATTGCCTTGATGTTATGCAGATCTTTCACGACCCAAAAGTCCAATTGCCAGGACCCCACATATCTATCAGCCTGCTAGTGGTGTCCGTATCACTGGTGTCCGACTCCCAGCATATCTTCCAGTATGGAAGTGAGTTTGGAGTGTCGGAAAAACTGCGGCCAATCGCAACTGTTACACATGCAAACAGCAACCGCCTTATCCACAACTTCACACGAATCAACTAGCAGCCCTTCCTCTCGATCTCCGAGATAAGATAAGCACCAACCTCCAGTGCCTATCTACCAATCCATCATCATTTACACGTCGATTAGCCTATCTGGCCCAAATAGGAATGTTGGAGGATCTCGGACGTGCGCGACTCCTCGCAATTCTCTTATCTATACGTTAGATTGGCAGGTGGCGGACAAAACGGTGGCCCAAATCGGAAGCCATGGTGCAGGTGGTGTCTGCGAGTCCCATTTTCGAGGCTCTGTCCGTTATACCTCATCCAGAACTACTCTGCTTATCTTCACGATCCAACAGTATATATAAAGACAGTCTCATCCTTTTCATTGTTCTACTATTCCAATTATGTCTTCTGAAAAAGAACTTAACACCATCACCGTGGTCGAAGAATCCGACTCCAATCCCATAGAGCTGGACTTGGACTATGAAAAATTGAGTACCATCAAAGGTCTCGACAGAGCGTTTGATTTCTGCAAGGGGAAAGAAATCTCTTATACGGAAGAAGAAGAGAAGGCCGTATTGAAGAAAATCGATCGGTACGTGATGCCCTTGCTTTTCCTGCTTTATTTCATCCAGTTTTGTGACAAAGTCAGTTTAGGTTATGCGGTGCTTATGGGTATCGAAGAAGATACTCATTTGAACACCGCTACCCAAGAATATTCCTGGGTGTCCTCGATCTTTTATGCTGGTTATATTGCTTTCGAGTTCCCCACTGCCTACTTTCTTACCAAATTGCCGATTGTCAAATTCCTCACCTTCAACATTCTTGGTTGGGGTATCATCATCACCTGTACTTGTGCAGCCCATAGTTATGCGGGAATGCTTGTTCTTCGGTTTTTGCTTGGGGCGTTTGAGTGTGTCATTACCCCTGCTATTGTGTTGATCGTCAGTATGTGGTACAAGCGGTCCGAACAGGCCAGAAGATTGGGATTCCTTTTGTCTGCCAATGGTATCTCGACGCTTTTGACCTCTCCACTTGCATTTGGATTGTCATATGTGACTAATGGGGCCATTGCCTCGTGGAAGATCCTCTACCTTATTTTCGGGTTGCTGACGCTTGTGTTGGCGGGGATCTTCTATTGGTTGTTCCCAGAGAATCAGTTGAGTGCCAAGTTCTTGACCGAAGACGAAAAGCTCATCGCTATTGACAGAATTAGAGTTAACTTCCTGGGAGTTGGATCTCAAAATTGGAAATGGTATCAATTTTTTGAAGCCTTCAGGGACCCCAGAACCTATTTGTACATGTTTTTTGCTCTTGTAGAAAACATGGCCAATGCCGGGGTGACAACTTTCGGTAACCTTATCATCAAGTCTTTTGGATTCGATAGCCAGCATGCGTTGTTGTTGTCGATGCCCGGTGGAGCCGTTGATTTCAGTGCCAAAATCATCTTTCCTTGGATATCTGACCGGTTGATGGACAGAAGTTTCCCGGCCAGTATTTGCTTAGGACTTGCTGTGGTGGGAGGAATCATGATCAATGCCATCAGCACCGACCATAAGGTGGCACTTTTGGTGGGTTACTACTTGATTTCCTTCTGTGGTGCTGGTTGGGGGTTGGTGATGACCATGATTGGTGGTGGGTCGCTTGGGTCCACCAAGAAGAGTGTGGTGAACACCTGCCAGATCGTGTGCTACGCGGCAGGTAACTGGGTGGGACCCCAGCTCTGGAGAGCCACCGAGGCTCCCAACTATCACACTGGTAAGAGACTTATGTGTACATTCTATGGGTGTGCGTGGTTGAGTTTATTTGTGATCAGATTTGTGAATGTTATGGAGAACCGTCGGAGAGACAGGCTTGCAGCGGAGGGTAAGATTCCCCCAGCAGCCAAGGATACCGAGTTCTTGGACTTGACTGATTTCGAGCAGCTTAATTTTAGATATCTTCTTTAAGTAAATATATGGATGAGAGTGAAAGAGACAGTGAGGGCCAGAACTTGTTCTATTACCATAATTTGCGAACCGAATTGCAATTCAACTAGTGTCTCTGAGCTTTAAGGAGCAAAAAAGATATGCGCAACCCCGGAATCGAACCGGGGGCCTGTCGATGGCAACGACAGATTTTACCACTAAACCAGTTGCGCTTATATTAGTTAATGTTTGTCAAGATGAGACCAGCGGAGAATTTTTCCGCGAAGTATACCGGATTAGTGGTAAGAAGGCGTGCGAGTATCGCTTAAATTTCCGAGGGTAGCCTCTTTCACTAACTTAACCTGTAAAACGCTCATGCCTGCCACTGTGTTTTTGGCAGGAAATACCCAAAATTTCGCCCGCATAACCTGTCGCCTCGCCAGTGGTGGTTGTTTACATAATCACGCATAGCCAATTGGGCGGATTTACAACAACCACACTAGCCTTTAAGATAACCCCCTATCCCCAATCCTGGATTCTGGATAGTAAACCCACTTCGCCCAAAACAAGAGTCCATATGCCATGCATGAACACTTGTAATAGTTGGATAAACGAATGCGAGTGACGACCAGCAAGTAGGGCAAAAACACCTTTCTAATTTCGTTTAAGGTTTTTATTTTTATTAGTGCGACTAAAACGATTTAAAGGAAAAGAAAAGAAACTCCGCTGAAGAATTAGCCTTTAGAAACAAAATAATAGAAAATTAAAAAAATATTAAAAATTCTACAATTGGAAAATAAAAAAGACCAAAAAATTAATATTATTCACCTTTGTGCAACTGAGAAAAGCTGAGAAAAAAAAAAGACCCACAAAAAATATTTTAGGAAAACAGATTGTTATGATATAAATACATTTTCAAAAAACCTCAAAATTTTTAACAAGCTTTTGCAACGAAGCATACTCGAAATTTCCACACCTATTCCTTGTGAGTGTTTCGTTTTTTAAGCTATATTGCTCCCATCTTTAGTCCCTTCACTAAGTATTCCACATCGTGGTAAGACTGTTCTATCTCGTACCATATTTATACATCCACACTCAGCCGTTTTCCACCACTCGAAGAACCTTTGATTCTATGGTACAATGAGCGAGTCTCCCGATACTTCTGCCGCCAGCCCCGGCCCCCTGACCACCACACGGTCGTCAGATCGCCTGGCGCCGCCGCCCACCACGGCTAGCACCCGCCTGCCTCCTCCAAATGATGTATACTCATCCACCCCCAACTCAAATACAAATCCCACCACCAGTCCCAGCCCGCCGTCCAGCCCCCGGCCCATAACCGTGAAGAAAAACGCTTTTGTCCCCAAGCTCTACTCGATGCTCTCGGATCCCAACCTTTCTCTGCTCATCTGGTGGAACGAAAATAACGAGCAGAAGAACACCTTTAATCTTTTACCAGGCCAGGATTTCAGCAAGGTTCTCACCAACTACTTCAAGCACGGTAACATCGCGAGTTTTGTGCGCCAGCTCCACATGTATGGTTTCCACAAAGTCAACGATAATAATACCGATAACTCTGTGTGGGAATTCAAGCACAGCTCTGGAAAGTTTCGCAAAGATGATGAAGATAGCTTGGTGTACATCAAGAGAAGAAGCAGTTCCAACACCAAGAACGGCCAGCCGCCGGCGGCAAGCCACGCGCCAGATCATGGCATGGTTTATCAGCAGCCGGCGGTGTATCCATATTATTATAATGAGTATATGGTGCCGGTGCAATACGTTCCTTATAATGTCAACTATCCGGCGGTGTATTCTCCGCAGTACCAGATGGTACAGCCACCGGTGTACTACGGAGCGCCCCAGGGGAGCCACCAGGCCCCGGTGCACCAGGTGCCACCCAGGGCGTACCTGGACCCCCAGCCCGCGGTAGGGGTCCAGATGCTCGTGCCAGGCGCGGCCCCCACAAGGCCAGAAATGGCCGAGCCGATGCCTCGTACCGCGCACACGTCTCCCAAGGCCATCTACCACCGGCCCTCCAACACCCTGCCGCACACGGTACTGACCACCCCCCATCTGCAGCAGCTCCATCTGCAGCACCTGCACCCGCATTCACAACTTCTGCACCAGCACCAGCACCAGCACCAGCACCAGCACCAGCACCACCCCGGTTCATCGCCTAAGTACGCCAAGTCGTCCGCCAGAGCTTCACCAACCCCCGGCATCCAACAGTACAACCCTCTCCAGTTTCGCAAGATCTGGGACTCGCACAACGGCAGCGACCAGCGCCGCCAGCGCAACCCATCGCTTCTCTACGACCCGTTGGCCCCCGCTCCCGCCCCGGCTCCCGCCCCAGCATCTCAACCACCACTGCACCAGACCTTCACACCCCCAGCACAATTCCCTCCTCCAGGCCAGTTTACACCCATACAAACCCAACCACACACGGCCATGTCGCTCCCCATCACCCTCCCATCTCTCGCTAGGACCAACTCCAACTCGCGCGACTTCCCACGAAGCGTGCCAACACAGCTGTCCATTAGTGATCGGTTCAGGCCTTCGTTGGTGGAAATGTACAAGTTTCACGATCTGATCTCGACCTCCACCAATAACTCCATCTTTTCTAACTCCTCGTCAATCTCATCCATTGCCCTGCAAAGAGATAACTCAATTGGTCTGATTGTAATTCCCAGCAAGCTGTTGACTCCACCACCACCGGTGTCCCATAAGATGACTGCCTACTCCCCCATCACCCGGAGTGCTAGTTCAAGCAACCTTCCTGTACACAAAGTTACCATCAACTCATTGTTGAAAGAAAGAGACGAATCGAAGAGAAGAAAGCTTAATGACGATTAGCTTGGTGATGCTTTACGATTATAATTCTTTGCTGTATTATTAGCTTGTAGTTAATATGTATTATCTTTGGATAATAAACGTCTAACGATCTGAGTTCCTTTAAGTTCTGACTCCCATCTAGATTTTAACTTCTAGTTGGCCTACAACACCGCCACGGTGATCTGGAAGTTTAATCACCTTCAGACCAAATAATCATCGACTTTATACTTGCATTCCAAGTTCCAACACGTTCATTTGATATCACCTGTATTCTTCAGGTATGTATGGTAGATCATTCTCTTCAATAATGCCTACATCGGAACAGCATCCGGTACTGCAGACGACGTTTTTAATGCCCGATATTGCAGTTGCATTTTACCGCGCGCGTGAAGTTCATCGAAGGCGAGGCACAACTAACGAATACCAGTGGGAGGCAGTTTTTTAACCCATGAAACCCTGGAATAGATGCCATGTAAACACGGGGCCACTCAACCGATCGCCCAGCCAATCATCTCTGAGCCCTGCACCTCCAGCACAACGCTCTAACCGGTCTCACGCTGGGATCGTCAAATCACTTGCCGATCAATCTACGCCCATGCGCAACCGCTAAAACAAATACCCTTTCTGTAAATAACTTGGGTTTTCTTCTTTGTTTCTAACAGTTCGTAAGCAGGTTCTTTGCGTAGAGTGCATTTATAGCGCACCACAAGCTTGTTTACTGTTAGCTAATTTGCATCCGGCACAGAATGCTTCCGCTTCAGCTCGCCTCTATTCCCAATTATAGAAATATTTGCGAAAGGCAAACATCCCCTTTTCACATCGTCAAGAACAACCCTGTCTCCTTCAGGGTAAAAGGGTAGCAAATGCAACATATTTTCCACTCACTTCAGCCGCATTGTCTTGTGCACACTTTCAGGTGAGACAAATGATCAATCAGTGGCTACTATAATTAGTGACTACCATAATTAGTGGCTGCCATACCAACTGCAATTTAGCCTATTGTACTTATCACATATATAATGGCCTCATTTTAATGCACAACTTCTTGAAACAAATGCACCACTGGTTTTGGCCCACAATGAAATATGTACATGCCACGCTTAATAGTTGCGTGCCACTTGCTTAGGTCTATTATGATTTTCTATTTATAATTCAGAACAAAAGTTTGGGCTTTTTGGTAGTCGGACGGTTGTCTGAGCGTAGATCAGCATCTGAGTCCGAGTCTGAAGCAGAAGCGGTACCACCCACATTAACTATGGGTGCAAGGGGCTTTACTCGGTTTTTACCTATGGGTGTGCGGATCGTTTCTGTCTTTTTGCGCCGGTCAGATTTGATTTTGTTCATAAGCGTATTCATAGCGCCACTCGGAGGGCCGTTGGCCTTGTTTCTTGAAAAAGCCTTGTGCAGATCGGCGTCAAGAAACTCTCCGAGCCGCTGCGTTTCATTTGCCTCGGCAATACTGTTTAAGCTCTTGCCCAGCTCGATAATGGGCAAGTCAAAAAACTGCTGTCTGGGCTTCGGGGCCATTTTCTGCAGCAGGCTCGGTAGCCAGCTCTGGATCATCGTGGTATTGTGCTGGAGCTGCTGCTGGAATTGGAGCTGGAGGAGCTCTTTTTTCTTGATTTCTTCTCGCCTGCTCATGGAATAAGAGTTTTGTGGGATGTGGGTTTCGATGCTTGTTTGGGGGTTTATGTTGGTATATCGTGAGTGCAGTGGTTACTGTTCGTACTGTTCTGGCTGCCGGTGAAGTGCTTGCTGGCTGTTGCTGTGCTGTGGTTGAAGGATGGTTTGTGGAATGAGAAGGATTCAACTCATCGCGAAGTTCGCGAGACACACCAGCGCGAGTTGACGATGGCCGAGGATGGTCACTGAAGGACCAGCCCTAGAAGGAGGCCACTCAGTGGGTCCACGTAGCTGTGTGGAGACACGGCTCTATCACGTAGCTCTATTTCCACATCGCTCTATCACGTAGCTCTATTTCCACATAGCTCTATCACGTAGCTCTATTTTTCACTCCAGAGACGGCATACTGGTTTCAACCTGAAAACCCATTCTTCCTCCGCCACACTCCTAGGCCTCCGCCAAAAAATACCACCTCCATTAGTTTTCCAACTTACAAATGAATAATACAATATGCTACAAATAAATACAAATGTATTGAACTTCGATCTAGTCGTGTAGGTGTACACGGAGCATCTGCCTGAATGAAAGTCTTTAGCGTTTCAGATGCCCTTTTCTTCAAACAGGAAGGGTGTTGATACCTGCCACCCGGTCAATGGTGGGCCCCACTAACGGGTGGCTCAACAAGTCGCCAATGTAAGGAATTGACCGCAAGAACTGCACAATCGTCCCAAAGAAATCCCCAAACAATCCAAGGATTCCGAAACTTTCAATGATAAATCCCAAAAACGACCATTTCATAAGAATCAACAAGATCCCGATCCCGAAACACACGGTTCCTCTTATCTTTGTGGGCCTCGTGAAGAACGTCACGGTCCGTTGTGGTCCAATGATCAAGATGATTCCGATCACAAACAAGATGTTTCCAAACGCCAACAATCCCGAATCAAAAAACGTCAAGATTCCAAGGAGAAACAAGATGACACCAAAGGTGGTGAACCCCACCCCGTACTCTAGTCATAGTTAGTACCACTCTCTTTGCATATTCCGCAACTTATTCACATACTCTGTCTATCCGACAACCAAATCATAGTATCAACACTAGAAAAAGTTCGCGCGGTGCGGTTTTCAAAAACAGTCCCATGGGGCCAGACGACTACGATACTTCTTTACCACCGCCAAGCTACGAAGAGGCGGTACTGACACCCGTTCACACCGGTACCACCACCACCAATACCGCCGTGCGACCCGCCATGCCCCCGCCACAGCCACCTCCTCCTCCACGACCGTCACACTCCTCTCCTGCGTCGCAATCTCCAGCCCAGTCGCAATTGAATGATCTTTATACTGCCAACTCCAAACTCCCGTTCCGATACCCCAAGGGCTTCTTCTGCAACAAGTGCAGCAATACCGGTTACCGTAAGCGAGGAAAGTATTGCCACAACTGTTGGGACCAGTTTTACTTGAAGAAGCATGCTTATAATCCAAACCCGGGGCTTGCGTTCAGGTATCCACGGGGATTTTATTGTGAGCGGTGCAACAACACGGGAACAAAGGTTTCGAGTGGGCGGACGTGCCAGGACTGCTACGAGCGGTTTGCTCCGCGAAACAACTATTCGATGATGTCCACCTCTGGTAGTGGTTTGTTGGGGTTACTTGATCCGTTTGCAAGGACCACCACCACGTTCGCGGTGCCAGCGCCGGCCGGGGCGTACGGGGCGCCGCAAGCGTACGGGCCCCCCGGTGGGTATATGTCAGGGCCGCCACCACCACCGCTACGAGTGCTACCAGGTGATCCTCGTCTTGGGGGAGTGTTGTGTGGGCGGTGTCGGGGATCAGGCTTAGTGCACTTTTTCTTGGACGAGGAAATGTGTCCCGTGTGTGGGGGTATGGGCAGGATATTGAATGTCAGACAATGAGGTGACTACCAGGGTGTCCAGTGGACTAGAAAAGAAGCTCTGAACAACGGATGGCGGCAATTCACCAACCGGCACCAGATATTCTGTATTTTAGTGTCTCTATTCACTAAACAGATAGTACTATCTATTATACCAGTATCTAAACTAACTCTTCCTTACATACTTAATGATTATGCCTACTTATGCCTATTTATTAGAAGGATATTCATACTCCTTCAACTCATAGAAGTTCTCCTTGATGTTTCTCACAGACACAAACCGGTTCAATATGTTTCCAGAACCTGCCTTATCGTTGGTACCCGACATCCTGGCACCCCCGAACCACTGCTGGCCCACCACCGCCCCGGTAGACTTATCATTCACGTAAAAGTTACCGGCCGCGTACCTCAACTTCTCTTCTGCCAACCGCAACACCTTTCTGTCTCTAGCGAAAACAGCTCCTGTCAACCCATATTTGGAAACCGTATCAATAGACTCCATGACCGACTCGAGCTCTCCGTCGGGATACACGTAGCATGTTAAAACAGGCCCGAAAAACTCTCTCGACATAAACTCATGGTTAGGATTCGAAGTCTTAACCAACGTTGGCTTCACAAAGAAACCCTTAGACTTGTTGTATTCACCTCCCGCAAGCACCTCCAACTCTGGGTCGGTCTTCGCCTGATCAATGGCACCCGCCAACTTGTCGAACAGCTGTTCGTGGATCACAGGACCCATAAAAGCATTCAATTCAGCAGTGGCATCGCCTACACTGATGGTTTCCATTGCTGACACCAATTTGTCGCAGAACTCGCTCCATACAGACTCCGCCACGTAACCCCTTGAGGTAGCCGAACATTTTTGACCCTGGTACTCGAACGCCCCTCTTAAGGTGGACAAAGCAGCGTGTTCCACCGCCGCAGAACCATCAATCAAATGAAAGTTCTTTCCTCCCGTTTCCCCCACAATTCTGGGGAAATCTCTGTACTTGTCAGCAGCCACATTCTGAGAAATCTTTACGTATAAGTCCTTGAACACCTGGGTGGATCCGGTAAAGTGTAATGCTGAAAACGCTTCATCTTCCACCACCAAATCGGTGATTTGTTGGGGGTTCCCAGGAATGAAGTTCACCACTCCAGCCGGCAAACCTGCTTCTTCCAAGATATTCAACAATAAATAGTTCGACAATGCCGCCGTGGCCGATGGTTTCCACACCACGGTGTTCCCCATAAGAGCAGGAGCACCGACCAAATTCGCAGCAATGGCAGTGAAGTTGAAGGGAGTGACCGCGTAAACAAACCCTTCCAACGGACGGTACTCGGCACGATTCCATACACCAGGACTCGACTCGATGGGCTGTTGACTGTACAACTCTTCGGCGTATTTGACGTTAAACTTGAAGAAATCAATGAGTTCGGCCACACTATCGATTTCCGCCTGATAGACGTTTTTACCTTGTCCCAACATGGTGGCGGCCAACATATCGGTTCTGTACTTGGTGGATATCAAATCGGCGGCCTTGAGAAAAATGGCGGCTCTGTCGGTCCATGGAGTGTTCATCCATTCGGCTTTAGCAGCCTTTGCACCGGCTATAGCAGCTAAAACATCCAGCTCTTCCGCCTGTGACACATGGGCCAACGTGTGCTTGTGGTTGGCAGGGTTCACAAAGGGTACCGTTTGTGTTTTATAGATCTTTTGGCCATTTACCACCAAGGGAATGTCAATTGGCTGCGATAATTTGGAGATCGAAGCTTGCAACGCAGTCCAGTCTTGGGAGTGAGCCTTGGCAAACTCCTTGACGGGCTCATTGGTGAGCGTCTTGGGGACTTTACTGAAGGCGAGTTGTGAAGCACACCGGATGGACGTGAGTCTAAAACAATTCATTTTTGGATTGGGGAACGGTGGGAAACCCTGGAGATTTATACTGCGATGCTGGGGCCGCAGAGGAAGTGAGCGCGAAAAGAAAACCGCAGGCGTGCGCGAGGGGGCGGCTGAGTGGAAGTCGCAGCCGGCACCACGTCCACCACGATGAGGGTGCTGGATGTCGGTCCGGCCCTGGTGCGGTGCTACCTCCACCACCTCTATGGTTCTTGTATCTGCTCCATCTTCTGTTTCAAATCTTCAATCCAGTCACTTATCTCGGCCTTGTTTCCTGCAAACATTTCTTCACTTTTCTCTAGCTTCCGATAGACGTCCAGAAGGCTCAGGTCCCAGGCAGTGAAATCTCGGTCCATTTGCGTGAAAACACTTTCAAACCGATTGACAAAATCGTGAGTTTCGATTGATTTCATGTGTATTTCGTTCAACGACTTCAATCGCCTAACGATGGCATCACTTTTTTCGATATACTGTTGTATTTCGGGTAAATACTTGATAAGCTCGTCGATTTGTCCGGTTTTAAATTGTTGAATCGAGCCTGACGTCTTGAGTTTGGCAAGTTCTGGTGACTGTAGGAGCTGAACAATGTTTTTTTGCACCTCCTCGATGTGGTATGTGGGGTTGTCGATGATGGCTGTTTTGCGAGCCAATGTGTCAAGAGTATGCCCAATGGGTGTGGAAACTGAGGCCAATTTGGCCTCCAAACCGGCAATTTTGGTCTCGAGTTCCAGGATATCAGCCCCCAGTGGCGCCACCGATCCGGGATTGACACTGAGCGTCTCCAGGGTGCCGATACCGGTGAACAAACCTGCAATCCGGTGTTTGTACCCATTCAAGTCGTCGTCTTCACCCAGATGTTTTTGCAACTTCTCCGCAAGTGCAAGTAATTCGCCCACCGAAGTGTCCTCTGGGGCTGGATCGGCCTGCAATTGGTGGAGCTCACGCTCTATCCGCGCAAGCTTCTGCGCACGGGACTCGTCTTTGTACACTTTGAACCCAGCGGCGTCGAGAGGTACATGGGCGGCATACTCGAAGTTAACTTTACCAGCCACAAACTCCGAATTGAAGCGTCGGAACGATGTCTCGAACTGGGGATTGGCCTCGATGATGTCCTCGTTTGTGTGCGGTGGCAGCACCAGGTCCACGTCGCTGTCGATGTCCGACGTTTCGTACACACTCGGTTCTTGTTCAAGGTCCATCGTTGGTAAACCAAATCAAAAAAGCGCGACATCTTTATTTCTACAAACTAGCCGTAACCTAAATTCTCATAGTCCGAGTCGACAAAACTATGGGCCAAGAACGTGTCCCACAACTGGGCAAGAGCCGGATCGTCTCCTGCCTTGACAGGATTCTTGACGGGTGCCGCGAGACTGCGGCCCAACAGGAGCCAATTTTCCACCAAGAGACTTTCCATATGGTAAGTGCGGTCGTCTGTGCTATATTCATGCTCATAGCCAAAAGGCTTTTTGCCGGCGTTGACGCTAGCTAGGTCCACGTAGTATTGCGTGTACCGCAACGGCGTGAACGTCTGTGGCGTGTAGGCCGGGCCTACGGGGATGTCGGCAGGCTTTTTGGGTGGAAGCGTGTTATCTTTTCTGCTGGAAAAGTAGTCAAACATGGACACCCCGCGGGTGTGGTCCACGTCGTCCACGGTGTCAAGGTATGCCATGTGCCGGTCCACGCCCGCGAAGAACTGGTCCCAGTTGGCGGAGGCCGGCTGGTTATTCAACATCGATGCCAAGCCGGTGGTGTTATACTCCCACACCCGTAAACCAGGGTTAAAGGTCGGGATCACCGACGCCGTCACGTGTGCCACCGTGTAGCGGTCACCGTGGGGCCCACTCTTGCGGCGCTTGGCGATTTTCCCGTAGACGTCGCTGCGGACCGAGTCCATGTACCGCACCTTGTTGAGCGGAGTGCCGCCGGCGATACGCATCGGGGGCTGCTGTACCAAATCCACGTCGTCGTCGTCGTCGTCGCTCTCGTCGCCGTCCCAGTCGGCGACAGAAACCTTGCCCAGCCCCGCCAACGACCGGTACGCGGCCCGCGAGTCCAAGGGAATAAAGTGGTCGATGTTCATATGCCCGTACAAACCACCAATAATCACATCACGATACTCATAGCTCCAGATGATGTACTTGCGCAAGCAGCTGATGTCATAGTTCTTCTCATTGGGTGGCACATGACCCGTCAACCACACCTTCATGCCACGGGCTCGCATCTCCTTCAACACCACTCCCAACCACTCGAATAATTTATATCCTGGGTCCTTACGGCGGTCACAATTGTCCACCAAGGGGTTGGACCGGAAGAGGTAGAGGGTGTTGATCGACACCACCGCCAATTGGCCTGGTACCACCTCCCGGAAAAAATATGCTCCTCGGTTGAAGATATGGAGCTGGTTCTGGGGGATGAAATGCGACCAGATCTTATACATCTCCCGGGTCTGAAGCGTGGGACCGGGGGCAAACAAGTTGTGCGGGTACACGTCATTGTTGCCCAAGGATGGGATGAGGTCCACCACCAAATTACGGGGGTTGGAAGTGTCAGGATTCTTGAAAAGCTCGTACAAACTCCCACTGACGTGCTCGTTCATATCAAAGATGTTCATTTCTGTCCGCGGGAAGTTCCGGTCGTTGTCGTGGCGGATGTTGTCGCCGGTCCACACGATGAAGTCGATTTTGTCCTTAAGGTGGGTGTTTATCCATTCAAATGTTTGGTTCATGAGTTCGAGAGGAGAATCACAGCCCAAAATGGCATCACCGTACCGTCCGGCGTCGCCGTGGCCGCCGTGGCACATCTTGTCGGGGCTGCTTCCGGGCCGGTAGAACTCATCTGGGTGGATGTCGGTGATGTGGAGGAAACGGCCATGAATGACTTGGTTGTTTACGGCGATGGGGTTACGCACCGTGAGGTTGAGGGCCTGGAGGTCGCTGGCGGCGGCGGCCTCGAGGCGGACCTCGGATGCCGTGAGTCCGGGTGCGGTGACCGAGCACGCCCAGAGGTAGAGCGCTAGCACCGGTGCTATGAGCTTGAGCATGGTGGTGAAGGCATGGCTGGGAGCGCTCGCTTTAGAAAGCGCGAGTGCGAGCACGAGCACGGGGGCGTGTGGAGGCGAGAGATTATGGGCGTGCAAATGGTAGGCAGTGATGGTGCGCACCCCCTGCGGTCCCTGTTGTTGTGCTCCAGAGTTAGGATGGTTTCCTGGGTGCAGTCAATGCAGTCCTGGATCCCAAATCAAGTATATTAATAAACCGCGTCCGAGCCTTCGTCGGTTGTCAACTAGAAACATCCCGATCAGGATAAATACTCTGTCGTAACGGGAAAAACTGCCGGTAAAACGTAAACAAACACGCGCGTCGCTCACCTTAATGTGCTTTCCCGTTACAGAACAAAATACCCACCCACGGTACAGCAAAACACCCACCCACGGTAGAACAATTGGTGATTGCGGCCCCTGTGGCCATTATATCCCTTTCAGTTAAATTCCTTCGCGATTTAGGTAATCACCTTCCCGCATCTAGTGGAATCATATGGCTCGTTTGAGGCTAAATTTTGGCGACTTTTTGTTTTTGGTTTGCAGGAGGGTTTATCGTGTTTTATAATTTTTCCCCTTTCCATTACTGATGGAATCACCGTGAATGTTTTTTTTTTTGAGAAGCTGTATATATAACCTTGAGTTTCGCCCTTTAACAACAATTGTATTTTCTTCATGTCGCTCTTTATCCACCAAAAACCTTATGGAAAGCCTAGCTTACCACCATTATCATCATTGTTGAAGGACCAAACTTACAAGTTACCGGCCATTGAGTTTAACCGCATCCCAGGCGTAGCCCCTGGCCCCAGCTCCATGCCCAGTTCTGTACCCAGCTCCGTGCCCAGTTCTGTGCCTAGCTCCGTGCCCAGTGCCACCACCTCCGCCACTGCTACACCCATAATGGCCTCAACTCCTCCTCCTCCCACCGCCGCTCCCAAAAAGAGAAAACACGAAAAGTCCTTCGCATTCATTTCGCACTCGGTCAAAACCTTTCCCAACCAGGAACCATCCATCGACAATGCTCCTCTCGCCAGAAGAAAAAGAAGAAGAACGTCGCCCAACGAACTCAACATTCTCAACCAGCAATTCCTTCTTGGACTGACTCCCAATAAACTTCGCCGAATTGAAATCGCAAACACCGTGTGTATGACTGAAAAAGCGGTGCAGATCTGGTTCCAAAACAAGAGACAGAGCATCCGCAAACAAAACCACCACGAAAAAGAGGTCACTGAGCTTCCTCCCACCCCTGACATGACTCTCTCCACCAGTTCTGTCGACACCTCCATGAACACCATGCTCTCACCTGTCATTAGTTCCACCCCCATCAAACCCCATTTGCACAAGTCCCAGTCCTTCGCCAGTCCGGGCACTCTGATGCTCGAATCGCCCATTCTCCAGCGCTCAGCCTCCGTGGGCTCGGGGTCCCACAAGCCTGAGTCGTCTACTCCCAACCTGTCGTTCATTACCGAGGATTCCTCCAATAACCTGTTTGTAATCCACCAGATTAAGAAGAAACAGCCGGTATTGTTCAACAACAACAACAGCTCAACCATGACGTTCAAGTTGAGTAAGTTCAAGGTGCACAGTGATGCTCCCAAAACTAATAAGATCCAGAACTTGTTGAATAGTGTGGCCGATGAGCCCGTGAGAAAGCCTTTAGGAGAGATTAGTGGCAACAGTCAGAGACAGAACACGAAGGTGGTGACGGACGGTGTGCAGAGCTTGTTGTCATTGAGGGAAGGGAACTGGAAATAAGAAGCTAGATAGTTTCGTGTATAGTAGTGTATATATCTTGCATTGGTAATTGTAGGGCGAGAGATGGACCTACTGGCGCGCGAAGGGCGGTGGGTAGTCGCCCTGAGGTGGAACTCCTATAGGGGCATAATCAGGGGGTCTGAGCTCCTACAAAAAGCATATTTGTACTACTTGGTATTAGTTGGTGCATGTGAAGCTTTTTTCACTTCAAACCGCCAAATTTAACCCTTTTTAAATACTCTGTCAATGACTGATGTTGGGTGTCCTGCAAATAGTTCCTCCCGGGTTTCCTCCCAAATTCCTGCGTTTTCTCAGTCTACTCGCACACTCATACGTAATATAATATATTAAATTACATGGATAATATAATTATGAGTACATGCCCTCTTTAACGACCACGGGAAGTGGTCTTGGTGTGTTGACCTCTGACCTTCAATCCCCAGAAGTGTCTGATACCTCTGTGAGCTCTGATCTTCTTCAATTTTTCCAAATCATCTCTCAACTTGGATTCCAACTGATTGGCCAAGACGTGGTAGTCCTTACCGTCAACTTGGTCCTTTTGTCTGTTCAAGAACCAGGCTGGAATCTTGTAGTTGGTTGGGTTTTGCATGATGGTGACAACTCTTTCCAATTCTTCTTGGGTCAATTCACCAGCTCTCTTGTTCAAATCAACATCGGCCTTCTTGCAAACCAAGTTGGAGTATCTTCTACCGACACCTCTGATCTTGGTCAAGGCGTACATGATCTTGATTCTACCATCAATATTGGTGTTCAATAAACTACAGTTGTTAGTATAGGTTGGCAAGAATAACAATACACGAGCATTTGACGGTTGTAAGTTCCATGCTTCAACTTTCGGGCTCTATCAACACGCTGGGGATGTGTTTGTTGTATGGAGGTATTCTGGTGACTGGAAAAAAATCTTTTCACTGATGCTTCAATCCACAGTTGACACCGAAGCATGGACAAAACAAGGGATATTCCGGCGGTTTAAACGTCTGTCCGTGTATTCTTGTGGTGATGGTAGTGGGAACATACCGTAAAATGTGTTGGAAGGATCCTTCTTCTTGAACAACTAAAGACATCTTGGTTTATTTCTATAGTATTGGTTTAACAGTTTGATAATTTTTCACAGAGTTTTTCTCTGCGACGGCTTGGAGGAGTGGTCGTCCCAAACCCAATTATGCTGCCGCCATTCGCGGCAGGCCAGTCACCGCGTGTATAGGGCTCAACCCCTGGAATCTACTGTAATTTCTTATCACGACTGCAAATGGTCACAAACAGCTCTCATCTAACCGACGTATATTCGTATCTATTTACATGTATCTGCCAATGAGCCACTGCAAGGCGGGCAACTCAATATATATCCGGTTGGCCTTCAAAACATCTCTCACCTCCACCGCATCTTTCACCAACACATCGGCTTTACCAGTGGACAATTCGGTGGCCTTGAGCAAATTGTCCCGTTGGCCGTCGGTGATAAACAACAAGTTCATCTTGTTCAAGTGGTGATCCCGAATGAACTGTTTCATGGTCTCTGGGTACTCGTAATTGAAGTCAAGAATGGATTTTTCATTATCGTTATCAAGAGATTTGTCGGTTTCTCCCACAATATACACTCGGCCAAGCTGGTACTGTTCCGACAACGCCGTGGCCATCGCCTTGTTATATATTTTCACCGGAAGCTTGGTGGACCAGTCGTGTGGGGCAGTGATGGCATGGGCCTTAATCAAGTTGTCTCTGTGAGGAGAGTTGGCATCACCAACTCTGGCTCTACCACTACCCTTTTGGGGCCGCAACTTCTTATGCGAGTAGAGCTGGTCACTTTTGGTCATAGCATTGCCGGATCCGACTCTGGCTCTGTCAGCTTCGAAAACCACTGCACTCCACAATAAATCTCTTCTGGTGGGCAACCCAAGAAACTGGGTGGGGAGAGGCACAAACTGGTGGGGCTCCAACGAGGGGAACGACCGCACGCTACCCAACGTATACTTGGGAGGCTGGCGGATGTTGAACTTGGCTTCGGTGGCCAATCCACGTATTACCTGCTTGAACATAGTTTGTGAGTGAGGGTGGGAACTGGTGAAAAATTTGTGCGACTTTGGTGATGCTAGAGATGTGAGAAGAGATTATGAAATGTTTTCTATGTCCGCTTCGTCCGTGTGGATATTCGGCTGTTCATCCATGTCGTTGTTTCTATATCTGCTTTGTTCGTACGTGGTCTTGGCTGTTTCATATATTTCTACATATTCATATTGAAAGTCTCACGTCCCACTCTTGCGCACCTCTTCTTCATCTTCACTGTCAACAATGAAATGGTCCACATTTCCCGGCACCAAGTTCTCTCCCATTTCTATGTCTTCCAAGTAGTCATCCGTGTCGGTTGGAGTATAGTTCCCCCTGGTATCTCCTCTACGAAACACTCCAAGGGCTTTGTTTAACAATCCAGACGGTGGTACTTCCTCATCATTCTGGAACAGTCTCAATTGGTCTGCCCATTGAACATTCTTCTTTCTGCCCGATGGCCCTGTTCTGATGATGGACGATGGTCTCAGTTTATATGTTGAATACAACATATAAACCCCCCATATAATGATCACCAACACCACCAACTGGATGATTCTGGTGATACGACTCAGACCCGAGGCCTTATCTTCAGCAGGGACAGAAGAGCTTGAAGGTTCAGCAGGACTGGAAGCTGCAGCACCGGACGATGCAAATTGGGTGAACGAGCCAGTCACTTGGGTGTTGGTCGAAGTAGGGGCTGCAGTTGTACTCGAAGGCTGGGGAACCTCTTGATGTAACTTACGGACTCCAAGCGGATACGTGACAATGGCCTTCTTCTCGGTGTCTCCGGGTATGTCAACGGTTTCTATGTCAAAGTTCTTGAGTAAAACGTCGATCAAACTTCTTGAAAGCTCGGGTTTATCGAATGGAACCATGTGTGAGGCATCAAAGATGTTGATAAACGTCAAGTTTCTTTCGGTTTTAATATACCCCAGAGTCTGGCCATCGTAGACCCAGTCATATGCGTAATCTTCTTGGAAGCCTGTGGCCCCATTCCACTCCATCTGCTTGATGAAGTTCTCGGTCCCGATGTAATTGCAAATAATGTCTCTGTTCCCGTTGAACAATACCACGGGAATTTGCTCCAAAATTCCTGGGAGCAACTTCACGGCAGGATAAGACTTCTTGGCCGTAAACCGGCTGCCAACCCTGCCCGAACATTCGTGCCATTTCTTCTTCAAAATCAAGTTTAACGATGCTTGGTTGTCGAGTGAGTTCAAAAATGGGTTCACGTTCACTAAATCTGGCGGCCAGTTCATTCCACACGAAGGGTATGAATCCTTCAACGTGTAGTCGTACATGTTGAAGCATTGCTGGTTGGCCGCGGCCGAGTTGTCTTTGGTCTCATAAAGAAGAGTTGTCAAAATGCCCTCACAGATATCGTCAACAATAGCAAAGTCACTTAAGCTGTCCCCATTCATGTTATTGGCGGCATTCTGACATTTTTCGTGCTGCTTGAGGATCTTGGTCCATGCCGGGTGGTTGGTGTTTATTATACCCGCCGCCACCGCGTATGGCAAGTAAGATAAACTCTGTACGTCAGGCGCAATCCACCCGTTACCAATCAACAACCCTTTCAAATTGTAGGGATTTTGGCCTTCCTTCAAGTTCTTGTTCCGTTTCAAAATTCCATCGGCAATGTAGGGAATATATTGGCCTGCGTAGCTCTCACCAGCAAAGTAGATCTCGTTGTCAGCATCTTCAGGAAACATCTCAAAGTACACTTCCATAAACCGTAAAAATTGCCACAGCACCTGGTCCAAGTCGTGGTCAAATTCCTTGGAGTAGCTGAACCCGGTTCCGGCAGGTTGGTCCACAAATACCACGTCACCGGCCTGGTGCCACAGACCGGGGTTCTTGGTGACTTTCAAATTGGAATCAATTCGGAACGGACCCACCTCCATTAACGCCCCGTCCATCGACGAGCAGCCAGGCCCGCCATTAAGCCAGAAGATGGTTCTCTTCTTATACTCCGGTTCGATGTTGTTGTCGGAGTACTTCCAAAAAAACAAATGAGTATCGTTTTCCTTGTACAATTCTAGTTGTCCTGCGAACATCAAAGGAATCTCCAGATCCTTAAAGTTTTCCTGAAGTCCTGGGAGTTTGGACACCAAGAACTGGGATCTATCGGAGTCTCTCTTGAAGTGGAGACTCTCCACAAACACCGCTTGGACAAACATCGCTAGCAATATGTGAATGAAAAGCATCTTTACATGGGCATAATCAGGGTTTCACTATTAAAAAGTGCGCGACAATCTAAGCCCTAGAATTGCAGGACATTTCTCCTCTTACGTTGATTGCGAAATTCATATAAAATCAAACTAACTAACAAATGAAACATGCTCTAAACAGCCTACGCGTTGGATGGCTCCATGTTCCAGATATTCTCTGCATACTCATCAATGCACCGGTCTGACGAGAAGAACCCCATGTTGGCTACACTAATCACCGACTTCTTCACCCAGTTGTGTAAATGGTCTTTATCATTAGCATCTCCACCATGGTGGCCAAACACCTTCTCTAACCGCTTGTGGCAGTCCAAGAACAAGTCAAAGTCGTCACTGATCAAGTAGTGGTCGCCATGATCCTTGATACTCTCAACCAACGCCTTGTACTCGTTGTAGTCACCAAAAATACCCGATTCAATGGCTGCAAAAACCTCACCCAAAGCGTCAGACACTTGTACACCATTGTAGGTATGCTTATGTCTTAACTCATCCACGGACTCGGCAACGTTTCCAAACAAAAAGATGTTTTCCTCGCCTATTTCACGGGTGATTTCAACGTTGGCTCCATCAACGGTTCCAATGATTAAACCCCCGTTCATGGCGAACTTCATGTTGGAAGTACCTGACGCCTCGGTTCCAGCAGTGGAAATGTGGTTCAGCAAGTCGGATCCGGGACAGATGATTTCGGCCTTTGACACGTTGTAATCGGGAATAAACACCACCTTCAATAAGTTTCCAATTTCCGGGTCGTTGTTGACGACTTCTCCCACGGCGTTAACCAAGTGGATGATGGTTTTGGCCATATAATATCCAGGAGCCGCTTTTCCACCAAAAATGGAGCACTTGGATATAAAGTGCTTCAACTTGATGTCATCGATAGAAACTCCCTGCGACAATAACTTCTTGATGTTGATGTACCGGTAGATGATGGCGAAAATATTCAACTGCTGTCTCTTGTACTCATGGATTCTCTTCACCTGGACATCAAACATCACCGAAGGATCCACCTCCACCCCGGTAGTATCTTTGATCAACTTGGCCAACCGTACCTTATTATTATACTTGATGCCATCCCATTTGGTCAAAAACTCATCGTCCTCAACAAACCGCTCCAACTTCTTCAAGTCGGTCAAGCTGGTCAAATAGTTGTATTGAGGGTCATCCAAGGCCTCACTGATGAACTTGGCCAACTCCGGGTTGGCCTGTCTCAACCATCTTCTGGGAGTGATCCCGTTGGTTACGTTGGTGAAACGGTCGGTACCAAAGATCGTGACAAAGTCCTTGAAAATGGTGGTTTTGATCAACTCCGAGTGTAACTCGGCCACCCCGTTGGTCTTGTGGGATCCCACGATGGCCAAGTGCGCCATACGCACCGACTTGGGGAAATGCTCCTCGATGATCGAAACCCTCGTTAACAACTCTCTGTCGTTAGGGAACTCAGACTCAACAGCCTTCAAGAAAAAGTAGTTGATCTCGTAGATGATCTCCAAGTGCCGAGGCAACAACCGTCCCACTACCTCGACGGGCCAGTGTTCTAAGGCCTCGGCCATCACCGTATGGTTGGTATAAGCAAACACCTGGGTGACGATACCCCAGGCTTCGTCCCATTCAAGGCTCTCCAAGTCCACCAAGATCCGCTGTAACTCGACAATGGCCAACGTAGGGTGGGTGTCATTCAACTGAATAGCAATCTTGTCGGGGAGCTTGGTCCAATTGTTGAGATGAGTTTTCTTGAACCGACGAATGATGTCGTGCAACGAGGCCGACACCCAGAAATACTGTTGTTTCAACCGCAATTCCTTGCCCTTATCGAAGTTGTCGTTGGGGTACAAAACTGAGGTGATGCTCTCGGCTGCCTGTTGGGCCGAAACTGACTGTTCGTAGTCTCCAGCATTGAACTTTGTGAAGTCAAACTCCTCGGTGGGTTTGGCTTGCCACAAACGCAAGTTGTTGGTGTTGTCGGTGTTGTATCCGGGAATTGGATAGTCCACTGCCACTGCCAACACCCGCTGTCCGCCATTCCACACCTTCTTGGGTTTACCGGAGTTTGTGTCGTAGGTTTCATACACATACCCATAGAAATCCACCGGGATCTGGATCTCGTGCCTCAATACCTCCCACGGGTTCGAGTACTTCAACCAGTAATCGGGGGCCTCGACCTGGTATCCGTCCACAATCAATTGCTTGAAGATCCCGTACTGGTAATTCAAGCCATAACCCCAGCCCGAGTAGTTTTTGGAGCTGAGCGAGTCGACGAAGCACGCCGCCAACCGGCCCAACCCCCCGTTACCCAACGCGGCATCCGGCTCCTGCTGCAACACGTCTTCCAAATTGAAGCCCAATTCCTTCAAGGAATCCGAAGCATTGTCTCTTGCAGCCAAGTTGATCAAGGCATTGTCCATGGCCTTACCCATCAAAAACTCCAACGAGAGATAGTACACCCGCTTGCTGTCATGCACCGTCTGTTTCTGCTGGGTGTTGGCCCAATCTAAAATCAATTCGTCTCTAATGGCAATAGAACTGGCCTGGTACGCGGCCAACTCGTCACAATTGAACATGTTTCTGGCCAAGGTGGTTTCCACATGGTTGACAAACGACTGTTCGAACGTACCCTTGTCGTTCTTGTTTGTGGCAGTTCTCTCCTTGTATGACACAGACGGATTAAAAGGTTTCAATTTGCTATTCTTGAGCCATACGAGCTTGGACCCTTCGGGGATGGAAGAGTCCAACGCAATGATTTGATTGGGGGTGAACCCGGTGTTGGTTCTCTTGAGCCGAGGCAGCGGCAGCGGCAATTCCGTGGGTGTGACGAAGTCTGACATGGCAAACACAATGGATATAATTTGAAAACTTTTGGCCAAGGGGTTTTAGGGGTGCAAATAATATTGGGGATGTGCGAATAATCGTCTGATGTAGAGCGCAAAGATAGAGGGAAAGAGAAAATTCGGTGAGGGGCCGGACCGGTGGCGGGGCCGCCGGGAGTGGTGCTGGGGACGGGGGTATCAAGTCCGGTGCCATGGGGCGAAGTCCGGGACAGTCAGTCGAAGTCTGGCACCGGCCAACTGTTTTTCGGCAGCGGTTGCAAAACGTGCCGCAACGGTAAGCGAAGACAGATGGAGGACAAAGGGGGGACAAAGGGAGAGATGGAGGAGCGAAAGAAAGACCGGAAGAAGAAGCTAAGGGAAGAAGAAGCGAAAAAAACTACACGAGCGACACGAGTGTTAGCGACAAAACCGTGTTCATCATGTTAGCTCTTGGGTACCGTCACGTGCGACACTTTTTTCTCCCTCTTCACTTCACCACCCTTCCTTAATTGAGGTTGCGAAAATGTTGAGCAATAACATTGTCTGGGGAATGTTGAGAACAGGGTTTTTACATACCACCTCTACACTCGGACCACACGGTACGCGGTACGGTCGGCCCATGTCTCTGTATATAAACCCAATTAGGTTAAACTTATTTTTAACTCAAACTCAAACATACTATTACTAATTGAACTTAATCGTACTATTACTAATTGGGCACCTCTGGTATAAATAAGGTAATGTATCGGCCATGGCATCTGTCCAAACCAATGACTCCATTGAGATCAGTCGTGTGCTCAAACCATATCTCTACTAGTCTCCCCTCGCAAGTTAACTTTTCATCTCCCATTTGTCTCCACGTGAAACTCGCATTCTACACTTCTCAACTCCATGGATCCCAGTACTAAAATCATTAGCCACATGAATGGCCAACACCAATTGGCCTCAGTAGACTACCTTGTTGTCTACGGCCATGTCGACTTATCCCAATTAGCCGAAAATTCCGCCAAAATCACGGCTGTGGATGACAAATCTTTTGATATCTCTTACGACTTGAAATCATCCCCCAACCACAAAATTACCCTTAAATGGGACGAAATCGAAGACGGTGAAGGTGTCGTTGTTTCTTCCATGAAAGATATCAAGGCCAAGTTGGTGGCCATGGCCAAGTACGCTGCAAACAAACAGGGCTTTTCTCATGTGCAAATTACTGACTATCCTCCACTTTCAAAGGAAACGGCCCTTTTCGCTTCACTCTCGGTGATTTTCCTTATTGGATCGTACGACCTCAACTGGTTGAAGCGGTTGTTGAAACAAAATCCAATTTTCTCGACCTTGACCCCGTTCCTTCCTGGGTTTTTGTGGAAAGTTTTGGACTTTAGTGGTAGGAACATTCGTACTATTTCTGCCGGAATGTATATCATTCATGTGATAGAGATTTTGCTTACTACCGGGCCAGCGTTAAGAAAGTATAGATTTCCACCGGCACAGAGGGTAGCTTGGTTGTTTGTTCACTTTCTCGAAGGTTTTTATTCGATTATAAAGATGAACAAGTTGATTGAGTCCAAGCTGCATTGAGACGGTTACAGGTCGTGGGCTTATTTACAAGTCCTAGGCTTACTTACAAGTCCTAGGCTTACTTACAAGTCCTAGGCTTACTTACAAGTCCTAGGCTTACTTACAAGTCCTAGGCTTGGACAGGTCGTGTGCTTGTTTACAGATAAGTGGGCCAGACTGTTACCTATTAGCTAGTTCCTATCTACGGAATTTATGTTTTAGCTAGATTTTGAATTTTATATGATTGTGTTTTTCTGACTGTGTTTACTGTGGATTTCCATGCTTGTGTTTTTGCAGTCTACTATGTTCACTGTCTTTGTGTTGCTGTGTCTCACAATGGTCGCTTCTTCCTCCATTTTCACTCAGTTCCTTTTCTTCGCATTCTCATAAATCCGATCCCATGGATCCCGCCGGAATCATCAAACACATGAATGGCCACCGTCAGATTGCTCTCGTGGATTACTTGGCCGTGTACTCTGACGTCAGCCTCCGCCAATTGAACCCAAAATCTGTTCACATATCGGCTGTTGACGAAAAGTCCATGGTCCTCAGCTACGATTTGACATCTTCTGCTAACCAAAAACACACATTTAACTGGCACGACATGGACGAAAACGACCACATTTCTGTTGCTTCTATGAGCGATATAAACGCCAAATTGACTGCTATGGCCAAATACGCTGCTGCAAAGCAGGGGGTTTCGCATATTCAAGTAACAGCATATCCTAAGTGGGACTGGATTGCAACTGCTTCAGTAGCCATCTGGATGATTTGTTCTTTAGGATGCTACTCTCCAGACCTCATAAAAATCAAAAACGGCCCAATTGCTGGGTTTTGTAAACTTATTCTACCGGAATTGGTACTCCAACTGATGGGATTTTGTGCCAACCACTGTGGAAGCATTCTTGTGGGCACTTTGGTGCTTCATAGCATAGAGACACTCCTTCTTGTGGTTCCGAGAGTGCGCAAGTATAGAGTTCCATTGCCTGAACGGGTGTTATGGTACTTTTTTGGTCTTCTAGATGGAAACTTTACTGTTCAGAGGTTCGATAAGCTAGTCGATTCTGTTGCTTTAAGCACAGGTGTATTTGATATATGATGTATATATGATAAACGATGTAAGAGGTATTCAGAATATCGTTAGAAATTTGCAATCCTAAATTTGGTTAAACACCTATTATGGGGAGCTTTTACCGTTTCGTTGATAAAAATGTTATTTTGACGCTACTAGTTGTTATGGCTAGTAATTCACGATTCAAAACCTTTCAAAGAGTTGATAACAGACTGTTATGAAATCTGGTCACGTGCTTATTTTTGCTCCTCACGTGAACTCCACCAATATTTTCTTCGTAAATTGGCAACTTGTCCGAGTGGTTAAGGAGAAAGATTAGAAATCTTTTGGGCTTTGCCCGCGCAGGTTCGAATCCTGCAGTTGTCGTCATTTACTTTTTTTTTGACTCTTTGACCTAGGTGAAGCGATTGTCATATTACCATCGTCTTCTTCACAGCGTCAACTAGCCCTGGTGCCTTTAACCTCACCTAATCCCAATATTCAATCTTTTCTCTCTTCGCGCTCGCCAAACTCAATCGCAGCTATTCGCATTTTTCAATTCTATACGACCGATCCACAAATGTCAACACCAAACCACAAAGTGGCCCTTATAACCGGGGGATCGTCCAACCTCGGCATTTCGTTGGCCAAAAGACTCATAGACAACCTTTCCCGCCACCAGAAGTTGTCCATAATCATCACTTCTCGTACCTTACCCAAGGCCATAGAAACCATAGACAACATCAATGCATTTGCAAAACAACACCAGAAATCCACCCAATTGGAATTCGACTACATCCTCGTCGACTTTGGAGACATGGTATCGGTGTTGTCGGCATACTATGACTTGAACAAGAAGTACCCGCATATTGACTATGCTTTCATGAACTCAGTTCAAACCTGCTATGCGGGTATCGACTGGGTATATGCAATTAAAGACGTATTAAAGAGCCCCGTCAACGCCGTCACCGAGGCCCACATGAAGATTCAGAAGAAGGGATTGAAGTCCCATGACGGCATGGGGTTAATGTTCCAAGGAAATGTGTTTGGACCTTACTATTTGCTTCATAAGATCAAACCGCTCATGACAGGAGGAAAGATTGTTTGGGTCAGTTCCAGCAGCTCTGGTGCCCAGTACATATCTTTCAATGACTTGCAAATGCTTGAAAACCCTTATCCATACGAAGGGTCGAAGAGATTAATTGATTTAGTCCATTCGGGAACCTATAAATCTTTAAAGTCCAAAGACAATATTAGTCTGTACGTGGTGAACCCAGGAATCTTCACCAGTTTTGGGTTCTTCCAGTACTTGAACTTTGTCACATTCTACGGGATGCTTGGGTTGTTCTATTTGGCGAGGTTTTTAGGCTCCACCATCCACAACATCTCAGGATATACGGCTGCGAATTCGTTAATAAGTTGTGCATTGAAAGACGATGAAAGGCAGGACAAGAAGGTGGTTTCTTCAACGAATATCAGCGGCAAGGAGTACATTGACTACGTGGAAATTGATGGTACCGGGGCAGAGGACGTGGTGGCATATCTCGAAACTCTCTGTAAAGAGTGGGACGAAAAGTTTAAGAACCAGATAGTTGATACGAGAGTGCCTTAATTATCCAAGCTCCTAGTTATTTGGCGTCATTATTCATGCTGATATGTATCTATAATTATGTAGTTTAATGAGTCCTTAACGTTTTTTCTATATCCGGTAGTTCAAACACTTACATCCACATGCACTTGGACACTCCTGTTCTTCGTTTTCCGACCACCACTCCAAAGCACAACTAGAGTGCAAAACATGTTCACAGTTGGTGCACACTACAAGCCTCTTACTTACCAAAAGGTTGCATAAGTTGCAATACTTCAATTGGTTGGCTTTATTCAAATTCCATGGATTTTCCTTTGATGAGTCGATTGTCGAGTTCAGATGCACATATGGAACACCCGTCAAGGTTTTGGCTTTCTCTCGGAATCCAAACGAACACCGGTGCTCTTCAAACTTGGAATTAGCCTTTTCTGGATTCGGATAGTTGAATTTCAAAATCTTGATTCTATTCGCAGGTAAGCCCCAACAGTATAACATCTCAGCGTATTGTTCCCTATACATCTTGATCTTTTTGTCTTCCTGCAAACTCAACAAGGATTTGGTGTAGAGGTCATCGAAGAGGTCAAGACTGTCGACGTTTTGGAACTCGATGTTCACCACTGGTGGAGGCCTCGCTGAACCCTTTCTGCTGATTTTTCTGTTGTTGACGTTCAGGGCAATTCCTTTAGGTTTTCTGTATTCGGTACCTCTTCTGGATCGCATTTCAATTTCAACAGTTGGACTCATGGTGAAGCTTTTGCGCAAAAAGCTGTCGGTGGGAGCAATGGCATTGGAAAGGCTCAGATTGTGTCTTGAACCTTGATGTTCGGGTGATTCATCTTTGATAAACTCGTCAGAGCCAATTGACCGGGCATATCTTGCTGGAGTCTCTCTTCTGATCACCAGCACTGACGAGTTCTTGTGTCGAGGAATATCGTAGAAATTCTCGATCTTTGGATCAGACAATTCTGTACTTAATGATTCGTGGAAAGAGAAGTTTCTCTCCAACTTATTGTTGAATGATTCGTTGAACTTCCTTATTTGAGCCATTGACGGAGGCTGGGGCTTGATTTCATATGGAGTATGAATGGGGATGTTGAAGATGTCCTTGTTAGAAGAGACGTTCTTTGTGTTCTCATAAAGAATGCACGAGATCATTACAATCATTTGCAAGTTACCTCTGCGTTCAAAATAGTTCAACATCTCTTTCACCAACCAAGAGTACCCATACGGATGGCTTCCCCAGTAGAACCTATAGGTCTGATCACCAAAAAACTTCTTGGTGATTTCGTTTATTTTGAGGAGATGGTTCATTGCCTCGACATTCTTTGCAATTGTCGAGTTTGAGTTCGACTTCTGAATCACAGCTGACGAGTGGTACACTGGGTGAATATCGTTGATCTCGATATCTTTTATAAGAATCATCTCGAGGAGTCTCCAAGTATCACAGATCTCTGTCAACCCGTACTTCAATGCTACCTGGCTGTTATACTTAGCGAGCTTTTCAGGGGAATCTCCCAATACTCTATACTCTTGGGCCAACTCCTTCTTATCTGGGATGAGGTGACTGAAGTCAAACACGCCGACTATATTCTTAGCTTTTTTGTTGGATTTGTTCTTCCTCTTCTTGGACGACTGGAAATCCAGATCACCTCCAGGCAAAGAGGATTTGTAGTTGGATGCCGTACCACCTTGGCTATTCTTATTGGGCCTATTCATGTTTCTAGTTCTCGAAACGTACCGATTTCCCAATCCCACCGAAGTCTTAAACAACCCAGGAACTCTGAATCTCGAAGCCAAATCATCTTCGTCGATGTCATCCCATTCATCTACGAAACTGTCGCTTGACGTCGTTGAACTGTCGCTTTCCTCACTGAACTCGCTTTCATTGTCCGTATCAGTTCCTGCTTTGTCTGTCTTATCCAAAACGTCTTCGTCGTCACCGTCACCATTGGCAGTGTTCACGCTGAATCCAGCATCAGTAAACCTAAATATACTGAACTTCTGAAGGGCTTTGCTATCCTCTTCCTCAGTATCCTTAGGAATGAAAAAGCATACCAATTTTCCATTACGGGCCCAGTAAGCCCCACATCCCTTGGGAACAGGTGTAGAGTCGTAGAACTTATTGGCATTGCCAACTTCGTCGTTGACACTAGCTTCAAGAGCCAAAGTAGCAGGGTCTTCACCACTATCTTTACCTAACGATCCGGTACTATTGACCATTTCTTCGTCATTCAATGCCGGCATGAAATCGGAGAGCTGGTCATCAAAATCATCGTCATCATCGGTAGGAATCGTATCACTGGGCTGTTGGTCGATAAGATCATCGGCCCAGTCTTCGTTTCCAACCTCCTGGATGATCTCGGTTTCTTCATTCAAGGGAGTGTTCGCAATCAACGAGTCGTCCAATGCGATCTTGTCTCCCATTAAGTACCTCAACAATGGTTCCAAACAGAACCTCTGGTGCCTGTTGCTGAAGAAAAGTGCAATATCTGTCAAGTTCCTCACCATCTCCTGTTTGATGTCTGAAGTCAAGTCGTAGGTCTCTTCGATGTTGAAAGAAATAAAGTTGTTCTTCTGGAACTTCTTGGTCATATTAGAGCTCAATGGCACATCATCCAAATAAGGATAACTTCGAGGGAAAGTGATTTCGAGTCTGATAAACACCAACTTCTGTTCATTTTCCTGGTCTGGAAATTGTTCTGTCTCCTCTTCCTTCTGTAGAGTGTCTTTGGGGTCCGTGGGATCGGGGTTTTCTGTACTAGAACTGGGGTTCTCCAAATTCGGTGCTTCGGACGAAGTATTTTCGTTGATGGCTTTGGTATCATCCTTTTCTTCTTGGACATCGGTCACCGTAGAAGAAGACTCGACGGCCGGTAATGGGCCCCGCAAACTCAAAATTAACTCTCCCGTAGACACTGAGATCTTTTCGAATCTGACCTTGGGAAACATATGGGCCACAAATGTCACTTCTTCCCCCAAATTCAACGGGGTGGGATCATCATTTTCCATTTTATCGGCCTGTTCGTTGTTCCGACCCATTCTTACCCCTGATATCCATGCCAAGTGGTTCAATTGAGACGGTACAGTAGGTAAGTGTTTGTGCTTTTTGGCAATTTGGAACATCGTCATGGACGAAAGCAAGTCTCCTTTGTTCTTATACAATATATTGGTCAACGTCAACGGTGGCTCCGTGCAGTAGGTATTGTAGTTATGCAGATCCGACGTCACTAGCGCCAGCAGGGAGCTTGTTCGAGAATTGGAATCGGGTTCTGGGGATGCTATTAAAGGAAGCTGTTTAAATGCTTTTTGCACAAGGGGGTTGTAGTTGACCTTTCTGTATAGTTCCTCATCATGAGGCCACAACTTCAAGTCGTAGTTCAGCGATGACCATGTCACCAATTGGTAGTCTTTCCAGGTTCTCTTGGTGTCGAACCCTTCGTAGTGCTCGTGACGGGTTCTCCACAAAAAGTCTTTCATGGGCCCACTGTTACCCTTGAACGAGTAGATGGGATCTAACTCAAGTAGTTGCGTCTCCTTTGTGTTTGTATACCTTTCCATGGCAGCGTCAAAATTTATTATGTGAATCGAGTCCTGTCCGTTTCGCAACGGCATTACTCCACACGATTTGTCTGAACCAAACGGTAAGGTTCTGGCTCTGGCGACGGGGAAGTCGGTCTGCACGATGATAGACGGGCTAAAGCCACCACTGGCTCCCTCAATGGCGTCCAGCGTCCCTTGAAAGTTCGAAAGATCCCAGAACTTGATCAGCTGGTCGTTCGAACAGGTGATTATATTGCTCACCCCGTCGGTAAAGTTGATCCCATTGATTTTCCCGCCATGAGCGTCCTCGATCCTTAACACCGGGAACGCCCCCTTCCGGGTATCCCATATATAGAACGAATGGTCATGGCTCGATGCGATTTCATAGGGGTTTTTGTGATTCCACTTGACTTGGGTAGCACCAGCCCTCCACTCAGCCCACTGTTGGACGGCCTTCCGCGGCGTACGCATGTCCCAGCTGAGAATAAACGTGTCAATTGCACAGGTGGCAAAGATCTCGGGGTCTGAAGGGTGGAAATTAATGTCTGTAATGGCTCTGGTATGTTCGTGGAGCACATTGACAATAGCACTGTCAGACGGACGTGAAAGGTCCCATAGCAACGCCTTCTGGTTGGAGGTGGAGATGCACCACGACGGTTTAGCACCGGCATGAGGCGACCATTGGACGTCGGCGACTTCCCATGAAGTTATATGATGGAGCCACCGAGGAGTGGTAAACGGCTCATCGAGATCGATGATAAAAAGCCCTCTACGGCCGGCCAAGACGGCGTCTCTGCCGTTGGGGGATAGTGACATGGCGCCAATGGCCCCGTCCACACGAAGCAGGAGCGAGCTACCAAAGGTGACCGAGTCAAATGGGTTCTTCAGCATTTAGACACTGGTTAACTGTGTGCGACTAAACAAAAAGTGCGACTTCACCGGTGCGACTGGTGCAACTTTTCACAAACAACCTACACCAATACATCACCATGACCACCACGCGTAGGAACAAACAGCCCCAGAAGGATATGGAGGTCGACTCCACTGCCAACGCCGAGGTGGACATGGACGTGGATGCCGAAGAGGTGGATGATGAGTTCAACGATGAAGACAACTCCAACTTCAACCCCGAACAACAGGCCCCATCCACAAAACCAACACCCAATCCCGCCGTCAACTTCGGTCTCGATATCCCCGAGCTCGCCCGAAAGGACAAAACCCTCCAAGAAGTGCTCGAGCTCTTGGACGGAGATTATGCCCCCATTATTCCAGATGCGGTGATTGACTACTACTTGGCCAAAAATGGGTTTGAGTCGTCGGACGTCAAGATCAAGCGCTTGCTCGCGCTAGCCACACAGAAGTTTGTGTCGGACGTGGCCCAGGATGCTTATGAATACTCTCGGATCAGAAATCTGTCCACGGTTTACAACTCGGCCAATCCACAAGCCAGAGCAAAACAGCTTTTACAAGGCCAGCAGTATGCCAATCTGCAACAGAACCCCGGTGCCAGTGCTGATGGGGATGGACCTCTGCAGCCGTCTACCAGTAGTGCTGGTAATCTGCAGGGAAAAGCGGTGTTGACGATGGAAGACTTGAGCAGCGCATTGACGGAGTACGGCTTGAATACGTCGAGACCCGATTTTTATCGCTAGTTTTTAGCTAATGTACATTATGATGAGTGCTGGGGTTTATGTTGTGGAGGTGCTGAGATTTTATGGTGTAGTGGGCGGTGGTGATGATTAGACAAAAAATAAAAATAACGACAACTGCAGGATTCGAACCTGCGCGGGCAAAGCCCAAAAGATTTCTAATCTTTCTCCTTAACCACTCGGACAAGTTGCCAATTTACAGGAAAAAAACGAGTGGTTTGCTTAGCACTTGCATTTGAACTGGAATGGATTGGTTTGAACTTTGGTAGGTTTGGTTGTTGGTGGATGGTGTATGGTGGATTGTGTATGGTGGATGGTGGATGGTGGATGGTGGATGGTGGATGGTGTATGGTGGATGGTGTATGGTGGATGGTGGCTAGTCTCTTCATCGGACATCTTTGGTATCCTGTTCGCATCTAAAAGTCATTGCCCTCATTTGCACCCAAAGATCACAAATGATCCCACAATCTTTACGATCGTCCCAGACACCCACAATATCATCAGTGTGTGCTCCCGCCCGTGTCTGTAGCACTCGGCTCCACAAATACATTTCAGTATTTCAGCACATTTCCCAACGTCGGAGCTGTTCCGCGCTATCTTCGCACCTCACATTTGACATATGCATCTGACAATTAACATTTAACATTTAACATTCAGTCTCCTCAATGATACAACCACATACACAAACAGGCTCACCGCCACCACCCGACCCGCCCGATGACAATGGCACCAGTATCAACCCGTCCCCACGGCGCCCCTCCCACAGCTTGTCGTCGCTCGAGTCAATCAACTCCAATGCCTCCAGCTCGCATCCCCCTCCACAAACAATAGACCAAAAGGTACAAAAAACCACAAACTCCATAGCTGGTCCAGCCGATGAGAAACCACCTCTCAACCATGCGCCCTCCAACACCTCGGCCAAGAGTAACCGGGTGCCGCTAGGCCAAAGAAGAGGACTTCTAGCTCAAATAACCCTCATCCCCGAGTACGAAGACCCCAGAGACTACGGACCTCGCCAGAAGATGGTGATTGTGTTGATCGTGGCACTCGCCGCCATCTGTGGACCCATGGGAACGTCTATCTTGTTGCCGGCCATTGAGGATGTGGGTAAAGACTTGCACACCTCCACGTCGGTGGTGAACGTATCGGTGGGAATTTACCTTCTTGCGATGGGGATCTTCCCCCTCTGGTGGTCAGCCTTCAGCGAGAAACACGGCCGCCGGAACGTGTATTTGGTGTCATTTACCATGTTTGTGGGCTTCTGTGTGGGATGCTCACTTGCACCCAGTATTCAGACATTAATTGTATTTCGGGTGCTCTGCGGTGGGTGCAGTGCATCGGTGCAGTCAGTGGGGGCAGGCACCATCGGCGACTTGTACGTGCCTAGTGAGCGTGGCCGGGCCATGGGGTGGTACTATTTGGGTCCATTGATGGGGCCTTTCCTCTCGCCGATTTTGGGTGGGGCCGTGGCCCAGGCCTGGGGCTGGCGTGCCACCCAGTGGGTGTTGGTGATCGTGTCGGGCTTGTCACTCATGGGAATCTTGTTCCTTTTGCCGGAAACCCTACGAAAACAGGACGATATGGCCAATATCCGCAAGCTTTTGGCCAGTGCGATGCAAGAACATTCTGACAGTGAGAAGAGCCTGGGCGGCGGAGACAACGAGGAAATGATGCTAGACTTGGTGCAGAGCGTGGTGCGGTCGGTGCGACTGGAGCACGAGCAACAGGACGACCAGGACGAATTTTTGGGAGAGCCGGCCGGCGATTCGATCATGCCCTCGCTCTCGCGACTCACCACCAACCGGTCGGCGTACTCGGTGCGAATCAACATGGAGACACTCCAGCACGAACTCTCTAAATCCATGTCCCGCAAATCCGTCCACACCACGAAATGGCAAAGTTTCAAGCACGAAGCTTATGAGTATATGATCCGCCCAATGCACTCACTTGTGCTCTTGGGGTATCCACCGGTGTTGTTGGTGATCTGCTATTCCTCCATCAGCTTCTCTTTGGTGTACTTTTTCAACCTCACCATTTCCTACGCGTACTCCAAACTGCCCTACAACTTTTCCCTGGTCATTGTTGGACTTCTTTACATTCCCAACTCGGTCACGTACGTGATAGCATCGATCTTGGGAGGCCGTTGGAATGATAGGCTTCTTCGCCAGTACGCGGCTGCCCATAATGGAGAAATCCGCCCTGAGGCCAGAATCTCCTGGAACTTGGTTACAGCCGTACTTTTGTTCCCACCAGCATGCCTAATTTTTGGCTGGACGTTGGATAAGGGGCTTATTTGGGTGGTGCTGTTGATTGGAACCGCCATTTTTGGGTTTGCCGCCATGTTGGTGATTGGGGCTACCGTGACCTGTTTGGTCGATACGTTGCCAGGCAAGGGGGCTACGGGTGTGGCACTCAACAACTTGATACGGCAGATTCTCGCTGCTGTGGCCTCTTTTATAGTGGAGCCATTGCTCCGGGCCCTTGGACCTGGGGTGCTCTACTCGATCCTCACGGGGATTATCATCGTGGCATCAGGAGTGCTTGTGTATTTGAAGCGTAACGGTGACCGATTTCGGGAGAGGTATGACCTTAGTACGTTCTACGATAAGCTCTAGGGACGATGTCGGTGGACTATTTATTCTGACTGATTACTCTTTATATTCATGTCACAAACGAATAATAATTTTATTCATATATATTAAGTAACAAACCATAATGCTATTCAAGACCCAACAAACTGCTGCTGATGGTGCAACCCTGGCCTTTGGGTTATCTCTCATATTCATACGAGTTTTGGCTAGACCTGATCGGCGGTGTTTCAGAATCTGCACCTCACCAAAATATTTTGCAACAATGCGTGCTTGCACCAACTGTGGGACTTTTCCTATCTCCAACTATAAACATGCCAAACCCTGCCACCACAGGCCCAAATCACTCCAAAATGACCAAGAAGCAACGTACCATCACCTGTAATATTTCATCACAGTTTCGGTTGCTGAAGGTCATTGGAGAGGGTGCCTACGGCACTGTTTGCTCGGGAATCCATGTCGCGTCGGGCAGAAAGGTTGCAATCAAGAAAATCAACGCTTTCACTAACCCATTGATGTGTTTGCGGACCCTCCGGGAGGTGATGCTCTTGAAGAAGTTCTGTGGGCATGAGAACATAGTGAGTTTGTACCATGTCGAGGTTCCGCCCAGTATCGACCAGTTCAACGAGGTGTACTTGGTACAAGAGTTTATGCCCACAGACTTACACAGAGTGATTTCTGGCCGTGTTTTGACCGACGACCACATCCAGTACTTCACGTACCAGATCTTGCGAGGACTTAAGGCCATGCATCTGGCCGGTGTGATCCACCGGGATTTGAAGCCGTCTAATGTGTTGATAGACGATAACTGCGATCTCAAGATCTGTGATTTGGGATTGAGCAGACTACACCGACAGGACGGTGGAGACGGCTCCATTTCCAGTATGACCGAGTACGTGGCCACCCGGTGGTACCGTGCCCCTGAAATCATGCTTTCTCCCTCCCATTACTCCAAAGCAGTCGACCTTTGGTCTGTCGGATGTATTTTGGGGGAGATGCTCATCGGAAAAGCCTTGTTTCCTGGTAAAGATTACCGAGACCAGCTCCTCCAGATCCTTAGATTATTGGGGAACCCCCTGAAACACTCAGAAGATATGAAACTTTTAACTTCCAAAAGAGCCAAACAGTATCTCGAGTCTCTCCCCAATTACGAGCGGTTGGACTTCAACTCGGTGTTTCAACATCACCCACTCAGAAGTTTTCTGGGGGGATCTTCTATAAATCCCTGGGCAATTGACTTGCTTGAAAGGCTTTTGATTTTCGATCCGGCAAAACGGCTCACGGTGGAAGAAGCTATTTGTCATCCATATGTGGCAATGTACCACGATTATGAAGATGAGCCAGTGTGTAGTCCTATTCTGGCGATGGAGTTTGATTTCGACATGGAGAGGAGGCTGAGGTTGGACTTGCACGAATTGAAGGTGCGGTTGTACGATGTGATTCGTGTGTGTTGAGAGTGTTTGGTCTGTTAGTTTGAATTTTTTTTATGGCAATTGTTAGTTGTAGTTTATGCTTGAAAATAAAGCGAGATCATTCAATATTCATTAATAATAATATCTAAGGGATGGTATCTAATACAAGTACCTAAAGTCAAGAGATATATGAGAGCCATCGTTCCCCTTTCCTAACTCGTTTTCCCATTTCATGGTACCGTTGACAAGTCTCTTGTTTAACTGCACCAATCTGAATCTCGTCAAGGTTGCAAAAACCATCGCGAGAAGGATAAACACACAGTTACATACAAAAGCCACCTTATACTGAGGACCAGAGCTCAGTGGGTACAAGTATGAGTTCCAAATGGAGGTGGAGTTGGAAAGACAGTTCATCAATGCAATACTAATGGCTCTCTTGATGGGAGGTCTGGGCATCGAGTTGGACATCCACGTCAAAATGATCGTGAAGGAACAGTATAACGAAGGGATCATAATACACATGGCAAAATAACGGGCACCAGTGTTCATAGTTGCGGCCGAGATGATGAAGGATATCATCGAGATGATCAACGGAAGTGTGACATGGAAGTATCTCTCTCCCGTCTTATCAGCATGTCTGGCCCACAAGAAGGTCGACACTACCGCAAGAAGGTATGGCGGAGCTGTAAGCACCAAAGTGATTATCCGGTTAAAGTTTAAGGTTTCAACCACAGATGGGAAGAAGTTAGTGACTCCACATGCTGCTACCAAGAAGGATAAGGTGGCTGTGATGGTCCATTGTTTGGGATCTTTGAGAGCCAATAAAAGAATCTCCCTGTAGTTACTTTTTGTTGTAACCTTGTCCAAATCGTCTTGTCCAACATCTCTTCTCATCTTCCACATGATCACGTCTTTCTCCTCCTGTGACAACCATTTGGTGTTGTGGGGCATATCAGGAAGAATGAAGTAGGCCATTGGAACAAGTGTCACGGTGATACTTCCTTCAATGATGAAGAGCCATCTCCATGCCCGCATCCCACGAACCCCATCCATGTTATCAATGATCCCAGCAGCAATCAACCCAGAAAATGCCCCCGACAAAAGCGAGCCCGAGTATAACATGGTGGTTCTCAAAGATAATTCTTTGGCATTATACCACTTTGATAAGAAGAACAAGGCACAAGGAAAGAATCCAGATTCGATGATTCCAATCAATATACGAACCACCAATAATCCAGCATACCCATGGTCTGACAGAATAGCTCCAGTACAAGCACTGATGGCCCCCCAAACCGTCATCACAGTAGCCATGAATATAGAAGGCCGTGCCATTTTGTTGAAAAACATATTGGCTGGAACTTGCATCAAAATGTAACCAACAAACAAGATAGAAATACAGGTCTGATACTGGGCTCCAACCAATCCAAGATCCTCTTCCAAACCACCCAATCTAGCACTGGCAATGTTGTTTCTGTCCAAGTAGTTCAAGATATAGATTAAGACCAACATCGGTAAGATTCTGTAGTCCATTCTACGGGTAGTTTTGGCCATGAACTTCTCGATTTCATCCTCGGTCATGTGCCTTAAAGATTCAGGTAAAACATCTCTAGACATTTCTTCCGACTGGTAAGACGAGGATTTGGCCATATCGGTTTGTTCTTCCTGATGAACAACCTCAGCTTTTTTATCGGCAGCACTAAGCAGCAGTTCACTCATGATTTACTAGTTGAGAAATTTCCAGAGTGCTGGTTTTGTCTGGTTTTATATGGTTTTTGTCCAGCGTTTATCCCCACAAAAAATTGCATGGAAAAACCTTGGGGAAAATCTACGCGAATGATCCCCCACGCCTAAACCGCCCAATGAAGACATGTTAGGAACCGTTTCGAGCCGAAGTGGGGGAGTCACTGCAAAAAGGCTGTGTGTACATAGTGACGTGGGGTATATCGGGGGATGTGGGGGGTATCCTCTCCACCACCACATTGTGGGTGAGCTTGTGTGTCTAGTTTTCTGTTACGTCGCAGCTGGCCTAGCAATTTTCGGATTAACCTGAAACTCGCGTACTGAGAAGATTCGTGGGGGGCATTGGATATTATACCCAATACCCCACAGATCATCCCTCAGACATGGTAAGCCGGCGATTGTCGGGAGCACTGTCAAGTCTTCCCACTCCACATACTCTTTTCACAAACAAGTTTGACTCTGATATTTTAAGTTTCCAGCTGGACCACCGGATCACGCGCCCTGAACTTCCTCCAGTAAACCGGTCCCCCACCCCCAAATTTATCAGTCGATCCAACTAATTCATCTTTCTCTCTTCACTTCGTACCCTCCAGGGGTACTCTTGCACAGTTCAGTCCATGGAAGGGTTGGTCCCCCCTCCTGTGGGGATTTGAAGATTTTTGCCGGGAGCAATCACCATGAAAGTGGTGTTGCGTGGGGGGCCAGCCGCACGCCCAGCACAGGGAACATTGCAAGTACTCACCGACCATTTTGGTGTCCCCCCCCTTCATCCCCCACCCTACCCCGGACTCTAGTCCATCAAACCGATTTCATTTCTACAAGATCTGGGTCTTGAGTCCTCTTATCTCCAGATTGTTGGACATTTCGGGATAGTGTATCTCTAGACCGTATTTGCATGTCTCCAAACCATTAAAGTCTTAAAATAGAATCAGCAGAAATAAAGAATTGGCATGCCTGATATTCAGGGTGCTTCATAGTGATACAAGTGGCAGTGGGGGATCTAGGTTGACTTGTGTTGGCGAAGGAACGGCATTTCGTCTTTTGCTGGAAATTATCTGACTGGTGTTGGACTATATTGCACATCTGTGTTGGGTTTATTACACATGTGTGTTGGGTTTCTTGAGCTGTATTTCTCATCTGTATTGGTTTCTTGAGGTATATTGCACATCCATTATCCAAAAACCTGGATCTTGGTTTATAATACCGTCTGGAAGTCGATCATAAGCCCTTTTGCTGTCATCTCCTTTCAGATGGCCAGTCTGGTGAATTCAAGTACATGGGTCTGTGGTTCTTTACACCAGGTACACCTGAAAAAGTACTCAAAAACTGCTGTAAAAAGTACAACAAATAGCCTTTGTGGAACTGTAGGCTAGCAAATCACCGTTCTGACCACTGCAGCACCCAGAAACGTCTAAGTAGTAATTTGACGTGTCCTGCAGGATGCCATAATGTGGAGTAATGCGCAAAGATCCACACCAGTTCCGAAATCTTCACTTCCAACTACTTTAATGACAGAATTAACCACCAACACTCAAACCCTTCTCCTCAATGATGGCCACCGTATCCCTCAAGTAGGTTTCGGAGCCATGCGAGTTCCCAAGGAAGGAATTCTTGACGCTTTGAACGCTGGGTATAGGCTTCTTGATACTGCCACCATCTACAAAAATGAGCAGGACGTGGGCGACGCCATCCGCCAGTCGGGAATTCCCCGGGAGCAGTTGTTTGTGGTTACCAAGTTGTGGAACACTGACCACAAACGTGTTGAAGCTGCTTTGGACGAATCGCTCAAGAAATTGGGCCTTGAGTATGTGGACTTGTACTTAATACACTGGCCATGGTCCGAGATTGAAGGAACTGATCACGAGGTATACACTGACTGGACCTTTGTCGACACCTACAAGGCGTTGCAAAAGGTGTACAAAACCACGGGAAAAATCCGGTCTTTGGGAGTTTCCAACTTTACCATTGCCCAGTTGGAACAATTGTCTTCTGACAAGGATATCGACGTAGTGCCAGCAGTCAACCAGATCGAAGCCCATCCATTGTTGACCCAGCCAAAGCTCATGGCGTATTTGGAATCGAAAAACATCCTTGCTCAGGCATATTCTCCACTAGGAGGCTCGGGCAACTTCTTGTTCAAATACAAAGAAGTGACGGACATGGCCTCTCGGTATGGAGTTACACCAGCCCAGTTGTTGATCTCCTGGGGAGTCCAGCGGCGTACGGTGGTGATTCCCAGAAGCGCCACTCGTAGTAGAATCGAGTCCAACATCCGCACCTTCACCTTGAAGGACGCCGACTTTGAGGCGTTGAACACCTTGAGTGACACGTATGGTGTTATTCGTAACAACGACACCTGGCGGTTCACCCCTGGTGAAGAATAAATATATGTCTCGTATGCCAAATATACTTATATGCCTCTAGTTTTTCGCAATCAATTTCCCCTGATAGCCTTCGCGGTAAGCATTTCTATCAAAAACGCTACCAGGTCTTTTTGATTCGATTTATAAGCATATTTATTTCTGGTCCCGTGATTAGCATTTGTGGACTTCCAACTGATTATATCACATTTCCATACCAACTCTCGCAGCCGTTTCTTCCCCATTTCCATCCAACCTTAAAGTCATGTCTCGAAGATCAAAGGAGGCAAATACTAATCCTTCTACAGACTCAGACATGTATGAGGCCGAGGACTTACATGGTGGCTACAAGTCCGACGGTGTGGATGACTCTATTCTACGTTTGTCCGAACAGGCCCGAAAACGGCCATCTCGTGATGCATCCGATGACGGCTCAGACGTCATGTCACAAGAGGAACAAGACTATGAGGGTGCACAGACTAGCAGCCAGAACGACGATGCCTATGAAGAAGATGAAGAAGGTGACGAAGAAGATGATTACCAGGAAGAGTACGATTTTGGTGAAGACGAAGATGAAGCTCAGGCTGTTAGATTCTTGGGTAGTTTGGCCCGCGCTTCACAAAGTGGAAACACCGGCACTCAGGAACAAGCTGACGATAATGATAATGACGAAGATGAGGGAGACGGGGACGAAGATTCAGGAACCGACTCCGGCTATCCCCGTGCAGACCTTTTGAGAGCTCTTGGCTCATTTTCCAATATAAGAGGTGGTGGTTCAGGAACACAACTGTCCTTCGCCGATGTGATTCAAAGATTGGTGGGTGAAGGGTTTGTTTCACCATATGGAGGGCAAAACAACGAGATCGATACCTTGATTAACGGTTTGGGCCAAAGAGATGATCCGTTTATTCTCTCCGAATCTTTGAACCAACTTGGTGAAAAGCTCTTGATGATGAACGCCATCACCGCCGAAAGAGTTATACCTGCTAGTAAGTTAACTAGGTCCATCATTCTGATCATGAACGACCCGTTTCTCCTGGATCAGCTAGAGTTACAGCTTGTCGCATGTCGCTGTTTGTACAACTTGATGGAAGTCAATCTAGATTTCATCCATGATGTGGTGAATAATGAAGGAATAGAGGCCGTTTGCATCAAATTAAACGAAATCACCTTCATTGACTTGACTGAACAGGCATTACAGACTCTCGAGATGATTTCACGAGATCCCATTTCCCATAACTTGATTATCTCCAATAATGGTCTCAGGGCGTGTATGCAATATCTTGATTTCTTGACCATTCATTCCCAAAGAAAGTGTCTCTTAATTGTTGCCAATGTTTGCACAAACATTTCAGCCAACAATTTCGATAAGATAAATGAGGTATTTGACAACATATCAGGAGTGGTTAAGAATCATACGGATCCAAATGTTATAGAGCATGCGTGGTTATCCATCTCCCGTATAATTTCCAGCTTCAAGTCTCATCCATCGAAATTGGAGACCTTATTCGTGACTAGAGTCGATTTATTGATCGAAGTCGTTGCTACTATTGTCGTCAGCTCCAACAAATCTTCTGTTTCGGATTCAAATGACTCGCATAAAGTTCCCGTGAGCTTCAGCTCATGCTTAAGCTTGGTGAAATCTTTGATAGTCTTGGCTAGTACGAGTGTGAAGATCTCTGCAATTCTTTTCAGAGATGTTTCGATTGGTGAATGCGTAGTCAAAGCCATCAATAAATTTTCAAAGAACAAAGAAGACTTGAAGAACAGAGGTTTAAGTGTCATCAGTTCTTCTTCTTTCAAAGATAACATATCCATTGAAGCAATCATGGCGGCTCCCAATGAGTTGTTATCTCAATTCCTCACCTTGATTGGCTACTTACTTCCAATAAACTATGGGCCTCAAGAAACCCCTTTCTTGAAGAACAGTCATCTAGAATTCGAAGAAAAGATCGAAATCAATCAACAAAGAACTCAAATCTGCAGAGATACTATGCCCGAAGCATTTTGGAAATTTGTCAACGATATATGGTCTTTTTTGATCAATAGCTTCCAAGCATTAATGGACTTCGAAGTCAGAAGGAGAATCTTGATCAATTTATTCCGCATTGTGAAGTTCATGCAACCTGATGACTTCAAGAAAATTAACGGCATAGAAATGGTGTCTGCTTTATTGGCCTCTATTGTGAATCAGAACAAATTCACGATTTTAAAGGATTTCAATAACTCGGTTCCAGCAAGCCAACAGGATACTGAAATGAAAACCAGTGATGACGAAGACTCAGACGAATCAGAAGACGAAAACGTCAATGACCCGAACGCTGGTTCCAAGAATCAAGATAACACAGCCAAGTTAAATGCCAATACTCTTGTATGGAGCTCTTGCTTGATTGTTTTGAACTTGATTAAGATTGAACCCCAAATCTTCATTGATTCTTTTGAAAAAGAAGGTTTGATCAAGGACATTTCCACTATTGCTAATCATTTAAAGTTCATTAGCACTAGCGACCCTATTAACGACGATTATGAGGCATCAAGACCTTTTCTTTCGATGTACTCGTACAAGTATGCAGATATAGAGTTCTCTAAGGACTATGAGTACAAGCTCACAAGTATGAAGATTTACAGCAAGTTGTTTCATATACTCATGGCCATAGACGAGCTATATGTGAACAGTAAGGAAGGTAGCATTGCACAAGTATCCTCTGTTGCAGTTGAAGTTCTGAACGAAATCGAAGGGTTATTAAAGGCTCAAGACTTATCAAGATTTCCATTTAGCAAGTGGCAAGAGTCATGGGAAAAGTTCCAATTACTTTTGGATAATGGATCTCAAAGTGTTTCCAGTTTTGAGTTGGTATCGTCTGGTATCATTCAAGCCTTGAATGATGTGTTCAAGATTGATGCTCTTGGTTCTCAAGACAGCCTATGCTATATTTCCTTTATATCTGTGTTTTTCCGCAGAAACAGCCAGGGTAATGCCTTGATCTCCATTCTTGTTGACAAGTTACAAGAGGCATTGTCAAGAGTTGAGTCCTTTGAAGTAATCTCTGCTGGTACCAGCAATCAAGGCCTCAATTTGAGGTTCTCTTCATCAAACTATTATGATAGTTCTCAAACGGCTGGTATGGCAAAACAAATCAAGTTGAAATTGGGTACTGACCCTTCTGATACCTCTTCTGCCAGTCAATTGCCACCAACAATGCAAAATATGGTTCTTTCTGTTCACGCTATCGCTTCATTTGCCTCTGTTAGCACGTTCTTAACTCAAAGAATCAATTTCTTCGAGGCATTAACTGGTTCTAGACGTAACAGGCTTAATAGTGATGTTTCTGAAGATGTTGAAGACCTCGATGAAGAGGACATAGATGATAACAATGAGGTGATTGGAGATGCAGACTTAAACAGAGACGAATCCAACAAGACAGGAAAACAAACACACATTGAGTTCTTGATCAATGACGAAGTAATCCCTAATGGCACTACCATATATGGGGCTATCTACAGATCACTCCAAAGTGAACCCGATGAGATTGTCGAGTCTTCAAGAATTTGGAATAGTGTTCATCAGGTTTCTTTCCGTGTGGTGGACACCCCTGTTGAAAGTCCTACAAATGACTTGATATTGTATAATTCGAACAAAAGTTACAATGAATTGAAGTCTTATGATGCTACAACCATCAACATCTTGAATTTACTCAAGGTCTTGTTTGAAGTGAATGTATATGCTCAGACATTGAAATATGAGCCGTTGTCTATTGAAAAATTCATGAGTTGGAAGCTTACGGTCAAATTGAACAGACAATTGGAAGAACCTTTAATTGTTGCAAGTGGTACTCTACCAGGATGGGCTATTCATGTCACTAGGCAATATCCCTTTATTTTCCCATTAGACACAAGAATATTCTTCTTACAATCCACCTCCTTTGGCTATTCAAGACTTATACATCAATGGCAGATCAGATCTAACCAAGAGAACGAAAACATTAACGGTCATGGCAGCCAATCTCAAAGACCGCAACTAGGAAGACCTTTGAGACACAAGGTTAGAATTTCCCGAAAGTTGATTTTACAGAGTGCTCTTAAGGTGTTGAACTTGTATGGTACCAGCCCGGGAGTTTTAGAGATCGAGTATTTTGATGAAGTTGGGTCAGGATTGGGACCGACTTTGGAGTTCTATTCGAGCGTCTCAAAAGAATTCTCAAAGAGAAAGTTGAGGTTATGGAGAGATGACGACCCTGATGGTGATGAAGAAGATTTTGTTGATTACAAGACTGGATTATTCCCTTCTCCAATCGACATGAATGAAATCCAAACGGAAAACGGAAAGAAAAAACTTTACTTTTTCCGTATGTTGGGTAAGTTCATTGCCAGAACCTTATTGGACTCTCGAATCATAGACTTTAGGTTCAACCCACTTTTCCTCAAGCTCGTGCAAATCTTCAATGAACACTCCATGAACAAAGAAGGCTTCAGTGATTTGAAGAAAATCAACAACTTAAACAGTCTTAGGATTGTTGATCCGTCATTGGCAGATTCATTAGAGCATTTGATGAAATACGTTGAACTCTACAAGAATGTTCCTGAACATGAAAGAGACCTGATTCTTGTTGATAACTGTACTTTGGAAGACTTGTCATTGTCATTTTCGTTGCCAGGTTACCCTAGTTATCAGTTAATTGCCGATGGAGATAACATCGCTATTACCTCGAAGAATATTGAATCGTACATCAGCAAAGTCATTGAAGCTACCTTATGCAATGGTATTATTCCACAAACAAAAGCGTTCATGAATGGATTCTCTAAAGTTTTCCCCATCAGCTCTTTGATTGTTTTCTCACCCAATGAATTGGTAAACCTCTTTGGAAATGCGGTAGAGGATTGGTCTTTGGAGACATTACACTCATCCATCAATGCCAATCATGGCTATTCCAAGGATTCAGATGCTGTCAGAACCCTTATCGATATTCTTGTGCACTTTAACGATATTGAAAGACGGTCCTTTTTACAGTTTCTAACAGGAGCTCCAAAACTTCCTGTGGGAGGATTTAAAGCGTTGAAACCTGAATTTACAGTGGTTAGAAAGTACCCTGAAGGTGGGTCTAAAGATGACGACTATTTACCCAGTGTCATGACCTGTGCCAACTACTTGAAATTACCTAACTATTCCACCGAAGAAATCATGAAGCGAAAGATTCTCCAAGCCATCAGTGAAGGTGCTGGGGCCTTTTTATTATCGTGAGTTTAGCATAGATAGTTTTGAGTAAATGTACATACAAATATGAAAGTTCGCGCACATCAACAAAAAAGGATCACTTGTTCAGTCGTTTAGTCAATTAATATCATGTCCAGCTCCGTCAACTTGGAGAGTTTGGTATCTTCCTTGGTGAAGAGTGTTCCTCCCGGGGAATTGAAGGGAGCCAAGGACGATTTATCGACCATTTTATCCGATGACAACAGACTCATCAACTCCTCAATTGAACAGTACATAAACGAAACGGGTGCTGTTGTATCTGGGGCCTATGTCGCATCCAAATACAACAAACATCTGGGGTCCTCAAAGTACATAGACTTTGTGGGAAGACAATTGTTCAACGTGGACATTGACACCCAAAAAGCCATTGATCTTGAAGACTATTCGCCTACCGAAGAGTACCCTTCGTATTTCGATGATTTGGTTGAACAGTTGGAACAGTATGGAGAAGACCATTATCCTTCCACATATGCCTACACCATTGTTCCCAAAGGCGATGAGGTCTTTGTAATCATCATTGGTCAAAGACTAAATAACGACAATTACTATACGGGACAATGGAATTCTACGTATGTGATCAAGAACGGCACCATAAAGGGAGATATCAAGGTTGACATCCACTACTTTGAGGACGGGAATGTCAGGTTGAACTACGACGAGTCTACCAGTGGTCAGATCAGTGCTTCTGCTAAAAACATCATCAACTTTATTAACAGTTCTGAGAACAAAACCACCTTGAAAATTGTGGACAACTTCAACGAGTTGAACCAACGGTACTTCAAGAACTTGAGAAGACTTTTACCGGTGACGAGGTCCAAGATTCACTGGGGAAATGCCATTGGAAACTACAGATTGGGATCTGATGTCGTCAACAAACAGTAGAAAGTATATTAAAATACACGTAACGGTGGATGGTTTGTAGCATTATTCGTTCTACTAATGATCCATGATACTCGAGTTACTGGAGACTTTCATTATAAATTAAAGTTTCATTATAGTGAATTACTGAAGCCTGGTTATGCGAATCCTGGGCAGGTGGTATCAATTTACTCATCTCAATTTGTACAACATCCAAACCACAAAGAAGAAAATCAATATGACACCCACCGTCTTCGTCAAGCTGGAATTTCTATTCATCACGGTTCGAAGTTCTCCGCTGGTTCTTTTGACCGATAACATCATGCGGCCAAAGTTGTCATTTAACAAGTTCAACATCAGGTTCTCCTGCTGCACGTTACTTTGAATATCATCAACCGTATTTCGGAACTGTCTCAACGTCAGTGCAAGCTCGTCAAACCTCTGGTTGTTCTGCCCCTCTCTGTGAGAGTATAAGTTATCGGACATTTGCTGTTTGTTTAAAGACGACTACTTCGCGAATTCAAAAATGCGATTGTGTATCAAGAGCCTATAACTGGTTTACAGAAGGAAAACTATTTATGTTCAGATACTGTTGTGCACTCCCTGTGGTTTGAAAGGGATTCAGACCTTGATGAGTGTTCGGTTGTACGTTTATAGCTTCAGGAGCTGCTCCATACTGAGGATAAGAAGGATATGTTTGAGGGACCAGACCAGTGGCTTGAGCAGGCCTAGGAGCATTTCCAAACCCGCTGCTGGTAGGCTGCTGAGCTATATATCCCTGATCTGAACTAGGATTTTGTGGAAGAAACTGGGGGAAGCTTGGATAGGGCATAGATGTTGCTGGAGCTCCCGAGTACTGGTGGTTGATTCTCTGGTTTATCAGGTTATCAACCAACTCATTAAAGAACTTGATCTGGACGTTCAATTGACCATTCAAAGAAGTCAATTCCTCTTTACGGGAACTGTACTTCTCTATGGAATTGGCCAAAGCTGGCCGAAGGGGTAAGATTTGGTTGTAAAGATCGGTGATTTCGTCCTCATTCAAGTCCGGTGAATTAGTGGATAAAAGTCCAAGTAACCTATCAATCTTCCTCAGTTCATTAGACAAAATATTGTCTTCCCATGCCAGCTCTGACTCCAATTCTTGTGCTGATTTACTTACAATAGGAGTCACGTAGTTCAAGGGAAATATACCCACTTTCCCATTGGGCAAAGAACCTCTCCACCAATCACGGTAAACCAGCTCGATCACACTGATAATGTCGCCTTTACGGAAAGATAACTCGTCTGGCTCGTAGGAGATCAAGTCGTACAATGCCCTGACCTTTGATACTGTGGCAATTGTTTGTTCTGCACTGTTTTGTGGTTGAAGTTGTTGTGGAGCAGCCTCGGTCCTCGTTACAGGTAAAGGTTTGTCATTTAGGTACGCTTTACGGACGGCTTTTTCACGCTCATATTCCTGTAGGGACAACTTCAACACCCTTTGCAAGTCCTCATCCTCTTTTACCTTGTCCAGTTGGCTCATTTCCTGCTTTGCGGGTTTACTGGGACCAAACGTATCTGGCTTCTGGCTGAGAAACTGTTTGTAGTCCGAGGCAACCGTGTTGTAAGCATCGGTCATTGGCTTAAGTGATGGATCCGATTTAAACGACTCATGGAGCTGACCAATCACTTGGGCAACACTGATCTTGATGGTTTTGTGGATTTTCCTATCGCTGAGCTTCTTGATCAAACAATCATAAAGAAAGGACTTTGTGGCAATCTCCTGTTTCATTCGAGACCCACAATTCTCTGCCACGGCGGTAATTAGTGCCAATGTTCTCAACATGACATTTGCATCCTTGGTGTTCAACCGCAACGTGATGATCCGAATGGCTTGCTTTGTCTGCTCTTCGGGGTTAGTAGAGATATTGTCGCATACATCTAGAATGTACTGCCAGTTGTCGCTTGTTAATGTGGGATCTGTGGCCTTGTTGATAAGTTTTTCAAGTTCACTCATATTGCCTCCTTAGCTAGATTTGAGAGTGACTTGATAAAGCGCGAGTCGTGCGCACACAGAAAGCATCGCCATAGGAAGGTAACGCTGTTTGAAAGGGACAGAGGTGGTGCCTAGGCTTGAACATCTCCCATTGTACTAATGGGTACGTCATTGTATGTATATGATTTTTAGGGGATTTTTAGGACTTTATTTAAAGACTTTTGGTCATTTCCTGTCCACAGTTTACCTAAGTGCACATTACTTCGGATACATCAAGTGGCTACATTTGTTGATTTCTTCTTTCCTTTTTCATATCCATCCCAGCATAAAAAAAAGTAAATACTCTTTCTATCACTAACTAGCAGAATTCGTAAAATTCACAATCTTCACAAAACCTAAAATTTAATCTACAAAATTTAATTTACAAAATTTAATCTCTTCCCTTTCGCAAATCTTACCATCAATCAACTCTAAAAGTTATTAAGAAACTTAGGACGGGGTTTACTACTACGTAGTACAGGTACTTGTGGCCGGAAGAAGATGTAAAAAGATGGGTATGCGGATACGTGAGAAAAAGTCAACTGTTCCGCAGACCTACAGTCACTAATGCCGATGATTTCCGTCGGGTCGGCAATAAGCACCTGCCTTTATGAGTAAAGGTCAATATCACTTCATAGAATAGGAGAGGTTGGATAGGGCGCGTGCGCATAACACAAGAAAGGAGAATTTTGCTAAGCTCGTGCACAAACCGCATTCTTAGAAAAACAATGTAATGGTCGAGAAATATATAAACCAACAAAACCGAGCCTATTCTTGAAATTTTTCCACCGCTAACTAATGACTTCGTCTAATTTGGCTCCACCCAACTCGAACCAGGTACATCGCCGTAGAGGCTCTTCCATTGGAAACATCGACCTTGGTGACACTTCTCCTGCTCTCTCCACCATGAAGACCAGTAAGGCTCAAAGAAGAAAGTCTTCCGACAGGATGGCCCAGTTATCTGAAAAAACCACCACCGACTCCCAGCTCTTGAGGAAGTTTTATTTATCATACCGGGAATTGACCTACAGACAAACCTGGATCCAACCATTGATTGTGTTGGTGCTATCTGTGTTTATTTACCTCATCTCAAACCCTGAAGGCCAGATCCACCAGTTTTTGGAGGTTTGTATTTTGCCTTCTTACAAGATTCCTGGCACTGACCAGTATGGCAAAGGAAAGTACGACTTCTATTTTGTGTTCTACTATGCAATTTTCTTTACGTTTTTCAGAGAGTTTTGCATGTGTATGATCTTAAGACCATTGGCCCACTATTTCAAGATCACCAAAGAATCCAGAGTAAAGAGATTTATGGAACAGACGTATGCCATCATCTACTTTGGAGCCGCTGGATGCTTTGGATTGTGGATCATGTCCAAGTTGCCGTTGAGATGGTTTCAAACCACGCCATTATACGAAACCTACCCTCACAAGACCCACGACTTTTGGTTCAAGATCTTTTACTTGGGCCAAGCTGCCTTTTGGGTCCAACAGTCGGTGATTTTGGTATTGGGATTGGAGGCTCGTAGATCTGATTTTGTTGAGTTTGTGTTTCATCACATTATTACTATTGCCTTGATCTGGAACTCCTACAGATTCCACTTCACGTGGATGGGTCTCACGATATTTGTTTGTATGGATATCTCCGATTTCTTTTTGGGGATGTCTAAGACTCTTAACTACTTGAATGCTCCTGGAGGAGAAGCATTCTTTGTGTTTTTCGTGTTTGTGTGGATTTACCTTAGGCACTACATCAACTTGAAGGTTTTGTGGTCGGTGTTGACCGAATTTAGAACCGTTGGTCAGTGGGAGTTGAACTGGGAAACCCAGCAGTACAAGTGTTGGATCTCGCAGCCCATTGTATTTTTCTTGATTGCAGCTTTGCAGTTGGTTAATATCTACTGGTTGTTTTTGATTCTTCGTATTTTGTACAGATACATTAACGTAGGAGAAGCCAAGGACGAGAGAAGTGACGACGAAGACGAGGCTGACGACGAAGCTGATGACGAAGAAGATAGACTGGAAAAGAAGAACCAGTAATTGAGAAAGATTATTCTCTTTTTGCAACATCCAAGCAGCATGGCTGCGCGTTAATCTAAACCCCTTTAATATTTTTTCACTTAATTACTAATTGTTAACATTTCATCTGTATACCCGATTGTATCCAAAGGTCGATGTACGTTCACATCACATCTGTAGAGTTGTTGAAGTATCACCGGGAGCTGTACGATGGTGGATATGATTCCCAATATATCCGGCAGTTTATTCTCCAACATGAACAGGAGATGGGGCAAAGGTTGATTGAATCAGACCCACACCACATCCATTTGGGCGAGTTGGAGGTGGATGCAGAGACCTTTGACTCCTGGGAGTACGACGAACACAACCCCCAAGTTAAAGAGTATCTACGTCAACAGTCTATCCATAAACAAAGGTTTCTTCTAGAAGTGCACCAGAGGGGATTGAAAGTCAAACCTATTGAATAGAGCCATAAATAATAACGTTCGTATGTCCATTCTCGATAGCCAATAAGCATATCCTATATACAAGTTTATGAACTATGTACTTTGAGCGGAGTTTTTTTGGCTCCGGTATTGGTGCACGGATTCTCTTCTCTCTTGAATGCCTTCTTGCGCAGCTCTAGACAAGACTCCCAACATCATCGACGACACTCTCATGGAGTCATCGTTGGATGGAATCGGGTACGTCAACAAAGAAGGCTCCATGTTGGTGTCACACAACCCAATGGTTGGGATTCTCAGCTTAATGCACTCATTTATACAGTTTCTGTTTTCCACCGGATTCATGATGACAATCAAATCAGGCTTGATCAAGTCATCGGGCGAGCTGCCGTCCAAACTGCCGGTGGAAGGCTGGTCCATCATGTCAATTACAAGTCTGCTTTCACCCTGGTGTTTAGTGACCTGGGTAAAGTTGGTGATGGTTCCCGGAATCCACTTTCTCGAGATGTAGTAACCGTTGCTTCTGGTGGCAGCCGCTTCCAAGGCTCTTTGCTGTTCCCAGTTCTTTGTGGTGCCAACATAAAGAATCATACCTCCCTTGTTTGCAACACCTTTTACCACCTTGACTGCTCTCTTCAATGCCACCAACGTGTGATTCAAGTCAATTAAATGTATTCCATCGTACTCTCCGTAGATGAAAGGCTGCGTGGATGGCCTCCACATGGCCTTGGAGTGACCCAAGTGGCAGCCAGCAGCCATCAAAGTGGAAATGGTCATGTCACTTATGGATTTAGGTCTGTTCACCTCATTTTTCGGCTGGTAGACATCGGTCAATTTGGATCCCAAGTTCCCAGAATGCCGGGAATGATTCAAGTAGCGCAAGTATAACTCCTGGGTTGAATACTCGTGATGGTCAGGGGTGGGTTTCAAATATGGGTATTGGTTTAAAATCGAGTTGGACGCAGTGGATTTGAAAGTGTTGGTACCAGAATCAGACTTGTTATTACTAGGATCAATGAACTTTCTGTCGGTTGACAAGTCTGCCCACGGTCTGTTGGTGATTTCCTCGGCTGGTAACTTCAAGTTCTCGAGCATGAACTCTTCCAACTGTTTATCCAACATCTCGACCTTTTCTGCGTCGATAGAGGTCAAATCAGACTGGAGTTTGGATACCCGGTCTTTGATCAAGTGGGCAGGGGTTTTGTTGAGTCTGGCGATCAAGTCCTTGGACTGGTACTTCATGTCCACAAGTAACTTGGCCTTTGCCTGGGCTTCTTCGTCTCTGGCCAAAGCTTCTGCCAAAGCTCTTTCTCTCAACTGTCTTTGCGAGAGCTCGGTTGTTTCGGCACCTGACTCGCTGCTAGTGCCAGTGCTAGCACTATACGGCCTGACAGCTATGGCCATCCCTATGTGGCTTCTCCCAGACGATCTTATTACTTTAAGCATCTCTTGGAGCTTTTGTTAGGTTTATTCAAAAATTTTTCACCGGTTTTTTTACTGAGGAAATTATTAGTGCGCATATCCATTTCGATCTTGTTGTCAGTAGTTTAGTTGATGTTGTGCTATTATGCCGGCAAAACCTTCAAAGATGTGGTGTTAGATTCTCTCCATCAGTTGGAAGCAGAATCCAAAAAAACGGGCCAGATTGTGGTGTTTGATCCGGAATTGTACGATAATGTTCTCATGAACCAATCGTTTTCGCCTGGGGTAATTGGCACCATCGACAGAATCGAGGTGAACTTGGTGAGCCAAACTTCTGACTTGACACACTTGGTACGACAATACGTGTCACATGACACCTTGAGTCTCGTGGTTATATATGGGGTTCTTGACACGTTTGTGGATTGTGCAAGTACCTTAAACTTCCTTTTCTACTTGATGAAGAGATTAGAGCAAACAGGCATCAGCGTAATCTTTGGTGATTCGAGAAACCATCTTGACCTGTGGATGGTCAATTTTGCGAGCCAAACCAACGACTTGGCGATTTACGAAACTCAACACGACAACACAGTTCCAGTTAGAATGATAGTGCAAAAATGGGCGTTCATTGAAACTTAACTATTTAGCCTAATATTTACATGGGCATTGAAATGGAATATCTAACATGGCACCTAGCGATATCACTTTTGCTCTGCGATCTCTTCGACTTGTTCACCTTCTTCACCTTCTTCACCTTCTTCACCCAAGTCAGGAATGCCTCCAGCACCACCCAACTGACTGGCCAATTTGCTGATGTCAAAGTCTCCACCAGCACCACCTCCCATTCCTTGCATCATGGAAGCCAAGTCAGGCATTCCACCAGCACCACCAGCACCACCTCCCATTCCTTGCATCATGGAAGCCAAATCAGGCATGCCACCGGCTCCACCAGCGCCACCTCCCATACCTTGCATCATGGAAGCCAAATCAGGCATGCCACCGGCTCCACCAGCTCCACCCATACCACCAGCACCAGGCATTCCACCCATTCCAAGATCAGGTTCTTCTTCCTTTTCGTCTTGTTCGTCTTCTTCCACCCATTTGTCAAAATCAGTCTTGATGTTTCTGTACTTGACCTTTTCTTTGGTCAATCTAGGCCAGTACTCTTCTTGCTTCTTTGCCTTTCTCAACAACAACGACACGTGACTTCCCGCTCCTAAGTTCTTCTTGGAGTTTTCCGTATCGATCTCGTCGAAGAATTCCACCTTCCATTCGTACTTGTTGTCCGAGTTTTGAGAGTCAGCAGAAAAGGTCAAGGTGGTGGAGGTCAAATCCACCTGAACGTTCTTGACATCAAACACTTCGATCGTCAAGAACACAATGTTCTTGGTTTCATCACTGGCGTTGGATCTTTGAGCCCACCTAACAGTTGGAGTAAGAGCAGACATGTTAAATAAAAAAGTAGAAGGATTAATTTGTCGCGACGTCGATTTTATGTGCGCACTGGTGAGCGAATTCGAGAAGCTTCGATTCAGCAAATATGGGCACTAGGAGACAAGTTCTCGAGGTAAGGGAGCCAATGCCTGGGACAATGACAAGGAGGGCCCTAAATGGTCAACCTGTCCGCTGGGGTTGTTTGTGAGAGGAAATTGAGCAGGATATACTCGAGATTGTTTTGGGGTGTGCTCATGAAAATATTTTTTCAGGTCTAGTGCGTTTGGCTGCAAACTCTAAATATGGGGTAGAAAGCAGTAGGAGGTTTCTGGTTTAGAATTAGATGAAAGTTGTATCTTCAGATGGAGAATAGTTGAGGCTACTTGAAGGTCAAATTTGGGTTTGAATCACCTCAATTTGATGTAATCACCACCCATAAACTTCTGCTAAGCACACAACAATAGTATTTAAGAGCTATTCTTTGTCAAAAAAAACGCCTAAATAACTTATCACACCGAATACTCTACTATTAAACCTCTCAAGCACCCTTAAACCCCGATACATGAAACATTCAATGTTCTACGAACATTTACTTTCAACTTCCTTATCTCCAGAACCTGCGCACCAAATGCGATCATAGGATTTCTGACAAACAGCAACACACAGTTGTTAACTTAATGAAACCACCAGCCAGATGTTAGAGAAGTTGCCGACAGAGATACAAGTCCGGCTCTTGAAGCTTGAGCCATCTAGCTCCTTGAAAATGGTCAACTCTCATTTCTACATTCTTTATAACGACTTGTTCTACGAAAGAATCATCTCTACCTTTGGAGAGGATATCGTTCCAGTGCTCATCAAAGTGCTTCCATGGCTTCGAACGTACATTAAGACATTAGACCTGTTTCGGCGAGAATCCCGGTCTGTAATTTCCTCCCGATTGAGCCTTCCATTTTATGTGGACGAAGAGAATCCGCTAAATACAATTTACATCAAGGATTCGTGGAGATACGTTTATTCGATTCTCAGAAATAAACGACTCTTTGCCGAGTACGGAGACTATAAGATCGATGAACCAACCAACTACATCTACAACCACTTTGTGGAGATCAACCGCACATATTTATTGTCATACACTAAAACAATGTGGTTGGCTCCTGGAGACTACAATTTGAATATCGGATTAGTGGTGAAACACGGAAATGGCTTAGGAACCACCAAGTTTGAAATCCGATACGAGAACGACCGGGGGGATATTGTCACCGAAACGTTCTATCCTCCCACCAACATCAATGATATTTTACCTAAAAAACAGTTTTGTCTCTTGCGATTGGGGGAGTTTTCAATTCCTTCATCTCGAACAAACCACGATAGTTTCAACAAGTCACATCATCCCAAACTCTATAAAGTCGAACTTACCATGGAAGAAATTGGGCTATACTTGAAGTCAGGATTTCGGATCTTCTTTATTGATCTTGCCCAACCAACGGTACTTTTCAACCAATTTGATTTGTTGTACTATACAGTGAGAGAAACCGACTACCGATACTTTATCAATATTCCCCTCAAAAACTTCTATAAAGCTTTGAACTATATCCAAAACGGGAACCTGGATAATCTCAGCTACCAAATAGCATTAAAAGACTACGGTACTGGTGACCCTTTTGAAATTTTGGATTCTTATGACGATAAGTTTGTTACTGACTCATTGCACAACCGAAAGGCTGGCCAGGTTGATTCTCTCACCGATTTGAAGGATCCCAAGGCCATCAGTGACAAGCAGTTGATGCGATATGCCGACTTCTACTTCAACAAAGCGTTCATCCGCCGGTACTTCAAGTTCAACACTATTTATCAAAGACGTCAGTTCGTAAATCGATATGGGGACTTTGAGCTCGACTGGAAAAAAGGTGAGAACCAGAACTTTAACTCAACCAACACCTATGATTCCTACTCTCATTCCCAACTGACCTTTTCGCTCGTAGCCCCTGATACAAACCGGGCCTGTATTTATGACCTACATGGGCTCAAGTGGAAAATTCCTACTTTGAGTGAGCTCTAGCATCTGTATAGTGTATTTGCAGCAACATCGACAAAATTTAGGCGCGACTTGATCTTATCGATTTGTAGTAAACATTGCAATGAGCGGGAAGGATGTTCTCAGGCTGTCACAGTCAAGCATTCGAAAGCCATTGATGACAGTTTACGAGTCTCATGCCTATGATGATAGTGAAGTGCAAAACTACACCAGCGGTGTCACCAAAGAACCTAAGAGATCGGTTAATGATAGTGACAAGGAGGAACCACATAAAGAGCTTGAAGAAGAACCAGAACCACAATCTTCAGAGGCTCAGGAACCAACAGAGAGTGACGAAGGTAGTGAAAATGGTTTCTCGGATTCTGAAGGCGACGGGAGCGACACTTCAGATTCGATTCCTGAGTTCAACAACAGACGTATTATTCTTCAGAGATTCACCATCTACAACTCATTGGCGACGATGTATATCGTTGGGTCCAATGCTAAAGAAAGCTTGTTCAGAATCTTGGAGATAAATAAGGACCCCAATGACGATACCAACTTGACCATCATTGAAGACAAGAGTTATTTCTACACTCGTAAAGACATGGTAGATCTCATCAACGGGTTGAACGAGACCATCGAAGGTGGTATCCACAAGATTGCCCAGGGATATGGGCTTTTGGGGTTAATTAAGTTTACCAAAGGGTACTACCTTTCTCTCATCACTAAGTGCAGCCAAGTAGCGGTTATTGGGGGACATTTCATCTACCATATTGACGAGACAAAATCGGTACCTTTAGATCTCAATTACAGGAGACCTAATAAGTATACTGACGAGGAGAAGCTTTTGTCCATATTCAAGTATCTTGACCTTGGTAAGACATTTTACTTTTCTTATTCGTATGATATAACCAACACATTGCAGACCAACTTTGTCCGGAACAAAAAATTGGCAAGCTATTATCAGAGGGCCAAAGGAGAAATACCTCATAATAAGCTGCTGTTTGTAAATGAGTTTGACAGTTTTCAAAAGAATGATCGGTTTGTGTGGAATAAGATGCTTTTAAGTCCTATTCAACAGAATGAAGACGTAGCCACTTACGAATGGTTTCAGCCAATAATACATGGGTTCATTGACCAGGCAAATGTGTCGATATATGGAAAGAAAATTTATATTACCATCATTGCTCGGCGGTCCCAACACTTTGCAGGAGCCAGGTTTTTGAAAAGAGGTGTTAACCACGAAGGAAATGTTGCCAACGAAATTGAAACTGAACAGATCGTCACGGATATGCTAATTTCCTCCTTCCATGATCCTAAATATGGGTTCTATAATAACCCACGATTTACAAGTTTTGTCCAGCATCGTGGATCCATTCCATTATATTGGACCCAAGACTTGAATAGGTTGCCAAAACCACCAATTGAGATTAATTTATCTGATCCATTTCACCTGAGTTCGGCCCTCCATTTCAATAACTTATTCGAGAGGTACGGCCTGCCTGTCATAATCTTAAACTTGATCAAAACCAAGGAGAAAACTCCAAGAGAGCTGAAGTTGAACAAGTACTTTATCGATTGCATCAACTACTTAAACCAATCACTCCCAGAAGAGCATAAACTACAGTTCAACTCCTTCGACATGTCCAAACATTCAAAGAAGAACCTTGACGTTATTGGTCCATTGCAAACTATAGCAGAGAAGTCAATATTACAAATTGGCTTCTTCCATAACGGTATAGACCTTGAAGGCACCAAGCTTCAGAATGGGATAATTCGGACCAATTGCATTGATTGCTTGGATCGAACAAACGCTGCTCAATTTATTATCTGTAAAGAAGTATTGTCTCATCAGTTGGCCAGTTTGGGGTTGATCTCTGAGCCAACTTCGTTAGCGTATGACTCGGATTTGATTAACATCTTGACAGAAATATTTCATGATCATGGTGATACAATTGCTATTCAATATGGTGGCTCTAATTTAGTTAACACCATGGATTCCTATAGAAGAATAAACCAGTGGTCTTCTCATACAAGAGATATGTTGAACAGTGTCAAGAGAATCTACTCAAATTCGTTTATGGATCTGATTAGGCAGGAAGCCATAAATCTCTTTCTAGGTAACTATATCTACGATCCTAAGAAACCCAAATTGTGGGAATTGCAAAATGATTTTTACTTGCACAACAATATGTCCAACACTGATGTGAGAAGAAAGATAAGTTATATTCATTGGTATAACAGTCATTACCTTTCAAAGGAAAGGTATGATCTCACAAAGGATATCCCCACATCCAGAATCTTAGAACAGTTTACTCCCTTCATATTTGAAAGGTTGAAGCCATATCCCGAATTCAACGATAATTGGTTCAATGAGTGCTACGTACCAAGGAAGTACCAGAGTTTCACTGACTTATTCATGTTCAATATGAACTCAAACTTGAGATACTTTCCATCTAATGTGTCGAATAAGAAGAACTTCGATTATTCCCCATTTGAGTCACGAAAACAATTAATCAAACGAGAAGACAACGGGTATGAACCTTCGAGTCCTGTCAAATCCAAGCCACTGCTCAACGAATTTCCCAAGAAGAGTGAACAGTATGAAGATAGTGATCTGGACTCCGAGTCAGTGGGGTCGGAAACAAAGATGTCAAAACTAGATGCAAATTCGAGCTACAACTATCTCAACATCACCAATACCAATAAGATCAAGAACTTGCTTACTTCAGGAATGGAAAAATTGGGTTACTCCAGAGTGAATGGATATCCAAAAAAGGATGAATACAAATTTTCTTCCTCTGCACCCAATACCCGAAATAATGATCATGCCGGAGACGGAAGCTCAGACTCAAGCTTAACTACGGTCAGCGACTCTGACAGAGAGATGTACTCTAAGCATTTGAAGTTTTCTTCATACACGTTACAGGATTCTATCCCTGACCTGCCAAGGGAAGCCCCCAGCGTCGACAGCTACAACATGGATCTCTACCGTAAGTATACAACAGTATTCGATGAGGCTGACTATGATCAGTTTTCGTCTGACATTTATTCACGATTCTATGATGTTTTCAGCTCACTGATGGCGGATTATAGTATCAACGCAAAATATCTTGACAATCACATAATGGAATTAGCACAAGATGATTACTTCACATAGACTAGTGCATATATTAAATAAGGTATGTACAATAATTAGTAACTTTCAGAAGGTTACACACGGAAGTAGTCCTCACTCATCACGAATTCTTTAAGGCTCAGAGGAAATCCAACTCCGAAGAAATCCAAACTGTTCATATCAGGATCCATTAGAGAGGATACTTGGGAGTCTGAATAAGCATCAGTATTTTTAAAGGTGTCTGGGATTGGGTCTTGGATCGCATTGCCAAATACATTCCAAGTAGCATCAATTTGGTTGATATGGAGCCTTTGGGTTTCAAGATTCTCTTGAAGAGATTTCCGATCATCATATGGAATAAGTTGTAACCACTCGAAGTTAGCACCCTTCTGAGCTGGCCAAGACTTAGGTTTACATGAGACGGTAGCGTTTTCAATAGTTTCAGCCAAATGTTGCATTTGAGGCACAGTGAACATCCAACGAGCACTATAACCTTCACATTGACTAGGAAACGTCAAATACATGTCTACGGTCTCCATGCTTAACATCAACATTTTCACAATAGTCCAGTAAGTGAAGAACCTATTTGCATAAAACCCACAAAAGCTACAAGCGTAGCTCCATAAACGACGGATGTTGGAGGTGATATCGTAATAAAACTTTGGAGGTTCCACCCCCTCCTTATCCACCTGGTACCTGATAGTATGATTCATATGAATGATTGCGGTAACACTGAACAAAAGAAAGACTATAAATAGTCTGGTAAATATGGTTCTGGTGAACATGAAGAGCATTGGATCAATATGATCCTTGTTTTCAAAGATAATTGCCAACAGGGGAAAAAATTCTCCAAAGAAAATTTCCATTACCCGACTATAGTACTTGTACAGAAGCTGTACATCACCCTTCTTTTCATAGACGAGGTAGAGGGCATAGTTCAACCTCAAACAACAGATTTTGAATGAGAAAAGGTGATATAATTCCAATACACTTTTAGGGTCGTTTTGAATTTCAACTTGACGAAGGACTCGGGAAACGAATGGTCCATAGCTCGATTCAATGACAGATTCAAATTGGCTCGTCAAGTTTGCAAACTGGTCTACACCAGTACCTTTAGTCAAGTCTGAAGCAAGAGCTGTCAACTTTTGAAGTATGGCTCTTAGTGAAAGTGACCTTGAAAAGGCATGGTAGAAACCATCGTCTCCAGGAATGTTGACTTTTTCTAGATTCACATTGGAACAAGTCAAGGAAGTCATTTCACGCCCAAAAACAGCCACTTCATAGAGTTCTAGAGAAACAAGAAAAAACCACAATTTTCTTCTTCGATTCTGGTCCATCCACGGTGTCTCCACCCCCGGATCCCTGTGCAAACCACAAGCAATTGCATAGGGAATAAGGATTCGTACATAGGTGTCACCTTCTCTTACCCCATCACCTTCATCATGGGAAAACTCTTTATGGACCTTTGCAAAAGTATGGGCTTCAAGAACTTCTATTATAGGTACCTGCAGCAATGGAATCTCCTTCAAACATTCTCTGGCTATGGAAATGACATCCACATAAATGGGGAATGCAGCGAGATCCATGTTTGTGGATTTTTGACCAATGGACACCATATACAAATAGGTTAGTCTCAACAAGTATAAGAGACAACTCAAAACCGCCAAGTCAGATTTTACCTCAATATTCAATCGGACCCCAGGGCTATTATTATCTCTTTCAAGGATAATCCTTCCAACCGCTTTAGAAAATCCAACTTGCTCGACGATGGGAAAGTATGGGCCCAAACGCTGAAACCACACCTCCATATACCGAAATATAATCTCCCTGGATGGCAAAATGTACGAAGCTTTCAAGTATAATGAGCAATCGGAGATATAGTTATCAAAAAACATCACACGGCCAAACTGGCTTTGGTAAGCATTTATGGCCTTTTTCACTTCAAACGAAGGTTTGGCATTGTTAGGAATATAGCTGTCGCCGAAATACACCAGGCATTTTTTTTCCACTGTCTTGTAGTGCTCAGGATCCTTATCCAAGAGCTGTCCTACTCCTTCCAATTTGCACAAAGCTATTTTTTTCTTGTGAAACTTTTCACCATTGGTATACCAGAAGGCATTATGGGCATTATCTTTAGCGAGTACCATAAAAAACGAAAGGTGATTTCCCATATACATGGCACTCTTTCGCATAATCGAGTCGTCCGTAGAGGGAAAGAAGAAGTTAGGGATTGTGTAGTCATCATCCACAGAAGGCGATGGTGGCTCCCCATAACTTAGACTTTTCACTGAAGGTGAGTGCAGGCTCGATCCAGGACTTGCGAGAACCAGAACCATCGCTTCTAGCTCCTCGATCCTGTTGCTCAACTTGGCCACCTCCAGCACAGTTGGATCTGTTGTGACGACTTTTCCCTGCTTGGCCAACTCAGTCTGGATTGCAGAGTAGCGACACAACTCTCCGATTCCGCGGGCTTTACAGCTATTACATGGTACCTGCCTGTCACACTTGATCTTTCTACCGTGGCAACCGTCGCACACAAGCACGAGTCTCAGTCTTTTTTTTGTGGTCATCTAGTGTATGATAAGGGACTTGTAACAATTAGTTCAAGAGGAGAGGGCGCGCGATTGTTGCAAAAGGTCATAAATAAATTAGCTGCAAAAGACGAACAATATTAAAGTCTGAAAAAAGTATCGTTGACAAACAAGTCGTCCAAAGAGAACATATTCTCGACACCACTCATAATGCCGATACTGGGGTCCATCACGTCGGTGTTTAGCAAATTGTCAATTTGTGTGGTCTGCAATGTCTCGTCGTTCTTGAAGCTGGCAGGAATTGTCTCCTTCATCGACGCCACACAGTTGTTCCAGGTATTGTCAATCTGGTTGACATGGAGCCGCTGTATATCCATGTTTTCTTCGACACTCTTGGAGTTGTCAAACGGCACCACGTTAAGCCACAAGAGCTGTGTTGAGAGCTCAAACGGAACCATCGAAGGTTTAGCAGCCACCACCGCAACAGTCTCCTCGAGAATCTCACAGAGCTCATGCATTTGCGCCGATGTGAACGACCAGCTGGCCTTTCTGCCCAAGCAGATATCCTCGAACGTCTGGTAACTGCCAGTTTCGATCATTCCGTAGAGAGAGGCCTTCATGGCTCTCCAGGCGGTGAAAGTTCTTCGGGAGAGGCACCCGGTGTAGGTACAGATGTAGCACCACAAATACTGAACGTTTTTGACCAATTCGAAAAGGTGCTTGGGTTTGTCTTCGGTGCCCGCGTAGAGCCTGATGGTGTGGTTAACGTGGATGGTGAAAGTGGCACAGTTCAAAATATAGATGAAACAGAGACGAAGAAACAGCGAGCCAAGGATGATAGAGAACATGGGGTCAACCCTGTTGTCGTTATCAAAAGCCACTGAGATCAACGGGGTGTTTTCAATAAAGGTGATGATCAGAAGTCGCTTGTAGAACTTGAACAGCTGGGAAATATCGCCCTTTTTCTCAAAGATGATGTAGAGACAGTAGTTCAACTTCATCATGAGAAGCTTCATGGCAAACAAGTGGTAGGTGTCCCAGGTGCTCTTTGGATTATCAAACATGTTCACCTGGTTGTGGAACTGGGTGCTGAGGTCGCCGTAGGCATTGTCAACAAGAGCCGCAAGCTGTTCGGACAAGTCGATAAACAAAGTGACATTCGTGGGCACGTTGATGTTCATCAACATCTTCATCAACTTGACCATAAGCCCTCTCATGGGTAAAATCTTCAAGAAAGTATGGTAGATGAAGTCATCACCCGGTGTGTTTGTTTCCTCGAGCTTCACATCTGCATAGTCCAACTCAAAGAGCCTCCTTCCGTAGAGAGCCAGCTCAAAGAACTCCTGACTGAGCAAAAAAAACCAAAACTTACGCCGGTGGTTTCTCTCGATCCATGTCAAGTCTTCATGATGGTAGATGTCGGGATCACGGTTCAAGCCACACGACGAGGCTGCATAAAGCAAGGTCCGTACGTACATGTCTGTTTCTCTTATACCATCTCCTTCGTCGTGCGAATAACTCTTATACACCTTAGCCACGGAATACGCCTGGAGAGCTTCAAAACTAGGCCTCAACGACATATTGAACTCCTTCAAGCACTCTTTGGCAATATGTACCGCATCAATGTACACCGGGAATTTCTCGAGGTTCTTGTATCTGTTGGTGGTGTTATTGGCAACCATAACGTACAGGTAAGTGAGTCTCAAGATGAAGAGAAGAGACGCCAAGTTGGCCAAGTCCGGCTTCTTTTCAATGGACAACTTTACCCGCACGTCACCATTGTCCCGGTCAGACACCAAGCGGGAGATGACGGCGGTGAACGCAATCTTCTCGAATATGGGGAAGTAAGGCTCCATTTTCTCAAACCAAACCGTCAAGTACTCCAAGATTATGGGTTTTGGAGGAAGAATATGAGTTGCCTTGACGTAAATCGAGCTGTTAGGAGGAATATAGTTATCATAGAACATCAAGGGGCCAAACTGGCCCATGTACAAGTTGATGGCGATTTTCACATCTAGTGAGATCGTGCTGTTTTTGACGTACTTGGGAATATACGAAGCTCCAAAATACTCCTGAGCCCGGGAGTCAACCGTCTGGGTGAGTTCTTCGTTCCGATGGTCGAGCAACTGGCCCATTCCTTCGACCTGGTGCTTCAAGAATTTATCCTGCTGGCTGGGATTTCGGTTGTAGTGCCAAAACGAAAGGTAGGCAGCGTCTTTTCGTAGTATGGAGAGAAAGGAGATGGGGAAACTGATGATACACGACTGGTTAACCCGTACACACGAGCCGTTTTCGAACGGGATCATGAAGAAGTCGGTGGTTTCGTTTGTATCTGAGTATTCTGTGGTGGATGGAGATGATTGGAAGTCACTGGGAGTATTGAAGGAGCTGTTTGAATTGGAGAGCAGGGCCACTCCGATCATTGCCTCGAGCTCCTTGACCCGGTGCCGTAACACCGTGAGCTCGGAGGCGGGTTCGTCGGAGCTTTTCACTTCGTGGGTGGATTTTCCCTGTTTGACAAGCTCCTTTTCAAGATCTGAGTACCGGCACAAGGCAGAGATGCCCCGAGCTTTACAGCTATCACACGGGAGCTTACGATCACACTTGATCTTACGGTGGTGGCAGTTGTCGCATACGAGGATGATTCTCTGTCTTTTTTTGGCAGCCATGGGATAGTTATAGGTGATGGTGCCGCACGGTTAGTAATTGAATAAGGAGCCGCACAATCTGTGCGAATCGGAAAATTTGTGAGGAGGATTCGCGGTGTGAGAATGAGGTAGAAAGAGGGCAGAAGAAGGTAGAAAGAGGATACAAACAACACTCAATGACTGAAGTAGTCTACTTATGCATTAATTACCATATTACCGAAACAACCACCCGTCAGCGTCGCCCTGCGCCCGCCACTGGGCCTGGATTGCACTGCTGTTCTCATGGCGATAAAGCCGAATGGCCTCCCGAATATGCTCTGGCCTCAACGGGCTCTGGGTGTCTCCGTCGTACGTGAGCCTCGAATTACTCACCTCGATATCCTTACCGTTCTCTATGTTCCGAAGCGTCTGGCGCTTGCGCTTTTTCTTGCCCTCTATGTCCATGATCAACTTGGCCTTGTTCTCTCGCTCTTGCACTTCAAAGGCCTTGGTGATGATCTCCGACAAGTACAGTTTCGACAACCCCGCGAGAATGATCGCAAGGTGCGGAGGAATCGAGTGGCCTAGCACCCCGTTACAGATTTTCTTCACCCCGGGCTTGTTGATGGTACTACGACGGTACGCTTCAAACCGGTCCATCTGATCATTATTAAAGTTGGCCATGATCAAGCGCTTGCGTTCTTCCTCGCCAAGGTCCTTGTCGACCTTCATTTCACGAAGACGCTTGTACCGCGACACGAGCGCCGGGTCATTGATCTGCTCGAGTTCGGTATCCGATATGTCGCTGGCGCTGCTGTGGTCGTCGTCGGAAATACGAAGTACATCATCATCTGTCTGGTGGGCAATCGAGCCATACAACACGCGGCCGATGATCTCTTCATCTTCTTCGTCCAAACTGACGTCGCTCATGTCGCTGTCATCGGTTCCGGCCGTGGGTTCATCAGGGTTGTGTGACATATTAGTTGATGTGAAGAACAAGTTTGGGTCGCATTTCGCGACCTTTTGTATTGGCATTCTATAAACATGTGGATTTGAGGGTGTTGGTAGTTTCTTGATGGAGACGCTTCCATGGTACGGGATACTGCTGGAGCTGGCTTATAAAGCCCCTGACGTTGGCGAGAATGGGTTTTTGGGCCGGGTGATGTGGATTCTGGGCCAATCTATCCAAGATTTTGTTGATGTTCCGAAGCACTGAATGCTTGAGAAGAGCCCCCAAACGGATGTTGACGTTGTTTGAAGGGTGAATCAGTACCGGGAGCTCCAGGGCCAAGCTAGCGTAGATATCATCGAAAAAAGCCTCGAATTTGCCTGTGGTTTCGTTGTTGAGCATGGAATCAGCCGGTAAAACCAACTGGAACACCGAATCGTTAGGAATTCCAGCAGGTAGTTCCTCAGTCTTGGGGGTACCTGTATCAAGGACCTCGAAGTAGAATCGGTGGGGTTGAGGACTCACTTGCAGTTTTGCAACCTTGGAGTATTTTGCAGTCACATTGAATATATTGTTTGAAAAGCGATTGAAGCCTTCAGAACACATTTCCGCCACCGCCTCGTACGAATTGCCTGAGCCGCTGCTCACTTGGATGACTTCAATTGGAATCTGCTCATCAAGTTCCTCATATTGGTAAGGATGTAAATCAGCATATAGCAAATAGTCCAACAACGTCTGCACCACGAAATACGGCAAGTCGTTCGAGTGGACGGTGCTGAGCATGTAGATGAGCACCACGTGCAGAAACCGCTGGTGAATGATGGCGGAATCGGAACTGCCGAGATGCAATATCAACACGTAGTCATCTTCAAGTTGTATTTCCTCACAGTTGGGATCCATTGGTGGCTCCTTTAGGTTATCCACAAGCTTGAACTTGAGACTCGTGTTGTATGTGGCAAGTTCCGAATCCAATTGGATCTGGGCTGCATCTATCAAATCTGGCAAGTGCAACCCGGCGTCTCCAAATTTGACGTAGATAGGTATAGTAATCTCGAGACCATCGACGAGATTCTGGACTTTCTGGAGCTCACCCGTCAACAAAGGCTCTAAAGGCTCTATGAGTACGTGTAGGAACGGTAGAAGGACCAAAAGGACAAACCAGCCAAAATATGCTTTAAACCCCATAACTAGCCATAGTACTGCGAATCAAGCGACTGCGCGAAATCCATCGCGCACAGATTTTTTTGAAGATGCAAAATGTCTGCACCCGTGCCTAGCCTACCACCAAACTTACCTGCGGTTGAGCAGGAACAGAGCTTGGTGCACGACGTATACAACGATATAGCTGGCCATTTCTCACAAACACGGTACAAGCCTTGGCCCATCGTGGAAAAGTTTCTTACTGCCCAGCCCAAGTACTCCATAGGAATCGATGTGGGATGTGGAAACGGAAAGTACTTGGGCGTCAACAAGAATTTGTTCATCATAGGCACAGACCGGTCGGAGGGGTTGATCAGATGTGCCCACGACATTTCGCTGGACTTTCAGCTTGGAGTCAGTGACGGTTTGCACTTACCTCATGAGTGCAACCGGTTTGACTTTGCCATTTCTATAGCAGTGATACACCATTTTGCCACCGAAACAAGGAGGATCGAGGCCATATCGCATATACTATCCAAGTTACGTGTCGGAGGACGGGCGTTGATATACTGCTGGGCATTGGAACAGGAAAACTCCAGAAGAGGGTATAAAGAAGGAGATGAACAGGACATTTTGGTGCCGTGGGTGTTGAAAAACAACCAGAAGAAAGACAAGGCGAGTAAGAAGAAGAGCAAGAAGGGTCTGAAAAAGAGCGACAAGGAGAGCGAGTCTCCTACCGAACTTGTTGTAGAGCCCGAATTAGAACCAGAACCAGAACCTATCACAAAATACAGATACTACCACTTGTACAAAAAAGGGGAGCTTGTGGATAATTCCAGGAGAGCAGGGTCGTGTACGATAGTGGACGAAGGATACGAACGGGACAACTGGTGGGTGATTATCGAAAAGACACCCTGAGGGTCAGAAGTTAGATAGGCATATAAATGAATGCAAAAAACCACTTAAACTATATTTAAACCTTGTCTATTGAAACCCACTCCTGTGCTAACATATACCTGGGTACCCATCTGCTTTTGCAATATGCACATTTCCTATCTGGTTGGTGTAGGAGAATGTATGAGAAATGTACGGGCTCGCGCAGTTTTTGATGAAAAGTATCTTGCCCATGTTATCGCCAAATCAAAAAAAAGACAAGGTTATTCGATCCACAGACCTTGACGCATTGGCGTGCAGGCTCAGCTGTGCCCAACAAGGGTACTTCCTTCCAATGGACAACAACATCTCCAAATTGGTGGCATCCTACTCTAAGTATTTGCAGTTCTGCGAAGGCTACACAAACCTATCAGCCAGCAGAACATTCAGAATGGCTTTCAACGACAGGAAATTCCCCATAATAAACCGTGGAACGTATCTTCGAACACAGCTGATCAGTCAAATCGTGGAAGAATTCATCAAGGAGTTTGGCACTTGCCAGATCCTCTCTTTGGGAGGAGGTAGCGACACCAGATGCTTCAAGTATGTGTCACCGAATGTGAAGTACTTGGAGATTGATTTCCCCGAGACCGCAAAGATCAAGAAGTTGACGATTTTGGGGGACAATGGGCTCCGGGCGATTGTCAAGTACGAGGGTGAAGAGCATATAGGTCTTGATGTCACCACCCGAGACCAGTTCAACGACATAGAGCCAGATCTTCATACGTCCAACTATCACATTATCGGGTACGACTTGCGCAAACTCACCCATTCGAGTGAAGTTCTCCAGTTTGTGGACTCGCTGCTTCCTACGCTAGTACTCAGTGAATGCGTTTTATGCTACGCGAGTCCTCAGGAAAATGAGAACATTATCAACATCTGGAGCAACTATTTTGGAAGTACGTTGATGTCACTCATTGTTTATGACCCCATTTCGTTGAAGGATGCCTTTGGTGCTCAAATGGCCGATAACCTCCAGAGGAGAGGCATTAATTTGCTCACGTTCAATGCATTTGCGACTGTCGAGTCGAAGTTGGAGTTTTTCCATCAGCTCGGCTTGAAAAATTCAAAGGTCACAGATATCAGCAGTGTTGGGGGCTACGAGTCAACGGGAGCATGGTTTGATGAAGAAGAGGTGAAAAGAATCAGCAAGTTGGAAATAATTGATGAAGTTGAGGAAATCAAGCTTTTGTTTCTGCATTATTGTTTGCTTTATGGAGAGAACCAGTCCTCTAGATCTTTTAGGGCCATCAATAACTGGAGGTGGAAATTGGAGTCAGACTGAAGCAGCAAAAAATTAATGGAGTTTGGTGCTGCAGGGCCATTTTATGAATTTTAGTACGACAGCTGTATATAATGAATATAATGAATTGAGACCCAACCCGTTACTGGTATCATTTGTGATATCCAGTATATTCTTTATGATAGACTTTTAATAGTAACGAAGTCGGTATTAGCAAGGAGACATCAGCATAGGAGTTTGTGAGCGGGTGCAAGAACCACCAGTTTTTGCTGCACTAGCTCAGTTGGCAGAGCGTCAGTCTCATAGTTGCAAAATTGTGTCATCTGAAGGTCGACAGTTCGAACCTGCCGTGGAGCAAAATCTTTTTTTGCTACCCCAACACCCTCAACATCTCCAACTTCTTACATACCACACCCATACTACCTTATTCTCCTTTTCCACACCATCTACCAGGCATCTCCACCCACGTAAATATTGGTGTTTCGCTAAAAGTGAAGCGCCCTAAAAGAATGCGAAAAGTTTTCAAAATCCCTTTAAGCGCATACCTCATCTTATCAGATATATAAGGACATCAGCGCCCCATTGATTTTCCCCCAAATTAAATACCTCCAATATGGGCCAATTATCGTCACAAGGCAATAACGCCATAATATATCTCACCTATGCGTTCCTCTTAGCTACTGGATTGTTCTTGGCGTTCAAATACTCCAAGAGCGCAACCTTCTTGTCCTCCAATGGTACTCAGAGAGCCGCTCCTTTGGTGTTGAATTTCGTTGCATCAGGTATGTAAACCCCACCAAACACAAAACAAACTCGACAATACTCAAACAATATATAGGGAATGCTAATGACACATCTGCAACAATAAGACAACGGGTGCATTCATGTGAGTGCTGAGATTATACCGGTTTAACTCGATCAAGTTCGTACTTGCGTGAGGATGTTCTTATTGTGGAATTTAAATACTAACAAACTTTCAGCCATGGGATGTGGAGTTTTGACCACGTATGCCCAGATAGCTAACATCTCGGGCTTACACGGATTATTGGTATACACCATCTGTGGAGCAATCCCCATTGCTTCGTTTGGGTTTTTTGGGCCCATCATCAGGAAAAAGTGCCCTGATGGCTTTATTTTGAGTGAGTGGGTCAGACACAGGTTTGGGATTGTTACTGCATTGTACTTGTCGCTATTTACGTGCTTGACGATGTTTTTGTACATGGTTGCTGAATTGTCGTCTGTGAGCTTGGCAATTGAAACCTTAACGGGATTAGATGCTTTAGGGGCCGTCATTGTTGAGTGTGTGGTCACCACCATCTACACCTCTGTAGGAGGCTTTAAGGTGAGTTTCATCACCGATAACTTTCAGGGGGCTTTGGTGTTGTTGCTTATAATCATATGTGCGGCAGGAATGGGGTCTTATATCGACATAGACACCTCCAAAATAGGCCCTTCCCACTTGCTTCAGGCCAATAAGTTAGGCTGGGAGTTGATCTACGTATTTTTTGTGGCTGTTGGTACAAATGCCTTCTTCTTGAACTCGTTTTGGTTGAGAACTTTTGCTAGTAAGTCCGATAGAGGTTTGGCTATCGGTACATCAGTTTCGGCTGTGATAGTGATGGTCATTTGTACCTTGGTAGGAGTGCCAGGGTTTTTGGCCGTGTGGTCGGGTGATTTGACGGTGGGGGATGAGAACGGGTCTATGGCCTTTTTCATTCTTCTTGCCAAGATGCCTGGGTGGATCATCGCGTTTGTTTTGATCTTCACCATCACCATTTCCACTTGTACTTTTGACTCTTTGCAGTCTGCCTTTGTGTCAACCATCTCCAATGATATCTTTAGAAACAGGCTTAAGACCATCTGGGTTAGAGCAATGGTGGTGATAATGATTGTACCGATTGTGGTGTTGGCCGTCAAAGTGGCAGATAATATCTTACAGATTTATTTGATTGCTGACTTGATTTCGAGCTCTATCATCCCAATCATATTCTTAGGTTTGAGTGACCGGTTCTTTTGGTTTTTGACGGGAGTGGATGTGATGGTTGGAGGATTAGGAGCTTTGGTTGCAATTTTTATCTTTGGAACCGTCTATTATGGAACCGCCAAAGAAGGGGGGAAGTTGTTATTGATTTGGAACGGATTATATGATGCTGAAGACTGGGGTGCCTTTGGGGCGTTTGTAATTGCCCCATTTGGTGGGATTTTAATTGCATTAGTGTGTGTTGTCGCCCGAGTGGGTGCGATTTGGGTGTATTGCAAAATCACCAAAAAACCATTTACGGCTTTGCAAAGACCCGTTCCGGTCGAGATTGTGGAAGAAGAATTTGACAGTGCCTATGGGTCCACCAACGCTAAGTCAGACGATTAGTGATTCACAGGACAATGCTTTCTTGTTTAATCACGCGCCTGTCTAATGTGGATCTCGGTTCCATCTTCTTATTCCCCTATTCTACTACTATACAACAGTCCTAGAGTCCTTATTGTCCCCGTTCACAAAAGAAGTGAATATTTTATCTACTATTCAGGGAAATAGTAAACTATACTTAATTATAATTACGATGACCTTTTATTCCTCATACTGTTGGGATTTTGGACATCATTATCAAGTGTGATTTCTCTTTGAGTTTCTTCTTCGAAACGGTTTACACTTTCTTTAGCAATAATATACAGATACTCAGGGTCCTTCTTACGCCACACCTCGATAAACTCTTTGATCCGCTGAGATTGGAAACTTTCAACTTCTGGCGTGTCATCACTTTCCTCACTTTCCTCTGTAGGTGGGTTGTAGTGTGAGAATATAAACTTTCCCTTATCCATAAACATATTTTCGTAGTTGACAGCAAAATACGGCTAAACCGGCGTTCTCTATGGTGATCAATCCCTTTAAACCCTTTAAATAATCCTCCTGTGTCTTCGGCTTCTTTGTCAACTTTGGCATGAATATAGTCAAACCTGATGCAATATAGTTGTTTGAATCTTTTGATTTTGACTGATCTTTCCAGAAAGAACAAAACCCTGCATTGAAACCCGAAAGTATGTCGATTTTGCACCTATGACTTTGGTTTAAGTCGTTTACCTTTTGGTAGTGTTCGATATCATTCTCAAAATATTGTTGAATATTGTAACGAGCATCATCATACTGATACTTATAACTCCAATTCGAAATAAAGTAGTAACCAGGGTCAAAAACTTTAACGACGATTTCTTCACCTGGTATGTCAAGCAGCAAGAATGTTGAGGCCAAATATTTGTTGGGTATGCAGAAGATTTGAGAGTATAAGCCAGGTTCTCTTTGGATTTCATCTGTTGTTTTCAAATCATAGTAGATGTAAGTGTGCTTCAAGTGATTTAAGCTCTTCTTGAACCATTGAAAATTCCTAGTAGTCATTGTTTCATCGAAGTAGAAATCCAAATACGTCTTCTTTGCCCAATTGTTTGCTTTGCTGAAGATTGTATTAATTTATTTTTTGTAAACCTTTGGCTTCATTCTTTGAATTTCAGCAATTTTGGCAAGCATTAGAGCAGCAGGAGGATACATTTCAGGATTTTCATTGTATATCCTGCTTGATATTGTGATATCCACTTTAACGCTCATCACCTTATCATTGATATCTGTGATAGTGGTGAAGATATGCACTATTGTGTCTGAGATGTATCCCAATTTACATTTGGCCATGATTTGATAAGCAATGAGTTGGTTCAAAGAGCCTTCCAAACTCTTAGTTATTGAATCATTTCTCTCGCTGACATTAATGAAGATCATATAGTTGCAATCATGAAGCTGTTTAATCCAGTGCTTAATCGATGGCTTTTTGACTTCTCCAACGATGATACTACCAAATCTGGGTAATCCAAGGACAGGTAAATCAGGCAAGCAGTGCAAGGTAGTCATTTTATAGTTAAGAAGGGTTTTGAAATCGATGCCGTCCGACTTTTCCAATGACAGTCCAAAAAACAACCGGCTTATATTAGTTACCAAGTCGAAAACCATTTCCCTTGCAATATTAGTCATAGTTGCCTCATGAAGTTTTCTCTTCCGATCCAATGTCATCCTTGGTACTCGAGATGCTTGGAGAAAGGCAAAGATATCCAGGTTCATAAGCATTAATGGCCGAGAACGGTTACAGACCATTAACAGTATAAGATACTTCCATTGTTCTTCAACAAAGACCTTATGGGATGGAAGACTTAATTCCAACGAAATGGTATCTTGTACTACCTCCGTAAAAGTGTTAGCAGTACCTTTCGATTTTGTACTGAGGTCAAAGTCTGTGGTTTCACAGATCAGGGGGAAGTACATGAGAATCACGTACCATATTGGTGTGGTTTCTATCATTGGGTCGTCTTTTGGTAATTCCCCAAAACTTTTGTTACATCAAACTCAAGATTTTTAGGGACTTTATTGTTTATCTGGGGGAAGTCTTCAAGCTTAGCCTTCAAATATTCATTAATATGTACTTGTTGGGTACTAGAAGGTTCTTTATACTTCCACATTTTGGGAATGTATTTCTAATTATGAATTTGTGGATGATACTTTTGCACCAGATATGCGACTAAATGCAACACGGTAGTGCGCAGTAAGTTCGAGAATATTTTTGCAGCCGAAGCTTGGTGATCGTTAACTCATCTAAGCAATCATATATTGTGTAAATTGTTAAATTAATAACCACTACAGGTTCTTTTACAGCAAGAAAACTGTGCTTTCGCTGGATAGTGATTTCTATTTAGTAAACCGTGGCTAAAAAAAAGAGATATGAAGTTACCCCCTAAGTAAAATGCTTTGGAACGAGGCCACCGCGAAGAAATATATTTACGGTGATAGAATCAGAGGTTTGTACGGTGGGTAGCATTACGTCTACGCGACATTTATACCAAATAATTACTTTGGAGCTAATTAGCGAATATATGCAATGGTTAGCACCTCTATATTTGAAAACGAGCTATTGAACCTACCAGATAATTAGGGCACAGGTTTTATGATCTGTCATTAGTTCATTGCACTCAGATTACCTATTTTGACACTAGCCGGGTACACGACCATCAGTCGCATAAAATTTTTCAATCGGTAAACCTCAACTTTTGTTCAAGCTAGGCTAACAGATGATATTTGGTACCTTAGCGTCAAGGCTCCCTCGTGCGGGTCTTCTCAACCTTTGGGGAGCACGCTATAGCAGCTCATTTTTGGGAAGCTTGGCCCCCATAGAAGGAGCTGTCGTAAGCTACAAGAGATTAGGTAGAGGGCAAGCTTCTGGTAAAGGTAAAACCTCTGGAAGAGGTCAAAAGGGTCAGAAAGCCCGTGGTAAGGTACCCAAGTGGTTTGAAGGTGGGCAAACACCTTTCTATAAGCGATTCCCCATCATAGGCTTCAAAAGACCTCACAGAAAAGAATACAACCAATTGAACTTGGAAAGAATTCAAGAGTTCTGGGACAACAATAGAATCAATCTACAACCAGGAGAGTTGTTGACCATACAGAAAATGAGAGAGTGCGGATTAGTGACGGGCTCTACTAGAGATGGTATCAAGATCTTGGGAAATGGGAAAGAAACATACACGGTTCCAATACATATTGAAGCTTCCCGAGCATCCATTGGAGCCATTAAATCCATTGAAAAGACTGGCCATGAATTCACCGCCAAATATTTCACCAAATTGGGATTGAAGGCTCACATAAACCCCGACAGATACATCTTAAAGAAGGGATACTTGCCATTGCAAGCTAGACCTACGCACAGAAGAGATATCGAATTCTACTCAAATCCCCATAAAAGAGGATACTTATTGAAAGACCCATCTTTGTTGTTGGCACACCGGGGACAGACCAAGGCCGTCAAAAAGGTGGTACGTAAGAGTTATCTTTCATCTGAGTTGGAAGCGGCTTCCGATGCCAAAATTCCGGATTTTGCCCAGTCCACCGTATTGAAGTTATCCGAGTTGTAGCTGTAGCTTCTTGTATATATTAAATCTATAGTGTTACTCAATCTATAAACGGCTTTATTGTTCAATCCACAAATGGGTTGTCTGTGTCGACATCTATGTAGATCTGGAGAAGCTTTTCCACCACATCTTGGATATCATTGAGATGCACTGGCTTATTAGAGAACTTTCTCATAGCAAATATGGCCGACTTGTAAGTCATCAGGTAGATTTCTTTGATTTTGATTTTCTCATTGGCGGAGTTGGCAGCAGTGCTAGACATCCCTCGAAGCCGAAGCCCAGAAAGCACTACTTTAGATACCATGCTGTTGATTTGTTCGGAGTTATTGACCGAAGAAGTGGGAAGCGGTGTACTGGATTTAGACCGCTTCTTCTTCTCCAAAACCTTGTCAATCACATGTATGCTATTGTGTCGCGTCTTGAGGTCAACCACTTCGGTGAGAGTTCTGTCCCCAAACTTGTCTTCGTTGTTGTCCTGATAATCATTAAGCCGTGCGACTATAGTCAAGTCCACTACAAGGGCCTTCACCTTCAATTCATGGATAAGCACTATCACGTACACGTTCTCATTGGTGGTGTTCTTTAGTAGCATTCCTATGCTCGAATCGCGGAGTGAGTGCTTGAGCAAGCGGTGTTTTATGTAGTTTTGGCATTCGTCCAGGGTGGAATAGACATCGATCATACCTGATTGAAGGAGAAAAACCGGGGTTTTTTGGTAGTTGACGTAGCACACATTGAGAAACCGGTCATGGGCATCGATGGGAAGCTGGTGTTTGCACGAGAGCTGGAAATCGTCTAGCTGTTGGTGTGGATCTTCTATGGATATAGGTAGACTCATGGCATGGGACGCGGATTGAGAAATTGAGACTCGAAAAGATGAACCAGTTTGGGGCCAGAAAAATGACATACATAAATAGAGAGCCAGCGGTGGTGGAAGGTGACGGGCCCGGTGTGCTGTATACTACTGTACTGATTTTGAAGAAAGATCGGGCTGCCGGGGTGTTTTCCGAAGATTTCCTGCTGTTCTCGAACCAAGTATCACCAGCACCTTAAAACCAGCACCTTAAAACCAGCACCTCTAAACTCCCCGCTCTCCCCCTATACTCCCTACGCCACCACCACCACTATAACCCCCATTAAAAAAATCCGTCCGATTATATTCTTCTTGGTCTCATCATCAGGCGGTCGCATCTCATTTTCCTCATTTAAATTGATCATTTTCTCATCAGTCATACCATCTTTACGTCCATGAGTGTCAGCGGTGTCCTGAAAGTGTACTCTGTTGCTCGCGTGTATGTGGACGCGAACAAGAAGAAGCCCAAGGAGTACTGGGATTATGAGAACTACAAGATCTCGTGGGGCACCATCAAGAACTACGAGATTGTCAATAAAATCGGTCGAGGTAAGTACTCGGAGGTATTTGAAGGTGTGAATGTCGTCAACGACGAGCCGTGTGTCATCAAGGTGTTGAAGCCAGTGAAGATGAAGAAGATATATCGGGAAGTCAAGATCCTCAAGAACTTGACCGGTGGTCCTAATGTCATTGGGTTGTTGGACATTGTTCGTGACGAACACAGCAAAATCCCGGCTTTAGTATTTGAAAGAGTCGACAACGTCGACTTTCGTGTGTTGTACCCCAAGTTCAGTGTCAGTGACATCCAGTACTACATGATGCAGCTCTTGATTGCGTTGGACTATTGTCATTCGATGGGGATTATTCATCGAGACGTCAAGCCTCAGAACATCATGATCGATCCCTTACACAAGAAGTTACGGTTGATCGACTGGGGGTTGGCCGAGTTCTACCACGAGGGTATGGACTACAATGTACGAGTGGCGTCACGGTACCACAAGGCTCCAGAGTTGTTGATCAATTTACAGCAGTATGACTACTCTTTGGACTTGTGGTCGGTGGGATGTATTTTTGCCGGGATCATCTTCAAGAAGGACCCGTTCTTCCGGGGGGATTCTAACAACGACCAGCTTGTGCAGATTGCAAAAGTGTTGGGTACCAAGGAGTTAATGAGTTATATCAGTAAGTATGGAATCCGTTTAAGCTCTGACTTTGACAACATTTTGGGCAATTATTCCCGAAAGCCATGGAAGAATTTCGTCAATAAGTTGAATGAGCCGTTAATGAGCGAAGAGGTGTTGGACCTCACGAATCAATTGTTGACATATGATCACCAGTTGAGACCTACGGCCAAGGAGGCAATGGACCACCCGTTTTTCAAGATTTAGAGATGATTTAGTCAGGGTTTAACTGGACACGAAGATCCAACTACCGTTCTATGGGCATCTATGTACAGAAATTGAAAACCTCCAAGCACATGAAAAATACCAATTTCATTTCACTTGAAAGCATGTCTTAAGCCGCCTCACTACCACATTATGTTTATAGAAAAGTTACGAGATATGTCCTTATAATGTCAATCAGCACAATTATCGTCTACTTATTGGCGGTGCCGTCTTGTAACTGACCCCTGAATTAACACAAAGACGCATAATTCTCTAATTATGTCTATTTACACTAAAGTCCTGGTTCGCGATGCGGTTGATCTAAACATTACGCGCCTTTTCGTAATTGTTTCATATCGTGTATCAAAATAGACGAGCATCCCACATATATATATATTTACAAAGGGTACCGATTGTGGAGCCAAGAACCCAATGAGCAGCATATTGAGATTTAAAGTGGGCCAGGTCCCTGAATGGGTCAACAAACAACATAAGACCATGTTAAGATGGATAAACTCCAAACTCAACTTGCAGCTAACTGATTTGTCCAAAGATTTGGGAGACGGATTGGTTCTCATTCAATTGACTAATGTTATCATAGCAGAAATGGACTTGGAGAAGACAGACCTCAAGCTCTACTTCCTCAAACCGTTGTATACGAACCCAAAGCTTCCCATCCAGAAAATGGAGAACGTCAACGACTTTTTGGAGTTCATTCGAATTGTCTTGAAGATTAATACCACCAGCATCAGCAGTGAAAGTATTATTGATGGGAACCTCAAATTGATCTTGGGATTGACGTGGTCGCTTTTCATATTCTCCACCACCAGTTCCATTGGACTCATGAATGACGGGAACTCAATTATTCAGATAAAACAAATCGTCTTGAAGTGGGTCAACTCCAAGTACAAATACAAGGAAATCTGCAACTTTGACAGGGACTGGTCTTTGGAAATCAGCGCTCCTGACAGTGTGTTGTGGTCGATATTGAAGTCGTATGTACCCTCTTCCAAGTTAATCAGATTGGGTGATTCTAAGCTACAAAATATGAAACTGATCCTTCAATTTGCCAACGAGTTGGGTGTCCCCAAACTAGCCGACGTGGAGGATTTCAAGACTTTGGTCCCTGACGAGAAATGCATTTTGTTCTTTATTCTTGAGTGGTTCAAGTTCTTTGAAATGGGAAATTTTGACGAACAATTGCAACCCGAGCCCAATGAGGAGAATTTTGCCGACGAGACTTATGACGAGGTATTGGTGAGGATGGCGGATATCATCAAAAACAAGTTTGAATACGAGACGGACTCACTCAAGTTCTCCAACAAAATAACATCGATACGCAAAAAGTTGGATGATGTTCCCAGCTACTTCGACGAGGAACTCTTTGAGGTTTTGTCTGAATGGGACAAGGAAGCGAAGAGTATAATTGATTCCAAGTTCTTGGCTCGTTTCAAGGATAATGAAGATTTTGTCGAGTTGACAGACATTTTACATCACAAGATGGGGAGCCTTTTGGACAACTTGAAAGAATACGAAGAAGTGGGCCAAATGATTGCAAAATTGACTTATAAGGACATGAAGAAGTTGGAAAATTTGTACAATGAGACCACCACAAGCTTGAAGCTGATTAATGATAAGTTTGAACTCGGCGTAACAAGTAGGTTGACTTTCGATGCACTCGATCTCAAGTTCTCCAAAGTAAGCAGCTTACAGAAACAAGAAACAGACCAAATCAAGGAATTCCTTGAGAAAATCTTAAACAATGAAGTTATCTGTAAGCTCAATGGATACTTGGTGAAGATTGAGGAGTATCTTACTCAAAGTGGAGACAAATTGGATAGTTTAGTGAACGAATTTGAAAAGTACATTCAATTCATTCACAAGGTTGACTACTATGTAAGAAACTTGAACTTTACGGTTTCGCCATCCAATCTTAAATACATTGAAACCTTTGCATCCACAACCGATACTGATATCGAAGCCAAATATGTCAACTTCAAAAATCAGCTTCTCAAATTCGATTCCAAGCTTATCACCAATGAACTTGAATTCTCCTTGATCTTGGAGGAACTCACTGGCGAAAGCTTGAACAAGGCCTACATCAAGAGCTTCATCAAGCTTGTTCCCATCAAGCTCTTGAATCTTAGCTTTAATGACAGTGACTTTAGCCTCGTGCTAGAGTCAGACGACGACGACAGTGAAATTGACAATTCCAAACTAATCTTCGAAACCCAGAGGCGCCGGGTCGGCAGTCAGTTGGGAAATGATAAGGTCTACGATTTAGCCGATTTCTTCAACAAGTTTGAAGACGGGTTGAAATTTTAACGTATATGTTACATTAGTTGCAAATATTTATTGAATGAGTACACGATTTACACTTTTGAGAAACATCTCTCGCATTTATCTCATCACCTGCTGTTAGTCTTTCAAAACATGGATACAGAAGAACCGTTGACTTCCAATGTCCGTCCAGCTACAGATGCCGTGTTGACCATCAGGATCATCAAGTCTTTTCCTTATAGAAATGTGAGAAACCATATCATCCACTCCATCAACTTGAAGGAAACCACTCCACAACAATTGTATGAGCAGATGAAACAAATTATCAACACCACCGGGGGATTGAGGCCCTATAGAAACATGGAGTATGATACTTTGAAGTTGTATACAAAGGCCCATGGCACCAAGTCGATGAACTTGGTGATAAATTTCGAAAACGACAAAGAATTTACTATTCTTTCACCTGATGTGAATCCTTCCCAAACTTTGTATGATCTAGGCGTGGAAAATGAAACCGAGATTAGCTTGTTCAAGTTGAGTGACTACTTGGCGTACAAGGAGAACCCCGAAGAAAAATGGTAAATATTACTATAGCTCAATATTGACGAATGTACCTACACACTTCTGGAGAGCGCAAAAAAGGTAGAATATGTAGTGGTCGATAGGTAGAGTGGGTGTAATGGTTCTTTAAACCATGGGACCAGTCTAATTGGGATGTTATCTTTAAAACGACCGCTTGCCGGCCAAACCGTCGTTTTTGGACAACAGCAACGCCTGGCTAGCTCAATCGGCTAGAGCGTGTGACTTTTAATCACAAGGTTGCGGGTTCGACTCCCGCGTCGGGCTATTTCTTTTTAGTCTCCACCATCATTAGCAGTGCTGGTAACAAGGGTCAGGTTTGGCGAATTATCACCACCTTGCTTTGAAACCTTGTTATTGGCGTCTTTTTTGGTATATTTAAGTTGTGCACTTTGATTTTAGAAACACAATGAAAATGAAGACAAATAAAGAATTACAGCACAGAGACGAATGAAATGATGGCGGGACCATTTAACCCGAAGAAATTATCTCTAGGAGTTTTTTGGCTCCATAATTATAGTGAAAATACTGCTGAGACATGAAAAAGGGTGAACAAGCAAGTAAAGAACGATTTAAACCGGCTGAAAACGGCCCGTGATGAACAAGAATCATTAAGAATGTAAAACATAAACACCCAACTCATCAACTCAACAATCCCTCTTCTACCTGTAAAATAATTACCCACCAATGGATGCAAAGTAAGCATCTTTCAATCGAGCTCTCACACCACCGAAGCGTGCCCGACCAAGAAAAACTGAGGTCGCGGACGATTTCATCCAATCACTGAAAACCTTTTGTTCATTAGAAAGGCTCGTTTTTTTTCATCAAACACCAGTGAAAGATTTATTTATTGAATCCCAAGCTTTTTCTAGACAAAAACACCCAGGTCATTTGATCATAAAACACTCGTGCCGTTTTGCATAAGCCCTTCCAATTGCATCACAGCCTACGCCTTTTGCAAGAGTCCCTCAATAACTAGCATATTCTACTTCTTTTGCATTTAGGTTGTATTACAAAAACAATTATTAGAATCGACCGTTTTTATTTATTCTAAGGAGTCACAAAGCTTTTCCAATATGTTCAGATCGTCCATCAAAGCGTCCAACACCGTCTTCCACAAAGCTGCTATTGCCTCGGTTGGGTTGACTGGTTTAAGTGCTTCCTATTTATTGTACAAAGATTCGATGACTGCCAATGCCATGACTGCTGCAGAACATGGATTACACCCTCCAAGCTATGACTGGCCTCACAACGGAATGTTTTCGACGTTTGACCACGCTTCCATCAGAAGAGGTTTCCAGGTTTACAAAGAAGTTTGTGCTGCTTGTCACTCATTAAACAGAATCGCATGGAGAAATTTGGTGGGTGTTTCCCATTCAGCCAGTGAAGCCAAGGCTTTCACCGAAGAGTTGGAGTATGAAGATGAACCCGATGATGAAGGTAACCCTAGAATGAGACCCGGTAAATTAGCGGATTATCTTCCAAGTCCTTACCCTAATGAACAAGCTGCTAGAGCCGGTAACCAAGGTGCTTTACCTCCAGACTTGTCCTTAATTGTGAAAGCCAGACACGGTGGTGCTGACTATATCTTTTCCTTATTGACCGGATACCCAGAAGAGCCTCCAGCAGGTGTCCAATTACCTCCCGGATCTAATTACAACCCTTACTTCCCAGGAGGTTCTATTGCCATGGGTAGAGTATTGTTTGATGAATTGATTGAATATGAAGATGGTACTCCTGCCACCACTTCTCAAATGGCTAAGGATGTTTCGACTTTCTTGAACTGGGCTTCTGAGCCAGAACATGATGACAGAAAGAAATGGGGATTGAAGGCCATCATAGTGATTTCATCATTGTACTTTTTGTCGCTTTGGGTCAAGAAGTTCAAGTGGCAACCAATCAAGAACAGAAAGATCAAGTTCAACCCTCCAAAAAACTAAATAATAGATAGCTTGTTTAATTTATAAGAGTAATATCTGCAAAGTAAAGATGGGTGGTGGGCCTGTCTCGGGTAGTTGTCAGTAGTTCAGAAACCCTACCAGCTAAGCTAAAACTATACCGGCTCACAGCATTTGAAAGTCCCACTGGTCGCTCTAACCATAACTATGTTCTCAGACACACCAAAGTTCTTACCAACCAGCTACCGGCACCTTCCGCTGGAAACGGGTCGTGTCCCCCTAACGCTCATCCGGCGAATTAAGTACTGCGGTTGCGCAGCCCGGCCCCCTCAAATCGCCGAAACCCTCACACCGCCGGTGCATAAAAACATCTCAAAATTCCCATTTTTTTTGTTGACTAAGGCTATTTCATTCACCTCATAGATTCTGTTAATAAATCAATAGAGCTTCGTCACCATGTCTAAGCCCTCACCAGATTATCAGTCGACCGAGAACCTCGACCTATCAAGCGAGACTTCATCTCAGCATCTCGTGAAGGATAATGTTTCCACCACCACAGACACATCCAAAACCAAACCGAGTCGGTTGGTGATTCTATTAACCTTGGCCTCCTCCATCTCCGGGTACATGTTCGGTTACGACACCGGATACATTTCGGGAGCGTTGGTGAGTATTGGCACAGATTTGTCCAATAAGCACCTTACTGATGGAGAGCAAGAATTCATAACTGGAGCCACGTCTTTAGGGGCACTTTTAGGAGCCGTCGTGGGGGGAGTATTGGCCAACTTCTTGGGTAGAAGAATGGTATTGTTGGGATCCAACGTGATTTTTGTGGTGGGGGCCATTATCCAATTGGCTGCCAAAACCGTGTGGACCATGATTGTGGGAAGATTTGTGCTTGGATGGGGAGTGGGAATTGCATCGTTGATTGCTCCCTTGATGATCTCCGAGTTGGCGCCTTCACGTTACCGGGGCCGGTTGATTGTCACGAACAGTATGTTGATTACTGCTGGTCAGTTGATTGCGTATTTCATTAATTGGGGGTTAACCAGAGTTAACCACGGATGGAGGGTGTCGGTGGGCTTGTGTATTGTCCCTGCAGTTCTCCAATTTGGGTTATTCTGGTTCTTACCAGATACTCCAAGATTCTATATCATCAATAACGACCCTGTGAATGCCAAAATGGTGTTGAAAAAAGTGTATAAGGATGCTGACGACGCGTTCATCGAGTCTGAAATCGCCGAAATGGTGGCTTCCAACTCCAATGTTCCAGGTGATGGTCCGGTGTCCAGAGCATGGAACTCAGTCAAGTTACTTCATTCTACTCCAGCAAATTTAAGGGCTTTGATTTTGGCCTGTGGGTTACAAGGAATCCAGCAGTTTACCGGGTTCAATTCGCTCATGTACTTTAGTGCTACGATTTTCGAGACTTGCGGATTCAATAATGCTACTGCTGTATCCATCATTGTTGCAGCTACCAACTTCACCTTTTCATGTGTCTCCTTATGTATCATTGACCATGTTGGAAGAAGAAAGACCTTGTGCATTGCGATTCCCATCATGTGTATTGCGTTGGTGATTTGTGCCATTGGATTCCACTTTTTGGGAGTCAAGTTTGGTTCTTCTGATGAAGTGATTGTTAAAAGCAGCGGTATTTCGGGTTGGGGAATCGTGGTGATTCTTTCAATGGTTCTCTTTGTGGGAAGTTACGCTATTGGTATCGGAACCTCTGCCTGGACTGGAGTTGAATTATTCTCTGATGTTAATGTCAGATCGGCTGGGGCAATGTTTGCAGCCGGTACTAATTGGGCTGGTTCCTTAACCATTTCCTCCACTTTTTTAACCATGTTGGAGAAAATCACTCCCACAGGAACCTTCTCGTTCTTCGCAGGTTTGTGTGTGATTTCGTTCTTTTTCATCTACTTTTTGTACCCTGAAGTATCTGGCTTGGAACTCGAAGAGACCACCAGATTGTTGACCGACGGATTCAACGTCAAGGAAGCCGGCAGGTTGTCCAAAGAGAGAAAGCATCGTAAACCCAAAACCCAGCCTGTGGTTTAGAGGTTCACTACTAAAGTTTATACTTAATTAATTAGTCATTTTAATATTCACAAACATTTGTGAGAATCGCTGCTGGCAGACATTTATCTCTCGCGAAATTCAGAAAACACCTTTTGGTTCTTCTACGCATCATCACATAAACACCTACACACTACAATACCATCATGGCAGGTACGTCAGCAAAGAGACACACGGCTAAGTACCAGTCCATCAACAAGTTCCAGGATATGAATCGATTAAAGAACTTTGAGATTTTGAAGAAACTAGGAAAGGGAACCTTCGGAGTAGTTCAAAAAGCCAAATACATAAAAACTGGCGAAATCGTGGCGCTCAAGCAGTTGTTGAATCACTCGGCCAAAGAGGGGTTCCCCATAACGGCCATGAGAGAAATTACAATCATGAAGAAGTTGAATCACACAAATGTTTTGAAGATCCAGGATATGATATACGAAGAGCCCAAAACCTCAACTTCACAGGATGTGGTTCGAGAGCGAGGCTGCTTCTACACGGTTTGTGGATACATGTCATCGGACTTGGTGGGGATCTTGCTGAATCCACACATCACATTGAAAATGCTGGAAATAAAATGCTTGATGATACAGCTTCTTAAGGGCATCCAATACATTCATGAGCAGAACTTCCTCCATCGAGACGTGAAAACCGCCAATATTTTGATAGATGAACACGGAACCCTCAAGATAGCAGACTTCGGGTTGGCCCGTGTTTACCACGGCACTCCACCCACTTTGGGCCAAGGTCCTGGCGGAGGAGAACGTAATTATACGAGTTTGGTGGTCACCAGATGGTACCGGCCGCCGGAAATTTTGCTTGGTGACCGCAAGTACACCACTGCCGTCGACATGTGGGGTGTGGGATGTGTCTTTGGAGAGCTCTTTACTCGCAAGCCTATTTTGAGCGGGAAAACAGATTCTCACCAGTGTCAGATAATCTTCCAATTATTGGGTAGTCCTACCACTGACTGGTCCGGTTCGTTGGACCTACCAAATAAGACCGACTTGAATATTGGATTGACGTGCAAACGTGTGTTTGAAGACGAATACGGTCCTATTATTAATGATGCCCAAGGACTAGATTTGATGAGCCATCTTTTGACCCTCAACCCATACAAAAGGTTCAACGCATTGGACGCCTTGGATCATCCATTTTTCACGATCGACCCACAGCCGACCAGTCCGTCCGAATTGAAGTTCGAAGAGTGCCATGAGATCGACAAGGAGAGATTTCAGAAGATGGGAGAAAGGCCAGTTACCAAGAGAGAAAGGCCTGAGACCCCCAAACAGAACGTCAAAAGACAGAACATCATACCTTCAGAGCCCAGGATTGCTTCTCATTCTCCTACGATTACCTCACACCCCGAATTGCCCAGTATTCCAATACCAAAACCTGCATTTCATAGTACAAAACCAGATACTGCCAGCCCCAAGCAACACAGTGGGATCTTCATGCCAAAGCGGCGCAAACAACGCCCGGCAGATATCCTAACCACAAGCAGGTCTCAAGACTCAGCCATACCATTACCTAAAAGGCAGAAGAGTGAACGGATGGACTTTGAAAGCGATTTGACCGATTTTGAGGAAGATGTATCAGAGCAGAAATTGCAGGTACTCAATCTAGAACTGTACCGTGTCAGCAGTGCCAGTCACGAAAACACCTAGTCAAACACATAAACGCATACTTTTAGAATAGACACTGTCCCCATAGAAACTGTTCCCAAAATGGAGCCATATACGATGGCCGAGTGCGGGCTTGGAAATGGTCGAGTTCCGAGGGTGCGACTGTGTGATGGAAAAGATAAAATCCTGCGGTCGCATCCGCATAAAGTGAGGCAAAGCATTATATAAACCTGACATCCTCCAGTAAATTCACACACAACTTAAGATTATGGCCACCTTGGAGGATTACTTCTCGTTTCAAGTGTTTCTCATCGTGTTGAGAGAAACTCTCGAACTGGCCATCATTGTGTCAGTATTGTTGGCATTTCTACACCAGAGTTTCATCACTCCCCACAATGCGTATTCCAGGTTGGGTCTGGAAGAGATCGACACCGATTTTTCGGATGATGGTGGTACTGCGCTGACGGTGGAAGGGCTGTCGGTGGTGATGGAAGAGCTGTCGGTGGTGGTTGAAGGGCTGTCAGTTGACCCACCAGAAGCCGTTCCCGATGAATCACTCTCCATCTACAAATACTTGAGACTACAGGTTTGGATAGGAGGATTTTTGGGTTTGGTATGCTGCCTAATATTGGGATCTGTCATTTTGAGCATATTCTACGTCATTGGAAATGACCTCTGGGCTGTGACCGAACACTACTGGGAAGGCACCTTTTCGATTGTTGCCAGCATCATCATTTCGGTGATGGGAATCAAGATCTTGCGAGTCAATAAGATGCAGGAGAAATGGAAGGCCAAGTTGACCACCATCATCAAGAAGTCGAATTACCTCAATAGGGTGGTAGCAGGCCAGAAAGGGTCTTTTGGCGAGTCTGTCGATACGTTTAGCGAAAAATATTCCATGTTCATTCTCCCGTTCATAACCACGTTGAGAGAAGGAATGGAAGCCATTGTGTTTATTGGGGGCATTGGAATCAACGAAAACACCTCTGTGGCGTCCATTGTGATTTCCACATTCACAGCCATAATTATAGGTAGCATCATTGGGATCTTGTTGTATCGTACCGGGAACTCATTGTCTTTACAGTGGTTCTTGATGTGTTCCACTGGCCTTCTCTATCTAATTGCGGCAGGACTTTTCAGCAAGGGCGTGTGGAATTTTGAATTGCAGAAATTCATCGACCGTTGTGATGGGTTTGACGTGAGTGAGACGGGCCATGGTCCTGGGTCCTACGACATCACCAAGAGCGTATGGCATGTGAACTGCTGTAACGGGGAACTTCAGGACGATGGGGCCTTTTGGATGATAGCCACGGCCGTGTTGGGCTGGACCAACAGTGCTACGTACGGAAGTATTTTCAGCTACTTGGGTTACTGGGTGGCCATCAGCTGTGTGTTCACGTCGTTAGTGTTTGAAGAACGGCACGGTTACTTGCCGGTAATCCCCGTAAAATTACAGAAAAGGAGAATTAAAAAGAAGCTTTTGGCCAATCAGATGATATACAATAGTGTTGCCAGGGACAGTCTCGACTCCACCTCCGGCTTAATGGCGTAGTTAAAGGGGTTTGAAAATGACATGGTTTTTTTATTATTTGTGTAGATGCCTATGATTAGCTCCTTTCGGAAAGATCGTCGACCTTAACCAAACTGACATGTGATCTTGCATATAAACATCTCGGACCGACAATAAAAAACTTATCTGATCAAATTACTTGCAGGCGCCGTGGTTGGAAAGCTCATATCACCCAGCATGTGACGGGGTCCGAGATTTATACTCGAGGCCCTAAGTAATATATATTGACTAGTTGCTATGCCACATGCACAAATGTGTCTGATTCGAGGTTTGCTTGGCTTTTGAGATTTTGACAGGAGGCTCCGGTCAAAATCTCAAAGCAGGAACGTATGCCCAGAAAAAACCCAAGAATAAACTTGGGATCCGCCTCAATGAGAGCGTAAAACTGCAGGCTTAACCATGTTAGGCTTTGCAAGTTAGGTTTTCCAAGTTAGGTTTCCAAGTTAGGTTTTACCAACAATAGCCAGTAATTGAAGCGCTTTTGAACCATTACGAGACTGTTCTAGCCCAGTTGAAACCCCATGGTTTTCTATATATAATGATCAACCCAGCTGATCACATTCCCAATATTCATTCTAAGCATGAAGTTTGCATTTAAGATGCGGTTGCTGTTGCTCTTTTTAGGACTTTTCAGTGTTTGCCATGCCCATACTCCATCGCAATACAGGTATACTTCTGAAGCAGATATAGAAAGCCAGTCATGTGGTGACTATCTTCTGAAGTTGGCCACTTTCTGTGATGACCCTCAAATGGAGGATTGTTACTGTGTTAATAACAACCTGATGGCCAGTTACATGGGATGCCTTAGCGTAGAAGGTAAATTGAAACCTACAATATTGGAAAGTATAGTTCAGCTGTGTGCCCAATACAATGTAACTGTTGAGCAGCTCGAGGATGCTTATGAATATTACCAAACAAGTGCCGTTTCTGCCGACGACATTCCTGATTTCAACGTGTCTGTTCCCGTTGATGTGCCAATTTTGGTCGACGAAGAGATTGTTATGCAATACAAGCTCTCTTATGTGTATGTATATGGCACCTACAACAATTCCTTGTATTATGGGTTTGGGCCACTTGGATACTGGGTATTGGCTTTGCTCATTGCATCTATTGCACACTGGACCAAATTTTTGGCCCCGGGGTTCGTGAAGAAAAGATATGGAAGATACACCAATTGGTTCCGGAAAAATTTCACCATGTCTGCAGTTTGCAAGAACCGGACAGAACCCATGAAGATTAGGGGCATACCAATAGCGCTTATCCCCACGAGAGTGGAAACAGCAGTGTCGGTGGGGTATTTGGTGGTGGTGATAGTATGCTCTGGTTCCCAAATCAAGTATTATGCCGATGACAAGTACTATTCCGATGGTACCAAATCGTTGGCGAAATATGTAGCAGTGAGGACTGGGATTTTGGCATCGTATTCGTCACCATTGTTGATTTTGTTTGCTGGAAGAAACAATTTTTTGCAGTGGGCTACCGGATGGAATTTTGCAACCTTTATGGGCTACCATCGGTGGGTGGGTAGAGTGGTATTTATACTTGTGTTGGTCCATACGGTGGGATATACCATCAGCTTCGCAGATCAATACGCGGAATATATGGCCGACAACTACATGATCTGGGGAACCATTGCTACTATTGCATCGGGTCTCATTTTGGGGCAGGGTCTTTTGGTGTTGAGAAGAATGAGTTACGAGATTTTCCTCTTTTGGCACATAGTGTTGGCGGTTTTATTCGTAGCAGGTTCCTGGCTCCATGTCGATACCTTAGGTTACGTCAACTGGTACTATGCTACGACAGCTATCTGGTGTATTGACCGGGTGGTGAGAGTCATCCGGTTAGTACTTTTTGGGTTCCCCATTTCCACCATCGAATTAGTGGCTGGGGATACTCTCAAGGTAACCACCCCCAAACCATCATACTGGCAGTCTGTTCCCGGAGGCCAT